AACCCCAACCCCCCAACCCCAATAAGCTGTTTTTATTAATATAAATAATTTATTTTGAAGTAAAGTGCTTTCTATTTTTCAAGTTAAAAAAGTTTTAGTAAAATAAAAAAATGAATTTTACTTATTTAAATTAACATTTTTTTTATTAACAAATTTTTTAAAAAAAATCAAAATTAAATTGATCATTTAAAATAAAAAAGTATACTTTTACATTATTTATTTATTTAGTTATTCTTCTTTCTCAATCTAAAGTACTACATTCATTAATTGATTTAGAATATTTAAGAATTATTAGAATTTTTAAATTTATATTCAGTTAATTATACATAACATATTCTAATTTGGTATATTCTAAATTAAATATAAGAATTATAATTGGTGTGAAAAAATAAATAAATAATATTTTGCTTTGACTTTAATTTAAACTCTTTTTTTTATTGTAAGAATATATTTATATTAAATATTTAATGTAAGTTTTCTAAGAATAGAGTGAAAGGATATTAGAATATAAAAATTATCTAATAACTATATTTCTAAAGAGTAAAAAATCTTATTTTATGATAATTAATTAGGGATTTCTAAAGGAATCACCATTCATAGAGAGAAGAAAATAAAATACTTTTTTTGATATCTTAGAAAGAGATATGTCTCTCTAAAATAGTAGAAAGGAAACAAAAATTGAATATTAATATCATATATTAATATCTTTTTCTTAAGCTTATAAAAATTTTACTTAAATTATTTATTAACTTTTTTTAAATATTAAAAATATTAAAACAAAAGAGTTTTTAAATATTCTAATTGCAAAAACATAATAAAACTATTGAAACATCGTTTAATTAATTATAAACTAATAAATACAAAAAAATACAAATTAAAATAAAATATATAAAAAGTATCAATAATGGAGACAAATACGAGATAAAGATGTGAATCTGTTGAGGATTATACATAAAATGGATATATTTTAAATGGTTGCGAAGTAATAGGTCATGAAAATCAGCAACTTTAGTTCATTTTCCTAAGACAAAAAAATGACAAAGATAGCTTATTTGGTTGTTCCTACTGTATTGCTGAGAGACAATATAAGGGTTGTAAAGTCATTTCACTTATTTAGGCTTTGAAAGTTTAACATAGATAATCTCTTTTCAGATTCCCAGAGTTAAACCAAAAGATTGAATAGGATGTATTAAAAGCTATCTAAACTACAAACTCATTAGAGTTTGATCAAGAAATTGAAAGAATCTTTGATAGTCTCTCAGACAGATTAAAAGAGGAAGTTAAAGCTATTGAAGAATAGGCTAAGTAGCTAATACAAGATATCAGAGAAAAGGGAGACGAAATGAAGGACTCATTCACAACAATAACAAATTGCGATAAGATTAGAAAATGCTTTGAGAGTGATACTGATTATGATAATTTACTCACTAATTTCAATACAATTATTTAAAACATTTATTCTTAATTACCATAAAACAATTAGGAAATAAAATAAAAGACATAACAATATATTGATAAGCTGAATACTTTTAAGATGGAATTTTCAGCCAATTTAAGCAAGAAGATTTTAGAAGCTATCAAGAAAATTTCTTTTGTAAGGTAAGAAAACATCAAAATGGAATAAAGCTAATCTTCTGCAATAACTGTTCAGAAAGAAATATATTTAAAATAAGAAAATTTAAGTCAAAATTATGGTGAAGATATAATTCAATTATCATAATAGGAGTTAGGTGGTAATCTTAAAAAGTTTTACTAACCCTTTAAAATTAATTAAAAAAGGGATAATTTGCAAACACTTGTTATTGATGATACTAAGGCTAAAAAGATGATAAATTAAGTATATAGTGACATTCTAGATAATTAAAAGACTTATAGAATCTTTTTCAAAGTTAATAACTACTCAAAAAACTCAGTTTTTAGTATTGGTTTAGCAGATATCTCTAAAAATACTGAGCCTTTAATCTCAAATACTAAAATCGCCAAAGTTTTTAATCCTAAAAGTTAATATGAAGGGTTGACATTCGTCGAGTATGGAGCTGATATTAGCGATTGCTATGGTGAAAACAAAGTTTTCGTTTTTAAATTTAACATAAGTAAAAATTATGCAAAGATTTAAACTGAAGATAAATCATCATCAAATACCTTTGAAAATAACATTATTTTTGATCAATCAATTTAATATTGCTTTTTTATTGTGAACTCAACTCCTAGTATTGAGTTTGAAATTGTCAAAGTGGAGTCTAAGAAAAATTGAAGACAGAGAAACAGAGCTTAGACAAAATTGAGAAAATAAATACTCTTACCTTGTTATTATTTTTTTAATTGTATTTGTATTTTGTGTTTGCATATTAAATATTCTTTTAAATTTTTTACTTTAAAAATTCTTTTAATTTGATATAAGCATAAAATATTGTATATATATATATCTTTTATTTTACTCATATTATTGACTTATTTTATTATTATTTGTTATTTTCTTCATTTACTCTAATCGTTTTGCATTTTAATTTTTGATTTTGAAGAAATAATTAAATTATATTTGTGCATATTTACCTCTATTTATTGAATGTCATTTTTATCTAAAGATTTAGGATGGAAAGATATAGCTGATCAAACAGCTCTTAAAAAATGCAGTATTCATTAAGAAGCAATTACTAATATATTTTTACATCAAAATTCAAGCAATGGATAGAATAAGCAAAGAAGATTAGCCTGCATGGAATGCATTTCTTAAAATAATGGAGCTAAAAATATATCAATTAAACAGGCAATAGAGTATAGAGAAGGATAAAAACTATTAAATTGGCCGCCTTCAGATGAAGTATTAATTAAAGAAGTAGAATAATAGATTTAAATACACTAAAATAGTAAGCTTTAACAAGTAGCAAATGAGTTTTGGGAAAGATTCTAACAAACCATAATCTAGAAAATCGAAACAGCAAAAGCAAAAACACTCTTTTAAGTATAATAAATTTACCTTCAAGGTGAAAAGCTGCATTAGCAGTATCTATCTATGATATCAGCGTCTGCTTTCTTTGATAGAATTTAGTAAAATAGATCAAGTTTAGAATAAATGGAAAAGGAAATAGATAAATATATTGATTAGACTTATTAGTAAGTTGAATAAAATAATGAGGTATTAAAGAGATAATGCAATGAATTTAAAGAACAATTTTAGTAATTTTCTATCCAAGAAGGCCTTGAGTTGGAAAGATTTATTTCCTAAAGTTTAGAAAATATATCTTTTTACAAAACAAACTAAAGTACTTTCTTTAAGCAATCTAAAAAAAATTAAGTGGAAAACGCCATGTAATATTAGTCAAACTAAATGAATAATTCACTATAAAACTCACCTTAATAATAATACCACAAAAAGTCATCTTCTGATATGAAATCTTCGATTGCGTCCCCTCAATTTAATAAGTTTTTAAATTAAATGAATTACGATGAGAGGTTTGGAATAGAATGCTCACTTAACTTCGAAATGGCTAAAATTAAATAAATACGAAATGAGTATGATTAATTCATTTTAATAGATATTCCTGAATAAATTTCTTCTTAAATAGGGTGCTAATTTTATTCTTCATACAACCTTCAAAATGATAAATTCTATGATATTTAAATAACCTTCAAAAATAAAATATCTAGCAACAGCAAATAGGGAATTTGCTTTGGTTTAATAGCAGATGATTATAAAGATACATTAATCTACATGAATTCTTCTTATTAGTTTTCTATAATGAAGGGCTTAGAGAAACTAAATAGTCTAATAAGTATTGGAAATGGAAGTTAAATCTTGGAATACAATAAAAGTGATTTGAATTTTCATGTGCAAATTTGTATAAAGGATAATATTCTAAGAATAGTTCCAAGACAAGAAAATTAAATTAAAAGCAGCTAATCTCCTACAAAAAAAACTAACTAAAATATCAAATAATAATAATAAAATTAAATTTAAAATAATTCTATCATTAATACTAATCCAATCGAAAGGAACTAAAGCTATCGTTTTTGTATATTCGTAAACTAGCCTGGATAAATCATTAAAATAACTCCATATAATTGTGTCTATAAATGAAAAATATTTTGAGCAAACTAGTAAGTAAGTAATTATAATCTATTAATAATAAATTTAAATTACTTCACCATACTACTTTAGGTGTTAGTTTAATAAAAAAAATGTACCTATTAAAAATAAATTAATAAAATTTTAATTTATCAACTATAAAAAAATACAAACTCTATCAAATATATTTTTAATCTTTATTATAAAAATAAATTAAATTAAAAAATGAGTTCAACTATTTTATATCAACATGAATATTAAAATTTTTTTACAAACTAATTTTGAAATTATCAAAGATTTTTATTTTTGATAAGTCTTTATTTCAATTTTTAAGCTTTTATTTTTATAAATTATTATTGTTTTAAATTAAATCTTTTTAAATTACTTAAATTATTTCAAAAAAACACATTAAGAAGTTTTAAGTCTATACATAATTCAACAAAAAATATTTATTTTAAATATTTAAGATAGATTAAATTTTTTCTAAATGTAATATAAAAGTAAAGTTGATTAAAATTTAATTCAAAATTTTCATTTGAATTTTTATTTTTATTTTTAAATATTTGCAAAATTATAGTTAAAATACAAATAATTCTTTTGTAAAATAACTAGGAACATTTATGATCTAAAAAATAAAAGAAATTAATTAAAAAATACTTAGTAGCTAAGTAATTTACTTACTTACTGACTATAAAAATTTAATTAAATTTTTCAAAAAAAAGCCATGATTCAAATACTATGTATATTTCATTTACATTTAAAAACCAAAAAAACATTATTTTTTACAATTTAATTTGATTAAACTCACTATCTTTTTAAAATATGAGCTTTAAAAGAATCATGATTAATTACTCTTTTTTTCTAAAATTAAGTTAGATCCGTCATTTGAATTTATCTAAACTTTTTTAATTTAATTTAATTTTATTTTATTTTAAAAACTCCTTAAAATTTTTAATTTATTTTACCTTACTAACTTAACTATTCAGCATTTTCATCACTGATTCTTCTAGAATAATCTTTAATTTTACTTTCTATAAAATAGAAATCTTACTGTCTTTCACTTTCTTATGAAAAGCTAATATCTTCTTCTTTTGATTCTTTTCTAAAATTAGTCTTTTATTCTTTAGTTTCTTTCACATTTTCTCTCTTAGATAGTTCACTTTTACAAATTAATAATGCATTATTAATACTTTAAATTTAAGTAAATTGTTATATTATACTTTGTCTGATGCATCAAGTTGAAAATAGAAACTTAAGATACTTATGTTTAATCCATAAGTAATTTATCTTCTTACCTTGGTGTATTAAAGTTAGATATCAATGGACTAATATTAGTGTTATTGATAGACTGTGCATCGATTCTTTTTTTTAAATATTTAAAGTTAATTAATTTATAATTGTTAATTTAATACTATAATATGCTATCTGCGCATTGATTTTAGTTAAAGTATGAACTGTTCATTTATTTACTTCTCTCTTCCTGCTTTTAAAGCAAATATTTCCTTTGTGATTCTTCCCATTAACGCTTTTGCTTGATTATTACTATTTAAAATATTTAAAAAATAGTATAGAATAATTATATAATTTACAAGGCTCATTATTTTCTTATTATTCTTCATCATACTTAACGTATAGAGTTTAATCAAATAGCTTAACTGTTTTATCTTTCTCCTTTCTTTCAAAGAAATCCCATACATAATTTTATACTTTCTTCCATAAATTCTAAGATTATATTATTGATATGCCACTAAGCTTAAAAAACTTTCCAACTTTTGGAAGTCTCCTAAATATTTAAACCTTTATGTAAGAAATCATTAATTCTAACTATTTCGAGTACGACTAAATTAATCTTCTAATCAAATACAAAAATAGCCAAAAGTTAATTAAAACTAGCACAATCAGACACATATATTAAATAGTAGGGTAAGGATTACTATAAGCCAATCTACCTAAAATAAAGCTAATTAATATAACTTAGGTTATTTTCTTTTCTAATCTATTTAAATCTTGAGTCAGATAAGGGTTATACTTTTTTAATATAAAAATAATATGGTTAATAAAAAATTGTATTTATTTATTTAGGATTGGTTTACCTTTTTATGAATTCTCTGGTAAAAGTATACTATCAAGACCAAAATCATGGCTTTTTCATGAATCTTTTCATAAAGAATATTTTCAGTTGCTATAATTAAAATACGATAACCCATTCTAAAGATTTCCCAATAAAAAAACTTTGTTTTATAATCTGAATAAAAGAAACCCAGAATTATTTTAGATCTGATATAATAAAGTTTTCTTCTGATCATATATAACTTTATAAATAAAACCCCAGGTAGAAGAATAATCCAAATAATGAGAAATGGTGCTATTAAGAATACTCCATAATAATAGTAATCATCATCATAGCAAATTCTATCAGTACTTCCTTTGATATAACTCTACCCAGCAATATTTATACATGCAATCTTATTTTAATTTAAATTAATTTAAAATTATTATGATGTAAATTATCTTCTTTATGGATTTATTGAATTTAATTTCTTAATCAGTTAATCTATTACTTAATCGATATTAGTTAATTAATCAAATACTAATTTCTATAAAAATTATTTCTGTTTGAAATAGAGGAACTCATACTCTTTAAAAAGAGCAGAGAAACATTTCAAGATGAAGTTTTATACATTATCTTAATAATAATAATAATAAAGATCACTTTATCTACAAAAATTTTCTCTAAATAAATTAAAATGAAGTGAATTACCTATGAAAGAAGAGAGCTAACAATTGGTGGTTAAACGTAAAGGAAGAGGTAGCATAGTATGGAATAAACTATGGTGATCTTGTATTTCATCATATTATATTTTTATAATATGTAATATATTCCAATAAAAATGACTATTAATATGAGAGGAGCTATTACAAACCAAAGAACTCTAAAATAGTTAAATGGCATTACTGGCTAAAATATTTTAATTACACAATCCCAGGTATTACCCATTCCGCTAAATGGGTTATAAATATTTATGTTCATATTTGATACAGAATTAGGAAGAGAAATCTAGAAATTTAGTAATACACTAATAACCTTTAGATACAAAATATTTTTAATTATAATGAACTTCTAAAATATGTAAATTTTTGAATACTTAAAGATAGTTCATTATCATTTTGAGATATATTCCTGAAGGATTGAATGATTTTATTGCATGAACAGCTTCTTTTGATTCTCCTTGCAAAAATACACTCTTAATCATAACATGAGAGAATACTCCATTAGAGAATACTAAATATGCACTAAACAATATTTTTATGGTAATTTTATTAAAATTATCATTTATATTAAATTTTAAAAGTTTACCTTTTTGCGCTCAAAAGAAGAAGAAAAACAAATAATAATATGGACCAAATCAATTTAAATGATAGTATGCCAGCATTACTACATTTAAAACAAGAAAATTCTTAATAATTAGAGTATGAAACTCCCCAAATTTATCCTTTAATATCGCAAACTTAGCATAAAGCTCCGTAACAACCTTCATCGCAATAAAAATTCTATTATTATAATATTTAAAATTTTAATACTTAAAATTGTAATTAAATAAAAAAATTTTACATTAATATCAATCATTGATGATTAAGGAATTGGGAAACTTGAATCTCTAGATGAAATATCTTATTATCTGTTACCAATACAATTAGCTGGATTATTTATACATTCAACTATTTATTCTGACTAATTATCTGACCTCCAGTACCCTGGTGGAAGTCTATATTAATTTTAAATAATGTTGATTAATAAATTTTAAAATGAAATTTATATTTATTTTACAGGATAGTGCTGCCTCCAGGACATACTGTTTATTCGGTTGAGCCATCTAAATAAATGCAAAATTTACACTTTTATGATTAAACTAAAGAATAAAACCCTTCAAGACATTACGAACAAGTCTGCCATCCTTCATCACTAAAAAAAATATGAATCAATTTTTAGTAAAAAAAAAAGATATTAAGTTACTTTATAATGAGCTCCTCTCCTTAATTACATTAGTTAAATTAAATTGGTATTTCGAAAGGAATTTATGAAGAGAGAGGATTTTGTTAGATTAAGGAAGATTAACAAATTATTGAAGTAGTTTAATTGAGTTATTAAGCATTTAAAACTGAATTGGAGCCATCAAAATATCCAGTTTAATTTGAAAAAGTTACCATATTATTTTCTAAATTAAATCCATTATCTTTTATTTAAAGTTAAATCTACAAGTAGGTAGAATTACTAGAAATGCTGAAAATTTTATTAATAATTCTATAATCTTCATCAACAAATATTATATACAACTGTGAAAGTGGTTGGCCACTTGAAACCTAGATTCTTTTAATAGGTGATTTATCTGAAAAATCAATTATACTTTGAGTTTCTGCATATAAATAACGAATATATTATGGAAAAGTGTAAATATTGTTTCCATACATCAATGCTGAATTATTACTAAAAGTGTTAGTAAAACCTGTAAATGTCTGAGTAATATAACTATAGTAATTGTAATCTGTCAAATTTACAAATAGACTAGAACTTGGATATGCCTAGCTGTATATAATACAAAATTGTGAATAAATAGCAGCTCCTACTTATGTTGCTAAATTCTAAATAAAGCTATTTTTCCTTAATAAAATGTTGAAATGATGCTATGGATTGGCGTTGTATATACCTAATAATTATTTTTTTTGTATAAAAATAAGCATTTTAATTATTCAATAAATAATAATAAATACCTGCTCCTTGCATAGCCTAATTCAACTAGAATATATTATTATAAAATTACATTTAGTTCACCTTTTCTAAATATATTGCACCACCCCAATAAGATGCAGTATTATTAGTAAAATTGGTATGCTATATTTTATTTAAATTAAGCTGATAATTTTTAAGCAAGTCAGTACTAGAAACTATGTTATGGTGAATATAAATTGCACCTCCAAAGAATGCTGTATTGTTGGTAAAAGTGCTATTTGATATACTAAGTGAGTTAGAATATTAAAAGAATATTATTCCAGTGTAGCAAGTTAAACAAAATTACTACGCACATACCAAATTAAAAACAGAAATATCTTAAATATTAGCAAATATGTATAAACTTTTCAATTTATACCCATTTGTATAAGTTGATTAGCTCAAGGATGTGTTATTTAAATGCAGCGTATTACAGTTTTCAATATCTATTATCACTTTTTAGTAAAATTAGCTATTACCAAATACGCTATTGGTAATTGTTACAGTTGTTATCTATTCAAAGTATAATATTTACTAGTAAAGTAAGTTAGCTTATACATTATTCACATCTATATTGATTAAATTTGTTGCTTAAATTGCTATTTTATTTGAGCTATTTTATCCATTAATAATTACTCCATCCATCTTCAAACTACATGACTGGCCCTTTATATCGATAATAGTTTTTAAAAATATTAGTTTTTGTATAAAAAATAATTTTTTATTATCAATTAATTTTATAAATTAAAAAAAATATTATGATAAATTTATTATTAAAACTCAAAACAAACAAAAATTTTCTTAGGATTCAAACTCAATTTTTTACTTAAGGCTATAGAGACAAAACATCAAAGTTTCTTGCTTAAGAGGAAGATATTGTAGATTATGAAATCGTTATTTATGTTAAAGAAATAACATCGAAGTACAAGCAACCGCCAAAAAAACCAGCTTAACAGCTCTAAAAAACGCTATTTCCACCAACTGTAAAGGAATTATTAATAGTTTGAGATAAAAAGTAAATAGCTCCTCCATTTTATGCACATTAGTTATTAGCAAATGTAGAACCTTAAATATTTACTTAGCAACCTTATTGAGCTATTATATAAAGAGCTCCACCATAATTTGCGAAGGATTAAGTGAAAGTTGTTCCTTAAATCATAAGCTATGAATATGCTTAAAGAGTTCCAAATCCCCCCTAAACTATTATTTAGCTTAAATTGTTTATGTTTTAATTTGCATTGGCAAATGCTGAATTTTGTATTTGAATGACCTTCGCACTTATGTACATCCCATTTGAACCTACAAATGTTTACGAATTTAGTATTTGTCCATGGTTTAATATGACTGTACTAGATTAAGATTATATAAGTAACCCATTAGATAAAATTTAATTAGGAACGAATGATGGTTGATCAATAGATGTTGAATTGATAATTATGTTAGTCATATTAAGCATAGATTGATTAATATCTTCAAATTATATGGCTGATACTACGGACCCATATGTCAATAAGTTGAATTTTATTTACTAAAATTAAATACCAGTGATTTGTATTCCATTTGGAAGATAATTTTGTATGTTTTTTGAATCAACATAAATATCTTTTTGATCAATTTAAATTATTGATTTTTATGAATAAACATTGCTAATATTAAAGTTTTAAAAGTTGAAGTTGCTGTAGATAGAAGAAATCTTAAGCAATCCAGGATATTATTATAATGCTGCTGAAGAAATACTTAACATACTAATTATTAATTGGAAAATTTAATCAGCTATCAATAATTTAATTTAGGGAGTTTCTTATATTTAAGTTTATGTTAAGTTGAATAGGTATATTGATTGGACCATAATCAGGCTATTCTCGTTTTGAAATGGGTAAGACTATGTGTACTGATCTACTGTCTAAAGAGTTCTTACTTATTTTTACTATTAATACATTTATATTTCTTCAATTGATTTGCCAATATCATTTTATAATTGAAGATTTCTTTTGTTAGTATTACTTGTAGTTTGTATCAAAGTGTACTAGAAAAAGTTTTGTGTTACATTCAAATTTTATATTTAGACTTCAAGTTGAAGATGTTATTGTTAAATATTTCCAAACTATGCTAAATAAAAGTTGACACCTTAAGAAGGAGATGATATGATTGTATTATTATAAAATTAAATGTTGCTCAATTGCATGATGTATATGATTTTTTATTGATTATTACTTTAAGCAGCTTGATATTATTATCCTGATTAAATTGAAGCTGATTGCAATATTTTTGTATAAGAGATTGTATTGTTAATTAAATAAAAATTTGATATAGTTCCTCCATTAATTGATAATAATGAAGACGCTATTAAGCTGCTAGTTTAATTAAAAAGTTAAATGATATTGCAATTCTGAATTGTAAAATCCTTTATTTAAATATTAGTAGCATCTTGAATATAAAACAAAGTTGGTTGGTAAGAGGAAATCTAATTATTAGTAAAATTTAGGTTGTTTATACTCATTTAAATGCTTTTATTAGGCTGAGAGCTTTATTATTCTGAAGAAATCAAGTACGAGGAAGCTCCAAAAATACTATTTAAAATTGTTAACTAATTTAACGTAATTTAAACTTTGAAATTAGGGGAGATGATGTTGAGTAACCCATTTGATAAAAAGCTGGATTGAATTATCTATGATTAAGCGATGTTGATACTTAAGTGTGGAAAGCTATCAGGCAAAGATATACTGGGAAGAATATCTATCAGGCTATTATCTTTTACTAGTTCTACGCTTGTAAATATACAAGAAAGGAGTTAAACCTAAGAAAACTGACCTCCTATCTAAATAAAAGTTTAGGTATTAGTAAAATTGCAATTACTAATGCTTAAGTTCACTCCTGTATTTAAGCTTATTTGGGATTATTTTATTACTTATAAGCTGCTCATAAATTACAAATTCTGAATATTAACATCAGTAAAACCTTATATTTTTAAGTTTTCATTGCTATTTAAATTAAAAATAAAGCTGTTATTAGGATCATCGCTTTTTAAGTTAAGAGTGAGCTTTTTCAATCCGAGAACCTATTCAAGTAAATTGGTATTTATCGTAACGCTTCCTTCTAAGACACAATTACTTTAACCTTGATATAAGGTGCTAATTAATATGATATCAATTTCCATTTCTTCTATTCCTAATTCGAGCAGATATAGTATTTGTTAAGTTAAATCAAGTATATTAGGGTAAAAAATATCTCCTTAAGAATTTAACTTATCTAAGCTGTAAGGATTTTATTTTGACCCATCCTAAGTTATACTGTTTTTCTAACTTTGGCAGGTAAAATAAGTAGTTTTTGTAAATGTTCTTATGCATCCATTTGTCTTATGGCAAGTGGTGCATCTTCTTAAATTACTATTATATACTGTTTATGAATTAACTCCATAAATAGATGAAACTAAATTTTAAGAACACTTTAAGCATCCATTTTAGTAAAGCTATGAGTAAATATTTGTTGAGAACGATTAATCCATACTAATTGCTGCTGAAATCTAGCATATGGGATGACTTATTTAGCAATTATTTCCTTTTTAAAATTTTAATTTGTATTTAATTTTTTTAAAAAAATGATTATTTTTTCTTTTTAAAAATTTTTTATAATTTTAAATTAAAAAAAACTATTTTAAATTATCTAAAAAAGTTTATTGTTTAGTTTATTTATAAATCGATTTCAGATATTATTTAAATAATTTTCAAAAAAAAAAATTTTAAGTTGTCTCTCTAGGTGATTAAATGAAAATTCTGTTAGAGAAAATTATAAAGGATCATAATCAGAAATAAAACAAATAATTGAAATTTTGAATTTACCAGTAGGTTATAAAAAGTTATTGATTGTGAGACTTGGATAAAAATTTACTATTAATAACTACATTATTGATTGTTATTAATTAGTTAGTTTGAGGTTTGTTGAGCATTATATGCAATTCATATTAGAATCACAAGAATTACACATTGAACCACATGATTATTAGCAAAATCCCTGAGAATTAATAATGTATCCGCTTTGACATTTCAAACATATCAATCTAATAAAAATAGTATTAATTTTAATTTATATTAAAATATAAGATAAATTAGAAATATTTTTTACCTACTTCCATATAAATTTTATAGATTTATTTTACTGTCTAAAGTTAAGGTTTGTGAATACTTTATATTTTAAAGGTAATTCTATACATTAAAATATTTATCCCCTTGATAGCATGATATACAATTTAAGGGACAAGACTAGCACCTATCAAACGAACTTACATAATTTACAGTTCTTATTAAATTTGACTAAATTATTTTAAAAAGAATTAAATAAAATTTTGCTAAAATAAGATTTACAAGCTATTGTCCAGAAACTTAAGATGAGAATAAAGAGTTTGCCTATTAGCAATTACCCATCAAATCTAGTTAGTAATTTGGCATACATTATATACATTAAGAAGAATAAGAATCACAACTTAAACAATTTTAAGGGCAGCTTATTGATACTGTAGATGTTGTGCATGAATTGCATAATGAAATAGGAAGTACTTAATTTGAACTGTAATTGCTATTTTAAATACCATACTTAAAACAAGAATTGCAATATTATATTTAATTCTAGCAGGTCATTTCAATTGAACAAGTATTTGTTTAAGTATCTAATAAGTAATTGTTTTAACATTTATTGCAATAAACATTACTATTACTATCCATAAAACAGGAATTACAAAAATTAGCACTACATCCCTATATGCATTATTGTTTATCAGCAGAAAGGGTGTACCCTGTATTACATTCGTAGCAATAAAAATTCAAGCTAGATGGTTGGATATTATTTAAGCTATACCAAATTTAATCTATTAACAGCTGCTAAACTGTACCAAAACCTTAAATATTACAATTATTAATTTTACTTTATATGCAACTTGTACCATCTACGTTTAAAATCATGTTAATAGGATCTTTGCATAAACTGCACCTAATCTAAAATTAACTAGATTGTTGAGAATTATAAATTATTTACTAGCCACCTCCTGTAAAACTATTGTACCATCCTAAAACGCATTCCTTTTTTATATGAATTAATTATATATAAATATTATTCTAAATTTTTATGTTTTTACTTTGCAAGTATCTGGCGAAGGGCATTAATTCACTTTAAGAAGATCTGAAGTTATGTAATACCCAGGCTAAACAGAAGAACACCTTAATTAAAGTAGTTACATTTATTGTGGAGAGAGTAAACTTATATTATTTTGTGAATATATAAAAGTTTAATCATTAATGAGAGCACCATAAAAGCATTATGTGCACATTTAATGAAGAGAAGAACAGGGGATGCAAGATTAAGAATCTAATGATAAAGTGTATCCTAATAAAATTAAAAGTTTAAGTTTGTAAAAATAAAGAAATTTGAATTACCTTGATTGCAATTAATACAAGTCGAACTATTTATGCACTATTAACAATTTTGAAAACATTAGTAAGCATTTTACTTTATATCTAAAGTGCTTTAATCAATGTAAAAGCTACTTTAATTAGAAGGAAGTGTTATTGAGTAATTATGGAGGTCTACTAATTTTGTGCAAGTAAAAGCGTTTGAGTAAAATTGTTAAGGAATATTAATCAAAGGAGATATTTAAAGGCAATCAAAGCATACTTAATTACAGTTGTTAGTCACTTATCCGCAAAAACTTAATGACTAATCATTGTACAAAGGACATCTTACACATTTGTTGGAGATAAATATATATCCAAAGTTACACTAAGAGCATTAATTATTTATAGTGTAGGAGCATCCTTGTGATTATTAAGATATTTAAGCAGATTAATAATATGTAGGTATTAAGTCTTAGCTTGAAACAGAAATATCTTTTATTACTTTTTTGAATGATAAGTAAAAAATAATTATATTTTAATTGTATTACCTTAGATACAATTTCCTGTGCCTATTAAAGTTGATAATGATGAACAAATAAAGCATACTCCTGAATTTGTTGCTTAGCAGACTCCATTAATATCAGAACATTGCTCACTTTAAGGGAGAGTAAAGAGATCTTGATATTACTAAGTCTATGTATTGAAACATTAGTTTTCTATTATTTTATAACTCAAGCAAGTTTTACCATCAATAAAACATATTTAACAATTTTGATTACATCTTTTTGCCTGAATTAAATAAAATAAGCTAAGAATAAATTTTTTTAATTAAAAAAAACTTACTAAATAGAATGTTAAAGCTGAAAAATAATTTTGGTATAAAATGGCAGAGGGAGTAGTAATTATGTTTTAAGAATAATATTTTTAATTCTAAATTATATTATAGCTTGTCCACAGTTAGAAACTATAATCATTTTTCATTTCTAAATCTATAATACTTGAGATAAATGGGTATTGAACATTGCTTTATGCTATAAACTAATTAGTAATTAAAAATTAAAAAACAACATACTTTTAATTTATTAAATTACATTGTCTGTTTAGCTTTAAAAAACTTGTGTGGGATTACTAACAGGTTAGAACCCAAAATTATTTACATTAAAATTCCTAATATTGGGATAGTGAGAATCTTTTTTCACAAATACCAAACTTATCGTTAAGCTTTTAATTTTATTCTACTATATGCTTCCAACTATATTTAAATTGTTATCTAATGATAACCTAATCCAAGGCAATATTTCTGTTTGGGCGAATGATTAAAATCCTCTGTTTAAATAAAAAATTAGCTTTGATATCATTATTGAAAAAAATAATTTATATATAAGTACGCTATTCCAAAGAGGATTTCCAAATTTAACAGAGAGCTAGAAAGAGATTGGATTTGAGAACTAAAAACCGATGTAACATTAATACTTAATGTATTTAGGCTACTTAAGAACTGAGATAGATTACTTTAATTTATAGTCAAGCTTGATATTTGTAAATTATTTGTATCAACACTAGCTATGAATTTATAATTCAAGCTTGCTATATTTAAGTCTATAATATTGTTTAAGGAAAATGTGTTTATTATAATTTATATTTAGTTCAATTTTAATTATTTTACTTGAAAAGTCATTTATCTGCAACTAAAATGAAGAAGTGTTAATATTAGATATCTATACTTATGAAAAGCTATATAACAATTAGTTATTGTTCACTCCCGTACTTGTTTGAATGCTTTGTAAAAAGATAGCAACTTAAGGAGTTGTTTGGAAAGCTTTAGAAAAGTAAACTGTTTAAACTCCAGAACTTGATACAGTTATTTCTTAAATGTCAACTTCTCTGTTTTTTGTATATTCTTATTATTTTATAAAAATAAAATGTTAATCCAAAAAAATTAAGTAAGAAGGAATACATTAGCAGTAATCTATATGAGGATGGTTAATTGTATTAAATGGGCATTAACAAAGGGGAGGATTTATCCTGTTGGCAGAACAAGTTATGCATTAGTTTGGATTATTAGCCAAACAAGTTAAACATTGCGAATTACATGCCTTGGCGCAGTAGAAATCTTGTGTAGGATTTCTTCCTATTGATATGCATTAAGCAGAAGTTAAGCATGTTCCATTATACAGATAATAACCTGTATTACAAGTTAGACAAATAAACGGATTATTTCCAATGCTTAATTAGCAATTGTCTACTACTGCACTAGCATCAGGGCCTTACAAAGCATTAGTTGATTTCATAATTAAAAGTCTATTTATGAATGCTGTTGGATCATTTGCTTGGCTATTCAGTTTTGACCCAAAATAAAATTGATCAGAGTAAGACTCAGTCATAAATTATGGATCAAGATTTACTATTTGTTAACTTAAAGAATTACCATTTGTGTAAAGTGTGACAACATTTTAAGAAAAACTTGTTTCAACAGTAAAAACCTAATTTTAATAAATTTTTATTAATATAAAAATCAATTTAAAATTGTAAAAATTTTTTTAAATTTTTTGTTTTTATTAGAGTTTATTTTAAAATGAATTATTTTTAAAATTAAAAACTAAAATAAATTTACTAATAATTGAAGGGTGTTATCACCAACTAACACTCCTGTAAAAGTTGTGCACTCATTTGTCTTTTAGCAAAATTATACATCAAGTCCTTAAGCTTATATTGATATTGTGTATTGACCTTGATTATTAACTCTTTACAAAAGGATAGGATTATTAGCTAAAGTAGCCATAAACCTAATAGCAATAGTGTATGAAGGTTAAAATAAGCTATTAATTTAAAAGCTAGGAAGAGGAACTTCTCCATCTTTATGAATAATTAGTGATGTAGTAGATGTATCTCTTGATGCAACAGCTATGCTTATATTTGTTAAATCTATATCGTTCTACCAAGCAGAATAGTCTCTTATGAGCATCATAGGGTCATATGGGTATGAAATTGTATTGCTTTGTTGAATTTCATCAAACAAATACTCAGCTACCTTTTCTGACTAATCTGAAATTGCAAAAGATTGTTTTGACTTTTGACTAACTAAATTACTTATATGTATATTCTTGTAGAACTTTAGGGTTTAAATCTACCCACAAAATGAATATGCAGAATTATATAAATAGTTAGCTATAGAGACAGTAAATGCCAGAGGGTGCTAGGAAAGTGATGTGATGAATTGCTGAGTTATTTCTTATTGCTAATCTCTTGTAGATTATACTCTAAGTGATATTCCTGTAAGAGATACAGAAACTTAAACAGAAATCCAACTAGAGTATAAACTATTTACTTAAATGTTTAAAGGTGATTGAAGAGATAAGCTAGTAGAAGTTACTATTTCTAAATAATTTGAGAGGCTATTAACTTAAAGATTCCACATATAAGTATTGCTAGCTACTTATAAAATATTATATTTTGGAATAGATTACTAATTTTACAAGTTGACAAAAAATGATAATGAATAGGGTTGTTAATTATCAGTTAATTAGACATTATACTAATATCTTTATTCTTACTATGAAGAGCAATCTCCAATAATTGTCCTATCAATTAGCTACTGCATTTCAGAGTAGCAATTAAAAGCTGTGCTCAGGATCATAAATAAAATGAACCTAAGCCCTTTAGAAATTTTCATTTTTTTAATTCTTAATTGCCTATTTTTATAAGTACTTATCTCAACCTATTTAATATTTAACGTTGTTGTTATACCTTAATTTTTAATTCTTAATAATAATTAAATTAACAAAAACAAATTTTTTTTTTATTATCAACTCTATTTCACTTATTTTTTTAATTATTAAATGTTTAAAATCCTCATAAATTGTTTTTTGTAATAATTTACCAATTTAGTAACAAAATAGATGCCATATGTTAAATAAAAAAAAACTAGTTAGAATTCTCTGCTTTAATATATCAATAAACGATTATTATTTTTTTAAAAGAAGAAAAATTAAACATAATTTATAGCTATAAAATGAGTTGATAATTAATAGAATTTAAATGAATAATTTTTAAGTTATAAAATCGCTGTTAATTTAAATGTTTTCTGTTAATTAAAACAATCAATTAAAAAAGCTAACATTTTTATCTAATCATTTACAAAAATATTATTGTAAAATAAATAACATAATTTTTTACTTAATTATAACTTTAAAAATTGTTTTATATAACATTAATAAAAAATTGTAAAAGACACAATAAATTAGAATGATATTGGATTGTGATGTTATCAATTGGAAGAGTTCTATTAATTTTATTAGTTATTTACTGTTTAAGCAGTAGCTGAGGAGTTATTATCTGCAGTTGATTGTTATTCATCGTTGCTGCCTAAATATAATTATGTTATAGTATTTAGTAAATCCTAAGGACATAAGGGGAATGACATAAATAAGCACATTTAACATATACTCCAAAGCTTTTCTTTTTCATCTTTAATTTGAACTTACCCTATCGTAGTTAGCTTATCAAAGAATTTTTTTATTAATAATAAATCCTATTTGGTTGGTGTATTTAACACAGTATTTAATTTCATCAGTTTTTCTATTTAAAATAATATTAATTGATATTAAAATATGAAAATAAAATATTACGTAAGGTAGGGAAGTCTGATAAGTCGATTCTTTCTAGCTAGAAATTTTCAGGCTAAGTGAAATAACTAACAATTAAATCTTTAGCTTTTTAATCCTTTATATTTACATTAATAAGAAATTTAATATGAAAAAATGTTTGCATAATTAATTGATTACTTGGTTATTTAAAATATAAGAGTCTATAAAATATTTATAGAGTTTGTACTACATTAAATTGATCTTTTAAGGATTGAAAAGCTGACTTGATTGCAATTACATTCCTTTAATTCCTTTTTAATTTTCATAGAAGTTGATAAGAATATTTATGTTTTAAAGGTAAATGCAATCCATATTCATAAAAGATTTGAAATCTTTGAGAAGATGTAATTATTGCTCTATTAACTCTAGTCTATCTTCTTAAATGCAGAGTTAAATAAGCTATTCTATTTACAGTTGATCATCATATGGACAAATCTGATTCTCTTTGTCTTAAATCATTTAGTTGATTTAACTATATAAAGTGTCAAGCTAATCTAAATGCTTAACTAAAGCACTTGACTTATCTTAGTTAATCTTATTTCTAAAAGGAAGAATATAGTCTAATTAGTTTTTAGTAATTACAAAATTTTTCTTTTCAAGAAGCTTGAAAGCTTTGTCGTAAGGTATTTATTTCATATATTCTTAAAGTCTCTTTTTTTCTTCGTAAGAATCTAATTCAACAAATTTATTAAAATGACTTTTAAATTATTTTATTAAATTTGATTACCTATTTCTGATAAAATTGCTTAGCTATTTTAAACTGAATACTTACGTTTAACGTAAATAACCTTAGGATTTTTTTAATTCATTGCAAAATCTATTTCAAAGCCATAATATTCATCGTCTACTACCTTAACACTGAGTATCTTTTTAGATTCTTATAACAATATAGGGGTAAATTATTTCTCAACCTAAATACATTCATTTGCTAAATATTTAAGCTCAACTTGGACATTAACTACTTTTTTTTCATCAGTTGAAACAGCATGGAAAACCCTATTAAATTAAAAAATTATTTTATTCTATTTCATAAATTATTAGGAAGGTAAAATATGCTACTTTTATTCAACTGCAAGAACATAGAAGTGCCTGAGAGCTTATAAGTGATATTTATTATCTGAAGGAGAGTTAGGGAAGTATGGATAGATAGAAATTAATAAAGCAGCTATTGACATATCATCTCTATTAAATGAGTAATTTCCATGACCAAGAGTTAAAAAGCCAATAGCCATGTTAATAGCCATATTAAATCCATAATGGAATGTACCAGAATCTTAGAATTTTTTTCTTATAACTCTTGCTATTTTAATTGAGTGGGTATCACAAGTTCCTGCATTTACCAAACTCAAAGAAAGTACAGAAACAGAATAAAGTATAAATAGTGTATACTAATCAATCAAAGATTTTGCAGAAGGATCATTAACTAAATCACATTTTGAGGTTTTAAGCTTTCTCATTTTACTTATTTCATTTATAATAACTTCAACTGCTTTTTTATCTCCAGTGCCTGCATACTTCAACCCAATAGCCATTATACAACCACCAATAATATTTAAATACACGCTAGTAACAGTACTAAAATCAATTTCATAGACATTGTAAACCAGATAGTATCTATTAATTAAAAAAAAAAAATTTGTATTAGATTAAAAATGTATTTTAATTTAACTTATCTTCTCATTTATTCAATTATTTCATTAATATTATTTATTAAAATTTTATTATTTTTGTAATAAAAATAATCAATTTACCTCTAGTATACTTCTTTAAATGATTTTTCATAAATAAATCTAATTAATTCTGGAATTTAGTTATAAATGAATTCTTTAGTGTTAGATATTTAGTCCCACATGATGATATTCTTTGCCATTACCTTTAATAGAATATTGTTTGGATTGCAATTTTCAATAGTTGAAAATGAATTTGGAATTGTTATTTTTTCTGCAACTTTAATATCATTTGATTTTAAAAATAGAAGAGAAATTGCTATAAGAGCACCTGGGGCAGTAACATGAGTATTTACTGTATTTCCTTCTTTAATACTGCTACTTTTGTTTTCAGTATTGAAATTCGTGCTAAGCATACTCTATGGAGGATCCATTATTTTACCACCTTCAATGAAACGAATAAGTCTCTCTTCAAGTTCTAAATCTTTTATATTAGTATGTTAAGCTCCTTTTCCTAGATTAATTAAACCAAGTGAAAAGCCTGCAGCTAGAGAGTAACCTTCCCTATCTAAACACTTATCGCTTAAAGGTTTTCTGCCTATTTATGCTAAAGTCATTTCTGTAATCAGTCTATTACCTTTATTCAAATAGTTTTTTTTAATTTTAATGAGTTAAGAATAACAAAAATATATACTTGTTCCTTTGTGAATCAAACCTACTCCAATAAGAGCAGTTGTTTAAACATTAAGAGGAATTTCTACATCATAAGAAGGTGGAAGCAAGAATGGAATATGAAGACACAATGTTTTAGAAGTTGAATCGTCAGATTTACCTATCCTAGATGCAGCTATACCTAGCAAAATACCAACAGAAGTTGCTTCATGGTTAGGTTTTAGATATTAAAAGATATCAGTAGGAGATAAACAATCAAGATATCCTAAAAGCCCTAATCCAAGAAGGAAGCCACCATGGTCATACTCAACATTTTCTGGTTTTTAGTAAAATATCCAAGTCTTTAAATTTTCAGAGTTCATATTCATTACAGACTTTGATAGCTTTAAAGAAGTAGCAACCCCATTATGGAATTCTGGCCACAAACACATGTTCAAATCTTTTTCATCTTTTGTGTCTAATGTCACTTTAATATCATTAGGCATAACAGCACTCAAATTTATTTTAGGTACTTTAACTATCTCTGTCATGTAAGTAGACCAAGAACCAAAGTTGAATCCTCCTTAACCAACCAAACAAGAAAATCTTCTAGTAACAAATTTTCTTAAAACATTTTAGGATTCCACTTCAAAACTATATTTTTAATTGATTAATTTTATTAAATTTGTTAAAAATGAATATATTTTTATGAATTAATTTATTTAAAATAATACATAATAAAATGCTAAAATTTATAATAATAAGAAATTATTGAGTAGTTTACGCTTCTTCGCTGATATCTTCAACGTATTTTTATTTGATTTAAATATCTTTAGTAGTATCAAGCAATCTGTTTACTTCTTCGAAAATCAACTCATTGTTTTATTTGTGCAAATGAGCATCATACAATATGTACTACTCTTAATTATTTTTAGTTCCTCTGATTAAGTTATTAATAGTTTATGAGAAATCGACTTTTGAAAGATATGCAGGTAATTCATTTTTCTTTTTTATATAAATCTATCTATTTTAGAAGATATCTTCTCTTTTGATCATTTTAAAACCTTCTTTTGTAGTAATCTATCAAGATAAGAAACATTTTTGTCAATTTAAAAAAAATAAAATGTATTAAATTTACATCATATAATTGAGGAGGAAGATTAAGTTTGAGGAGACGCAATGACTCATAAATAGGAGCTTTTAATCCAAAGGAGAGAGATTCAATGAAATCCTAATCTATGTTCTTCTTAATAAGATATAAAAATACAAGGATTTCGTTTTAATCACGAAAGATTTCTTATATTTTTGAGAATTTAGCATTTTTTTTGTCTTTCTCTTAATCAAAGAATTTCATATAAAAAACTTTTTAGTGGAAAAGAGGGAAAGAAGGGTTAGTTAAATTTCCATAGCCATGCATTTAAAAGCCAATAGTGTTATTTAAATTTTAAGCTTTATTTTTAATTAAGTCAGATATTTTAGTTCGAGATGCGTTTAAACCCAATTACATTAATTCGAATATTTTACAAATTTTTTAAGTATTTTTAAACATTATTGGCATGATTTATTCTACTTTTTATGTTTGGTTATCAGAAGTAAATAAATAGTTAATCCACTTGAAAATATCAGGAACATCTTTTTCTATGAACAAGCTCTCAGGATAATTTGTATTTGCAGTACTTCCTTTATTCCAATTTAAATTCTTTTAGTAATGGAATTAGATTTAAAGCTATTAAAGCCTTACATCTGTTTGATATCTAATCAAAATTTATGGGAATTCTCTAACATAATAGTCTTAATAACTAGAGCTATACTCAAAATCTAAATAAGTGCAATAGCAATATAAAAAATAAGCTAAATTTTCTCTATATTCTTTATATATTGTTTATATTTTCATATCTTGATACAATAAATTTAAAATTCTTAAAATTCTAATCCTTTATTCATAAAATTTATCAACATTCACTTCAATTTTACTATTAAAAAGAGGTTATTAAGTCCCACTGTTACTATTACTTTAGGCCATATTACTATTGTTTGCATTATAAATGTTAGATCCATAAGCACCTCCTTAATCACTTTTTTATAATTTAATTAAAACTTAATTTATAAATTTCTATTTATGCAAAATCAAAGTTTTTAAAAATATTTTAATTTAAATATTGTTTAAAATTTTATTTTACGAATTGAATGGCATGTCTGATGATCTTCTATGATGAGTTGGTTTTTATGCTGGGGGGTTTGCTTAAGCTTAAGTACCCATCTCTTAACTTATAGGAAAATTAGCTTGGCTATCAGGAATTACAAAATTAGGAGGATTTTTAAAAAGTTGATTGTTTAATTCAAAATTTTTTTGATGATAATTAGACATAAGAAGTTTATTCCAATTTTTACATTAATTTCTAACATTTGAAACTCCATTAGTTTGATTTATAATATTCTATGGAGCATTCCCTACTTATATATTCAAAGATTAAGCTAAACCTGGTGGTACTGCTTGCTATCCTGAAATGGAACTACTAGGTTACTACATATACTATTCCATAAGAATCTAAGACTGTGATTGCTATTATTTTACTTTTTTTAACAAACCTTCTTCTTCTTGAACCTTAGTACTTTATCCAACATGAACATTCTTATTGCATATTTTCAGAAGATAAATGAAGTAGCACAAAAAATTATGAAACTCTTCATTAGTATTTTTGCTAGTTTGCTAAAATAAATTGGCTGAATTATTAACCTGGTATTTATTTTCTGGTAAAATGAACCCATTTAAATCCTATATATTTATTTTAATAATTTGATATTTTATAAAATATAAAAAATGATAATAATAATTAATTACTATGCAGTTTCTGAAAACATCAGAAAGCATTTTATGATATAATTCAGTATCTAAAATATGCTATAGAGTATTCATTATGATTGTAATCAAAGGAGATTAAATTTGAGGAGAGATCTTCATATGAAGTTTCTGTCCATCACTAAATTATAATTAAGCACTCCCATCTAATTATATTCAAATATTTTATTATAATACTCCATATTTCTAAATATATTTTTGATATTACTTTTAAATTCAGATATATTCTTAATCTGTCTGAAACTTCCTGGTATCACAGAGGGAAATTAAATATCGAATTTGATTAAGCTCTTCATTAACCCATTATGAAGTTGGAAAGAGCCATTTTTATGGAGAGTAAGTATTCCAGATTTTAATTTACATTCATTTGAGAGTAGAACTTTTAGCTAGTTAAACTTATCGTTTCTTCTTCTTTAAATCTATTTTTATTAAAGGATTATCATCAATTTCATTCATTAAATTTTTAATATATTTTTATTTTAAACAATTTAAATTTAATTTAAAATAATTTATTTTAATTTTGAACTATTTTAAAGAAATTTTAATCAACTTATTAATTAATTAAATGAATACCTATTTTTAAATATCAGAAATAACAGGGATAGAAACTTCATTTTAAAAAAGGTTGAAAGGGTAGAAGTCAACTACGTCATTTATGATAACAAAATTTTTTAGTGCATTAACTTAGAAGTTTGTTGTGTCTAAAGCTTATGTATTGTTAATAAAAGATAGAGAATATAATTTCAAATAGCATGTTGTGTCGAATATAAGCATAGCTATCAAAAATTCTCCATAGTTATTTGTTTTGATTATCTAACATTTTTCCATCATGTTTACTTTAATGCTTTCTTCAAAAAATATCTCTGTTACTATTTAAGAATTTGGAATACCAAGAGCTGCTGCAGAAGAAGAGGATGGAAAGAATCCCTAACTTAAATCGTTAAAGTGAGTAAGGCTATAGAAATTATTTGTTAAATTCAGTTTAGTATTTTCCTTTTCGCTTTCCTCAATGTTAGCTCTAATAACATGAATAGCATGCCTTTAATGAATCCTATTGTAACTTACTAGGATAGGTAAATCTTTTGATACATAAACTATTTTTTCATAGCTTTCTAACCAAGGAATTATAGACTCGTCACTTCTCTTCAAAATACCTAATACTTTTAGAGAGTTCAAAGGATGCTTATTTAATGTCACATAAGAATACAATTAATTTTCAGACATACTATTAACTCCTCCTAATTAATTACCCACTCCAAAATTAATGAACTCTTCTTACATAGCAAATTAATTTCTATTTGAAAAACCTCTATTCATCATCATAATATCTTATATTTAAAAAATAATAAATAAATTAATAACGTATTACAATCCAAAAATTTAATTTTAGAAATTTTATTATTTAACTTCTTCTTATTTTTAAATTCATTTAAAATTTGCTTATAAATTATCTATTTCTATAAAATGATTGATATTATTTGCAAATAATTCTGTTAAAAGCTCAGAAAATTTCAATGAAAATCTTTAATTTAAAATATTATTTTCATCTTAATTACAAATATTATTGTAAAAATAAGTTAATTGAGCTAGAAATTTATTCAAGTTTTCATTTGAAATTTTTTAAATGCTTACCATTAAACTTGATTTCTTTTTTAATTTGAAATTAAATTATTAGGCCTTCTGTCATAGGATGGACTGCTTGTACATCTTGCTCTAAAGGAAGATGAAAGGAAGAACCACCTTAAGACATAATCATAATCCCCTTATCTTAAAGTTAGCATGTGCAGTTAAATTCTCTATTTTTATAAATGCTATCCTTTTTTGAAGATGGATCATATTAAACTCTTTTATATTTCAAATCCTCAGATAAATCATTTATTTCTGCAAAAAAGCAACTAATTTTATTATCATCTTTCTATTAAATTTATTTTTTAAATAATTAATTAACTCATCCATGTGCTCTAAATTTTATTTTGCGTAAGTCCTAGACTGGAACATTTTTTTTAAAACTTAAAATAATTACTTCCAATAAATTCTCCTAATTATCTAAGATCACAGTATCTGTCGCAAATGGATTTCTATTCATAAAAGTTTAAATCTTTTCTGGAGAAGTTTAGTGTCCGTGATGCATCTTATTATCTTAAAATCTGTTTGTTATAATTCTGTACCTAAAATTTGCTTGCTTTCAATTATTTATTTGCTTTAATTGTTTAGGGTAGAAATGATATTCCTATTGATAATCAAATTGCAATAATATTTATTTTTATTTTTGAAAGTAATTTAATTTTTCAAAAAATTTGTAAATTTAAAAACTTCTCTTTTATATTCTGATACTATTGATGAGTGAGTGATAATAAACAAAATAAATTATCTATCTATACATCTTTTTACTCTACTTGATTTGTATATAGATTTTAAGATTTAAAGATATATTTAAAATATATAAGCTTTTGTAAGTATCTTAAAAGCCTATTAAATTTATTTTAACATGTCCTAAATAATATTTAATACCTTTTATAGTAAATATCTCATATGAAATTAAAAAATTATTTTTAAATTATTGAATAATCATTTCATTTTTAATTAATTATCTCTAATACCCTACAAAAATAAAAAATTAACACATAACTTGGCAATTAAGAAAAAATTTATTTATTTCACCATAATTTTTATTCTTCTAATTTAAATAAAAAAACAAATATGTTATTTTATTTATTAATATTCTAATTTTTATATTAATTTATTTTATTTTTAAAACTTAAAATTTATATTAATTTTTAAAAATATAAAATAATTCTTTGACAATTATTTTTTTCAAAATAATTTCTATTGATTTATTTTATTTTTATTAAAAAATGATGAATATTATTTATTTAGAGTATTGATATTTATCAAAAAATTAATTTTATTCTAATTAATTCAAAAAAAAAAAAAATTTTTTTGATTTTTTTTTTATTTAAAAACAGTATAATTAATTGTCTTAAATTATTATTTTATCAAAATTAGTAGTATAATAGATATATGAAGGAATTTAATTTATTCATATATTGTTTTAAGATAAATCAAAATACTTTAACTTAAATAGTTAAGTCTAGTTTTAAGGTACTTATATGATAAAATTATAAAAGAATTTAAACAACACACAAAAATTGAAGATATTAAAAAGTTGATGTTTTATAAATAAACAGATAAAATTAGTAAAAATTAATACCTAATTTATAAATGAGCGAAGATTGGAAAAAATTTGTAAAATTAGAAGAAAATATTTTAAAGACAACTGAATAAGAATTAGAAAAATAGGGTTACTAAAAATTATAATTTATAGATTTTATTGATTAAGAATAACACCTCACAGCATATTCTTTAAAACATTAATAACGCGTCATTTTAAGGATTTCATAGAATAGCTAGGAAGAGTATGATAAATTACAAAAGGAATATGTAATAATGCAATAATTAAAATCATATAAAAATATAATATTAGTTTTCGATATGATTGTAATAAAAGATTGTTTTATTTGCATAATTGTTCAAGAATATCCTTAAAAAAACCTATTTGATGAAATGTAAGAACTTAAAAATAAAAATAAATTACATACTGCAGAAGTTATGACTGAAATTATTTTATAAATTTCCCATGCTATTTGTATGATTCACTACAATAAAATTTCCCATCAACACATAAATTCTAAAAATATAATTATCTCGTCAAACGGAACATACAAGCTAAGTAACTTTAAGCACTGTTTTAAAATACCATCTCACTAGTCTGATTTATTTTAAGCTGAAGGCTATATTTATGAAATAAAAGATTAGTAGAAGTAACTTGATAATAAAAATAATCACTAAAATTATCTATTTTATCAAAAAGATATTTAGTGTGCAGGAAGGCTATTCTTAGAAATAATAGGCTGTAATTTAAATAACAATAATGATATTAAATAAATTCAAACCAATATTTATAAATAAAATATAAATGAAATTCAATATCAGAATATTTAATAAATAATAAAAAATAAATTTTTAACATCTGATGTTAATGATGACTTTTAATCATATGATATTATAAATAAAATTTTACCTTGGCTTCCTTTTACATAATCAAATTTATAAAGATTTATACCCATAATTTATGAAGTAGATAATTATGAAACATTTGATAATGGTAAAAATCCACCATTTTTATTGAACATTTAACTATAATATTTAAAAACATTAAGCTTTATATATGAAAAAATAAAGAATATTCCTGTTAAATTAAAGGCAGAAGTATTATCATGTACTGCATCAAAATTAACAGAGATGGGAATGTACGAAAAATCAAATTAGTATAGGTAATAATCTCTTATATTATACAACTAAATTAAATCTTCAAGTTAGAAAGATATTATATTTTAGTATTAACAAATTTGTTATAACTATAAATAATTAAAAGAGTATAAAACTTCTTTAGTTTATGGTAAAAAAGCTTTAAAGTTAGCCAAAAAAATTAATAAATCACAAAGTGATGTTTATGCAAAATCCTTATTAGAACTATCATGGTGTTATAAAGCTTTTGGAAAAGAAAAAAAGGGATTAAAGCTAGCTATAAAGGCAAAAGAAATTTATGAAAAAATATATAAGGATTATTTTGTTAAAGAAATAGGTGATTGTTTATGTACAATTGCTTGTATGAAATCTGGTCTTAAACAGTTTGAAGAATCAATAAATTACTATTAAAAATCAATAGAAGTATTTCAAAAAATATATAATTTCTAAGAGCATCCAGATATATCTGCTTGCTTTGAAAATTTAGGAGTTGCTTATGAAAACTAAGGAGACATACAAATGAGTGTATTATATTATGAAGATTGCTTAAAAATGAACAAATTTTTATTTGGAGATAAAAGTAATATGTTATCTAGCTGTTATAAAAAATTGTGCAGGGTATATAGAAAGTAAAATAGAGAGTAAGAGGCATTAAAAATTGAGAGGGAATTGCAAAAAATAGAACAAAAAATTTGAAAATCAATTATTTATTAGTAAATATATTTTAAAGTTAAAGCAATGTCGTTTGTTCTCACATAATTATAATAATTTCTTGTATAAATTACAAAGCATACTAGTACATTTTATAATGTATAAAAAATAAATTAAAAATGGAATACGTTTGTTTCTGAATATTATTTTTTCTTTTGATAATGAAATAAAAAATAAAAATTTTTTCACATTAATTTTAATGGTACAGAATTAGATCTTAGAAATAACTTGATATAAAATATAAATCAATGGTAAATGAAATCATATTTAGAAAATATTAGTAAAATACTATTAAAAATAGACTGAATGTAAATATGTTTTATAAATAATTTACATATTTAGTTAAAAATTGTTTAAAATTAAATCTTAATTAGTTAATCATTATTAATATATAGTGATCCTTCTTTTTTTTTTGCTCTTTAAACTATAGTACTTGTTGTAAGATTAAATAACTTAAACAATGTTATTGTGCGTCATATAAAATTTAAAATTCTTCACTGACTCTGCAATAAAATCATCAATTTCACATCCTTGTAATTTTAAGGCTTTTTTGGAGTTTATTTTTTGCATCTGATCTAAAACTTTTTTAATCATGTCAATTGCTAAAGAGTTTTTAGAATTATTAGTTAATTATAATCCTTCTTTCAAGTGAATGATGCTTAATTTTTTGCCATCAATCTATTTTTCATCTATTTTTTTTTCGATAGCTAAATTATTCTTACATCTTGTATTTCTCAGTGATACTCTTTTTATGAATTCCTCTCTTTAACTTCTTACTTATAAGTACATCTATGATGACTACTAATTCTATTATGATTATTGTGGCTATTAAATTTAACTCTCATTGAGCTGTTGGTTTTATTGTATCTAAGGTAAAATTTAGCTATTTTAAATAGTTTCAATTACAATTTTTGGAGCATCTAAATTATAGTTACTACTACAATAAACATTGTCTGCATTTTGATTTTGATGATAATTATTCCAATCTAATTCAGATCTTGCCTTATTTATTTCTTTTTGTTTTTCTGAATTTATATCATTATGCTTGTCATGCTGATCTACTTCAAAAAAAGTTACTTTTTAGTTTTTATCAATATCAGATTTCTATTAATTGTAAATCAGTCTTTATGAATTACTATAATTGTATTGGATTTAATTTTATGTGTCTTAACTTTAATTTACAGAATCAGCTATATCACTTTCATGTTGATTGAAGTTAATTTCTCTAAAATATTTGCAATCTTCTTCTATATCATATTAAAAGGCTAATGCATTTAAACTAAATCTTTAACAAGACCTTTCAATCTACTTCTTTGCTTGGTCGTAAACTTTGAGATATTAATTTACCACTCTCTACTTATTTGGTTTATAAAAGAAAATAGGACAATCACTAATTACATGGTCACTACTTTTACAAGAATAGCAAAAAATTCCACTACTTGAATAGTCTTGATAATTATTTAACTTATCTTTTAATTCTTAATATATTTCTTTATCATTAACATAATGCTTAATTGTTTCTTGAAAATCATTTAGGTATAAAATATGTACAGTGGTTATGTTTAAACTTTTCACATTCAGAGAAGTTTCATGAGATTACGAAAAGAATTCAGCTTATCCAAACGTACTTTTTTCATTTAACTAAAAGAATGACTACTATTAAGTTAAATTATTAAAATCTTAACATATTTTATTCCCTTGCTCAATAGTGACTTCCACTTTGCCTTTAAAAATATAGTATAAAGCAGGAGTAGAAAATTATCCTTTCTTTAAAATCATTTCATCAGGCCCTATAAAAAAAATTAAATTAATAATATGACTTTTATTATTATAAAATACTAACATTAATTTACAAAATATTTTCTTTACTAAAAATTATTAAAAATTTTTTTAAATCTAAAAAATATTTTTGTTAAATTTGAATTGTAAAAAAAATTTATTTTAATAGTAGCAGGGTTATTTTCAATTTAAATTTGATAGAAAATTAATTTTTCCCAATTAAAAAAATGAAGTATTTACATATATCAAAATTGATGAAAAAAATTAATATTTTAATGTTACTTTAATAACTTAAATAATAATTTAATTAGTTAAATATATTTACCATAAATTGTCTCCTTCATTTTAGATGCTAGAGCTTTTTATATTTAAGGACTGAATTTTTAAAATATTTGTATGTTTCCTAAGGATCTAGAGAATATCTCTTCACAAATTTCTTCTCTTAAGAATTTACTTAGAGAGTTTAAAGTTTAATTAGGCACTTCTCCTCTTTTAAAATCTTATTTATGGACATACTCTAAATATTTTCTAGCCATCTGTTGTAAATTAGGATTTACGTCTCTAGTAAACATGTATTTATTTAATTCAGTTAAATTAACCAAAAACCTTTCTTTCTTTTTGTTATAATCTCTGTAAACATCCTGTATATTACTTATTATATAAGCAAAAACACCACATGATAGTAAGGTCATAGTTGATATAAAGATTTTTTCAATATCGCTTTTCGGATTTATGTCTCCATATCCAATAGTACCTACTGTCACTATTGCAAAATAAACTGACTGGACATATCTAGAACCTATGACTAGATTATTAATTCCATACGAATCAATCCAATTAGGAAACATATTCTAATTTAGCTAAAATTAACCAATACCATACCAAGTGCAAGCAAATATATGACAAAGAAAAATAATCTCAAAAAGAAGTGTAACCAAGTGAATTAAAAAGTAATATTTATCTGATAATTAGAGAGACTCTATAAGATTTTATACAGTTTCATAAAATTAAAAAAATTTGATCAAAAATAAAATTCTCAGTAAAGCTATGCCAAAAGGATTATAATAAAGACATATGAAAGCTAAAAACTCAATTATTAAATGCTTGTTTGTGAAGTTGATCAGAATATTAATTCTATTCTTTTATAAAATTCCATTTTCATAATAAGCTGTATTTAAGACCATAAAAAAATTGATAAAAAAAATAATCATGCTAACTATCTTTAAATTTTCGTCAAATGTATCGCCATTGAGGAATGCTATCTCAAAAGGAATAATAAAGCTATTTATTTAGATGAATAATATAGAGATTAAATCCCAAATTAAAGATATTTTATAGAATGGAAGAATCACTGGTATAGGATGAAGTAACTTTATTATGAAGCTCTTTAACTTTTATAAACACTAATTTATAGGTATGATACACTTTTTCATTTTTTTCCTAAAAATTAAGTATTAAATTCTCATTTTTCTAAAAATCCACCTCGACCTTGGAAATATTTTTTCTTATTTAGCTTAATCTTCTTTTTTACTCTTATAACTTGAAGCTTTTTGATATAAAAATTAATTAATTATTAATTTATATATACTTTTTATTTGAGTGAGTTATTGAGTTTATCATTTTTTTATATTTATTTAATAACAATAATTAATTATTTACCTATATCGTTTATTGCTTGAAGTTAGTTTTGTTTTAGCATCTAGGGTTTAAAAAAGATTAACTTCTTTTTGCTTTTAAATATAAAACGATTTACAAATATCAAAATAATAAAAAACCCTTAGAGCCACACCTCGTGAGAAGTTCTTTTATTTCTAATCTTTAACTCACTCTTTCTTTCTTAGTCTTTATCTTCTTCTTAATTTTAACTGCCAAATTTTTGTCTATAGCTCTGTTTTTTTTTTAAAGTTTAATTATTTTAAAACTATGACATTTTAGCAGAATTCTTGAAGGTAGGTTTTCTCATTCCACTAAACTAAGAATTCAAACTAAGAATGTCTTAATTTTCTGTTTAAAAGCTTTAATTCATTTATTGTCTCTGTATAAAATGAGTTTAATCTTGAACTGTATAAGTATTAGTAAAAGTTTCAGGAGTACCTTCTTGTATTTATTCAATAATTCTACTTTCATCTAAGCTTTAGTCTAGCTTTTTATCTAAGCAACTTTCATACTGAATGTTAGATAATTCTAATTTAGACGATGAATAAACTTTGGAAGGTATAATATCTAAAAGCCATTATTATCTCTTTTTTTCTCCTAATCTCAAATCATCTTATTTTTTCATTAAATTACCATCTTTTTCCTTATCGTTATCAATAATGTGGTCATACTCTTTATTTGCCTTATTAATAGAGCTGATTCCATATAGAATACTATTGTCATAATTTTAAATACATCTTCCTACTTAAATTTTTTAAGATTTTTAAATTCTGTTCTATGTAGACTCACCATATTATTCATCGTAAAAAGAAAAAGACATTTAACTTTAATAATTATAAAAAATTACTTATTTATTATGCTTTTTATTAATTGATAAAATAATTGATAGTTATTTTTTCAATTTTTTGATTAACTTAAAAAATTATTGATGGAAATTACAATATTAAAATAACTATTCTGATTCCACTTCCTTTTATTTGTTTAACAAAGATTATAAAAACTGATTCTAATAATACGTATTTGTAATTAATATTAACAAAAACAAACATTTATAACAAAGCACTAAATAAGTAGACTTATTATCTTTTTTCTAATATTACTCTTTTTTTTATTTTTAAAAAACTTCAAAAATAATATATAATTCTAGCTAGGGTTGGAAAATAAAATGAATTTTAATAATATATTATTTTTTAAATATTTAATATTTTTTTTATTTTTAATTAAAATTTTTCTTGAATTTCTATCCCCAAATATCTATTTACTATCTATTAGTTATCAATAAATTAAAAAAATTTTTAAATAGAATAAAATAAAATAACATTTATAGCCAAATCTTACTATTAAATATAAAGATAAGTATTAAATACTATTTTTTATAATTTCATTTTGCATATTTCTATAAGAATTAAGATTTATATTAATTGTATAAAATATCTACATCTCCCAACTTTTTCAGTTCCTCTGATAATAATTGACTATTCATTTCATTTAGATTGTCTTCACAGTAAAAAAATGATATTATATCATTAGCTGATTTATTAAAAATACTAGCAACCGTAATTACTTAAGCTTTAATAGTAGTAGCAGGTGACCACTCAATATTTAAAGTTTAAAGAATTTGATTATTTTATCCACATAAAATAGAATTAATACCGTTTTCAAATTGAATTAACGGAGAAGATTTGTAAGGGTAGCCACTCTCTAATTCTATATTGATGGTCATATATTTATTTTCGAATTCAGATAATTCATTTCCAAAAATTAAAATTTATAAATTACATTCTTTTAATGAAGTTACTATACAACCATTTTAATAATAATATTCTAGATCAATCAGATTGTCAAAAATTTTATATTCACTGATTATTCTACTACGATTTATATTTTTGGAACTATTTTGAATTTCACTGATTACATTTTTATTGAGTTGAATATTAGATTGAATGAACATACAAATTTCTTAAATATTTAACTTTTCCTCAAGTTGAAATTTAAAAAGCCAAAATAAATCTATTGATGATGATCTTTTTTAATAATCTTAGCATATCATATATTAGGTTATAATGCTAACTAAATCTTAATGCTTTAAACAATTTGTTATTTAGTAATTTGAATTACTTAATTAAAGAGCAACTTCCTTATCGATTTAGAGTCCAAGTATTTCTAAAAAAAATAATCCTAAGGTGTAAATATCAGAGGAAGATTTATACAGACTATTTTGCAATATTTCAGGTGGTAAATACATTAAGAATTCATCATCAAACATGTTTTAAATTAAATGTTTAATTTTGTCTATGGACTTAAAATTAAATTAATTTAGAAATACTTATCCATTTCTTTTAAAAAAGATAGAGTCTTTATTAATTCCTAAATAATAATCATCATCCTTTTACATACTTATAACAACATAGAGTATCCTTGTAAATATTTCAATTAAGCTTTTTTTATCTAAGTCTTTAAATTTGTAATGAATATTTTAGTCATTAAGAGTATATTTTGCAGAAGGAATATGAATTATTTCATATTTTTAAGTTCTTTATTAAGAAATATAACAACTTTGACAAGAGGATTTTACTATTTTATCAATCATATCAGCACTAATGTTTTTATTGTTGGTTATTAATGTCTACCTATTCTAACATTATTCTGCCTCTCTAGTTTCAATAGCTACAAAGTCATTATAGATTCCCAAGAATTTCAAAGGCTTTATTCCAATTTCTGTAAGGGTTGTAATTATTTCTTTAAGTTCATAATCTTTAATTAGATTATTTTACGCTATTTCATCTAAATTTCCTAACATTTTTATTATTTTTTTATTTATTTAATTTTTGATTTTAATTTAATATTTCTTGATTTATAGTTCCTTTTGGATATAAAAAAAGAATAAATCTTCAACCATAAAATTTTTAAAACAATCCCAATACCAATAATAAATTAAACTATGAAACAATTTAAACAAAAATTAGGTGAAGCAAATACAAATCCCTTAAAAATTATTGAACAAATAGGAATATCTTAAAATAAATGACCATATTATTTTTTTTATGTGTTTTTTAGCTTCATTTTATGAGAATTAATAAAAAAAAAACAATCAAGCAAATACACTATTTGTATTTTCAGGTTCTAAAAATAACAATTAAAAAAAAAATTTTTATGATCAGATGATTTTTGTTTGTGAGGAGAAAAATTATCAAAAAATATCTTGGTTTTTCTATTTTATTTATCGAATGTATTATTTTTGAATACAGAAAATTAAGAGATGTTTAAAAAAATTCTTAGCACTGTTATAAAAGAGAAAACTTAATCATCAGCAACTGAAAGTTTAGAGCAAAGGTTGAATGAAATACCAAATGTTTCAGGTAAATAGGAAATATAAGTAAGCAATAACAAACTTTTGAAAGATGAAAATTCTTTCTAAGCTAGAGAGTTTAAATTAGAAGACAATTAATTTAGTTCATAAGTTGAAAATTTAGAAGTGCATAAAGTGGATGGAATAAATACTGTATATTATTTGAAAGATTTTATAACATTAAGAGATGAATAGTCAATCAATGATGAAATATATGATTTGCCTACTAATTCTTGGGTAGATTTGACATATTCTAACAGGAGACTTCAAAAGTGGGGAGGAGACGTTACTTAAAAGGGATTAGAAAATTAGAAAAGCTTACCTACTTTTCTTGAAGCGCTATCAGCAAAATTATATCAAAGCAAGATATCACCAAAAAAACCAAATCATGTCTTATTGAATGAGTATTAAAAGGGAGTTGGGATTATGCCTCATACAGATGGACCACTTTACTTCCCATGGGTGAACTCAATAAGCTTGGGATCAGACTGTATTTTTAAATTTTACAAAGACATGCAAAGCTACAGGGATGGAGTAGAATAAGCCAGAGTATTGTTAGAAAAAAGAAGCTTAGTTATATTCACAGATGAAGCATACAAGGAGTATTTGCATACAATAGATGATTTAACATCAGATATTGTATTATTATAAATAGACTAAGATGAAAGTTCAAATGATTTAATTAAGGTAGTTAAATCTAATGTTTTGAATTTCTCTTTAACTAATCTAAAAAAGTAGATAGAATCTTTAACTCTAGAATAGGCACTCAAAGAGGATATTCTTTTTAAAGTTAGAGATAATCCAGATTTTAATTATTGCATAGAAATAAAAAGAGATAAAAGAATATCGCTGACCATAAGATATGTGCCAGAATGTTAAATTGCCCCATAAAATTGAGCTATTCACTTTATTTAAAAATAAGTATGTTCTATATATAATTTATGTAAAAGCAATTCATTTCAATTCATAATCTTAAATTTTTTACCCATTAAAATTCATTCTTTATTCTACCAAAAAGATACATATTATTAAATATATTGTATGGAATAAATAATCGTTTATTTATTAAACAGTGTTTAGCATTTTGCTTAAAATGAATGAGTTTATGAGCACTTTTTTGCATAGCAATTAAAAAAGGATTATTTTTGATTAGTAAATTAATTAGCTACTAAAAATTTCGATTCAGGAAAATATACTAACTAGTTAATTAATTAATTTATATTAAAAGTTAGTTATTAATTTTTTAAGAAGTATATAGTTATAGACTACTAGCTTATTGGAAAGATGAATAAGATAAAGGATTAGGATTTACAAAATTTCGTTTTCACTAAGCATTATTTTTTGCATGTAAACAAATACATTTTTACTTTTTTAAACTTTTCTAATGAGAATGAGTTTATTTTCAAATATATTTTAAATGGATTCTCTAATTTTTTGATATATTTAGATCGATAGATAGAAGTAAAATGATGTATAAATAATATTTCTATAAATGAATTTAAATATAAATATCTAAATTTTTTTCAATTAAATAAAATACATTTTAAATGTCTTTATTATATGAAGAAAGATGAAGCTAAATTGAAAGACTACTTAGAGAGAGTTAAAAACATAAAAAGCGAAGAAGATGCTATCAATTTCTTTAAGTATAATACAACAAAAAAGAATTTTCATCATTAGAACTAAAGACCAATTGATAAAATAGAGTTTATCAGCATGTTCGAATTGTATGATAAGATTATAAATAGCTTAGTTAAGTAATTAGAGAAATGCTAAGAATAGGAAGATAATACAATTTAATGTGCAGAAATCGAAAAAAAGATAGCAGATATACTTAATCACTACCAATGGTTATTGCTAACAGGAAAGAATAGATGGTCTGAAGAGAAGCTAAAAGATTTTATAGATTTATAATGCTCATATTTAGTCAATTTATTTGCTCTTTCATTCAACCCAGCTGTTTACTTTTAAATTTACAAAGCAATACCCATTAACGATTACGAATTAGAAGATAGAAATCAAATATTAGCATTCTTAAGTCATTATGATAAGAACATAGATACTATGAAGCAAAATTTGCATGATTATTTCATTAATTGCTTGAATATTGATTATCCTGTCCATGATAACTAAAAACTGTATGATGAGAAAGTTGAATTGTTTCTCCAAATAACTGAAAATGAATATATTTAAAAACATTCTTCCTACTCTATTATTAGAAAAATTACTTAAGAAATACTAAAGCCCAATAAAAACGAGTCAAGCTCTTAGAAAATGCAAACAAATTTAATATGTTGTCTAATTCACTACATCAAGTTATCTCTAAGTAGTGAATTTATTAATTCTCCTTTTCACTCAATTATGTAGTGCATGTCTCTCCTAACTCAAAGTAATAAGCACACAAATATTTTTTTTTTTCATTTTATTTTAAGCTTAAAAAGGCTTTATAATTATTTTAAAGAATGAATTAAATTAGGATAACTAATTTTTAATTATATTTTTTAATCAAAAGTTTACTACGACGATAAGAAAAAATATAAGAATAAATATAAAAGTTTAGAGTTTTTAAAAATAAAAGGCGAAGGTGCTAAGGAATTATTTGAAGAGATAAGCTAATATATTGAAAAATACAAAGATACCGAGCATGTGTAGTACATATTAGATTTTTTAGCAAATTTAGAGTATCCAAAGTTATTTTGCAGCGATGTATTGGCACCTATTTATGAAAAAAGCTCTTTGTTTTATAAGTATGAGTTATTTTTTTGCAATGTACTTGAAGATATTTATGAACACTGTAATTAAGATACCCAATTGAAATATCCAATTTCTAAAGTAGTTTTAAGCAACACAATGAATCTTAAAGATTTTATAGAAATATCTCTATAAAATGTAGAGTCCCTGAGATATTTAATGAAAACATTTTAAAATATGACTTAAATATAATAACAAACTTCAAATATCTAAAGATAAAATTTAATAGATTTACATCAAAAGTTGCTAAATCTTCATAAATAAATATATATGAGCTTTGCTAGAAGTGAATGGATTTTTGATGTAGCTATATTAGAAATTTATCTAGCTTTTTCAGGCTAAGTCTTCCCAGAATTTTACAGATTTGATATGCAATCTGAACTTTAGATTAAATGTGTAGAATTAATTGTTAAATATGTGAGAAAAAACACTATGCTCCACTGCAAGTAAAATTTTGATCCAAATTAAAATAGCATTAAATTAATATTTCTTAAAAATAAACTAGATATAAAAATAATAGAAGAGAAGTATCTGTAGATGAATTCTTTTTTATGATCAAAGTATACTTAAAATTAATAGAGGAGAACATATCTTCAGAAAACTATGAAGAATACTTGAATAATCTATTTTTTAACATAGAAGATCTTGTTTAGTATTGTGCTGAAAAAAGAAATGAAGAAGGAGAAAACACAGTGAGCTGCTTATTGTTAAATCTTTGCTTCAAGTCTTCAAACATAGAGCAAATGGAAAATTATTTTAATTGGAAAGTTGAAAATAAAGTTGCAAAGTTTGAATAATGTATTGACTTGTTTTTAAAGTAGGGAATTCAAGTATATCCTTATTTTGATAACTTCATAACTTGCTTTACAGAAAAAATTCTCAATTAAAATGAAAACTTAAGAGGAATTTACACAAGAATGATTGTAAAATATAATTTTTGTAGATTATTTGATAATAGCAACTCTCAAGTTTAACTTAAACTGAAAAAAGAAGGATACGATATCTCTATCATTGAATTAAAAAATCAAATAGAATTTTAAATAAAAAATGCTATTTAAGAAAAGAATATGCTCAAAAAGTATTTTAGAGAGTTAAATTTAAAGGAGATTGTGGATTAAGAATATTCTTTCTTGTATAAGAGAATTATTTTTTGGAATAATTTGAAGTACGAAAAAATGATGGTCAATACAAAAGGTCTTTTAACATCAATAAGCAATTATGCAAGTGAAGAAGAAAATACTCACCACCACCTCTTTAAAATTTATTATGAATACTCTCTTCAATTTGTCCAATTCATCACATGCTTTACTAAAAAAAATCTCATCGGAAATCACTTTAGTGGAATTAATCTGAACTAGAAATAGATCGTTTAAACATTTAATATTTAGTAAAATATCATAAATCTATTCTAAGATAAAAAAGATATAATTGACAGAGTTGGTAAGTATTTATTAAGAGTAAATTCTAAAGAAAAATTTATAGATTAATTATGTAGTGATGAAGAAGAAAAAATTCATAATATTAGTTAGCAAACCATTGTATATTTAAACTACATAGCTCACTCACCTAGAAATCTAAAGTTAGACTCTCAAGTATTCACTCTGTTAATTGACATAATAATTAGTGTTTTTTATGAATTTTCAAATAACAACTTTAATTTGATTGAAGATAGCAAATAACAAGAAAGTCAACTCCTTAAAAAGATAGATTAAGTTTATATTAAAAATATTAACATCTTCAACAAATTTGGACAATCATTCAATCAATTACAAAAGGAAATTAACACTCACTATTTAAATAGCATAAAAAATAATGAATTAAATGACACTGATAAGTCTTTAAATTAAAATGAAAGTCCTCTAGTTAGAGAAAAATTTTTTGATTTAATATAATTTTCTCTGAGCATGTTAAACAATGTTTCTGAAAAACCTGAGAATATTATTAAATTTAGTGTTTTATTAGACAAAATACTTTAAATCACTTCACTCACTTATAAAAAAACTGGAAAAGTAGGTTCAAACTTAAATGAAAGATATATTCTTATGTGCTAGTGTTTATCAAGAACATAAAACGATAAAATTATTTAGCAATATTTTGAAAAAATTTTACCTTCATTTTAAGAATTAGTTTCAAAGTGTGCTGATGTTAGCTAATAGGATCATAATAAAAAGCATTTGAGTTATGTTAAGCTGTATTAATAAAAATACACTAACATATTTTCTGATTAGATCATATTGAATGAGTTTATGAACAATGATGATATTTAAATTGATAAAATAAATTTATAGTTAGGTGAAATATCTTAATTAGAAAATAAAATTATCAAAGTAATTGATGAGAAATCTGAAAAAATATGCAGTAAATTCGACTACTTGGAATAAATACTTAAATTAGAGGTTATTGAAAAAGAATAATTTGCATAAAAAATGCAAGAATAATTGATAGAGAAGCTAGAAGATTTAATAAAAGAAAACTAGTATGAAATAAACTAACTTGCATCTCTCTTGAAATCCATCAGTTTATAAGCTCATCCCAATTCTATTCAAAACAGAAAATAAAATAATGAGCTAATCTTAGCTATAGTTTCTTCTTTGTAACATATAATAGAACCTTATGAATTTGATGAGCAAAATATAGATTAAGAATGTTCAAAAGAATAATCTTCTTAACTGAAATTTGAACTATTGCTGCTATATTTTATTGACCAAGTTTAATATAAGTTTGATGAGAAAACAGAAGAAAGTCTTGTCGAATAAATTCTTTAAAAGTTACTCCTTAGTGTAAATAAGAATATACCATTAAATATATATAAGCTATATTTTAGCAACTCTATTTTAATGAAAAGATTGCAAGCATTTAGTAAAAACTAGTTCAAATATTCTAAAAGAGGTATAGCCTTATATAATCATTTATGCAAATTAGTAAATGAATCAAATGATAAATCTTAACAATCTGAAGATAAAAATATTGATGTTAAGCCTGCTTTTGTTGCATCATATTTACAGCTTTTAACTTAGTTTATTGATTTACATAATTCTGGAGATATTCTTTACATCATTTCTTAATTGCTAAGCTAGTGCTAATAACACAATAACCTATATGATTCAATATTTTATATTTTATGCAATATTCTTAAAACTAATGAGCAATTCTATTCTGATTCAATTCTTTGTAAGATAGCTATTATAGATAAAATTAATTACATTAATAATCTTCAGCAATCAAATAATAACATGGACGATTTCATTTTGGAAAATGATAGCAGGTACATAAAAGAATAATCTCCAGGTAATTTTTTTATTCTTCAAAAATAAAATTATTTTGGTTTAAATTAAGTTTGACTTTTCTTTTTAAGCATTAAATTCATGTTGAAAATAAAATTTTTACTTTTTTTTATATTAATTTTCTTTGAATTTACAAAAATAATTAAAAATTTTTTTATATTTAGTTGAAAATATCATTTCTTACAAAGTATTTTTGGAAAAGTACTCAGTCTACTTCTTTGCTCCTAGCTATTATTAAGAAGCTGTTAATACTCAGCAAATAAGAGAATTGATTTAAAAAGAAAGAAAATTTTCAGAATTAAAGAATTTAATATAAGAGATAAAGAATAAAAAGTATTTTGAATAAAATGAATTAAGCATACAAATAATGAAAATAATTATTGATAATGAAAAAACTAATATTAGATTATTACATATATTAGTGAATCTCTTCCCTTAGGTCATTTTTATATTTAAGGATAATTTGACAGAAATTATTAGCTAAGCATTAAATGTAGAATATAACATCAATTCTGCAAGCAATTTTATTTAGAATGTGTTTGAAATAGTTTCTATTGATCAAGAGTTTTTAGAGCAATACAAGTCTTGTTTAATTCAAAAATTAAAGGAAATGATTGAGTAAGAAATTTCACAAGCAAAATTAATTGAAGTTGCATAACTAATTTTCCCTATGGAAAAGAAATATTAAAGACTGCTTATTAATTATTTGGCATAACAAATTAAGTTTGAAGCAGATAATTCCAAGAATTATTCTTTGACTAATTCTTAAAGATGGAATTTAGACTATTTTAATAATTTAGTTTATCAAAAATAATTAACTAAAGCAAGTAATACGCAAGAAGAACCTAATAAATTTATATCTTAAAATTTGAGTAAGCACATAGGTAGTTTGCTACAAAATAAAGAAGCTTATTCTTCATTTTTCAAAGAATACTAAGCTCTTATGAACTCGCTAGGATAAGATAAAGAAAGGATATTTGATTACAAGAATGTAGTTATTTAAAGAGATTTTGGAATGCTTGAAAATTTAATTGAGTCTGCTTGTTCAACATTTACTTAATACCATTAATAAGTCAACAGTAATAGTTAATAGAATCAATAATAAAAGTAGTCACCTTAGAAAGAGGTTCCTTAAATTGTTAAATAAGAGATAAATAATTAAAAAACTAAGATAGAAGAATCTAAATCTAAAGTTGAAGTTTAAAAAAAGACTCCAGAATCATCAAAATCTAAAGAAGAGAAAAAGGAACAAAGTGAAGATGAATGGGAAAGCGAAGAAGGTGATGACAGTGATGAGGATAGCCAAGAAAAAAATAGATTTAAAAATGATAAAATTAAAGAAGAAACAAAATCTCAATAAGATAAAGATGATAATAAAAATGATGAAGATGAATGGGAAGATGATGAAAACGATAACGAAAGTGAAAATAGTGTTGAATAAGATGATCAATTTTAATAAAATAAAAAAAAAGAATCACCAAAATAAAAAGATGAAGATGATGAGGATTCTAGTGACTATGACCATGAAGGAGAAAAGAAATAAAGTGGAAAAAAGATAAAAGAAAATAACTAAAAATTGGAAAATTAAACAGTAAATGATAATAGCATCAAGCCAAGTGAATCTAACCAGAAAGATTTATCAAAAATCAAAGACGGTTTAATAAATTAAATTATGGAAAAAATAACAAATATTACAGAAGAAAATTTTGGATAGTAAAGTGGTAAAAAGCTTAAAGATATAGAAGAAATATAAAATTAAGAGGAGGAAGAAAATAATAATTACTAAGATGATGAAGAAGGTAAAATAGATGATTTTGCCATTGATGGCTATAGAGATAACGAAGCTAGAGATTAGGATGGTGAAGAAGAGTATAAAATGTAAAACGTTATATCTTTTTCATTATCTGAAAATGACTAATAAGAGGATGAAGAGGAAGAAGAAGACGAAGAAAAGATTAAAACAGAAAATGAATTCTGGAATAAATATCTTGTCTTAAAGGAGAGATGGAATGTTGCTAAATATTATAATATTGATAAAAAAGAGTAAGAAGCAATGAAATAGTAGATATTTGAGTTTTTGAGAGATTTAAGACGCCAGAAGGAAAAGATAGCCATTTTTGTTGATATCGTCAAATAGCTTGATGAAGATGATTTAAAAAGATATCTCCATACCAAGTTTCCTAAATTTATTTCATTGAAAGGTGTAAGTACAAAGAAAAATAAGAAGAATAAAAAATAAAATTAAAAAGACGAAAAAAATAAGAACCAACTTTCGCAAGTTGGAAACGCCTTTGAGGACTTTACTTCAGATAAAATTTAAGACGAAGAAAAAAAAAATGATAATAATAATAATAATGAAGACGATGAATATGAAGAACTAGACGAAGATGAAGAAAGTAACTTAGAAGATGGGGGTGACGAAGAAGAAGAGGAAGAAGATGAAGATGAAAGAAATTTACTGCACATTAGTAGCTCTGAAGAAGACATGAGTGAGGAAGAGAATGAATTTGATGAAGATGAAGATGAGTATGATGAAGATGAAGAAAATAGCTACTACAATCAATATGGAAACGGATCAGGATATCATTCTGAGAGCAGTCACTCTTAATAGGATAGCCACTTGGACGATGAAGATGACGATCACCATGATGAAAACTCTGATAAAAAGTAAAATAAATAAATTACATTTAATTAGCATTTAATAAATATTCATTAAAAATATAGCAAAAGCCTAAATGATAGACAATGGAGTCCTGTCATTTCATCACCTAATCAAGAAAATTTAATTAAATTATATATGGAAAATCTTGTTTATTATGATGAAAAAGCTATTGAAAATATCATTTAATCCTTCTATTTTGGTTCATTTAGTCAAATTATAAGTAATGAGTTATTGAATCCTGTTCATGGACCACAGTTAATGGATGCTTTATTCTTCTTGCTGGTAAATCCTTAGTTGGACAAATATGAAGAGCTTAAAAATGATAAAGATTTAGAGTTTTTTGCTAAGTTAGGAGAAAAGCAACTATTTTTGAAAAATTATTTATTATTATATGACAATTCTATGTCATTTTTTAGAAATACATTTTGTACTAACTAATAAAACGAATTGTTGGCATACTTTACATTAGATGCAAGTCATTGGTAGTACCTTCCTTAACTATCTGTAATTAAAAAACTCAAAAAAATAACAAATTATTAACAAATGAGCGGCTTGTAAACTTTGATCATGCTCTTTGGAGATAAATTTAAATATGTAGATATTTATGAAAATAAGAAGCAAATTTAAGTCTTAAATTAAATATCTAAATTTATAAAATCAACCCACATAGATTTAGGAAAATCAGTTTAAGACACTCCAAGTCAATCTCAAATCACTATTTATAGCCCTGTTATCAGATAAAGTAATTAATTAATATTATTTATTAAATCACTTTTTAAATATTAAACTTTGTATAAATATTTTTAGTTGATATAGACAATATATTGCACTACTATTATTTTGAAAATCTCCATTTCAACACAAAAAGCTTTTTGTATTCTTTCCTCAAAAAAGGACTTAACAGCCACTCTAAATATACTATTACAATTCTAGAATAATTCATAGAAAGCTAGTCTAAATTTTTAATTCAAGATGTAATAGATTTAATGAATAAAGGTATTAGTGATGTTCAAAGAATACTTCAACAGTAAGACCCTAACTCTAAAAAGTTTGCTTTAAGTCATCTTTATGAAATTTTTTCAGATACAGAATTCAATCCAATTTACGAAGTAAATTTAAAACAGATTAAGAAAATATTTTTAATACATATTTTTTACATTTATAGAGTTTTAAGAGTTTTGCAGCCAATTTAAGAACTTTAATGCGTTTATACTTCAAACGAGTTAAAAAAATTGAAAAAAGCGACTAAAAAGCAGAAATGATCAAGCTTCAAGAAGTTTTAAATAATCAAAATTTAATGAAATTATTTACTCATATCCTCAGATAATTATAATATTTACATTCAAATATAATTGGAATTAAACAATCTGGGTCAACATCGGTTTTAGATAATGACGAAAATGGAGAATTATAATAAATTTTCTAGTCTTTTATTCCAATTGTTAAGCTTATGTATATGTTACATCCTTATTACGACATTGATACATTAGTAGCCCTACAATTATCAGATGTTGAGCAATCTGATTCTTTACCTGAGCTAGCAAGAATTAGTTCAAAGCAGCAATCTTCTGCCAAGTTTGAAGCTATCAAGTATATTTTTAAATTTAAATTAAATATTATTTTTATTGATGAAAACACATCCTTTTTTTTGTTTTTTTATATAATTTTTATTAATATTGATTATTTATTTTTAATTAGTTAAAACAAATTGATTGAAATTGTAAATGAAGAAGAAGATAAAATTTTGAAAGTAGATGAATTTAAGAGAATTTTGGAATAAGGATTTTGCTAAATTATAAAGCTTTTTGTTGGTATGGACAATTAGTTATTCCAAAAATATATAAGAGTAGTTTCTAAAGATCCTTAAAATCTTAGATCTTTAGATTTAGATACAAGATTATATGCAATTCATTAAAAGGCTGTTAAAAGGGCTTAAAAAGAATAAGATTGTACTATGGAAATTATAACACTAAAGGTAGATAGAAAGTGTGTCTTCGAAGATACCTTTAAAACTATTATGAGATAAAAGCCCCACTAGCTTATTTAAAAGTAATTTGAGGTGAAGTTCCGTAAAGAAGATGGCATAGATCAAAGTGGGTTAACAAGGGAATGGTATTCTTGTATTTCTAAGGAGCTTTTTGACCCTCGCAAAGGTCTTTTTAGAGTTTCTTCTAACAAATATATTGTTTACCCATCAACTACTTCATACTTAGTTCCGGATCATATAACTTTATTCAAATTCTCAGGTCAAATAATTGCAAAAGTAAAATTCAAATAAATAAATTAATAAAAAATAATCACATTTTTAAATTTTTTATTTAACTAGAGCGTCTTAGAAGGTTATTTGGTTGGAGTAGATTTCCCTAAATTTATTTTAAAGCATTTAACTGGATAGCCATTAAAAATAAGTGATTTAGATGATATTGAGCCAGAATTAACTAAGAATCTCCTTTGGATATTAGAAAACCCTGTTGAAGATTTATGTCTAACATTTATGTAAAATTTATTTTTTCACAAAATGTTACTTAATTAAATAATTAAATCTTATTAATAGATATGAATTCGAAGAGATAGGCAACAAAAAAACAATTGAATTAATTAATGGTGGTAAAAATATTGATGTTACTGATTAAAATAAGAAAGATTATGTAGATAAATTGATTAATTATGTAATGATCTAATAAATTTAGCCTCAAATTCAATCTTTCTTGGAAGGATTTTTCAGTATATTCCCTAAATCTGAATTGTACCTAGTTGATTGGATGGAACTTGGCACTAAGATTGCAGGAGCATAAGAAATTGATTGTAATTTTTTTTAAAGATAGAATATAGATTAAATGAATAAATATTTTAGTTAAGGAATTAAGAGCAAATACAACTTATTAAGGAGGATACAGTGAAATTAGTACATTGATTTAATGGTTTTGGGAAATTCTTATGACATTTGATGATAAAATGAAAAGAAAATTCTTATTCTTTTTATCTGGCTCATATAAAATTCCTTTGGGTGGATATAAAGATATGGGTTTCACAATTAGTAAAATTTTCGATACTCAAAACTTGCCTGTGGCTCATACATGGTAATATTTATTATTCATCTTAAAATTTAAATTTATTTAAATTAAAAAACTAAAAGCTTCAATCAGCTCGATTTACCTCAATATGAAGATAAAGAAATTTTGCAAAAGAAGCTTTTCTAAGCAATTTTAGATGGAAATGAAAGCTTTGGTATTGCTTGATGATTGAAATTGAACAGCTTAATTAAATTAAGTGGAATATTTAAACAAGTTAACAAAAAAAACAAACACTTTTTCAATAAATTTCATTTTAATATTTTTTTGAAATCTTTGTATTATTTATTCATATTTAAAAATTTTAATTAAATATTTGAAAAAATAAAATTTTAATAAAATATTATTGATTTATTTTATTAATTGTAATTAAATGCTCTTAATTCTTGTATAACTTTCTTTATTATTTATTTTTAAGTTTTTTTATATTTATTTATATTTAAAAATAAATTTTAACTTATATAATGAAAAAATAAAATATTAATTTATTGAATACTATTGAAAAATAAACCCTAAATATATGAATAAACTTTTTTTTATAAACTTTTTATTTATTTTGTAAAATTATTATATAAATTCATGTAAAAAAACTTTATCTTTTTAACATCTATTTTTTTATAATTTATTATTAATTCTTTTTATCATTTATAAATTAAATAAATTTTTTAATAGAGATATGAAAAAATAAAATATTAACTTTTGGAAGTTTTATTTTTAATAGTAATGTTTTTTTTTATTTTATTTTTCTATTAAAAATTTCAAGTATCCCATTTATTTTCAGCAATCCTTATATAAATATATAAATGAATTTTTTCATTATTTTAATTCATTATTAACTAATTTAATTTAAAAATATTAAAGTATTCTAAATTAATGTAAGTAAGTAACATAACCTACCTTATTTTTTAGATTTGTTTTTTAAATTTATATAATAAATTAAATAATTATGTTTTTAAGAAATAAGCTATTTGAGTATAATTCTTACAATGAAATGTAGATTAATATATTTTACAATTAAATTAAGCTAATTATTACAATAATTATTTTTAGTTTATTTGTTATAATAATTTACTTTATTTTATTGAAATAAGATTTATAGCTTTTGAAAATATTAATTTTTATTGGTGATTAACAAGAGGTATATATTAAATAACATATTTTTGATACAAAATAACTTTATATTATAAATATATAAAACAAATAAATGGTATATAGACATATGAAGGTAATAATTTATAATATATAAGCAAATGCTTCTTTTCAAATCTATTTTAGTCTGTATTTATTTTGTCAAATTCAATAAGTTAGAGTTTATTTTACAGGTTGTTATTATATTTTTTATTTACAAATAATTTTTATTATATTTTGTGTGTATTCTATTTTATAGCAATGCTATTAAGGTGACCAAAAAATTTAATATAAAATTCCTCAATCTTCTTTTTCAAATATAGGAAGGCCTAGAATAACTCTCAAATCATTTTCATCAGGCTATTGTTTATGGAAAATATTTTAGTATAAATTACTATTGAAGTTTTTTTTATTCTATTATTGTTAGCTCTTAAGTTTATTCTACTATTCTATTTCTTCTTCATCAAAGTAAATATAAGTGTTGTTTATAAATTTAAATTTTAAGCTGGTAGTTTATTTCGGGCTTTCATACATATGCTCTGGGAATTCATCGTCCTTTGTAAGTCCTATGCTTTATTAGTAATTGCTGAAATTATCTCCTGAAATACTTGTTTAATAATCGCTCCCTAAATATGAATAAGTACTCTTTTTGCTCTTTGGTGTAGTGAACCCATCATTTTATTACTCTTCGAAAATCGGGATCGTTTTCTTCACAAACATTTGGGCTTTTTCTAGCTCTTCTATGCTTTAATTAATCTTACTGATTTAATTTATGATGTAAGTTTTATCCATTAATTTTATTTATGCTTTTGTCTAGTTTAGAAATGCTTGTTTGGCTTCTATTTCTTTTATGAATTAAGAATATATCTTCTATATTTTTTTTAATCAATTATTAAAATACTTATTGCAAATTTTTATTTGCAAGAAGTAATCAAAAATATAAAATAAAAATAAAAAAAATATTTTAAAACAATTGAATAAAAATTAAGTATTTTACTAAAAACACAATAAAAGGCATAAAATAAATATTCAAACAAACAAACTAATAAGATATTATAAGAAACATGGAATAACTTTAAACTATTTTTAAAAGTAAGTCAGTACTTTTTCTTTTTAAATCTAATTTGATAATCTATTTGAGAATAATCAAAAATATAAAAAAAAATATTTTAAGACAATTGAATAAAAATTAAGTTACCAATTTATTTATTTCAATAAAAAAACAATACAAGGCAAAAAATAAATATTCAATCAAATGAAAAAACAAACTAATTAGATTTCATATGAAGCATGGAATAGCTTTAAACTATTTTTAAAAGCTAAGTCAGTACTTTTTAAATATAATTAGATAATCTATTTGAGAATAATCAAAAATATTTTAAAAAAAAATTTAATAAAAATCAAGTTACCAATTAATTTATTTCAATAAAAATACAATACAAGGCATAAAATAAATATTCAAACAAACTATCAAATAAATTTTCATAAGAAATATGGCTTATAATAACTTTAAACTAACTCAGTACTTTTTAAATCTAATTAGATAATCTATTTGAGCTTAAGCAATATCATAAATGATAAACTCGTTATATTTCATATAGTGCTAATAAATTAAATAGAAACAAATGAATAAAATAGTAATTTTTAAAATTATTTACCTTAGATTTAGTTCTAACTTCCTAGCCTTTAGGTACTTTAACTCCATTAAATGTTATGAATTCTTCAGGACCATGAGTACCCCAACCCCAGCAAGAATGAGTTCCTTTAGGAAGATTATTAGCATTATAATCAGTTTTTTCTATTTTGTTAGGAGTTCCTAGAGCAGCCTTTATGAGCATGATGTAATGGATACCATCACTATTACCTGCACAATAATCACAAGATTTAGTAAATTAATCTGCAAGGTAAATACCCTTACCATAATTATAACCTAAAATTAAAAAAAATCAATTCATATTGGATATTTTATCTATTTAATTATTAATTTATACCAGTAACAGGAGCCTCAGGAGGAGCAATACGAAGACCTTAAGATAATATACCAACAAAGTTTGAAATACGGGACCCATGCCATAAGAGTGTATCGTTTCCAATATTTTTTGAGTAACGTTCTTGCTCGCCTTTTCTTTTTACTGAAAATATTTCTAAAATCTTAGGGCTATAATGTCCTTTGCCTTGATTAACATAATTCTTAATAATGTCTAATGTCTTTTTCTATTAAATTATTAAAAATAAATAATGCTTTATCACTTGAATTCTAACTTAATCAAAAAAAAATAAATGATTTCTAAGTGTAACCAACTAATTAACTAACTTAATAAATTAATATTTTAATCTATTAGATCTCAAAATGTTTTTTATTTTATTTTAAATCAAAACCTATGAATTTAATTATGCTTGCTTAGTTGTATATTTTCTTCATTAAACTTTTCTCAAATTTGAAGATATTAGAATTTATTTTTTTAAAGCTTAAAACAAACATTAAAAATGATAAGATATTTTTATCTCAATTTCTTTTAACTAAAATAATTTAAATGTTTACATCTGTGACTTCTTTTATTTCTGCATTTAATTTTTTATAGTTTTAATCTAAGATTGAGTCATCTGAATCTGATTCTTTAAGTAATTGAGTTGCAATTTTTAAGTCAGATAAATCTTAAAGCATTGAAAGCTTCTTACGCACTTATTCCTCAGTTTTTAAAATGAAGTTACTCATTTTTTAGAAACCAAAATCATGAGGAATAAGGGAGTAGAATTAACTAGAATAACGACCATAATCACTAACTTTATTATTTTTTACAGCATCTAAAAGCTATTTAATATCACATAAAAGGTATTTTAAATTTAAATTTTAAGTGTTTTTAATTTCTAGTTACATCTTTGAGAACAGTGTAAGCTTATTTAATTGTTTTATCGTCAAGTTTACCTAAAGGCATCTTTTTAGAATCATAACCTATTTCTTTAATTGTACTCTCAATCATTTTCATATCAAAAATGTCGTTTATCAAGGTTTGAACTGCAGCAGATAAAGTACAATCTTTTCTCTTTGTAGGTTAAGTAGTTTATTTTTCTAATTTCAACACATTTTTAAAAATAAATAAATAAATTAATTAATTAATTCTATTAAAATTACTCTTTGGCTTTTCATCTTCATCATCTTCACCATATTTGATGAAAATTTCAGTATAACCTCCTTTAATTTTATCGCTTTTCTTTTTTTAGAATTCGCTAATAGCTTCAAATTTACTTGAACAAACTTTAATGCTTTATTGTCCTGGAACACCAACTCTTCCCCATCTAAAGAAAACGGAGTATTGATCTTTTTATAGAAATAAATTTAATATATTTTTTTTAAAAAAATAGGATTTATACTAGTTCCATCTTTAACAAGCACCTATCCAAGATAGAATTTGTTATTGTTTGCATCAACATTTGATTGATTCAAAGTAAGATTGTAAATTTAGTTTCCTTCTTATAGAACTGTGTATTGTGTTGAATTTGGTACATACTAATCAACTGCACATTTACCTTTATAAAAAATATTTAAGTATTAAATATAAATGATACCAGTAATATAATGATTATTTTTATGTTAATTATTTAATATCAATTAAATACCTTTAACGATCTATTTAACAGTTTTTTTCTCATCTTCAGATTCATCTTTTTTGGGTACATCTTTGACTTTTTTGACAGGACTCTTTTTAGTTTAGGCCTTTGTATCTGGGGAGGGAGATACACTCTTAGCTTTTCTTTTATTGGTTTTTTTGGGAGAAGGTGCTGGTGCTGTTTTTGCTTACTTTGTTTTTTAAGTAGTTTTCTAAGCTGCTTTTGTGTTTTTCTTATCTACTGTTGCGACTTTAGTATCTTTAGATTTAGATTTAGAAGCTGCTGCAGGTTTACCTTTTTGGGTTTTTTTAGGTGAAGGGGAAGGAGAAGGAGATTTAGTGGCTGCTTTTCTTCCTCTAGTCACTTTTTTATCCTCAATCTTGGCATCTTTTTTTGTAGTTTTTGTAGCAGCCTATTTACCTTTAGTTGCTGCTGCTGCAGATTAAGATCTAGTAGCTCTTTTAGGAGGCATTAATAGATATAATTTATCCTTTTTATTATTAAAAATTCTTAGATATGTTTAATGATTAATATAATTTATTTAACTTTTAATTGTTCTAATCTTTAAATCACTTTTATTAGTTAATCAGATATTTATAATAAAAATTCTGATTAAAATCCAATACATTTATTTTCCCTCCAAAGATTTTATTTTCTTTTTACTCGGATTTCATATTTATCAGAATTAAAATCTTTCAGATAAAGTAGATAGAAGATTTTTTGTTTGTTTGCGGATCTAATTCTTTTTAAATATAAAAGTTTCAATAATTAAATGCAATGTGAAATAAATATCTTTATCAATCTGAATATACGTATTTTCAAGTTTATTGCCAATTATAATTAAGATTTTCCCATTCAAATAAGTTTAAATAAAAAATATCTTTCAATAGTGAATAAAATAAAAACATTATAAATAATTAGCTGTAGATTGATTTCTTAAAATAATTTTTATTTCAACTATCAATTTTAAATATATTGAATACAACAATACTAAAAATAAAATTACATTCAATTATTATAATTAATATTTAGCTATTTCTTATTTTTTATAAAAATTAATAAATTTGCTACAAAAAAATCTTAAATTTAACAAATAAAAAAAATTATTCATCTCTTTTTATCATAAAAATTAATGATTTAATTATAAGGAAATGTTAATAAATTACCCCATAAAAGATTTGAAAATTTTTTATCTTAAATAGTTATTATGTTTCTCTCTTAAACAATAATAAAATATAAATGTTTAAAAAAGATAATTAAAATAAACTTTAATCAATATTAAATTTATAAATTTTTTCTAATTTAATAAATAAATATTTTTAATTCAACAAAATCTTAATTTGAAAAACTTAAGATAAAAAAATTATTATCTTTAAAAGTATATTGAGATTGTTAATAATAAATATAAATAAAATAATATACTTATAAAATAATAAATTAATTTTTTACAAATAATAAATAAGACACTATCTTAACATATAAATAAATATTTTTAGTATAACGATTTTTAAAATTATCACTCGAATTAATCAAAGAAGAATTGCTTAAAAATATTATTAAGCTTCTTTGAAAAGCTATTGTTCTGATTACTCAAAAAAAAGAATTAGTTTTATCAGCTAATGGACTCATTGTTTCATCAATATCAATATCATTCACAATCCATCTTTCAATTTTATCATTATCATTCAATATATTTTATGGCTATTTTTTCTCTTGCTTTAATTGTTCATTTTATTTAGATGAATTTTATTTGATATAATTACTATTTTAATTAATTGAACTTTTTCTAGATGCTTGATAAATATTAGACCTAGACTTTTAATTTTCCTGCTATCCTGCTTGAGATGAAGGTGTTTACAAATCTTTTATTTTAAATATTTTAAATTAATTTCTTATGTAAATAAATAACTCAAAAATTATAAATTTTTGTTTTAAATCAAATCTATTTTATTTTCATTTATTCCTTTTCTTTTATTTTTTATATTTTTTTTGCATGATTAAAATATTTAATTAATAAAATTTAATAAAAAAATAAATATTTAAGTAATTAATACTTTTTCTTTGAATATCTTTAGGAGTTGCATATCTAGAAGGAGATGTTGGGTTACTTGAATTAAAGAGGTAGCTTTAGCAATTAGGCTAAAAAGTTGTTTAGGTACTTAAAGGTCTCTGAATCACAGCATTTCTTAAATTAGCTCTTGGCTGTATAAGTATTTTATTCACAGAAATGAGCTCGTCCTTTTTTAATTTATTTTATTCCATTTAATTATATGGATAAAAAGCACACATTTGAGATTCTTAAAAATTATCATAAGATTTTTCTTTATAATTTATAATATCCTCACTTTTTCCAAACTATGCAGTATCTTTTGTATTTTAGCCTTGATTAATCCACTACTTCAGTTTGATGTTACTAAACTCTTATCCCTCTCGTTCTCGTTCTGTATCCATTCTTTCAGTTTTTTATGTTTCAATTTTATTTTGTTAATACAAATCTTGGAAGTTTTATTGTACTGATTATTGCGCATTAGTTATTATTCCTAAATGAGATTTATAAGCACTGCTAAATGTTTCAATATGATGCCCTGTTAAGTGTATTTGTTTATTTTTTAAGATCATCTTTTCATATATATTTGGTTATTTATCCTTTGATAGAAATCCAAGAATCTTATTCATTGTTTCCTTTTTTTTCCTAAATATAAATTAAGGACTACCTATTTCTTAACATGGAGTAGCATAACAGCTTTGATTTGTATTGCTTTTATCTATTTTATTTGATTTAAAAAAATCTAATTCTTTAGCATTTGTATGCTCATTCCCTTACTCTCCAACAGGAACGAAACTAACTGGAAAACCATAAAAAGATTTCGGTGTTATAGAATTTGAAAATTTATTTTCTTAATGTTAATTATAAATTGAAGAAATACTTAAAAGATCATTAATCATTTCTTTTGAATTTCTGTGAGAATTTTAATTGGTAGATTAAGGTGTTGACTATTAAGCTTTTCTCTGTAGATTATAATTCAAATATTTTGCATAATTTTTATATTCCCTATTAGTACTACTTTACTATTACTTCTAATTTTCAGGAAAAACAGTTGACATCCCTTAAATTTAAGAATGATTTAAAGAATCTAAATAATTATTTTAATATTAATTTTCTTGCCTTAATTTAGTATCACAGAGTCTTTTTTTTATTTTTGGCGAATGTTAAGATGAGTTTAATGAATTATTATTAAAACATAAATCTATTTATTGATAGTAGTCTGCAGATTTTGCTGTAGATTTTGAAGTATTTTGCTTGATTTCAAAACTTTATTTATCATTTAGCTCTAACTTCATCATATTTCTGCGTTATCTAATATCTTTTGAATTCTATATTTGGCTTTTAATATTATTTATTTAATATTGCACTGTGATGTCTTCTCCATCTTTAATAGTCTAATCCTCAGTTTATTGCTAATTTAGCTTATTTTAAAAATCTTTTTAATTAATTTTTTTATAATTTGCTATTTTGTTGCAATTTTATTAAATTCCTTCATCTTCTTCTCCTAGAGTTTCATACTAAATTTATTCTAAATTAAAACTGTTCTAACCAATTTTATCTTTAGATTCTATTTTGCTTCCACGGACTCTGTAGTGTTTATCAAGCTAATTAAGGTTTATCATTCTGAAATCTTCTTTTTTATTTCGTTTGCTTTTTGGACTATTTTTTAGAAGTATTTAGTCTTCGTTTCCAAGTTACTTTAACATATTCTGCTTTGATTTATTTAATTTTTTACTCATTATAAGTTGCTTCAATTTTAACTCCTACTACTTTTTAATCTGCTATGGAAAGCTTTCTTGCTACTCCTCTAAGTTATTCTGTCCACTTAAATGAGGATGTTTTCTTAGAATAGGATCATTCGAATGAAATTGAAATCGTTTTGGTAGGAGGGCAATCAAAATTTACCTCTCCTATAATTTATTCATATTACTTTTGTATTAAACAAAAATTAATATTATTATTAATTAGTATAAAAGATTATACTTAGATTATCTTAAACAGTATAGTCAGCTTATATTTATTAAAAAAATTTGTTTGCCAATAAATTAATTGGTTAATATACTAAATACTTGCTTGCTCTTTTGAAACACTATTTTTTCATTTATTTTGAAAAGACTGATTTCCACTTTTTTCTTCTTAAAATATTTATTTTGTAAAATTATAAATGTTGATTTTTTTTCATTTTTAAATTCTAAATAAAATAATAATTCACTTATTAATTATTAGCCATTTAAACATTAAACAATAAGTTTCTACATACCACTAATTAATTTCTAAGACTCTAAAAAACTAATTCTCATCCATTTATATTCAAAATAACCAATTATTAATTTTCTGGGTTCTTTACATAATATTTTATAAAAGATCAGTAAATTGTTACCAATTAATTTAACTATATATAAACACTACTTTAAAAATTTGTGTAAATTAGAAGATAATTAAGCAAACATTTCAAACATAAAATTAAATATACCCATATAACATTTTTATAATTTCTATTTTTAATATTCTTTCTAAAAATAAAATAGATTAAAAAAGTTAAAGAGATATTATTTCAATTTTTATTTTTTATAAGTTTTTTTAATTCTATCTTAAATAAACAATAGTAATGTGTATTTTGTTATCGGCCATACTAAGGTGAAAACACCGGATCCCATTCGAACTCCGAAGTTAAGCGCCTTAAGGCTGGGTTAGTACTAAGGTGGGGGACCGCTTGGGAAGTCCCAGTGTCGATAACCTTTTTTTTTTGTTTTTTTTAGTGCTTTTATTTTTTTATAAATTGAATAAATTAATTTTATTTCTTATTTTAACCATAATTTTTTTTTAATTAAATTTATTTTCATAGTAATTCTAATTAATTTTGTTATCGGCCATACTAAGGTGAAAACACCGGATCCCATTCGAACTCCGAAGTTAAGCGCCTTAAGGCTGGGTTAGTACTAAGGTGGGGGACCGCTTGGGAAGTCCCAGTGTCGATAACCTTTTTATTTTTTATTGTTTTTAATCTTAAATAAATAATTGAAAATTTATTATTTTTTATTTATTTTTAATAATTAAAATTATTTTAAATTATTTTTATATTCATGTTTACTCTAATTAATTTTGTTATCGGCCATACTAAGGTGAAAACACCGGATCCCATTCGAACTCCGAAGTTAAGCGCCTTAAGGCTGGGTTAGTACTAAGGTGGGGGACCGCTTGGGAAGTCCCAGTGTCGATAACCTTTTTTTTAATTTTTTTTAGTGCTTTTATTTTTTTATAAATTGAATAAATTAATTTTATTTCTTATATTAACCATAATTTTTTTTTAATTAAATTTATTTTCATAGTAATTCTAATTAATTTTGTTATCGGCCATACTAAGGTGAAAACACCGGATCCCATTCGAACTCCGAAGTTAAGCGCCTTAAGGCTGGGTTAGTACTAAGGTGGGGGACCGCTTGGGAAGTCCCAGTGTCGATAACCTTTTTTACTAAAATTGTTTTTAAAAATAATAATAATTTTATGCTGATTTTTATTTTAAATTGTTTACAGAAAGGAAAATATTATTTATTAACTTGCACAATTAAATAACTAAAAAAAAAAATTTATCTTCAGAAAGTATATCTTAATATAAATTTAGATAATTATTTTAAATAAATAGCTTAATATGAAAAGCTAAATGAATATATTTATTAAATAAATGGTGTTGGATGTACAATAGAGAAAAACAAATAATCAAAATATATATTTCTTATTTAATATATTAAGAAATATAAATAATATGTTTTTTAAACTAAAATATACAACAATAATTTTAAAGGAATAACATGCAATGTCGAATAGAGTAAGTATTTAAAAATTATTTATTGAATAAAAGCAATTTATAAAAATATTTATCTATCCTTTTTTTTAATTAACCTTAATTCATAATTTATATTTGATAAATGAAAGTATAAAAAAATTAATTTTATTTCCATAAAAATTCATTTAAATATAATTAATATTGTTTCTCATCAAAAAAATCTGATTTTAAATCAAATTTTGAAAATAAAAAATTTTGTATCACTTCTGATAGCATCAAAACAAGTTTTTAGATATTTTATTTAAATATCTAAGTCGCCATAAATTATTAAATTACTTTGCATTACAACTTAGAAAATAAATATTTATTAAAGCTGAATAATTATTCCTTTTTTAAATAAATATCTGAATAAAATAAAGACCTAAAATGTACGAATACCAATAGTTAGAATACAATAGAGTAGCCTATGAGCGAATGGAAAGATTTATTTACTATAGCTTAAAAATAAGTACTTTTCTTTAGTTATGGAATTCATATAATATCATAGAAGTAAATAACTTTACAAAAATTTATTTAAATGATTTAACCTTCATAAAAAAAGTAATTTTTTGATGATAGTTTATTTCTATCAATATTATGCTTGGCAGTATTCTACCTTTCAAGAAAAGTTTTATTAATATATTACTGTAAAATAAATGATAAGTATGCACAAAAAGATAAAATTAAAGTTATTTTATATTTGATTTTTTCTTTAGAAGAGTTAGCGTTTCGTATAAAATAAAAAGAGCTAAAAAGAATTGTAAGGATTCATTATTTGAGTAAGGATGATCTTCTATCAAATAAATTTGTAATCAACTACTTTATGGCTTTAGTTTAGATAGTTTTTGTCCTTAATTTGCCTGAAATATAAAATTTAATAACAATTTTACAGCTACTACTTCCTCTACTTTTTAGTGCTTTAATTATATGCGAAATTTAAACAAATAACTTGTATGCTTTCAAAAATGAAAATGGACTTTTTTGGAATTATTATTTTAATGCCAAAATGACTAAGTAATTCTTATATCGGTGGATTAGTTAATTATTCATGATAATTTGCTGTTGTATATGCTCTTAAATCTAAAATATTTTTAAATATTATATAATAATAACTATTTTTTTAGTTATTTTAACAATGATACATCAAATATAATACCTAAAAAGGATATCTGATATCGACACAGCAATAATATCATAAAAATTATTTATAATTACTTTGATCTCATTTAGTCATATATCTATAGAACCTAGAGAAGTGAGTGATGAATACTACAAAAAGAAAGAGCTAATTTAAATTAAGTGCTGTAATGCATTCATAGTTACACTTCTTACTTAAAAATTATACATCTATTATCATTTGTTAATTATAGCACCTAACGAAAATATCTTTGGTTTTGGTAACTATCTTTGGATTTATTAATTGCTAATTATACTAGACTTGTTTCTTTAAACAAAGTTGCTTATGAAGTATATTGTAATTCCATAGTTCAATGGACCAGAATATTTTGAAATATATGATATTAGCAATTCATATTACTTAACAGAAAATAAACACAAATTTAAGAATTTGAGATTCATCAAGGTCAAATGTGAAAGAGATATCTCTCTAAAGCTTATTTTATCTTCTTTTTGTAATTGTGAAATTATCAGAGTTGGATATCGTGATGATGATAATATTAGGAAATTCATAGAATCAACACAATATTAGGAAGTTTTATTTTTAAATAGTATAGATATCAAAGAATTTGAAGAAGTTATTGCAGCTAATTCGATTAATTGTAATATCCTAAAAATTAAATTTGACTACGAAATGAGATTTTAAGATTTGCTATAATTTTCCAAAATTTTAGTTAAGTATGATGCATTCGTTCTTATAATTAATTCAAAAATGTTAAATAAATATAATTTTATTTATTCAGATAAGTTTTATGAATTATAACATAATCTAATATATATTCAAGTGTAATCAACAATATGTAGAAAAGTCTTTTACTAGAAATATTTGATGGAGTTTATACCTCTAAATCCAGCCATAGTTCTCTACGACTTGTATGATTGAGTATTTTTAAAGAAATAAAACAGTTTGCAATTTCTCTTAAATAATAATTATAAAACTAAATATAAATAAAATAATAACAATACATTCAACAAATTTATTAAATAGTATCTGCTTTTTTTATATTTTATTTAATATTTGATAAAAATTTTATTTAAAAAAAAAAGAAATATTTTTCTCTTTAAAAAATTATTGGATGATTTTATTTTATAAATTCAATTTTTTTACAATAATCTTTTGATATTCTTAATTTATTTAAGGAGCTAATCAGGCTCTCAAAATAGTCAAATTCAATTCATTCAATCTTATAAACCTTCTATAAAAGTTAATTAAAAAAGATATCTATCAATCAAATTTCAATACCAAATTAAAAATATATTCGTTTTTGAAATTAAATTAAAAAATTGATAAAGTAGAAATGGAGAAAGATTTTAAATAAGAGCAAGCTCAAAGCAAGTCTACAGATAATAGTATGTAATCAGCCCAAGAATAAAATTAGTAATAATACTTGTCATTTTGGCATATATTAAGTAATGTGCTAGTTTCAAATCTTGGAATTTTATATTTTGGATATTAAATTTCAGTTATGTCTTTAGCTCAGAATACAGTTTTTGTAGTTTATAGCTTAAAAGAAAGTCAATATAATTTTTATTCATCTCTTCTCAGTGCTGCTATTCCATTTGGTGCAATATTTGGAGCTATTATACCTGGTAGTCTTCTTTTGCATAGCTCTAGAAAAAACTCTATGATATTTTCAGATATAATTGCTACAATCTTTGCGTTTTTAAGCTTATATGATGATATAAATGTGCTTTTATTAACAAGATTTTTAGCAGGATTTATCTTAGGGTTAAATAGTTCTTTAGTCCTTAAATATACTAATGAAATAACTCCAATTAGCTTAACAGGTATCATGGGTATTGTCTATAGTATTGCTATAACATTTGGAATATTAATAGCAAGTATAAATGGGCAATTCTTTAGTGAAAATCCAAATAAAGAAGATAAATACATTTATTTTGTACTTTTATTTCCAATAGTATTTACAATTAGTAGACCAATTTTACTTTTAGTTTTCTTCAATCATGATACTCCATTCTATTATATTGTTAGCAATTAATCTGAAAAATGTAGAGAATTTCTTATGCAAATTTACAAACCATAATATGTTGATCAAATCTTATAAGAAGTTTAATAAGAAGCTGCTAAATAAGGAATCTAAGAAAAAGCTCAGACTTAAAATAGTAAACCTTTCTTTGTAGGATGTGTATTATAAATTATTTAACAATTTTCAGGAATTAATGCAGTCCTTATGTATTTAGGCTAAATATTCTAGAAAGAACATTTCTCATTTAGAATGACTAACTTACTGACCTTGGCATCCAATTTTATATTCTTGATTTCTGCTTTTTTGAGTTACTTTTTTGTAGAAAAGTACTCTAGACGTGGTATTCTTATGTCAGGTTCTACATTATCAGGAATTTTCCTTCTTTCACTAGCTATTTTATATATTATTGATAATTAATAACTATAGTTTCTTTAGTTCATTTTGATTAGCTGTTATTACGTTGCATTTAACTTTTCTCTCGGACCTGTAATTTGGTTGTATTGCTCTGAAATTCTTTAATCAAAAGAATTTAGCATAGCTACAAGCATCAACTGGATATGTGCTACAATAGTTGTTGTTTCCATACCATATTTTGATAAATTATGGCCACTATTTATATTCTTTTCTCTTGTTTGTTTTTTTTGCACAATCTTCACTCTTTTGATTGTAAAAGAAACAAAGGATAAAAGTAAAATAGAAATCATTAATTTATATAATCCTCACTAATCAGATTTATAAGGTGAGTATTAAAGTATTAATAAAAACACTCCAGATAGTGTTAGTTATGTAGACTGAAAAATATATTTCTATTTAATCATAATTATTTCCTTAGATAGATATAATAATAAAAATATAACACATATACCATAGAAAACTCTATAAATATTAAGCTTTTTAAGTAGTAAAATCTACAAGTTATTAAATTATTCAGCCGTATACATATCATGAAATTTATACGGTACGGCTGTATAATACTGTTTTACAATATATACTGTCGATCCCTATTAGAAAATATTTTAAATTAAAATTAATAAATTAAATTAAATTAAATTAAAAAAAACAAAATAAGAATCAAAAGTAAATAAATAAGTAAACTAATACTGTTTCATAATTTTATATTTCATATTATATTAAAAATATCACTATCTAAAATAAATAATCTATGTTTACCCTTAAATTTAAGAGATTAATATATTTTAATAAAGTGAAACCTAAATCTGATGACCCCTTTACACCAATTTCATTTTCAATTTCTAAATATTAAAAAAAGTATAACTAATTTTAAAAGGAAAAAATGAAGAGTTAAGAAATTAATTAGTAACTAAAGCAAAAGTTTCAATCAAAAAGAGTTAAATTAAGAAGAATAAAATAAATAATAAAATCAGAATTAGAATTAAAAATAAATTAAATAAAAAAGTAGTAAATAGATAAATTAATTAATAGAGTTTTATTGTTTTAAATTTATTTTTATTTTAAAAATATTTCAATCCTAAACAAATAAACTGCTTTTACTAAAGCAAAGCCTAAATTTAATGAACTTTCATCACTAATTTGATTGTTACTTTTTAAGTTTTGAAGAAAATTAATTAGTTAGTTTGAAACATCAAAATTAGAAAAAATATGAAATAAATGTTTTCAAATCAAAAATTTAAAATTAGAACATGAGTTAAATTAAAAACAATAAAAAAGAAGGCAAATAAAATAAAAAAGATAATAAATTAATTAATTAATTTAAAGAATTTTATTTTAAATTCATTTTTGTATTAAAAAATATCACAATCCAAATCAAATAATGTGTTTTTACTTAAGATTAAGTATTAAATTTTTAAGATTACTACACTTTGCTAAAGCAGGACTTAAGTCTGATGAACCCTTTACCCTTTGCATCAATTAAATTACTGCTTATTAAATATTATAGAAAATATATTTATTCAATAACAACAAGATGATTATTAATACTTCTAAAGTTAAATTTTGTAAAATAAATATCTTTATTGTTTAAAATTAAAAAAAATGGTTTTTATTTTATCTTTCAATATTTTTTATAATTAAAGCAGTCTAATAGAAGTAGTAGATATTTATTTTTTTTCCAAAATATTCTATTTTTTAGCCAAAAAGAAGTTTTTACAAAAATATTAAAATTTAAGGTTTTTCATGTTTAAAATAAACAAAAATACCTAATTTAGATACCAAGTTTTTGTTCATAAAAAATCTAAAAAGTTTATGATTAGAATCAATAGTTATTAAAAATTTTTTATCAGATTAAAATAATCATAAAAAGGATTGAAAGGTTTATTTTAAATTAATATGAATAACCAAATAATAGTCTTGTAAAATACAACATTTTAGATAAAGAATTAAAGCAATTAGCAATAAAGTTTAAGTTTAGAAGATGATGTAAATGAAAAAACTGAGGATTTACTTACAAAACAAAATTTAAGCTAGCAAAAAATTATGATTAATAGTAAAAAAATACATAAAAAGAAGCAAAATCTTAAAAACAAATAGTTTGAAATTAAGGTTGTTCCTAATTTAAGCTCTATATATGATATAGAATCATTGTTTTTAGTTGGAGAAATATTTATTGCTCTCGATTTTAATGATAGTCAACTGTAAAATACTCACATTTCATGTTTAAATAACTTTAAGAGAATTTATTAAACAACTATTCTTAAATAGAGTAGATTTTTACAAATTGATATGGAGTATAAAGTTCCTTCTACCAAATACTTTTACAATTCAGCTTAAAAGTTGCTTAATTACCCTCAATAGAATATTCACGAATTAGGCTAGCTGCTGATAATTTATTAATAGTTTTGTTTTGATATATATGAGAATTTATAATTATTGTAAAGCTTCCCAAATCTAGAGCAATTTTTTAATTAACAAATGTAGGATTTGCTTATGGCAAAGTAACATTACTTAGATAATTTCAAATAAGATGAATTTGTTTATCTAATGTAGATGGTAAATAATATAAAAACAATGGAATTCGAAGTTTAGAGTATATATGTGAGTGAACCATTTCTAATACTTTTAGGTACAAATTTAGAGTAATATTAAAGATTTGTTCATAGATATGGCTTGAATGAATTTGCTGACTCAAATACCTAAATAAATTTCATAGTACGCTAACTAAAATAAATGCTTCGAACATAAGGTAATTATACATAGGAGAATAAGATTCTCTAAGACTTTGATGAAAATAATTATGTTGAAGTGAACTTGTACACATTTGATGGAATTAAAGTATAAGCAAAAGCTGAAATATAAGTAATTTATCCTTAATAATAAAATTAATAATGCTAAAAATTTAATTTAAATTCTCACATGCTTATTGCTGTAAAAACCGAAATAGAACCAACTTCTTTAAAGTAGATTTTAGAAATAAGATAAAATTAATAAAACTCTTCATTATAAATTTAAGACAATTTATATGTTAACGAAATTGATTTTTGTTTCGATTACTCTGTGCAAGTAGAAGTATTTTAAGAAATGGCTAAAATGTACAATATTTTTAGTAACAAGGAAAAAAGATCATCATACAGGCACATAAACCCTGAAGAGAAAGATTAAATTAAACATTATAATCCTGTATGCACAAATTTAAAATATTATTGAAGCAATAAAAATTAGAATTAATCAAGCTATTTCAATTATAATTTAAGATGCAAAAATATTAATTTTATAACAATAAAAAACAAAATTTAATTTAATATTTTATGTGTCTTTTATTGTTTTCATTTCAAAATACTATTTTAATAAATAAATAATTTCTTTATTAGATTAATTTAAATTTATAATCTTTGTATTAATTTTATTATATTTTTAGTAAAAAATATAAAAATATATGACAGTTTATATATATTATAGAATATTGATAATTATTTATGTATTGATTAATTGCTTATTTTCAGAATCTAAAGTAATGATAAGGGTCAAATCCTAAGTTTTTAAAAGCCTCGAAGCACATTTTTACCATTCCTTTTGGTCCGCAAAACATTACATAATTATCTTTGTCAGTGGATGTAGGACCATACTTTTATATCATATTTTAATCAATTCTACCTACTTCTCCATTCCAGCTTTATGTTTATTTACCTGAATCAATAACATATACTACCTTGAAATTTTCATATTACTTCTACAAATCATCTATTTGTTCTTTAAGTAGAATATCTTTTTCAGTTCTATTTGCATACAAAAGAGTTATTTTTATATCTTTTTGCTAATCAAGACAAATCTGCTAAGCTATAGAAAAAACGGGAGCTATTCCTGTTCCACCAGCAATTAAAAATAAATTTTTAGGCTTTATTCTTTATTTAGCTTTTTTATCTTCTTGTTATTTTTTTCTTATTACATCTATAAAGCCCTATTTATCATACTTAATACTAATGATTGGTCCTGAAATTTTAATTACGTCTCCAATCTTTAAATTTTCTAGAAAAGGAGTTAGTTTACCTCCTTATGGAAAATTAGGATCTGTATTTGGTCTATAGATTTTGATAACAGTGTCAATATATCCTTATTTCATAGATTCTATAGTATTAATAGGGGTGTATTTTTTTGTAAAAGCCTCACTACTATTAGGAATCCTAAGAATGGCAAAGTGAGATCCAGCAGGATAAGCCATAGCATCCTTCTAATTGCTTAAAGTGAATCTGAATATATAGCTATCAGGGGATACTTATATTTTTTCTGTGAGTTTAGCTTCCTTAGTATCAAAAAAGAGAAATAAAAATTTGAGACAGGCAGATTTCATTTTGTTTTTATAATATTTGCTTTTAGGTTTTTTTAATAAAATTTGATTTTGATAAAAATTACAAAACAAATTTATAATAAAAAAATATTAAAAAAAATATATTTGTTACACCGATAAAAGAGCGATTCTGGATAAAATTTATTTTAAAATGAAATAAGCTTTCAGATTTTGTTATACAAAACTAAAATAGATAAACAAGGTGTTTTCTTGATTGAAAAAAAATAAATTTATTTGTGGTTTAATATGCGATGCAAAGGTAAATCTATTATATAAAATATTAAAAACTATTATATACTATTTGTCAATCCTCTTTTAGTCTGTTTAGCGAATAAAAAATATTTATATTTTTTCTATATCATATTTTAGTTCTTCAGCTTTGTTACTCAAAAAAATTGATTAATCAAATAAGCTAAATAAGCCTTCAGAATTAAAAAGTTTTAGAATAAAAAAAACTTCTAGAAAAAATGGTAAGCAAGACATTTAAATTATGGAATTACAGAATAATATTTTTTTCCTTATATAAGAATTTGTAACAAAATAAAGTAAAATGTTCAATATGATAAAATAACTCATTTTTTATAAATCAAAAAGCAATTTTTAAAAATAAAAGGACTTATTTTTTAATAATAAATGGTGGCTTAAAATAAAAAGATAAAAATAATAAAAGAGATATTTTAATATTTTAACAATAAACTGCTATGAAAATACTTTAATATGTAAAAATCAAAAGAGTATTTAACATTATGAGCTATTACTTTTAAAAACTGAAAAAATAAATAAATAGCACATATTAATGAATATAAGCTAATTATATTTTAAAAAGAATATAATAGTTAACTAACATTTTCTAAAATTTTACTTGGTATTTAAATTTTTTTTACAATATTTTAACAAAATGAAAAAATTATTTGTCAAATATTTTAAGTATTAGTATAATATCTTTACTTTAATTTTTGATAAAAAATATTTTTAGTATTAAGAGACCTTTAATGTAGAAATAGTATTTATTACACAAAAATTTAAAATAGGTTTATTTTAATTCTTTTATTTATTTCGATACATATTTTGATATTTTATAAATAAATTTTTATTTTTAATTTAGAAAATATTGTTATAAAATTTTGTTTTCTATAAAATTATTTAATATTTCTGATGTAAATTTAAAATATTTATAATTTAGGCTTATATTTACATATTAATTTGTTTTATATTTAATAAGTTTTGTTAATTTTTTAATAATTTTGGTTAGATTTTTATCACAAATTACTTTTACTTCATTTAACTCTTAAAATAGAATAGGGTTCCTAATTTTTAAAATATGATAAATATTGCATTTTTGAAATAGAATGATTAATTAAAAATTATTTAAAACATTTTAATAATTATGCTGCTTATTTTTAAAATTATTAAAATTTTTATTAAAAAATAATTTAAGATAAAGAAACATTCAGTAATATATATTATTATTAGTAGGATTGTATTCTTCTATTAATTTAAGAATTAATTTCTGATTTTATTAAATAATACATACTACAAATAATTTTTTACTATAACTTATCACTAAAGACATTATAAAATGAATAGTAGCTAATCTGAAAGCTAATTTATAAAAGAAAAATTGTAAATAAGTAATGAGGAACTTGATGATAATGAAAGCGAAAATGATTAAGATTAAGATGATGAAAATAAAGATCAAGAAGAAGAAAATCTTAAAGATATAGTAAATCCAGAAATCAAATAGCTGATCAAAGAAAGAGGTGATATTTCATTGAGAATATAAAGATTTAGTTTGTGAAAATTGAAATTTTTTAATTTTAGGATTAAATATGGTGTCTTATGAGGATTTGATAGTTGAGAAAAAAGAAAGAGAAAAGGAATTAAATGAAAATAGATAAAAATTAGTAAGTAACATTTTCATTTTTTATAACTATAATATATGGATTAATATTAAATAGAAAGAAAGTTAAACACGTTAATGGCTGATAAAACATAAAAAGAGAGAGTTTATAGATTTTGATGATAAAGAAAGATCAAAACTTAAGTAGTATTTTAGGTCTTTGGATGGAGATGGGTCAGGTAAATAAATATTCTAAACTTAAAAAAATGTTAATTGTATTTATTCTTTCTTGTAAGTGCTAAATAATATTAAAATAGTTTTTGAAATCTTAAAAGGCTAATTACAATCACATACAACTTATTTGTTCTTCAAAATTATTTTAATATTTTTTTTTAAAAGGAAGTATTGGTTTGAGAGAATTAGAAGACCCATTAATTTCCCTTGGTATAGCAGAATCAAAAGAAGATGTGAAAAAGATTATGGATTAAGTGGACAAGGATCACTCAAACGAAATCGAATTTTAAGAATTTTTAGACATTATTAAAGCTAAAGAAAAAGGAAATGGCAGATCACAAAAGAATACAGCCATTATTAACTTTTTTAAAGGTAGATTATAAAAATCTATTTTAAGATAATTAATCTATTATTTTTCTATAGATATGATTAATGGTTAGTTAGGTGATGGAGATATTTAAACAAAAAACTTGCCATTTCAGTTAATTATTTCAACAATTCGTAGAAAAAAGCTTTTAGGTAATTAAAACTTAATTTGAAATTTTTGTGAAAATGTAATATCATGAATAATTAAATTAGATGCTATTATGAGTACAAATTAAGAGAAAAAGAAAGAGGGTGAGAAGGTTATGAAGGTATTTATTTATTTATTTGTTTTGTTTTTATTAATAATAATATTAAATTATATTTAAATATTTATAAAGGCCTATGGTAAATTACTAGCAATAAATAATGCTCCTAAGTAATCTAATAAATAAAATGATTCAAAATAGCCGAGCTAAAGAAGCTCTTTTTCAAATAAAAAATGAATAAGAAAACTGCTAATTAGCTAGCTAGTAAGTTAGTTAATCTATGGTAGAGCTAAACAATTTTAAAAATAAATGATAGAAAATAAATGTAGTTTTAAGAGTTAGAGTTTGTTGATTTGTTTAATTTATTTATTTATTTATATTTGACTTTATAGTTATTATAAAATGTTTACTAAAATTATAAATTTTAGAAATTAATTAAAATGTAATAGAATTAATTTAAGGTCATTTTTATAATATAAATAAAAAGTAAATAAATGCATTTAAAATTAGCATATTTACATTCTTATGGGAGAATAAGTGTTGTTTATATTATTTCTACCCATAAATTTATCATAAATAATTAATACGTAAATATTTTATATCTTTTTATTCATTTAATTATTTAATTTGTGCATAAAATTCAAATCAAGGACTTTAAAAGCGTTAAACTTATTTATTTCATAATTTTTATAAGCTCATAGGTATTTACATAACATGGGGCAATGTTGTTCAAATTTAAGTCTTGATGGTTTAAGTGAGAAAACCGATTTATAGAAGGTTTAAATATATGGACCTCTTAATTGTGAAATTTTGCAAGAATAAGATGCTTAATAATTATTTCAAAATGAAGTGAGAACATAAGTTGATTTAAAGGATTTAAGGTAGTAATATTTAATTGAAGAAAATGATAATATCGAGGAATAACGAGTAGCTTTACCTTATATAAAATTATTGACAAAAGATGTAATATATAAAGGATAATGGAAAAACAAATAAATGGATGGATATGGATAGATGCTACATATTCCTTCTAAAACCTATTATTGCGGAAAATTTTAATAAGGAGAGTTATAAGGAAGAGGTTTTATGATTTATTCAAATGGTGACATATATGAGGGGAGTTTCAAAAATAATACTGCACATGAATATGGTAATAATATTTTTATTTTACTCATCTTTTCATCAAAAAAACCAAATATATATATTTATATAATAAGTAATTAAATCAAGTATTATACATACATAGATTATGAGATAAATATCCTTTGATTATGAGTTAAGTTAGAATGAAAAAAATATTTTCAAAATATAATTGTTAATTTCATTAATATCTTAAGTTCAACTTACTTGTTTATAAACAAAAATTTTTTTTTTTTTTTAAAAACCTTTTACAATTCTGAATGAAGCTTTTAATTATTTTGAAAATATTTATAAAATGCTCATTGATAGTTTTATTGAAAATTTAATTTTTAAATTTATCTAATTCACTTTAAGTTAAAGCTTTTTTTACAATTTTAAGGAGTATTTAAAACTATTGATGGATAAACATACAAAGGCTAATGGTAAAATGGCGAAAAACATGGAAAAGGCGATTATTAAGATAAATACTATTAATATATTGGGAATTTTTGTAGAGGATGTAAATAAGGAGAAGGAGTTTTAGAATTTTATGATACTTTCAGATACAAAGGTTAATTTTAGAACAATAAGTTTTAAGGGTAAGGAGAGCTTGAATATTTAGATGGGTCTAGAAGAAAATATATTGGAGAATATTAAGATAATAAAAAGAGTGGACAAGGACATTTTATATGGCCCTTGTATGAGTACAAAGGTATACAAAAATAATTCATTTCTAATAAAAATATTTCTTATTTTATATAGGATAATATTAAGATGATCTAAGAAACGGTTAAGGAGATATAATTTTTAATGAAGGTATAAAAGTTTCTGGAATATTTGTGAATGGGAAGTTGCATGACAGCTAAGCTAAAATTATTATAGGAGACAGAGAGATATAAGCCTAATTTATTGATGGAAATATTGTTTCTTAAAATGATGAATTACCTGATTAAATAAAAACACTATTTAGTCTACATGATTTTGATGAGGATATAAATTGATATTAATATTTACTAATAAAAAATATATGCAATAAATGAGCATAACCATACACTTATTTATAATTTAATAAAAAATATATATTTGCATATTAATTCATGTTTAAAGATTTCTTAAATTAATGAATGAATGGCACAAAGTTAAATACTATGTCTCTTTATATAAATTTTTTATTAAAAAAGATAAGCAGTTTAATAGAAATTAGCATAAACAAACTCTAACTAGCCAAGTCGTTTTGAAATTTTTCATTTACATAAAATATACATTTCATAAATAATCAGATTGATATATTGATAGATAGATAGATATTTTAATCAATTAATAAATTAATAGATCTCTTCAATAATTTATTTTTGAAATCAAATAAAAGATACCCAAAACGAAACTTTGAAAAATAATAAATTAAGTAATAATTAAATTAATCAATTTATTTGCTGATATTTGATTTTAATCGCAAGAAATTATTTGATTATTTTTAGTTGTTTTAAGAAATTTAAATAAAGTTTTAAGATAAATGGCTACAAAAAAAAAATTATCTCCTTAGGAAGAAATAAAGGTAGATTTTACAAAGCAAATAAAATAGTATAAAGATCAGTATTTTATAAAAGAGTTATAGTTTAAAAGAAGGAGATTATAGCATAACAGTTAAAGTTCTTGAAGCTAATGACCTTATTCCAAAGTAACTTTCAACATTCAATATCTATTTCACATTAGATAATTAACATTACATGTTTGGCACAAATTAAATTGGTTGGCCATAATTACAAAAATACTCAAAAAAATGCAAATTCCAATAAAAAATATTATTTTTTAAATTACTCAAAGAGGAAAAGGGTTCTTAGGATTTGGAGCTACTTAGGTAGTTACATCTTAAGTAATGGTGGAGGTCTTAGACAAAAAGAAGAAATCTAAAATTATTAAAAACTAGGCTAACCCTGTTTATAACTAGGGATGGACATTTTATTTCAAATCATTAAAAATGGAATAATTGCAAGATATTACTATTAAAATAACAGTATTGGATAAATCAAGTCATTTTGTTACTCACATAATTGGGTCATATGAAATCGATTTGACTTCCGTTTACTTTTAATTAGGCCATGAATACTTTCACACTTGGCTTACGCTTACAGATCCCACTGATGAGGTTGAAGGTCCCACAGGATATCTATATGTTAACTTGAGTGTCTTAGGACCCGGAGATGAGCCTGTATTGCATGATATAGAAAATGCAAAAAAAGCTGTAAATTGAATAAATAAATACTTATTTAAAATTATAGAAAGTTTACTGAATATAGAAATTATATTTATTAAATTGATTGAAATAGGGCAGTGGAAAGGAAAAATCATTGGTACCATAAAAGGTTGTACAAACAGGACACTTAATAGAAGTACATTTTGAATAATTTAGCATCTTTAAAATAATTAAAAATATAATTAGATTAATATATACAGGGCTGAGAATTTACCATGTCTCGATAACAGCTTAGAGTCGTAAAATATACATTGAATTTATGTTTCTCAATATGATAAATGTTATTATAAAATACTGAATAAAACATTCATAAATAGCTTAAAAAATTATAAAATATTTAAATAACAGAATAGATGCATATGTAATAGCAAAATTTGGCGGTTATATGGCTTAAACTCATGTAGTTAAATCAAGAAATCCAGAATGGAACGAATGTATTAAGCTTTAATGTATGTTGCCTTGCTAATCAAAATAAATCACTATACAGGTTTATGATAAGGATATTGGGTGTAAATTAATTTTATTTTTAAAAGTAAAACAATTAAACTAAATTAAATTAAAATAAAAGCTGATGATGATTTAGTAGGCTAACTGAAAATTAACTTAGCTGACATTATGTACAAAAAACATCAACCAAGATGGGGAAACCTATATGGATCACCCATAACAGCTTAAGGCAAAGATGCAGATTTAATGAATTTTTATGGATAAACTATGGGGTCTCACTACAGAGGTAGGTTATTATATTCTTGTTCCAGTTACAATAAAAAAGATCCTCGTACTAGCACTAAGCTTCTTTAATTTTCTTTCCCTCATAACCCAATTCCATAGACCAAGATGAGATCTTACTATTTATGGATAGACATTCTTGAAGGGAATGAAATTCCAGATAAAAAAGGCGATATGATTGTGCACGTTAACATTGGCCCATACTTAGTAAGTTTTTTAAGGCTTTTATCAAGTTGAATATTAAACATTTTTTTAAACTTAAAGCTCTATTCTTAATCTAAAATTAACATTAATGGGCAAGTTAACTGGTTTGAAAGTTTAGAAGAGAGAAAGGTTATATTCCCTGAAGATGTTGAATAAATTCCAGATCTTATTTTTTATGTAACTGACGAAAATAGTGAAGATCGTAGAATGAGTTTTAATAGGATTAAGTAATATTTATATATTTTTTGATGTTTTTATTTTCTACAAATATTTTAAGATAAGTTAATAATTATTCCAATTTTTATATTAGAGCAAGCAAAATTCTTAGAACTTAATAAAATTTTGATCCAGATGTAGACCACGAAACTCTGTTAGTGGAATTAAAAGAAGACAGATCACTAGATTTAGTAAAAGACGATGAATTTCCCGGGTTTTTGATAATAAAAGCTTCTTTGTTGAAGTTTAGACCACAAAAAGAGCGTAAGTTCTTTACAGCAGAACATTAGCGTCAATTATTAGCTGATATGAATGAGTATTAGTTACGTGTATAACTTTATTAAGCTAGAGGATTACCTCCTGCTGACGAAACTGGAGGATGTGATCCTTTTATCAAAGTGAAATGTGCAGGTTCTGTGGGAACATCTAAAGTCAAACAAAAAACCTTAAATCCAGGATGGTTTTAGAATATTAATTTAGATAGAGTTGTTCTTCCTTCCATGGAAAGCCTTATGAAAACTAAATATCCTACTAAAGGTATGTTCCTGACGGTATATGACTGTGATGAAAATAGATTGGTTGGTTAGCCAAAAGAGAATTTGTTAACAAAAATAGAAAATTTCAACTTTAAAAAGCAAATTAATAATTTGTATAGTAAAATAATGAATAAACCTGGAGATGATGGAGTGGATAATATGGAAATAGAAGACTAAAAAGCACTCAATAAGAGTTTAGTAAAGACAAAGATGAATAGTACTCCTGAGTCAACTCCTTTAGATGCCTAAGCAGGTGAGAATTTAGAACTGAATGACTCTGGTATTATTATTAACGATCCAGATAAAGTAGAGAAAGATTTATTAGGGCGTATATGGATTCCTTTAGAAGCAACTCATGTTAAATTTAAAATTAAAAATAATTAAACCCCTTAAGATAATCCTCAATTATTTGATATTTTATATCGTAGACCAAAATGGTATCCAGTCAAATATGACGCAAATGGCTAAGTAATATTGAATTAAATAATTAAAAAATATTTATATTTTAACTTATTTCTATAAAAGTATACTGGCTAAGTTTTGTTGAGTTATACATTAATTCCTAATTTATACAGCGATGTGATAAAATAAAAACCTAATCTATTTCCTAAATTTGAGGTTAAAAAAATAAGTTTCTTTTTAATAGGTGTGAGAGAAATAGATGAGGAAATATTAGGAATGAAACTAAGAAAAATATAAGCAAGTTTAGATGTATCTGGAGATTCATAAGAATAATTTAAGACAGGAGAAATGAAAGTTATTAATAGTGGTGGTAATATTAACTAGTATGTCGAGTTTTAAATAAAAGTCCCACTCAATAAGTCTTTTGATCCAGTCGTTGACATATTCTTATGGGATTGTTCACGCTCTGAGCCTTATACATTTTTAGGATATGGATCACTTCCTTTCAAAGACATTCCTTATCTTAAATATAACAAGAATCAATAAGAAAACTTTGATATTGAAAGCGAGATGAGTGTAATTAATTTATTAACAAAAATATTTTTTTATTAAAAAATTTGTAAAATAATTTATTTTTAGTTAGTTGACTGTTTAAGGGAAGTTATCTTATTAGAGAAAAAAATGGGTAGTAAGTTAGATTTAAAGGACAAAAAAGATTAGGATGAACCAAAAGAAGAAAGAAAAATTTATAAAAAAAAAGAAAATCCTAACAGTCAAAGTTAAAACAAAATAGAATAATCTAACAATGCTGAAAATCAATTAGCTCAGAATGATAGTAAATTCATTTAAGAAGGATTGAATGCTAAGATTGGATCGAATTAGGTTAACTTAGACAGCTAATAAGTTTAAAAGAAAGATGTTTAAGAAGAAGTAGATGATATTATAGATGAGCCAAATGTTCAGTAAAGAAATTAACTCGATTAAATTTATGAAGAAGCAGACATTGAAATCACTGATGTCAAAGAAAAGCAATTTGATAATAATGAAATTAATGTAGTACCAGCTTATGAAAAATAAAATTCATAATAGTAGCCCTTGATTACAAACTTGCCTACAAGACCTCTTGATTTATAAAATATGAATAAAACAAATATTATTGATATTAAAGATCCTTCTTCAATTTAGCAAAATGATTTTATAACTAATCCTCCTGTTATTTAAACTATGAATACATAAGTTAGCTAGAAAGATGAAAACGCTAAACTAAACTAGAAATAATTGAAGTCATAACAAACAAATGGTTAATAAGATACGAATAATAAATTGGCTCCTTCTAATACTATGAGAGATAAAAAAAAATTAGATAACTCACAACTAACAAACGAACACCATGATAACCTAGAAGAACCCGAAGGAGATAAAGATTAAGGTTAAGATGATTAAGCTGAAAATAAATAAACAGCTAAACCTCAACAAAAAGTGAAATATGTTTAAAAATCAGAAATTTCTACTTTCGACCCTCCTTAGAGTTTATCTTTCTCAGTAAAAACTAAATCAAAGAGATCACTTCACTTCGATGATATACCAAAAGAAGGAAAATATGTTGGAGAAGAGTAGGAAGAAGAAAATAAGGGATTAATTTCTGGAAAAATTCTTGGTTTATTTAAGAAAAAAGGAGGAATTAAAATTATAGAATATGAAGACTATGATACTGACGAAGATGAAGACTTAGATATTACTCCAGAGTGGAAGAAAAACAGAGAGATTTTCTTGTCAGAATTTGAAGATAAACACAAACCCTCAAGAAAATTAACTTGCATTCCAATTATGAGAGGCTAATCGAGAGGAGTTAAAAAGGATATGTTTTCCTTCGATAAACCAGAAGCACCAAGCTAATTTGCTATGTTAAAATGCCTTTTCTTAGATCAAAACAACTAAAATTTCTTAAAGAAAGTTGAAGAACTTAAAAAATTACTCAAAGAAAGAGACTACTTCATAAGAATTTATGTCACAAGAGGTAAAAATATAGGTGGTGAAGGTTTTTCACCTGACTCTTATTTGAAGCTGAAGCTTGGAGAAAAAGTAGTTGACCTAAAGAGTAAAGATTTTTGTCAAATATAAATATATATTTAAATAAATTAAAAAAATAACAGGTAAGACATTACAATAAGATACAAACAACCCTGATTATTATATTTCTTACGACTTCGAATGCAAGCTTCCAGGAAGTGCTGTATTAGAAGTATAGATTTGGAATGATGTCATTGGCTCAGATGAAATGATTGGTAAAACTGTTATTGATATGGAAAATCGTCTTTTCACAGGTAAGTGGCTTTAATACCAAAGAAAGCCATTCGAAAATAGAAATATTTTCCCAGAAGATGAATCCGTTTCAAAGGTAATTTATTCATTTATCTTCATTGAAAAATATCTTTTAAGCTTCAAATCAATACAGTATTTAAATCTCTAAATTATTTATTTAAACAATTATCTTTGTCAGTTTTTTAATTTATTTATTTTATTGGCTGAATTTATTGATAATGATTAATTTTAATTAGGGTAATTTGGAAATGTGGGTAGAACTTATTCCAAAATCTCTCATAAAATAAATGCCTCCTTTACCTATTACTAAGCCTCCTAAATATGAATTTGAAATAAGAGTAATTGTTTGGGAAACAAAAGACTGCGTTTTTAAAGATGAAGCTGAGAAATGTAATGATGTGTATGTACGTATAGGTTTATAGAATAAACCAGATGAATATTAAGACACAGATGTTCATTGGAGATGTAGATCAAATGGATTCTTTAATTGGAGAATGAAATTCCGCTAATCTTATCCTTTGAACAATGATGAGTATGGTGGAGATAAGTTATTTGTAAATAAAATACTTTTTAATCTTTAACAAATTAGTTTATGATATGAAATTTCAGATTGCACTATCGAATTATTTTATTGAATTTTTATTTTTTTAATTAAATAGGTACAATTACTTGATAAAGATATAATTGCTTCTGATGATATAATTGGAAGCTGTACTGTAGATTTGAATTAGCACAAACTTATCGATAAGTAAATGATTTGAATTAGTAGAATAATTTAAAATAGATTTTTAAAAAAATATATAGATGTTTAAAGAGACAAAAAGCTGTTTAATTATAAATGAGAGAATTAAATAGAAAAGCAAAAATAACAGATAAAATTTGGTACTAAGTTTACAATCCTTTAGTAAGAGACAAAGCTAATAAGCCCATCATTTAAGGTTAAGTTTGCCTAAGTGTAGAAATAATGCCTGTTAATGTTTCAGAAGAAAAGAAAAATGGTTTAGGAAGAGATTCACCTAATAATTTCCCTCCATTAGATGAACCTCCTGGAAGAATGAAATTTGATATTTTGCATCCCCTTGAATTCATTAAGACTATTGTTGGCCCTGATCTGTATAAAAAATGCTGTGGAGTTTTTATATTTGTTTTTTGCTTTGTGATATGCTTCGGATTGGGTTGGGTTTTAATTTCTCAAGTTATAGCTAATGCAATTATTTGAATATTTAAAAGTTTTCTTTACTTGTAATATATGTTATATTATTATGGTTATAAAATTAAGATGCAATTATGTTTTTGTGATGGATAATCAATTAGATTCTAAACTAACAATAAAAAACTAGATAATATTGAAGATTGTATATAATTAGTTATAAATTTAATAGTAACTTAAATATATTTATAATATATTACATATGTTTTATATAAAGTATTTTAAAATGAATTAAGTTTCATTATTGGAAGATAGATAGCTAAGTATAGAAAGATAGATCGAAAGATAGAGTAGCGTATTTAAAGTATTTGAAGATCATTAGAACATTCAAATAAAATTAAATGTATTAAGCTATTTAGTTTACAGATAAGAGCTCTCTATACACCATTTTGAAGATAGAAATAAAAAATTTGTTTCATGTATCCTCAAACATTAGTTTAGATTAGATATTTTTTTACATCAGGCATTCTAGATAAGTGAGCATGATATTTTCTTCGTCATAATGATTTTAGGCAAATTTGATTCCAAATCAGAGTCATCTTCTACTTCGTTTATTATTTCTTAAGAAGAGTTGTTAATAGATTTTATATTATTGTCATTAGAATATTTTGGTGAGACAACACTATCTATTTTATTCTCAGTATTATTTTCGTTTAACTCAAAATGATTTGCTTTGATTAATTAAAGCATAGATTTAGCATCATTTTACTAGCTTTATTTGAAACTTTTGAGTGGAGAGACTAGCTGGACTATTGTATCTTCAAAAACTTGCTTTTAATTATTTTATTATGTTTTAATTGACTCTAGCCCATTATCTTAAAATTAATTATTACTCACAATATCTTCTTCTTTTTTTTCTTCTTCTATTAAGTCTATAAATTTAGATTTCACTCTTTGATGCTTGCTCTTAAGAATTATTTGTTCGTTTATTAGAGAGTCAAACCCCTACAGAGTTGATGAATCACTATCATCATCTTTGTATTAATCTGGCAGACAATACTACTAAACTTGTTTGTCAAGGAGAAGGTATAATTCATATGCACTAATTGTTTTGTTTTTTGTGCTTCTGTTAAAACTATTTTGCACAATTTTACTATCTTAATTGTTATCTATTTCAATAGCTCCTTATGTTTAATATTTTTATGCGTTTTATTAATTAATTGACTAGAAAAGATGATGGATACTTCTAAAGTTTTATTCAAATTACTAATTAATTTACTGTTCTGATATTTTCTAAGTTTTTAATAGTGTGTTTTCTATGTTACTTATTGTCTATTCTTGTTCTTGTATTATTTCCAATATCCTTTCAGAGTTAGTATTTTTTCTTTTTAAATATCTAGATTGAAAGCCTTCAGTTGTATTGTAAATAGACTCAGATAAGTTATTTTAGATAGAAGTATTATTTAAATTGTTGCTCTGTGAACTTGTATTAGAATTATAATTAGAGTTGCTATCAGCTTGCTTAATAGCTCTGTAATTGATGCTTATGTTTTTTTCTTGCATCTCTGAGATATCATCAGGTAGAGTTTTAGCTGAATTTATTCTATCTAAATTTTTTTAAGAATCATCGCCACCTAACTTCTTTTTTAAAAGACTTTTAGGAGAAAGAGGACTAGATAATTCTTTATTCACTATTTAAGTGAGATTATTTTTAATAGTGTTTTTTTTCTTTTCAAAAAGGTCTTCAGAGTATTTGCGAAAAGGACGTCTGTAATTTTCTGGTAGATCTAATTGCTTAGTTAGTTGTTCATCAATAACTTCTTTAATATTTTAAACAACTAAGTCTGATATCTGTTATAAATTTGTTTGAATTGAGTATTCTATTTCTTCTTCAGTTTTTTATTATTATTCTTTTGCATCATACTCCTACTCCATCAATTCAGATTCGTTTTGTTTTAATTCATAGAGTCTGTCATTTGCTGTTTACCCTTTAGATAAAGGATCATTAATAAAATCTCTAATTATCCCTTTAATTTCCTCAAAAACTTAGCTCTTATTAATAGCCTTTGAAAGGATCGTTTTAAATTGCTCCTAAGTTTCTACTTGAATCAAAGCATTTTTTTAAGGGTTTTTTTGTTGCATTTAAATATCTGTAGACAAACTAGGTTGTTGATTTTAAATTTCCTTTTGAATACTGTTTAGTGAACTCGTAGGTTGATCAGAATGATCAATTACATTTTTTTATTCAGTTAATTAATCTTTCTATGTTTCTTCTTATGTTAGAATTTTTTTTTTTGCTTTTAAACCTACAGACTCTTTGCGCTTATTTTATATTTTAGAATTGGCAGACTTTTAATCAATTAGTGAGGTATATAAAGCATCTTGATCGTTTTCAACTACTCCTGAATAAAATACAAAAAATTTTATAAATTTTTTAATCAGCCTTTTATTAATTGTTTCCAGTAGCTATTCATTAGTTTTAATTTCTATCTCCTCAGACTATCCCTCTTCGTCCTAAAATATTTTATTAATAAAACCAATAAATATATTAGAATCTCGATTAGCTGGAAAATAAATCATAATTTTCACAAATATGAAATGATTTTAGCATGTGAATATTTATTTGTTCTTTATCTATAACTAGATATTATGAGCTAAAATAATAATCTGGTAATTACTTTGTAAACTAGCCTAATTTAATTTGAATCTTCTAGTTTGAATATTTGATGCAATATCTCACAGATCTTTTACCAAGTTATCTCCTCTTTAGTAATCAATATCTTTTTTATATTGTCTTTGTATTAAAGCTTTATGAAAACCATTTCCTATTTTTTTAATCACTAATAAATAAATAGACAGACTGATTAGTCAATCAAGTCTAACTTTTTTAATTGCCTACTATTTATTAAAATCAATTAAATTATTATTCTATTTTCTTAGAGTTGCTCTTTAAAATAAACTATTTTGATTTTTTTTTCATTTTAATTAAAAATTTTCAGCACTAAATTTATCATAACATTTAATCATTAATTCATGCATATGTATGTAAGACTGACTGACTGACTGACTGATTACCTTTAAATTAAAAGATCATATTTGAATTATTTTTGATCAAATAATTTATTAATTAATTACACTGAAAGACACAATAATTCAAAAGAACAAAGAAGACTCTATAAATAATAAATATAAATTATTTTAAATAATTTTGATGAATAAACACAATAAAATGATACATAAATTATTTTAAGACTTCATATACACAACATATTTATATAAAACTTTGTTACTATTTTAATCATTAATTAAACTTAGTATCATTTAAACATAAATCATTATTTGATAATATCAGAGAGAGTGAGTTATATCCAAGAGCTTTAATCGGTTCTTGTATTTGAAAGAAATTAAATGTTAGTTAGTAATTTAAAAGGAGTAATCTTGATTTACTTTTTAAAGTCATTCTAAAGGTTTACTATACGTTCATTCAATTATTTTTCTAGTAAATAAAATCTATCTAATACCTAAAATAAATTTTATGTTAAATTGAATTTCTAATAAATGGTTTTATCAAGCTTTTTAATTTATATAAATGATTATTTAGTATTTTTTTATTTATTTACAACGAATTATTTTATTTTATTATTCAAAAATTAGAAAAATCAATTCTTAAATAATGATATAGTGGAACTATTATTTAAACTACATTAAAAAATTAAGATTTCATTTGTTATTTTCGTCATATAAAATAAATTTAACTCGCTTAGAATGTTTAAACTAATATATTATTTCATTATCTTCAGGTTTCGCTACTTACTTGTCTTAGACTATTTTTGAGAATTTATTGATGTATTTATAATTAATTAATTCATTTCTTAAATTTTCATATTTTTTACAATACTGTAAAATTTCGAACTTTTTTTTTAATTTGTTTTCAAGCAAAAAAAGATCATTGCTTTCTTCTTCTGATGAAAATAATTAATTGATATTTAATCCATTTTTTTTTAATTCAGAGTAAAACATATTTTTTTTATAACCGAGTGAAAGTCTCAACAGATAAAACATCACATATACATTAATATCTCTTTCATCATTGATAACTTACCAGTCTTTACAGTTTAAGTTAAAAGTATCCTCACTTTTTTCATTATTATTTTTATCTTCTATATTTAATATTTTAATAGCCAATCTTATGAAATTCTCATCAAAATTTTGATATTCATTTCTATCTAAATCATTATTTAAAATATTATTTCTATTTAAATCATTATTTAAAATATTATTTCTATTTAAATCATTATTTAAAATATTTTAATTTCCATTCTACTTTAAGCTGAAGTTCATGTCGTTTTCTTATAACTCTTTATCTAAACTATTTTAATGTATTAATTCGCTATTAAATTGTTCTATTTTTAGAGTTTACTAATCAAAATCATTACTTTAACAATATTAATATTTTTAATTATTCTCACAATATTCTTGTTATGTTGTCTGGAAAATATCAGTTTGTATGAAGCATTAGCTAGCTATTGCAGATTCACTTTAATTAGACTAATAAGTACTATTTCTAACTTCTTATATTGGATAAATGTTTTGTAAATTACAGGAGTTGACTATTCTATTAAGACTATTTTAATTACTTTATTCAAAATTGTCTAGTTCTTAATTATTTTTTCTGAGACTTTAATTTTTTTAGTAATTTTCTTCATTTTATCCCTTTTGTTTATTACAATAATAAATTAAAAAATAAACTTGAAATTATTTATCTATTTACATTGAAATTTTCTTCATGGTGTCTCTATAAAAAATTACATATTTGTTCATGGCTATTTAATAATTAATTTTAGTCTTGCTCTTCTTATGTATTTTAATTGCTGTTATTCGATAATAATTTAGAAAACACAAATTCAACATTTTCTAAATACATGTCTTAGCTTCTGTTTTATTTACTATTGCTCATAGATATTAATTTTGATTCATCATAAAAAATAGAATTGCTTGATTATTCTTTCTAGGATTCAGCTATTTAGTTCTAGCTATCATAGTTATTTTTAATTTCATTACTGTTATCAGGAGAATTTTCTACCAATTCAGATTCAACCTTTTCTACAAAATAACTTTAATAAAGATGTTTGATAAAAAGTTCTAACTATTTTACTTATAAACTATTTATTAAATTTGTTCTCAAATTGCTACTTTTCCCCATTTTTATGCATTTCTTCATCTTGGATTTCATAATAAATACTTTAGAAATAGTTTTGGTTTTTTAAAAAATCGTTTGTTGGTATCTTCAGAGATATATGTCTTTTCTCTTAAGGTAGAGTTTTTGTTAATTACAATATCGACTGTATCTCTAAAACAAGTTCTTCAGACTATATTCTGTTTTAAGGTTTAACATTGAGGCATTTTTAAATTAAATTGTTAACTCTTTCTAAAATATCGCTGTCTTCTATTTTTGTTAACCTCTATTTGTCATATGCCTAAAAGTTTTTAATTTAATTGTATATCATAGCTGCACTATGAGAACTAAAATACTATTTTTTTTCTATCAGCTCAAACAATATTGCTCCAAACGCCCAGATATCTGTTTCCTTAGTTTTATCACCCTCTTAATACGTCTCTGGACCCATGTAATTTGGAGTTCCTACTGTACTAGTAAAAATATCGCCCTCTTTACTCAACCCAAAATCTCCTATTTTTATATTATATTCAATCTTTTTGGTTTCATCATTTTTATGGCTGCTGACAAATATATTTTCCGGTTTTAAATCTCTATGGGTAATATTAAACCTATGTAAATCATTGATCCCACAAGCTATTTAATAACCAAATTCAATTGCAGTTTACCAATTAATCCAGAAAGTTAAAGAAAAGCTAAATAAATCGCACATATCACAAAACTCCATGATAATATACGAATCCTCCGAGTCCTCTTAGATTACTTCATATATTTCAATCAAATTTTTAGATTTAATTTCCATAATTTTCTTTGATATCTCTAATTCATTTTACTAGTACTTGTTCTTCCTTTATCCTTTAAAATAATTATTTTTACTGATAATACAATATAAACATTACCTTCAAATGTAAATGAGCTCACATACTTAACTGCAAATATTTTGCTATCTTCTTATCTCTCTGCCTTAAACACTACACTAATTGAACCATTACCTAATTACTAAGTTAACTTATAATTTCCCATTGAGCCAACTATAACCTTATTTAGCATTTAATTAACATTATTCATTGATTTATTTTTTATTCTACTAATTCTATTTAAGTCTGTTGATATCTTTTAATAACAAATACTTTATTTATCTAAAGATTTGCAAATAATTTTTCTTAAAGATGATCTACTCAGATTTTATCAAAGATAAGTTTTAACATGATATTTAGTAAAGGCTGTAACTTTATTTAAACAAAATAATTTTTTAATTTTAATAAAAACTATGGTATTTAACCAAGATATTACCTAGTTAATTCTGCCAAATAAAATAAATGAATAAAGAAGATCATGCTTTTATTTATTTCACATAAGCATTCTTAAATTCTTGAGATAAATAAAATTTTATAATTAGTATAAAAATAAAAATAAAACTTCATTATTTAATTCTCCTAAAAATAAATCATAATGGCTGTAAATTATCATAAAAATAAATAGCTTATTTCCTTAGGTTTTCAAGTAAAAGTATAAAAAGAAAAATCTAAATCAAAATTAAATTATTTTTTTATAGTGAAGAAGCAATAGTTAGCAAGTTGAATAGAATGATTTTAATATTTTCATGATATAGAAATATATATGTGTATTATTTAAACTAAAAAATAAAAATATATTTTTGATATATAAGGAATGAGTAATACATAATTGCAAATAAAATATTTTTGTTTATTTAATGTGTTATTTATTTATTATTTTACAGAAGAGATTGTTTTACTTTTTTGGTTAGTTAGTTAGTTATTTATTTGTTTATTTTTTTGTTAATTTTTGAAACCATTTTAATTTGGTTTTATTGGAATCAAAAAAGTTTGTGGATAAGATTTTTGGAATAGACGAAAGAAGAAGAGAGATTCAAAGTAACTTCAGAGAATTTAATCAATAAACAATTATATTATGAATAAAGATGACCCTGAAGTTTAAAAATATTTTATAATTTTAAACTAGCTAGCTAGCTAATGGTTGATTAATTGTTTTTTATAATTTATTGAAAATTTATTTTTAAATTTAGAAATAAAATTAATTGGCTAAGTTTATTATTTTGTTCATTTATTTTCAAAAACAATAATTTCATTCTTTTATTAGGATAGAAATTTGCCTCAGAGCTTCGTTTTTACTACAAAAATCAACCCATTTAACCAGAGATTCTATAGAAAATTACATCTATCCTGAGTTTGCTTGCTTTTTTAAGTTTTTGCTGTTTGCTAAGCTGGTACCAAGGCTAGGAGAAGATGTTTTCTAATGAGAGTTAAACATGAAATTGTTTTAATGATTAGTCAGCTAATTCTAATTTCCTACGTTATTTAAATTAGTATTTGCTTAAATTATATTTGAACTTCCAGCAGCATTAGGCTATTGAACTACTTAAAGTAAATTAGAATCACTCTTCTCAATTTTTTAGAAATAGATTAAAATTTACTCCATTTAGCTTTTTTCGAATACTTCTGAATGCCTTAAACACATAGCTATTCTCAAAGCAAGTTTAATTATTTTAAGTATTTGCTCTTAAGATCCATTGTCTTGTGAATATAAATTTTGCAATTTTTTAAATACTTGCATCAAGTTTTGCTAATATTTTTTCAGCAAGTCCTCTATATGTTTATTGTCTAATTATATTTTGTTTGGAATGCATTCCATCTCCTAAGGTATTTAATGATTTAAATCTACTTGAGCTTCATTTTGAAATAAATTAATTTTAGAAAGATTTTGCTAAGGTGCTAAAGTTGGTGAATTTTTTGATACAGCAGAAAATGAATAGGTATCTTAAATTTTATAAGGAATGTTTGTTTAGAGGGTGTGGTTATTTAAGGTTGGATTGTTTGTGCTGGCTTGGCTTATTTACTTTTGCTGCAATTTGAAAATATTGCCTTTTCTTGATTAATTATTTTCAGATTCGTCGATACTGTTCGCTTCTTAAAGCTAATTAAAAGAATTTCTTTTAAAGAAAAAATATTAATTTTCAATAGGATCTGCAATTTACTCTACGCCTTGATTTTTTAGTAGTGTCTGTGTAAAAAAGTATTAAATATAAATTCTATATAAGTCTTTTTGAAGTATTTCTTAGTATTTATCATGACATTGCTGAGTGAAGTATTTGGAAAAATCGCGTGAATCGATTTTTAAAAAGTTTTCTTTTTTTTCAATTTTTTAAAGAAGAGTCTTAGCAATATGAAATGCATTCTTCAATGAGTAATGTTCAGCTTTAATTAGCAGCTAGTAATCTATTATAGGAGTTTAATTAACAGTCTCTTGATAGATATTCCTTAGTATATGGATTGTTTGTTCTATGAATCTATACCTGTTTCAATACCAAAGAAAATCAATAAAAAGTAGAATTAAAAAAGGTGAATAAACTTTAAATTAGATTGATTTATTTCCAATTAATTCACGATTAAATCTGTAATCTATTACCATTTATTTATACTAAAAAACCATCATAATTAATTTTTTATTTGGACGATTAATTTTTTAACTAATTAAAGTAAATTAAAGTAATCATTAGAACAAATCAAAAGGCTTTTAATTAATGTATTTATTTATTACCAACTTAGTTAGATATATCAATAAAATTATAATTTCACTAGCTTTTTCTTGGTAAATTTTACATTTGTAAATACATTTCAAAATTTAATTTTTCATCAATCCTTTAAAAATTTATTCATAAATATTAAACATCAAAAAAACTTCTAATTCAAGATTGGTATATTCAAATAAGGCAAAGATTACAGATAATTTTGACAATCTAATTTTTACTCAAAACCACAAATTAAATGAAATTTTTTTCTGTGTTTTAACAAAACAATTTTCAAAATCTAAATATATAAATTTTACCTGTATATTTCTAAATCATAAAGAGATGAGATGTACTTTTTTTATTAATCCGCTTCTGGAAAAGAGAAAGGACGGGGAATAGAAAGTACACTAGAAAGAGAGTAAGAATCTAACATTTTCATGGCATTCTAGTCTTAATGAGGCTTAAATTAAAAATTCACCATTTTACATGCTTTTAAAGTAAAATATGGTATGCTGTTTGCTTCTTTGTGGTTAGAATCAAATTCCTCTATATTTTCAAAGTCTGTATCTGATTCAAAAAGATTATATTGAGGAGTTTTACAATGAGGAGAATTCGAATCATTTTTAGGAATGCCAATTTTTAAATTTTGCAACTATTTTCTTTTGCCAAAGCTGCTAAGCATTCCACCTCCCTCATTTTAAAAACTGTAAGGTTCTTCGATAGTAAATTTTTTCTTATGAACTTTATTTGTTTGGGGGCTATCGAGTTCTAAATTTATACTCATTGTGTTATTCATGCTTTGATTTTGGGGAATTTTATAGTTATTTTGTTATATTATATTTGATTAGTTTTTGACTAAATCTTAATTTGGTAATTCTTGATTTTCTTAATTTTCATTTGAAAGAGAACACTTCTTTGAGTGAACTTTTTTTACTTAAAGGGTGGGAGTTGATATCATAATGGATATATTTTCGTTAGACTTAAAATCATCAAACACTTCTCCAGAATACATGGAACGTGCTGATACACCAGGCAGACCATTTAAATTTAAAATTCCTCCATTTTATTTAAATGTAGGTGAAAACTATTACAAATTGATTGTGGGGAAGTTCTTTTCTTCATGAAAGTAAAATAAAATGGATTCACCCATGTCAAAGTTTTTAACTTTCAAGAATATTTCATGATTGCAAAGCTTCCAGAAGCTCATTCTGTTTTTACTTTAATAAGCAAAGAGGCCTTAAAATATTTCAGTGAGCATATTCATAGCCTACTGGTTTGTTTATAGAGTAGATGGTTTTTGTATTTCCTTTTCCTTAAGAAACAGATCTAAAGCGAATTATTTACTGTACGTATATTTTTTAATTTCATCAAAATCTTTGAATGGCCATGTGTTAAATATCATGAAAAACAGCAAAACTCCTAAGCCCCAAATATCACATAAATGACTGCCTTAATCAGAAGTACGCTCGTAATTCTCAGGAGCCATAAATTCTCTCATTTAATATTATTATTTTCCATTGTAAAGCATATATAGACCATAGTCAGTAATCTTTGGTTTGTTATTATGCATTAGTATATTTTGAGGTTTTAGGTTTCTGTGCTGAATATTATTTTTATGTAAAAATTTGAATCCATTTAAAATATGAGCAAATAATTCAATTGCTTTAAAACAGTCTAAGCGTTTTTCAGGTTGCTTAAGCATGTATTAGAGTAAGTTGCCTTGGTTGCAGTATTCCATCGATATAAATATATTAAACGGGTTTTAAAAAAATTCATAAATCCTAACCACATTATTATTTCCACCATAATCTAAATGTTCCATTTTTTGCATTAAATTATAAAAGCTCTCCATGCTTTCGAGCTAGTTTTTGTTGATCATCTTAATAGCATAATACTCTTTATCCTTCTTTGCTTGAAATACAGACCCTATATTTCCATTTCCTTTTGTAAGTAAAATTTCATATCCATTGATGCAAATATTGTCACTGCTTTCCATTATTGATTGATAGTTAAATAGTTTTTATTTTTTTTATAAAGTTATAGATTTATAATCTTTATTTAAATAATTAAACGAATTCTATTTATCTAGGTGATATTTAATGAAGCGAAATTTGCTATTTTTTAAGTTATCAGTATTTCTCGCCCTTGCTTTTGATACTTAAATCCTCTTCTACTTGTAAAAATATATATTTACAAATCTTCAGCTTTCTGACTATTAGTTAATTCAATGATTATTTATATTAAAAATTTAATTATATGGTTAATTTTAAGTTAATTAAGCAAGCTATTAAATATTCAGTATTTTTAAAAGAATTTTATTAAAATATTAGTTGCCATAAGCTAAAATTTAGGTAGCTCATCTAGCTTATACTCTCTTGCAAATCTTATTTCATTGCGATTTTTATGTACTACTTACTTAAAAAATGCTAGTTTACACTTCAAAAATTTAATGTTAATATTTTGTAACTAGTTGAAATTGTATAAGCAATAAATATAATATAATAAATTTAGTTAGTTTTTTTTCATTTGAATAACAGAAAGAAGCAAGAAGTTAAATTTAATTTCAGATAACTCTTTATTAAAATCGCCTTTTTTTATAAATATAAAAGCTTTGGTCACATAATAATTTGGGTTTTTTGGTAGTTTTAATTTATCTCTATTTTTAATTACTAAAATACTTAATGTAGAACTCTAACTATTCCAATTTTTAATTCAAGGAAGTGTATTTTTTAATTACTATTCTCAGAAAATCCTTTACATATTTTATTTTCCTATTTAAAAGGAATTTAAAACAATTCATTTATTTCTGTCTATTTCTTGTTTTGTCTATTATTTCTTAACAAATAAATAAATTTCCATCTTTTGCCAATTTTTCTTTTTGTTTATAACAAAACGAGTAAAAACTCATGTAACTTTAATAAGCATCTGCTTAATTCTAATAGAATATTAATACATTTAAAGTGTATAAAGTAATATCTTAAGTAAGTATTTTTTCAATGCTTTAACTATTTTAGAGGTTAAAAATTAAGATTACTTACTTACTTATTTTACTGATCCAGAAATTATTCTCTTTTTAATTTTATAAAGTAATCTACAAAAAAATAATAGCCCGCCGTGGGGCTCGAACCCACGACCACAAGATTAAGAGTCTTGCGCTCTACCGACTGAGCTAGGCGGGCAACACAATAATTTTTTAAGTAAAAATTTATATTTTTGTAAAATCTGTTATTCTCAAAAACTTATTTTTTCATATAAAAATCGCATAAAAATATTCCTTAATATGTTAAAAATTATAAACATTTTAAATTTTATTTATAATAAATATACATTTTACAACAATATTATTGATAGAGTTAAAATTAAGCAGCAATAAAAAAAAAATATTAGCCCGCCGTGGGGCTCGAACCCACGACCACAAGATTAAGAGTCTTGCGCTCTACCGACTGAGCTAGGCGGGCAACACAGAAAAATTAAAAAAATAAAATTTTCTGTAACTAATTTTTTGCAGTGAACTCATAAAGAATTTGAATAAAAATAGTTTATTGAACTAATTAATATTTAAAAATAAAATTATTTAATTATTGAAAGAAATACTTTGTTATATAAATTAAAAATTATTAAATAAAACAAAAAGAAATGCAAAATAAAATAATAATTTCTAAATTATCAAGCTAACTCATCAAGAAGCTTTAAAGGATCTTCTACATCCATTTTGTTGTTGTTAATAGCTTTGTTTGCATTGTTATTATTATTATTATTATTATTAAAATTAATTGATGCATTATTATTTTAGGAATTTATGTTATTGTTATAGCTTACAATATTTTATGCATAGTTTTAATTTTACTCTGCTGGAAATCCAGCTTCTTCTAAATATTGTTGTAATTGCAAATCTATTTCCTCCTTTTATTGTTAATCTAACTTATTGAATTCTTGATACATGTCTGTCATTTCTTATTCTTAAGCATTAATTTCTTCAAATTATTCTTTTATATCTTCCATTAATTATATGTCAACCTAATTTTGTTTAGCAGTAGCAACGCCCTAGTTTAATACATTTAACACTCTTTTATTTGTAATTGCATCCTCTACTTACAATTTGTTCTTTTTGAGAGTTTGTTACTTATTTAGAGTTGTTTCAATAGTTTTTTGTATAATGAGATACTCTTTCAAATACTGTTATTTCTTTGCCTTTTCAGTTTCTTTGCATTCCAAAATTTTATTCTTTAACTCTTGCAAATTTTCATTATACTTTGAAATATTTTTTTCTAAGATTTAAATATTGTATTCTAATTAGAAAACAACAGATTAGTTTGTGAAATAATCTTCGTTCATTTATGATTTTTTATCCTTGTCATAGAAGATGATCTTTTTTCCTATTTCCTTGTCCCCAAAGTATTTAACTTAGCCATCTTTTTCTAATAACTCTAAAAAGAGCTTAACTTCTCCTAAATTTAAATTTATCTTGGATGCTTATTGTAAGATATCACTTTCAAAAGAAAAATGATCATTATACCATTGTTGATTGCTTAAAAACTCTATGAATTTTTTAAAGTGTTTCACAATCAATTTTTTACTTACAATAAAATTATTTTATTCTTATATTTCAGTAATTTATTGTAAAATTTGAGGGTTTTGCATACTGCTATCTTCCTCATCTTATTTTTATGACTTAAAGTAATTGAAAATGTTTAATTTTTAGAACAACCCTGCTTTCTTTTATTGTTTTTCTTATTAATTTTTCTCATATTCTTTAATCTTTTCTTGATCTTTTAGTTCTTTAGCAGTGTCTAAATTCAGCATTTTCATTAATTTTAATTTGTTCCCAGCATATGAAAAGTTATTTTCTTAGGCAAGTTCTTCAATTACTCTTTACAAGCTCATAGGTTAGAATCCATTAAAATTGAATACTTAATGAATATATTCAATAGAAATAATACAACTTTTTTCATACTTTTTCATAAATTGCTCAATGGATTTTCCCCAAAATTCATGCATTTTTTATTTCTAATTATCAAATTCATATTATGCAAAATATGGTATTATTTTCCTTTTTTCCCTAAATTCTTCAATATCTAAGAGAACTTGTGCTACATCTTCAGGAACCTTTTTCATATATTCTGGAACCTAATGATTTTTTATATTTTAAGATGAACTATTGCTAAAACTTTCTTCTTCCATTTTCTTTCTTAGTTTATAATAATTTATTTGATTAATATTAAATTTGAAATTCTTTTAAATTATTGATAAATTTTGTTAGAAATCTAAAATTTGATTATTGGCTCCTTCTTTGATATAAAACCCTTACTAAAAAATTTATCAATGATTTTGAGGAAAAAAACAATTAATTTTTTAATTTTACTTAAAAACTTATGATTAATTTTTCACTCACTTAAAATCAACTTATAGTTTGAAATTTCAAACTAAATATTGACTTAAATAAACTGGCTGGATATATTAATTCTACTTTCATTTAAACCAAATCAAATAAATATTTTTATTCATTTTTTGTTAAAAAATTTTATTTTTATAATTTTAAAAAGCTGTTTTTTTTATATAAATTAAAATAGTCTTTTTTTAATTTAAACTATTAGGAGTAAACACATTACCATTTTATATATAAATTATTATTTAATTAAATGAAAAAGTTTGTTTATAAAAAAATTAAATTTATTTTAATCATTTAACTACTACATAAATAATAATATAAGAAGAATATATTTAATATTTAAAAATTATTTTTATATAAATTCATTACAATAATTTTTAGCAAATTTTGTTGTTTTTCAACTATCCTGTGTGATATAATTCTTTATATTTATCTTTTGAAATTAAAAATTCTTCAGGTTTATCTGATTCGAGCATAAAATTTGGATTAATTTTTATTGGTGGCCTTTTAATTGATTAATAATAGTTAGATAAAATATCAAAAAAAAAAAAATACCATGAATTTTCAATATTTGGGTAAGCACCACCAAATTTGGTTTCCACCTGGTTCTTGTTAGTATGAGTCCATAAGCCCTTAGCTTCAGATGTTTTTTCAAATTATATTTTCTCAATAGTTGTTTCATCCAGTAAGGCTTTTACTACACCCCAAGAAAAAGTTACAGAAGTTGGACAGTTAACAGCATATAATCTGAATAGTCTACTTTTGTAATGATCCATAAGATAGACAATAATTTTTTTATGAGTCTGATTTATTTAAGAAAAAATGATAAAAAACAAAAAATATTTAATCAAATTTATTGAAATGAAAATTTTGTTAATTATTCCTAATTAAATATCTGTTTGATTAATTTGTTAATTCAATTTCCATAACAAAAAATCCTATTTTTAATGATTAGTTTTTTTCAGGTATATTCAATAATATTTATGACTATAAAAAATTGTAAATATTGACTATAGTTTATTATGATTTCTAGATTTTTAATTTAATAAAAACCACGTTTCAAGTGAAATTAGTTATTAAAATGATAACATAATCTTTAAACTTTAAGTAAAAACGTACACTTATTGGTAAACTGGTGAAGCCCATATTGTTAAGATCTTAAATGATGACCCAATTCTCAACTTAGCCAGGCAAAAAGAATTGATTCACTATAATTTCTATAAAGTAAGTTACACCATCTATGATCTATTCTAAAGTGTATAACTTCATATCGATCTTGTAAATATTTAATACAACTATAGGTCTAAATCTATGGTCGATACCTGATAGATAACAGATACCTGATTGCTATTTTATAAAATTAAACATTTTTTCAATGTTTTTGTCTTATTCAATAAAAATATTTTATTATTTTTAATGCTCTAAATAAAGTGCATAAACTAATGTTGCTATTAAAAAAATTATACCAAAAATTAAAGAGTTAAATCTGTCATTTTAGGAGGTAATGAAGTAGAGATCCATTAATTTTAGTCTTGAATTGAAGAAACTGTTTTATCAAATTTAAAATTATTTGCTTCTAAAAATCTCAATTTCATAGAAGGTGTCCATAAAAGGTCATTTTTGCAACAATCCTGTTTTTTTTCTACTAAGTATTAATCAAACTCTTTCACCTTTTATTCTTCTTCATCTATCATCTTAATATGCCCATCGAAATACCACCTTAAAATCTTAGATTTAGATTTTTAAACATACTAACATTCCTCTAAGTTTTATATAAAAAATGCATTAATGAACAACTCTATTAAAAAATAAATAAGTGCTTCTATCAAATCCAAAATGATTTAAAATTAAATGTTTTGAGTAGTAAAATAAATTAAATAGTTTTAAATTACTAGGAGGAAAGTATAAATAAGCTTCAGGAGGTTATCCTAAATAAGAAAGATCAGGATTTACTAAATTCTGAGATTAAGCTTAATTTTCCATCCTTATATTTTAGTTGGCTTTAAGTAGTGTTTTGCTTTTTCTTTTTTAGCTTTATTTCTTTAAAAATAAATTTTGATTATATACTATAAATTTATTTAGAATTAAACGAATGAACTTAAATAAAAGATTTGTTTGTTTAATAATATTTTCAATTGTCCTTCGAGCAGAAAATTTTGTTAAAGATTCATTTAATGTTTTTTATTACAATTTTATGTGTATTATTGTGTACATATTTATGTAAAAAGTACAATAAATTTTTCAAAATGAGTAAGTTGATTTCTGTTCATGAATCGACCTTATCAAATGTAATGATCTGATTCGAATTATATAAGCCTTTTGTAGATTTTAAATTTTTCTTCACTTTTTATTAATTCACATGTTTTTTATTTCATATTTTATTATGATTAATATTAAAGTCAAAAAAAAATTTATTTGTTATTGATAAATATTTGTTTAAATAATTCAAAAAATTTACTCTCATTTTTTAATGAGTAGCAATAGTAATTTTTGGCTTTAAAAATAAATTTAAAATGAGATTAATCTCTTTAACTAAAATTAGGCAAAAAGCGTTAGTCTTAGGTGGAGTATTTAAATCTCTTACAATTATCATTACATAAATTAAAAAGATATTTTTTATAATAAGTTTGAAAATCTCATTACTTTTAAAATAAATTTTATAATAAAATTACTCATATAAATTAATTTCACCATATTTATTTTCAAATTCTTTTAAAAGAAATATAAATTTTAGATAATTAGCATAAAAAATTAAAAGAAAAATCTTTTAAAAATTTCTATAAATAAATCCTCTTAAAATTAATTTTAAATGAGATTCATGTATATATGTCTTTAACTAAAATCAGGTAAAAAGTTAATATAGCTTCGAACTATTAAATATTTTGCAAATTTTTTAATCTTATTTTAAAAATAAATATTGTTAATTAAATTTCATCAACAACTAAAATAAATTAAATTCTTTAATGAAATAAGATAGCTAAATAACTAAAGAATTTTAATATTTAAATTTTAAAAAAATCTTTGAAAATAGATTGGTTAACTCAAACAATGTAAATAGTGAATAGAGAGAGAACAAATGAAAAAATATTTAGTAAATATTGGTTATTTTTATTATATATTTTTTTATATACCTTAAATACATGTTAATGAATATAGTTGTTTTAAATTAATTATGTTTAACTAAGTGTATTGGTTGGTTAGTATTTTAGAGTAATATATTTTAGTAATTAGGAAGATTTTTTTTAATTTTCAGGCTGCTGCCATTTCATAAATGAGTGCATTTTCGTCATGAAATCTTTTGGATTTCTTATTACTGATTTTTATTTTAAAAGGTAAAGCAATAATTGCTATCATAAAAATGAGGTAGAAAATGTAAAAATTGTTAAATTAGTTAGCTTTTTCATAAATACTTCTTAGAGGATTATACTCTAAAAAGCAATTATCTTTTATAGAGGTTTTGATATATGACAAATCTTAGTGTAAAGGATAAAAACTGTAAAGATCTAGTATAGACAAAGCTTAAAAAATATAAACACAGTACTTTAAGTTTTTCTTTTCTTTTATTAAGACAGTAGAGATAAATAAAAAGGTAATGAATAGGAGAACATTTCCAGTCAAAACAATTAATTTGAATAAAGTGGAGTTAGAGTATAGTACATAGCTATCAAAGAACAGAAGAGCAGAATAGCATTAGGAATCTAATGATATTTAGTTTTCTATATAAATTTTTACAAAAAGTGGGGTACTCTACTTATCGCTTATATTTTAATTTTTTTCAAAGCTGTTAATTTAGAAAGAAATATTTGTATCACTTTAGGGTAGATGCTCTTGATTTTCTTTTAAGAATTTAATGTCCACAGCAGGAGTGTAATGAGGATTGCTTCTTTTAATAAACAAGCTAAAGTTTGAATCTTTACTTATCTCAACTTTTTCATAACTTTCTTCTTGATTTTAATCAGAAATAAAAAATTCTGAAATTGGGCAAAGGTTGGAGTGAATTTCTGGTTAAAAATTAATTCCTTTATATTAACAATAATTGTCATCTTATTATTAATTATTTTTTCCTGCTAAATTAGCAAAGCTAAAGAAATTATAAACTTCAAAGCAAATTTGATAAACTCTAGTTCTTGAGTTTTTATCAGTTATTGATATGGTTCTTAGAATAAACGTTTCATCATCATAGTCAATAGTCCCCTGAGCTTACATTGACTTTCCAGAACATTCACTTTGGTCTTCTACAATTTTAATGTTCATCAAGTAATTTTTGTATAAATTCTGTTGCTAGTCTATAATTTTTTCTTAGTATTAATCTATCTTTTAAAGGAAATAGAATTAAGAGTACATAATAGCTCCGAAAATTATATTTAAAGCTAAGAAAATAGCTATCTTATTAATATTCTGAGTTTTCATTCTTCTTAAATTTATAATTGTACTTATTTATATCTAAAAATTTTTAGAATTACTTTTACTTTGAGAATAATTAATTATTATAATCACACTCTTAGCTTATTATCCTATTTAATGTAAGGGAATGATTAGTTATTAAAAAAATTAATATTTTAAAGGTGGAATTAATTAAAAGATTTATAAACAAAGATATTCTTGTCTAAACACTAATCCTACCCGCAAGAAAGCTAAAGAGCAAGGATAAATTACCTGATTTTTTATATGAATATTATAAAACCACCAACCTACCTAATTCATTTTAAAGATATAAAAAAACAATAAAAAGAGAGAAAAAAGTAATAAGTGGTAAGAATATCACTTTGAGATCAATTAATAAGTTATGTTTTCATTAGGGAAAATATTTATTGTTTAATAATTTTTCTTTATAATTTACATTTTTTTAAGTAATAGACTCTACAAAAGAAATCAGTCAATAAATTAATTTGGATACAATATTAAAAAAATAATGATTTTATAGTAGAATTGATTATTTTATAAACGCGCTATGAAACCAAAATATTTGGTATGTTCTTGATAAGATTGCAATTATTTTCGAAATAATTTTTTTAACTTTAGAAAAAGTAAAATATTAAGTAATCATCCCTAAAAACAGAATACTTTTTGGTTAGCGATTATGTAGTTAAATTAAATGTATTTATGAAAGAATATAGATCAAATAAATTACTAAGTGAATTAGTAATAAACATATCATTTAATAAAATATAATTCAATCTCACAAATGCTAAAACAAGTATATTACAATACAAGGATTTAAAGAGATTAGACATATTTTCTAATTACAAAATGGAGTATTTTAGAATTTTTAAATTTACAAAAATAACAATTTAATGTAATCGATATCATAAAATGTACTCTTGAAGTATAATCTTAATAATTTAAAATAGATAAAAAATTCAAAATTCAAAAAAAGCAGAGAAAGAAAATAAAGTGCGTATTTTATCAAATCGCGATACAATTTTTAACAATTTATTTCTTTTTACTATTTTGAAATATATCTGAAATAATGTAAATTAATTCCACCAAAAGATTAATAATCATACAGTCAATCCTTACTTTCGAACTTTATAATTATTACCAAATCAAAATGAATTTTATAAATATTTGTATATATAACAATTAATAATTGTTGTTCTTATATGATTTATAAACACAAGTACACCACCAAAAAAATTAGAGCATAAAAATACAAATTCGAAACTAAATAAAATATCTCTAGCTAAATAATTTAAAATATCAAAAACTTAGCAAATAAATATTTTTATTTCTTACTTTATATTTTTTTATAAAAAAAATCTACTAAGGAGTATCAACAACTTTTAATTGAAATAAATTTGAGGTAGTCTGTTTTTGATTTAAAGATCTTACCAAAAAATAATTTATTATTATATATTCTTATATAAAAATAATAAAACGAATTAAATTTTCCTAAAAATATTTTGACTATCAATTTTTTTCTAAAATAAATTAAATTTATGGCATAAAATAAAATCTTTTAAAAATATTAAATAAAAAACTTCTACATTTATATTACAATGTTAAAATTCAAAAATTTATAGATAAATTTTTTTATTAAAATTTGATTACTTTTATAAATTAAAAAACAGTGTAATTTTAAATTGTCTATATCTTCTCATTTTATAGAGCAATAATTAATTAAAAATTTTCACAAAAAAACTAAAAAAGAATGACTAAACTAAATTTAAATATTAGATAAAGTAGCTTTAGGCTGGATGTATTTTATGTTATTTATCTATATTATTTTATTTGTTCTTTTAATTTTAATTTATTTATTTTATTTTTATTTATATTAATTTTATTTATTTATTTAATTATTTATTTTTATTTATTTAATTTATTTTTATTTATTTATTTATTTATTTTATTTGTATTTAAGATTTAATTTTATCTGAGTTATCATCATCTATTTTTTAGGTTAGTTAATATATGGTTATTGGTTTTAAAAAATTATTCATCAATTATTCATCATCATCATAAAATTATATCATCAATCATTTTTTGTTTGGAAGCATTTTGAAAATTATTTATTTAAAAAAAGAACGGGTTTTGAGAACCATAAAATCAATTTTAAACAGGGTTGTTTGGGTGGATTGGGATTGCATAAAAGATACGAATTTTATTGATATATTTATTGTCCATCGTTAAAAAATTCGATTTATTTCTATTTATGTGGTTTAAAAACTTAAATTTTTTATTGAAAAATCTGTTTAATCTCATGATCTTATGATTATTTGGTACCCTTTAATCACTATCAAGATGCGAATAAGAATAAATTGATCTAAATTGCATTAGCTCTATTCTTAGAGGAAAAATTATCAAGTTTCTACCATCTTGGTTATGATCGATTCATGATAGTAGAGCTTAAATAATTTTTAGTTTCCTTTTAAAAACTAGAATAGTTCTTATGATCTCCTTCACAATTTTGATATTCTTTCTTGATGTGATTTTTCAAATTTTAGTTTTCTTTTATTTAATAATTATTTATTTATTTAATTATTTACTTATTTTTTAAATTTCAATTTTTTTGAGAAAGGGGAAGAAGTGTATATATACGTACATACAAACATATTTTACTAAAGAAATTTTTAATTAAAAATAAATAAATAGTTAATATCTAAGAATAAGACTATTTAGATGAATAAAATTAATTAAATATCTTTATGTTGACCTATAATCATCTCCCACGTTAAATATAATTATTGATTTATGATAAGTAAATAAATCAATAGTTAATTGCTTTTATTATCTATATTCATTTTGAATAATTAACAATTTTATTAAAAGTTTTGTTTATCAGTTTTAACCAAAGTTTGGAATAAGTAAAATGATTAGGAACATAGGAGAAAAGATATTATAAAATAAGAAAGTGTTAATGTTAATAGAAAGGCTATCGTAAAATAATTTTAGAATACCATTAACGAATTAATTTAATTTGTTCATTAACAAAATACTAGCTTTTTAGTATTGTTAGCAGGTATTTTGTATACTACTTATGTAGCAAATGATTCTGAGTACTCAAAAATAGAAGAAAATGCGCTTAGCCCTTCTCTAGGTAGAATGAATACATAAAATCCAAATCTTTTAGATTACTTCAAGTAAATTTCTGAAAGTATGGCAAATTACACTGAATAAAAGGAAGTCCTCTAGTTTTTAGAGAAATTTTTTGATGAAAATAACATGGAATATCAAGTATAAAATTTCACTTAAAAAACTGAAAATGGAGTTGAATAAAGATAAAACATAGCCGGCCTTTATCGTTCTAAGAGATCTAACAATTATGAGTGCAATCTTATCTCATTCGATATCAGTAACATATATTTTTAAATTTTGAAATGATTTATAAATATTTAAATTAATTATAAAAACAAATAAATATTTTATTAAACTATATAAAATCTTTTATTTAAATCAGATCCTGTCCATAAAAAGATTAGCATTCCATTTGCTTTAGCTTTTGCCAAGTATTATGAAAATCACAGTAAATATTTTAGAGATTTAAATATTATAAAAAATGAAATGCTGCAATCAAATAATATATTTTTGTTTATCAGAAGTAAACTATCTTTCTAGAGACATTATATTCTTAGGCTATGATAGCAGGGGTAAGAAATACGGATACTCAGTAGAGCAGTTTATTAAAGAAAACTTATCAGAAAGTAATTTATCAAAATAAATTAATATAATCGGAAATGTTTTTTCATTTTATAAAAGATTCTCAAATTCCTAAGTGTGGAGTGATTAGACAAGCATTAAACTTAGATTTGGACAGTAACTTCCAATAGTTGTATTTAAAGACTTGTAAATATTAATTTTTAATTTATTTGTAACGAATAAATTTATCATATAAAATTTAGTGGGTTTTGATGGAAAAGTTCCTGATAGAGATTATTTTTTAGGTTTTAATAATATGATGCATGAGGCTCTTTCTGAATCTGGTTTTAAATATTCTGAGATATCTTTTAAAATTCCTAATATGCTAGGAAATTTCCTTGAGAGAATTCGTAAACTAAAAATTTAATATACTTAAAATGAATAATTTGCATAATTTAAAATAGTTCACGAAGTTGGCCAACAATTATAGATGGTTTTCCCATTGGATTTCTTCAAAAACTTCAAGTATTTCTTCCATATTTTAATGTCAGGTATTTATGGAGATAAGCATGACGCTCATTCTTAAATGATTTATCATGGAATATAAGCAATAACAATCAAAGGAAAGTACAATCCTAAAATTTAGACTGATAATTCAAATACAATTACTCAACTATTTAATGCTGTAGAATCAAGCTAAAGAGCTAACTTCTCTCTTGATGAGCAACTACACGCAGGATCTACTTTATACTATCCATTGACAAAAAATAGATAGATTACTATTAAATTACTGCCTATTAGCATTATCTTAGTATGTGCTCCTTTTGCTATTTAATATTTAAAAGAATATTTTAATAAGAAAAATGATCCATAAACTAACTTAGTAAAAATCCATGCTAGAACCCTTATTGGCGTATTCCACTCCTTTTTCATGCTTTCTCTTCCTACTGTTGCTTAAATTTTATATCCTTATGTTTTTCCTAATTCAGGGGATCCAGTATTTTGTTAAGATTGGTCTTCATTTAGCCATCCTTAGTTATTAAATGTAAAATAAATTTATTTTTTTTTTTAATTAACTAATTTAAAAATGTTTATAATTAATTAATTAAATCAGCTATTTTATCTTCTCGCAGCTTTAATTATACTGACACGTTTATTATTTAAAATAATTCTTGAATACGTAGTCCTTAAAGGAATTCTAAAATGTAGTTTAAAAGAAAGTAAATCAGATGGCGATTTCTCTGCAACTGCAAATGGCTTAATATTAGGTAAGAATAAAAATTTAATAAATAAATAGATAAATAAAAATGTAATTTTTTGAAAAATAATTAGGTCTTTTTACTATCATTTATCTGTTTATAAATACTAGCATAGCTTATATTTCAATAACACTAATGTGTCCATTATTTTACATTTCAAAACCCTTAATACCGAGAAGTGCAAAAGATTTTTTAAGAACAGTTGCTATCTTTGCTTGTTATTATTTAGTCTATACCGCTATTAGTTAATTCTAATTAAACTATTTAAATGAAACAATTGAAGCTGTAATTACTCAACAATGCATACAAACAAGCAAAGTATGGTTTGCTCTATGTATACTATTCAACTTAGTTTGGAACAAGATAGAAATATATTTAATATGAAAATTATAATATCATTATTACAATTTAACTAAGAATGTATTTTTATGCAATTTTCTAATAGTAAAAAAAGTAATAATTAAAATAAAATCATATTAAATATATATATTTATTCATTTAAAAAATAAAATATCCTATATCTATTTACTTTTAATTTAATCATATTTTAAACTTTTACTAATTTATTTAATTTATTCCCTTAACTGCTTAAACCACTAACTAACTAACTAACAAAAGGTTTTAAATCAAATTAATAAAATTAGTTGATTATTTTAAACTTTTTATTTTTTTGCTAACCTTAAATTAATAATTTTGAAGATAGTTAATGAAATAACAAATTTACACAATCTATTTAAAAATAAACTTGTTAATCTAATCTTAATCAAAATTTTTTTAAATTATTTATTTTTTTGCTAACTTCAAATTAATATTTATGAAGATATTTAACGAAATAAGCAAATTTACATATTCTGTTTAAAAATAAACTTGTGAATCTAATCTTAATCAAAATTTGTTTTAATTTTGTTTTTCTATTTAAATAAAGAAATATAAAGTGTCTGAATTTTTTTTCTTTAATCTTTTCAAATATAACAATAAAAATTATTAATGAAAAAATTTTAATGAAAGTGTTAAATTGTGAAATAATTATTTTATTTTTCAAAAATTAAATTATTCAATAAAATTTTATTTCGAGGATAAATTTATTTATTTTTTTTAATTTTAAAAACCTTTCCATTCTTTTAATGCAAATAATTACTTATTTTAGAAAATTTATATCTTAAGCTATTAACTATTGGTTTTGGATGAAATTGACAGATTAGTTGATTATTTTAAATTATTTATTTTTTTGTTAACCTCAAATTAATATTTATGAAGATATTTAACGAAATAAGCAAATTTACATATTCTATTTAAAAATAAACTTGTGAATCTAATCTTAATCAAAAATTTTTTTAATTTTGTTTTTCGATTTAAATAAAGAAATATAAAGTGTCTTAATTTTTTTTCTTTAATCTTTTCAAATATAACAATAAAAATAATTAATGAAAAAATTTTAATGAAAGAGTTAAATGGTGAAATAATTATTTTATTTTTCAAAAATAAAATTATTCAATAAAATTTTATTTCGAGGATAAATTTATTTATTTTTTTTAATTTTAAAAACCTTTCCATTCTTTTAATGCAAAATAATTACTTATTTTAGTAAATTCAGTCTACAAACAACCAAAGACTTGTTCTTTATAAATTAGAAAATATAAATTATTCATGCATTGATCTTGTGTTGATATTTAAGATAAAATATAATTCTTTTATATTAAGTAAATCAATTAGCTTAAGCTAAAATGTGAATTAAATTTCAGATATACTTAAATTTTATTTATAATTTTTATACAAATAATAAATAAATACACTTAAAAAATTAAAAATATGAATAAAGCTGCTAAATTTATAGTTCTAATTAGTATCATTTATTTAGGAGTTATTGCAAAAAATAACAATTAAGGACATATCCATTCAAAAACATTCTAGTCTAAGGTAATTAATCCTCTCTAGTACGTTAAAGAGCTTCCTGATACTTGGCTTTGGAGCAATGTTAATGGCATTGACTATTTGACTTTCGGACGTAACTAACATATCCCATAATACTGTGGTTCTTGCTGGGCTTTTGCAGCTACTTCAGCTCTTTCAGATAGAATTAAAATAGCCAGAAATGCTACATTCCCTGGTAAATATAAATAAAGCTACCCCATAAAATATATTTTTGAATATATTTTTTTAGGCTATTCAAATAAAAATGGAATTTTTGAAAATAAGGTTTTTGTAAAATTTACTTTAAGTAGTTGATTGCATTTCTTAATTTTTAAAGATTTGTTAAAGTACTATCAATTACATTTCTTAAAAAATTCTTAATTTTCCTAACCACAAATTATGATTTAATTATTTTAATAACAAAAAAAAGCCACAGAATTCATTAAATTAAATCGATATAAATACAAAATTTACACCTGCATGAATTAAATTTAAATACAATACTAAATTATTAATTTATAAAAAGTTAAAGGTGTTTTTAATTTACTTTACATTAATTAATTATTAACTTGACAACAAAAATTCTTTAATTTTTCTCTTCAATTTTATAATTTAATAACCTTATTTCATAAATTTACATTATTACATCTGTTTTTGTTTTTCTTTACAAAGTGAAAATTTTTAATTGAATTTAAAATTATTAACTAGATATCAACCTGTCTCCTCAATTCTTATTAAGTTGTTAACAAGATTAGGAAGATTTAGGATGTAATGGTGGTGATGCTAGAAATGCATTTGCTTGGATTCATTCTAATAATATTACAGATGAAACTTGCTCGGTTTACAGAGCAAAGGGATATACTAATGGACAAGCTTGTACTTAATAAATAAAATGCCAAAATTGCTCCCCCCTTATTGGATGCAAGAGTCAAACCAACTATTAGATTTATGGTGTTTCAGAGTATGGTGATGTTTCAGGTGAAGAAGCTATGATGTAAGAAATTTATCAGAGAGGTCCTATTACTTGTGGAATTGCTGTTCCTGATGCTTTATTAAATTATACTGGAGGAATTTTTTATGACAGAACTGGAGATTTAGAAATCGAACATGATATCTCTGTTGTTGGATACGGAACTCTCAAAAATGGAACTAAGTACTGGATGGTTAGAAACTCTTGGGGTACTTATTGGGGTGAAAATGGTTTCTTTAGAATAATTCGAGGTGTTAATAATTTAAATATTGAATCTGCTTGTGCTTGGGCTGTACCAAGAGACACTTGGTCAAATGATGTTCGTAATCTTACTACTGTAAACGAAAAACCTGTTTCTAACTTTTAAAAATCATCAGGCTGTAAAAGAGAAAGCATTTTCAATCTGCCAGAAAAAATAAAATCTTCTCGTCCACATGAATACTTGAAAGCTGCAGACTTACCTAAGAGTTTTACTTGGTAAAATGCATATGGTAAAAATTATCTTTCAATAACAAGAAATCAACATATTCCTGTTTATTGTGGATCTTGCTGGGCTCATGGTGCCACTTCTTCTATAGCTGATAGAATTAATATTGCAAGAAATGGTACATTCCCCTAAGTTGCTCTTTCACCATAAGTTATTATTAATTGCAAAGCAGGCGGTTCTTGCTCAGGTGGTAATGCTATGGGTGTATATGAATTCGGACACACTAATGGTATTCCTGAAGAATCCTGCTAATAATATGTTGCAAAAAATCCTGAAAAATTTACATGCTCTGATATACAACAGTGCATGAATTGTGCTCCTTCGGAAAAAGGATAAAATTGCTGTAAATTAATTTTTAGTTTAAAAAAAATAGAACCATTAAATTTCTTACACTTTCTGAAGTAAATATGATTAATTAAATTTTTAAATAAAAAAGGGGCTTAGCCTAATTTTAAGAAATGGAAAATTTCAGAATATGGTTATGTAAAAGGTGCTGATTAAATGAAAGCAGAAATATTTGCTAGAGGTCCTATTGGTTGCGGTATTGAAGCCACTTTAAAACTAGAAAACTACTCTGGAGGTATTTTTGAATAAAATCTATTATTTACTTCCCTTAATCACGAAGTAGCTGTCGTTGGTTGGGGTGTAGATGAAGCTACAGGTGTTGAATATTGGATAGCAAGAAATTCTTGGGGTTCTTACTGGGGAGAAAATGGTTACTTCAGAATTAGAATGCATAAAAATAACAACGGTATAGAAAAGGAATGTGATTGGGGTGTTCCAATAGTTGAAGAAGAAGAAGTAACTGTTGAAGCATATTGATATTTCAAAAACTAAAAATTAAATTAAAACATAAACAATTAATTTTTAAAATTTATTTGCATGAAAAATATTTGTGTTAAAAAATATAAAATTAAATAATAATTTTGGTTCTTAAAAAAAACATAATAAAATAAATAATAAATAAAATCATTATTATTTTTCTTTGAAAAAATATCGAAAAAATTTAGAAAAAAATAGAAAAAAACAAATTTAATAAAATAATTTTTCAGATTAAATTTTAATTTTTATTATTTGAAAGTTCACAACTAAAATGTTATTTACATGCAATGTGATATTTATATATTTTGTAATAAAAGGTTTTAATGATTTATAATTAATTGTCAATAAATGCATTCTCAGTTATCAAATTTTTAAAGTAATAAGATGCTGAACGAGTACTGGTTTTAACTCTTTGACAAAAATTTTTAAAATACTTTGTAAATATCAGGGAGAAGTGTTTTAGGTGTTGTTTCCCCATGGTTAATTGGAAAGGGTTTACAACCATCTAACTCATAAAGATGACCTTCTATTGGTACTAAGCAAATAAAATGATGTAAAACGTTATCGTCTTCTGGATCAACTTCAGTTTCTCCTTAATGGACAGCTTCTACATGTTCATCTTTAAGCTATTTGTCATTCATAAAATAATCAGCCCTTTATTCAGGAGTCATTTTTTCAGTTTATTTGAAGAAATTGTGTAAGATTGAATTATCGCGAATCATACCTGGAGCTTTTTACATTAAATTCATAGCAGCGTGCATAATAGCTATAGTCCCGCAAGCATTTTCAGCGTATTATTTCATATAATATACCTTTTCATTTATGAATTAACCTTTTTCTTTTATCTATTCAATCTCTTTTTTATGTTCATCACTAGCATTTTCGTCCAATGGGAATATCAATAAAGCTGCTAAAGTATTTTCACTCATATCCTTAAGGAATTACTCATCTGAGTCATATAAATCCTAAAAAGAATACTTTTCTATATTGAAACCTATTTTTTGGATATAATCATTAATCACATCAGGATTGCTTTCTAAAGGCATCCAGTTATCGCTTAGGTCTTTTTACATTTTAAATTAATCTAAGATTGTATTTAAAGATAGTTAATATTTTTTAGATAATTATTAAAAATATTATGCTAAATATGAATGAAATTTAATATAAAAAATTCTTGCATAACTCTCTATTCTAAAGTCTAATCTATATTTAACATTCTAATCTTTTTTTAGAATACCAAATAAAATTATTAAGAGTTTAAATAAATATTTTTATAAAACTTGAGCAAATAATCAATTATTTAAAAAAAAAACATTTATCTTTTTTTAAAATAAATAATATTTATAATTTAAAAATTATTAAAAAAATTTAAATATTGATTCAAATCATTAAAGCTTGACTGTAGTCAAATATTTGATTTCAAAAAAAAACATTCCAAATTCTGAAGATATTTCAATTTCAAAAATACCGCTAATTTTTCTGTTTTTAATTTTCAAATTTAATCAGTAATCAATAAAATTAAAATTAAAAACCCGCAAATTTTGCATTTAGAAAATATTGAAAAAGCTTATTTTAGAAGATGGATATCGAGAATTAAGACATCTAGGAATCTTAAGAATAACCTAATTTTAGTAGAGAAGATATACCAAATTTAGTTTTTTTGTAAGATAGCACATAAAAAAGTGAAAATAATTAAAATACACATCTTGAAGCTGATTCAAATGACTAAATTGCAGACAAATAAAATGAACAAAATCAAACATAGATGGAAGAAGAATAGGACTAGATAATTTCTTCAAATGAAATTAAGGAATAATAGTAAATTACTCATGATTTTTAATAAGGAATAACAGAAGTTATGATTCATTCTGAAGATAGTGATTCTACATTGAAATAAGATAAAACTATGTATATTTTATATTTTTTGTTATAAATTTAAGATAAATTTATTTATAATAGGGATGAAAAATAAGGACAACAGGAAGCATATGTGGTAAATTAATAAGAAAAAAATACGCAAGATGCTGTTTAGTTAGAAGTATAGTAAATTGGTTTATAATCTAAAAATGACCAAGTTGAGATAGAAAACGATATCAATACAACATTAAATACAAGTAATTCAAGCTAAGAACAAACAATTTAAGTAGTCTAATATGATGTAGAGATTTAAAATGGTAAACTAAATAATGAAGAATAAAATCAGATACAAATAATTGAAAAAAATAATGTTGAATAAATTAATTGTGAAAATACTAATGAAAAAGTAGAAGAAAATAATTCAAATATAAATATTGAACCAAATTAAAGCTAATTTGAAACAAAACTAATTGAATCAAAAGATTCTGGTTAATAAATATAAAACCAAGAAGATAGCTCTTTATTTGAATAATTATAACATTAAAGTCAAGATTTATAAAATATGAAAACAACTTTAGAAGAAAAAATTAATTTTAGTGATTATGAATAAGAATAAAATAGTGAAACGGTACATAATCGTAAATCAGAAGAAAAAAATTAAGAAAATTCTTAGGAATTAAATGATTTTTAAGAAGAAAGTAATTAAGATGTTAATCATTTGCAAAATTGTGAGGAGAAAATAACTTCAGAATAGTAAAATAATAATTAATAAAACTTATCAAATAATTAGCCTCCTAACAGTGAAGTTGATATCACAGGTTTTGAATAAAATCTTTCTAAGCAAACTGAATAAAGTCTTGAAAGTGATAAATGTGAAGAAACATAAAATTTAGATTAAAATTAGTTTTCTGATGAAAGAAATATAGAAAAAGAAAACATTGCTTAAATGGAAAAAGATACTGAAATTACTGAGCAAAAATAAATAATTGAATCACCTTTAAAATAAATTTAAGAGGAAATATTATAAAATGAAAGTGATTTATGCAATTTAAGTTAAAGCAATTCAAAATAAAAAGAAATAACTGAATAATAAATTCAAAAAATAGAAACAAATTAAAATTACATTCAGAATGAAAATAATACTCAGGATAAATTTATTGATAACACAGGCTAAGTTGTTTAAATAGAAATGGAAGATGACTAACAAAATGAGTCAAGAAAAGATGAAAACGAAATGAAGCATGATGACGAAGAATCAAATAAAAATTTAAATTTAGTTTAATAAGAAGTAGAAGATTTAAATAATATTAACTCTTCCTTTCAAGAGATCTAATAAAATAAAGATTAAATACAAATAGAAGAAACTATAGACCAAGCAGATAATTAAAATACTATTTAAAGCAATGAAAATTTAGAAATATAATCATAAGACTAAAATGTGGTTAGCTAACTATCTTAGAATGATTTTTTGATTAATACTTAATAAAATGATGTAGAATAATAAGAAACCTTATAAAATCAATCTTTAAATATTTAAGTTAATGAGTAAATTTAAGATCAAATTATTAATTTGAGTGAAGAATAAATTAATTTCTCTAAAAACTTGGCTAGTCCTTAGAGATAATAACAAGACAATCTTGATATAATTACAAATAATGTCAATTAATAAAGTAATATATTAAGTTCTCATGAAAATAAATTGGACAATAGTTTTTAAGAAAATTAAGTTCATCAAATAGAAGAAATTCAAAATTAGCATGAAACAGATTAAACTATGTAGATAGAGAAAGAAATAGAAAATATAAGCGAATAAACAGATAATAACGTTTTATCTCCATAAAAATAAAATATAGAATAAATTAATATTCAAGAAAACAAATAATTAGTTTAGGAGGAAATGTAAATAGAGTGTAATATCATCCAAGCTTATGTATCTGAAAATCTTTAAGGAGTTTAAATCAATTAGTAAAATAATTAAGATAGTTAAGAATACATTTAATAATAAACCATTCCAAATAACAATGAAAATTAATCATAAAAGCAAGAAATATTATAAAATATAACAGAAAGCAAAGAAACTTATTTAAAATCAAATGAAGAAATATTATAGGCTGTTGAAATAGATAATTCATAAGTTTTGCTAAATGAAATTACTGATTAAACTGTTGAATAAAACAAATTTGCTGACATTTAATAAAATGATAAAATAAATGAAAGTAATTAAAAGTAATTATAAAATGATTTACAAAATTTAGAAGATAAAGAAAAAATAGATATATCAGCAGATGACCTAGAAAAATAGAAACAACGCAATTTAGAAAATAATAACAACTAAACTATTTTGTAAGATTATTCTGATATTTCATAATCTGAATAAAGTTCTGCTTAAAATAATAATTTTTAGCAAAATTAAGAAAATTAGTTGGAACTTAAATAAGTTATATACAATGATAATGAATTGAAAGATTAATTTGAAAACATGCAATAAATTTTATCTTAATAATAAAATAATTTAGAGTCTTTAGAGAAAAAGTAAAGCAATCAATCTGATGACTTAGAAATGACAGAAGAAAGAGATATGTCAACGAAAGAAATAGCAGAACAAATTACTTTAGACAATTAGTAAAATCATAAATTTGATGGTTCAGAAATCACTGAAAATAAAGATATACCAAAAGAAGAAAGAACAGAAGAAACAATTTAAAATGAAATTGATTAAAGTATTTATTTATAAGATGAATTGGTTAACTAATAAACTGATTTAAATAATTAACATATTCTTAATAAATAGTAAGAATAGTAAATTTAAGAATAAGTCATTAATGAAACAAACCTTTTAAATATTTAAAATTAAATTCAAATAGACACAGAAACTGACTAATAATTACTTGAAAAACCTTAATAACTAAAATCATCCGAAGATTAAAATGATGTAATTAGCTAAGAGAAATAGCAATCTGAAGTATAAAATATTAGTAATTAAGTTTTAAGTTAGGAATATGATCAAATGAATAGTGTATTGCATAAAGAGTGTTTTGAACAATAAATTGATGAGCTTTAAATAATTGAAACACCAAATAAAATGGAATCTTAGCAAAATCTTGTTGAATAAATAATAGAATAACCTAACTAATTAAATAATAACGAAAATCATGTTGAAGTAATTTAATAAGAAGACAGTCAATCTGAAGAATTATAAAGAAATAATTTAGCTTCAGAACTTAGTTTAAAATAAAATATCTAATTAGAAGAAACTAACTAAGATGATAACTTGAAACAGACATAAATTATTGAAGAAATAGAAGTAGAAGAAGATAGTGAAAACCAAACTGATAGATAGTCATAATAAGATGTAGTATAATAGCCAGTAGAAAATATTCAAGAAGAATTTATTTAATAATAAAATGATAATACTTCAATGGAATTAGACGAGAATTAAAATAATTAAGAATAAAAGGCTGATATTTAGTAAGATTAACAACAATAAAACCAATAAATTATAGAAGCAAATTAATAATAATAACTTTTAAATGTTAAATCTGAATAAATTAATTTATAAGAGGAGAACTTGGCTATACAAAATAATTATTAAAACTAAAATGAAATTAATGAAGTTTTAAATTAAGAGCAATTAGATAAAGCAGAGAATAAAGATATTTAGTTACAAGAAAACTAAAATAATTAGGAAATAATAAAAGGAGATTTTAATTAGTTAGATGCTTAATAATTAGAATAAAGTGAAGAGGCTAATGCTTAACTTAATGATTAATTATTCTCTCAAACTTAATCTGAAAATTAATTGAAAGAAAATGAAACAGAGTTAGTAGATTCTAATATAAATCAATCAATCAAAGCGCAAAGTTAATTAACAGAGGATTAATAAATAGCCTCAGAAAATAATCACAATACTTAAAACAATCATAACTCAAGTATGCTTGAACAAAATTTGGAAGAAAAAATTGTTTAGGAAGAAGAATAAAATATTAGTACTGAAAATTAAAACAAATAAGAAATTTATGAACATCAAAATACAACCTAAGATAACTAGTAAGAGGAAATGCATTAGTAATTAAATACTAATATTTAAGAAATAAATGATAATTTAGAAGTTAGTTAAAATAATTAATAAGAAGATGAAAAATAACTTGAAGAAGAAATTTAGTAAATTTAAGAATAAAATTGTTCTTAAATTTAACAAGAATTAATAGATATTAATCAAACTAAAGATAACTAGCAAGAATAAATAGTAAATAGTAAAATGCAAGAAATAGATAATAATTAAGAAATCGATCAAAGTCATTAATCATAAAATGATTAATTCTTCTCTAAAACTTAAACTGAAAATGCCTCAGAAAATAATCACAATACTTAAAGCAATAATGATTAAAGTATGCTTGAACAAAATTAGGAAGAAAAAATTATTTTGGAAGAAGAAGAATAAAATATTAATACTGAAAATTAAAACAAATAAGAAATTTAAATAGATATAACTGATTAAGACAGCTCTCATTAAAAAGAAAATGATATTTAACTAATAACAAATGTTAACTTAGAAGATACTCTTAATCAAACTAAATAATATGAACATCAAAATACAACCTAAGATAACTTGTAAGAGGAAATACATTAGTAATTAAATAATAATATTTAAGAAATAGATGATAATTTAGAAGTCAGTTAAAATAATTAATAAGAAGATGAAAAATAACTTGAGGAAGAAATATAGTAAATTTAAGAATAAAATTGTTCATAAATTTAACAAGAATTAATAGATATGAATCAAACTAAAGATAACTAGCAAGAATAAATAATAAATAGTAAAATGTAAGAAATAGATGATAACTAAGAAATAGATCTAAAACATTAATCATAAAATAATTAATTAATTGAAGAAAAAGAATAACAATAACACTTATAAGAATTGAATTCTTCATAAATTTAAAAAGAGTTGGCAGATATGAATCAAAATGAAGAATAAAATATTATAAATGAACTTACAAACCATAAATAGCAGCTTGAAGTGAGTATATAAGAGTTTAATTAAAGTTAATTATTTGAAAATTAAAATTTTGATGAAAATTAAACTGCACAAAAAATTAGTGACGAAGAAATTAATTAAAATGAAATTCTATAAAATAGCTAATAAACATAGGATATGTAAATTATTACTATTAATTCTGAAGAAGAATAAATAAATCAGAAATAGATTTAAAACTAAGAGGATATTTTACATAATCTCCATATAGAATAAGAACATTAATAAATTTAGACTGAAAATATACCTAATGAAACTGAAATTAATAAAAGTAGCCTAGATGAAAATAAGTTACAAACAGAAGAGCAAGATAACGATAATTAAGAAACTACATAAAATGATAGATTAAACTTAAATGATATTGAATATACTCATTAAAGTTTAAATAATGAGATTATCAAAGATGATACTACTGAATAGCATTATGTTTAATCAGAATTATTAAGTTAAATATAATATAACTAATAAAAAATTGAAGAAAATGAATAAAAAGATTAAGTTATTTTAATATAATAAGTTAATTAAAACTCCTTACCCTTAAAAGAGAGTCAATAAGAATAATTAGAAATCAATGAATAGATTTAAATTTAAGATCAAAAATAAAATATGGCTGATATAATTGTGGCGTAAGAAAACATTTAAATTGAATAATTAAATGAACAAGAAGAATTAATAAAAGAATAGTAAAATATAGATAAAAATATTATTATTAATGAATAAAATAATATTATAGATAGCAATTAGTAAGACTAATATGAAATTCTCTAAGAAACATAGTTGAATACCATGTGTTCAGCAAATGATATCTAAATATTACATTAAAATGAACATTTAATGTAAGATGAAAATATAACTTAAGAAAATTAAGATTAAAAGTTAACATAATTAATAGATAGCTAATTTTAAGGATAAGAAATTGAAAAAATGAATGATGACAAAACTGATGATTATCAGGCCACTAATTCTATTTAAGAAATATAAAATAATTCTTTTGATTTAAAAGAAGGCGATCAATAAATTGAATAGACTCTTGATTAATTATGTGATACAAATAAATCTATTTAAAATGAAAATAATATATTAGAATAAAATAATAATATATAAGAAAATTAAAATATTAACCCTGATTAAGTGGTTTCATCGAAAGATCAACTTGAAAAATAGGATGTTGTGTCATCTAATATTTAATAACTATTAGAATAAAATATTTAAGTTATTAATGAAGATTAATAGTTTTAACAAGAAATTGGTTTGAATGAACAGTAATAAAACATTCAAGAGGAAATATAAGAAGAATAAAATTAAATTTAAACTGAATGCAAAGACAATCTATTAGAATAACAATAGTAAGAAAAACCTTGTGATTAAGATTAAATATTCGTATAAGATTTAAACGAAAGTGCAAAAAAATAAATTTAAAATGAAGATTTAGATAACTAGCTTTATCATCAAAATAAAAATCAATTGCAAACATAATAATTATAAAACGAATTAAATTCACCTGAAATTAATAATTTATAAGATTGTTTAATTGATAACTAAGAATTAGCTAGAGAAGAGCAAAAGTTTAGTTGCAAATCAAAGTTAGAAGATGAAATAGAGTCTCTTAATAATTCAAAAATATTAGATTGTATTGAAAATGAAAAATCCAAACCCTCTCCCCAAGAACAAATATTTGAAAATGGATTTTATGTTAGTCCAATAAAAAAATAGCAAAATGATGATAACTTTATAGATATTGCTAGTGGCATAATTGATGATCAAGATTAAGGATAATAATTAATAAAAAATAGTGTATAAAAAATTTTGGTTGAACAAGAATAACCTGAAAATGATTAAGGATAAGAATAAAATTGTAATGAGATAGAAAACAATTTAGAAAAAACAAACTGTTAAGAAAATGAAGAATTAATAGAAGATCATAGTCATGAATAAGCTGAAAATAACGACTAAAAGGAACAACTATGCTTAAAAAATGGCGAAAAAGTTAATTATATCGAAATTATCAAAAAGTATGAACAAGAAAACCTAAATGAATCTATCAGCATAATAAATGATAATTTAGATGATATTACAGATAACAATCTGCTTTACTAGCATCTTAAAAAAATATCTGCAAGAAGAAGTGCTGCTAAATCTTCGATTAAGAAATTACTTTCTGAAATAAATCTTGACAAAGAAAACCAATTAAATAATGAAAATAATTGTTAAGTAGATAGAAAATCTGTTAGTAAGCTAAATTAAAGCAAGTCGATATCGAAACAAAGCATTTCTTCTAAAATATCAAGTATTAACAAAATGAATTATGAAACAAAAGAATAATTGCATAAAAGTAGTTTGAATAATGAAAGAAATGAGCGTATTAAAGTTAATTTGTTAAATGAATTTTCTGAAAGTGAAAAGAATAAAATACAAGATTATGAATAGTTAGCAGGTGAGTCAAAGCTTAGCAATATATATCCTTTTAATTTACAAAGCAGAATTACAATATATGATGATGAGGAGGAAGAATATAATCTAGAAAAATAAAAACACCCTCTAGATGTTATTGATGAAGATGAAGAATAAAGACTGTATAAATTTTTGTTAAATTTGAGAGAACCTTGCTCTTTTTAAATGATATAAAGCAGATTCCCTTATCATAAACCCTAAGAAATAATGGCTACTATAGAAGAGATGAAACAACAAAAGAAATTGTAAATAATTTAATTAAAATTTTATTTTTACATAATTATATAATTAAAATAGGAATACAGTTTAGATGTTTTTAAATAAAAAACTTAAATACCACAGTGTAAGAATGGAATATTATGATACAGATTAGCACATTTTAAATAATTTGGGTACATGTGATTCTAATTAAGAAGATAATATACAAAATAAAAATGAAGAAAATGTAGAGGTTGATGATAAAACTTTTGAATTTAAAGATTAGAATATACTCTAAGAAGAAGAGTTGTCCTCTTATAAAAAGTCTTTAAGTATTCATTTTGCGTACCTAGAGCAAAAGAAAAAGTAATTAGATGCAATGAGTTAAATAAATTAAAAGAAAGAATAGCTCATTGAATTAATGGTAAATAATTTTATTATTAAATATATTCAAATATTAAATTATTATATTTTATTATTTAAAGAATATTGGAAATAACTTATTTAATAGATTAGCCACAATAAAAAACTAAAATATTAATTAAATTAAATAAACATATGGTATATAAGACTAAGAATGAGTTAAGAAAGCAGCTTTTACTAAATTAATTTGGAAGATTAAATATTACTTCACAATATTTATATATTTTGAAAAATTTTTATATTTAGAATAAATAAAAATTTATATTCTTGATTGTTTACTAAATTAAATAATTTAACTTCAATTTTTATTTTTTTTGGCTCAATATTAAATAAAATAATTATTTTATTATTAAGTTTACTTCAATTATTTATTATATGTAAAGCTTTTTATTTAGTATATTCACAAAAATTCAGTTTCAATAAAAAGTTTATTTTTACTTGTAAAAGTATATTTTATTATTCTTTGCTTAAATTTCAAAAAGAAGATTTAATGAAAAAAAAATTCCAAAAAAATAGTGAATTTATATACAAATTCCCTCCTTAATTTTTATTTTATCTCTAATTTTTTTATTTTAATTAAAAAATTAATTTTATTAACTAAAAGACCTATATTAAAAAAAATGAATATGCAATTTTTGAATAAATATCAGCAAACATTTCTTTTTATCTTGATATTTAAAAGTTCATAATCTCCATAGTATTATTATTTAGTAGTTGAAATATATGATTTATATTTTATTGTTTGTCATACATTATTATTTGATTACTTTGATATTTAAAACTATAAAAAATAAAAGAAAATGTTATTGATGCAGAAGATTGCCAGTGCTAAGAGTTAAGTGATGATGATGTTTATATAACAAAAATATTGACAATAATGAGTTTATTTTATGAGAGACTTAAAAGCAACTCCATTAACACTTGAAATTTCTGAAAGAGATCTTCTTTATGCTTTAATAATTGAATGCTGATTATAATAAATAAATTACTTTATTCTTTGAATATTTGTAGTTTATTTGATTAAAATTAATGATAAAAATAAATTAGTTAATTGTTATTTTCAAGTAGATTTGTTTTATTTGTAAAACCAAATTGTAAAATTTGAACTTTTAAAAATAGATTACCAAACAAATTTATTTTTAACAATTAAAATCACGAGTTTTTTTAATGACGCAGTTATTTATTTATTTTTGATTTAGTTTAATACGAAAATTTATGATCAATTATAAGTCTTTAATTGGTCAATCGCATTTAAAAGTTCCCAAATATTTATTTATTTTTCAAATATTTTAAAGGTAAAAGTGTTTAATAAAATTGATATTTAAAAACCATGAATTGAATAGATCTTTGACACATTCCCATTTTAATTTAGATTACTGCATAAAGAAAGAAAGAAAGAAAGAAAGTTATCAATAATAAAAATGTAGCAACAAATTTATATAGATCAAGATGAATATTTTTAAAATTTTATTATATTAGTTTAAAAACTAACCTTTATAAGATCTTCTAAAAGTTTTAAAAATATTTAAATAAAACTAAAAAAATATCAAATTTTTAAATATTCCATTTAAAAAAAATAACAAAAAAAATGAAATTTTTGGAAGTAGTTTGTAAATTTATAGATAAAAAATATATCATTTATGAAAGATTATTAAATGTATTATTAAGATATACTTTTTATATTTGTTTAACTAATTTTTGCTCGTGATAATAAATAAGAATTTAATCTTAGAAATATGAATAAAAAGAGTGATTTTTTTTTAAAAAATGGTTGAAAAATAAAATTCTTATTATTAATGTTAATTTGGTTAAAAATAAATTGAATAATTTAACTAATTTTGTTTGAGTTTGTAAATTAAATTTTCCCAAAAATATTGAAAAGTAACATATCCTTTTTAATCCATAAAATAAAAAAGCTTGAATCTAAATTTGGATTAATATTTTGGTGTTGGTTAGAATAGTTATCTGAAATTCTAATCAAATTATTTTAATAATTTACAATTTTCACAAACGCATTTTAGTACGTTATAAATAGATTTACATACCTATCATCAAAATATTAATAAAACCAATTTCAAAGATCTTATTTATTTTTTCTTGAATTTGAATGGTATCCAATTTAAGAACAAAAAAATTTCTCATATTTTATATTTTATAATTATATTTAATAAAATAAAAAAAATTTAACAAGAATAATATATAAAAAAATAGAAATGTCTGAAGTAAAATCTTAACTTGGATACACTATAACTGGAGTTGACTTAAATAATTTGACAGAGGAGCAATTCAAAAACATTCAAGAAGCTCTTTGGACACATGGTATGATATGTATAAAAAATTAAAGCTTAGATACTCAGTAATAGATTGAATTTACAGAAAAATGGGGTAAATTGGTAATTCTTCCCCCTTACTATGCTTTTGATAATAGAGACCCTCAATATCCAGCTATTGTTAGAGTAGGAAATGTAAGACTAGATGGAAGTGTTAAGCCTAATTCAAAAGATGCTGAGTATTGGCACAAAGATGGAAACTTTAGATAGCCTGGAGAAAACTTTATAATAAGTATTTTAGTACCTAAGGAGATTGCTTAGGTTGGAGGATAAACGGGATACGCTTGCTCTGAATAAGTTTTAAAAGATTTACCTGAAAACATTAAAGAAAAATTAGAAGGTGCTCAAATTATAGTAAGAACATAGACTATTTCAGATTTTAAAGATGCCAAGCCTGAAGAACATTTGCCTGAAGCCCATCATCCTGTTTTTGCTCCTCATCCAATTACTGGCAGAAAAGTATTTAACATAACTTAAAAAAATTAAAATGACGTCATCCTAAAAGACGGAAACAGAATTGATTCAAAGGATATTAATCCTGAAATAGAAAACTCTTACAAGATTCATGGACATCAATGGGAAATGGGCGATGTAGTAATTTGGGATAATATTAGAGTTATCCATAGAAGTATGGGAGGTTTTGGAAACAACAGAAGACTTCTTTTCAGAACATAAGCATAAATTTAATATTGAGAATTAAAGTTTTTTAAGTTACTCAAAAAAAATTATTAAAAGATGTGAATTAATCTATAATAATTGATTTTTTAATTTCAAAATCACAAATAAATTTATGATTAGTATTTATTTATGTTTTATGTTTTATTTTGAGATATTATATAATATATATCATAAAAATATTAAGTTATTTGATAACTCTTTATGTAAATTACTACTATGTTATTTGATATTATATTGCTCAATTGTTTTAGAAACAGCCGTTTTACTACTCTTCTAAAATTTTAAAAACGAAATATTTAAAAATATGAATATATTTTCATTTTAATTGTAAAATTATTTCTAATATTCATCACAATTATATCAATCAATAAATCATTTGCTTAATTAATTAAGAAATGACATGTTTTGATATCGTTTGATAAAAATAATCTTGATCTAGTTAAAGTAGCAACAGTTTAAATAAAAAATTTAAATTGATTTATTAAGTAAATTATTTTTAAAAATTAAAATATTAATTTTAATTTAAAATTATTTCAATTAAAAAAAATTAATTTTAATGGAAATAGTTTTTATTTTGAAATATATTTTTTTTATTCTCTTTGTTTAATTCATTTTTAATATTAACCACATGATCATGCAATATTCAAAGAAATTATTTATGAGTAATCATATATTGATAATTAAATAATTTTTGTGTGCGTATAGGATTAAATCTCTATATTAAAACTGCATTTTTGAAAAAAAAAACTCACAATCTACTCAGTTATAATTCATCAAAAAATGAGACGTTTTATTTAACTTTCTAGATTTAGTTATTAAAATCTCAGAAAACAAGCCATTTCATTAGCAGCTCCTAGGATATAATAGGATCCATAAGAAATGTATAAGCTTGGGCATACTATTAATGATGTAGATGTTAATAATTTAACAACAAAATAATTTGAAGATATTAAAGATGCCTTATGGACTCATGGAGTTATTTGCATAAAAAATTAAAAATTAACGATGGACTAATAAATAGCTTTCACTCAAAAGTGGGGGAAACTTATGATCCTTCCTATTTAACAAGCATATACAAAAAGAGATCCAAATTAACCAGCTATTGTTAGGGTAGGCAATATAAATATCGATGGATCTATAAAAGAAAATTGTAGTGATACTGAATACTGGCATAAAGATGGAGACTTCAAAAAGCCAGGTGAAAATTTCTTCATAAGTATTCTTATCCCATATGAAATAGCTTAAGTTGGTGGCTAAACAGGTTTTGTTTGCTCAGAATAAGTATATAGAGACTTGCCTGAAAACCTGAAAGAAATGCTTTAAGATGCCCAAATCATCATCAGATCTTAAACAATTGGCGATTTTTAGCATTTCAAAGAAAATGAACACTATCCTGAAGCATTTCACCCAGTCTTTTTATCTCATCCTATAACTGGAAGAAAGATCTTTAACATTTGTTAAAATGTTGAAAACGATATACTTTTTAAAGATGGCACAGTTAAGAGCTCAAAAGAATTCATTTCTGAAATTGAAAAAACTTATAAAATATATAGCCATTAATGGGAAATGGGTGATGTTGTAATTTGGGACAATATTAGAGTTATTCATAAAAGTATGGGTGGATTTGGTAATAATAGAAGATTGCTTATAAGAACACAAGCATAAATCTTATATTGAATAAAAATATCATAAAAAATCAACAAAATATTGATTGATATAGTAAAATAAAAATAGTTAATCTCTATTCAATTCAATATAAATATTATTTATTTATTTATGATACAATACTTTGATTATATATTTTTACTGTTTAGTTTTTTTGTTTATAAAAACAAAAATTAAAAGCAATTAATTATTTTTTGCTTTTTCATATCAATTTCGTAAAATTTCCTTTCTCAATCAATATTTTTTATAATTTTCGAAAGAAAAAAAAAATATAATTTAAACAAAGATAAGAAAATTGTCTATTTGAACAATAATATTATTCACGTCGTTTTTACCAAATAATTGAAAAATCTTTAATATAAATTGATTAACGTAAATAGTTTTTTTTGTTTTTAAACATTATCCTTACAAGATAAATAAATTAGCTAGTAGAAAGTTATTAATTTTTTAAAATTATGTTAATACTTATTAATACGACATAATTATCTATTATAACTAAGTTTTTTCATCACCGTTAGAGAAATAACTACAGTATTTCTTTAGTTGAAAATAATGCCAATCCTCAAGAAAAATAACAAAAACAAAAAAACAACCCACCAATTTTTTTTTGTTTACTTCAATAAAACTGAGAAAAATACTATATATTGAGCTATGGTAAACATGAAATTTGTAATAAGGAAATCTGTAAAATAATAATTAAAAAATAAATTATTTTAAAATAAAGAGGCACTTTGAATGTAAATAATCTAAGGTTTTAAGGATAAATCAATTTTAAGTAAATTCTAATATTTATCTTAAATTAATTATAGAAATATATATTTATAGCAATACTTTTTTATTTACCATTTACTGATTTAGACCAAATTTTATTAAAAAATAAGTTGATGTAACAAATTTTCTAATGTTGTTTTTAATTACATCAATTTTAATTAAAAACGAAGTAACTATGAAGCACTTTATTAATTTTTTAAATTACGTATAAATACAATCAATTTTCCACTTTGTTGTTGTATGATCCTTTTTGAAAATGATGAAGTATTCTTTGATCTGAATCATTAAAAAAATAATTTAAATTTATTGCAAATATATATTAATTATAAAAGGATTTATGTTATAAAAATTTATGTAATTCAGTTAAGAAGATATAATGACGTTTAATACTTTTTTTGATTTTTAAGCTTCTTATGAAATTTCATAATAGAAATGAGTTTAAATTTCAAAAACATGTAAAAATAGGCTAATATAAATAATTATATAAAATTTTATGTACTTTTGAGGGCAGGCATTTCATTAATATATTATAAAATCAAATAAAAAAAATTAAAAATAGGTATTATTTTGGACGATATTTTGTTAATCGCAATCATTGAAATCCTTTTCTATCCTTCAAAATTAATAAATTTGTTCAATATATATTTTCTAAAGGAATTGAGGTTTTGATTTTATTTCAATTAATTGCTGATCGAAAAAACGAAAATATTAAAATTATCTTTGCTGACTTGATTTATAGAAATTGGTATAATTTTGATATTTTGATTCAGATTTTTTGTGGAAAAAATCTTAATAATTTTTTCCTCTATTCTAAATACATGGAGATAAATAGATTTTTTTTTTTAATGTTTATTGAGTTCATTTTTCATCAATATTCATTAAAATCCAGAAATATACTTTTATATTCATTTTTTTTTGCTAAATATTTTAAATTGATTGGAATTTGTAAATTTTTATTTTTAACATCAACAAAAAATTGTTGAAAAATATTATTGTTTGATATTTAAAAACTTAAAGTGAAATAACTTCTTTATTTTTTTGAAATAACTCCAAAATTTAATAGAGGGAAAATCTGTTTTGTAATACATAAGAAAATTTTTGTGAATTTCATAATTTTATTAAAAACGAAAGAAAGAAAGAAAAAATAATCTGTAAGATTATAATCACTAAATCACAGGAGTAAGAAAAAACTTAATAACATAAAAGAATTATATTACCATATAAGCAATTAGATACTAGATATTTTTAATTTAAATTTATGTCAAATCTTTTTTATTTATTTTATAATCATAAAAAAATTAAAAATTTAAAAAAAATAAAATTATAAAAAAAATGTAAGAAGGTAAATCTCAACTTGGATTCGTTATTAATGGAGTAGATCTGAGTAATCTCACCGATCAAGAATTTGAAAACATTTAACAAGCTTTATGGACTCATGGTGTTATATGCATTAAAAATCAAAATCTGACAGCATAATAACAGATAGCATTCACTGAAAGATGGGGAAAGCTTGTTATTCTACCTTCATTCTATGCATTTGATAATAGAGAACCTGAGTATCCAGCTATTGTTAGGGTAGGAAATGTTAGATTAGACGATACAGTCAAGCCTAATTCTAAGGATGCAGAATATTGGCATAAGGACGGAGACTTTAGACAACCAGGAGAGAACTTCATCTTAAGCATTCTTACTCCTAAAGAAATAGCTCAAGTAGGAGGTCAAACTGGTTACGTGGATTCTGAATAAATTTTGAACGATATGCCTGCAGATTTAAGAGAAAAGCTTGAAGGAGCTAAAAGTATTATCAGAAGCTAAAACATTTCTGATTTTTCAAGTGCTAAGCCTGAGGAGCACTATCCCGAAGCTCATCACCCAGCCATAGCAACTCATCCTATTTCTGGTAAAAAAATACTGAACATTACCTATAACAACTTGAATGATGTTGTACTGAAAGACGGTACAATCTTGAATTCAAGAGATATTATTCCAGAAATTGAATAGGTCTACAAAATATACAGTCACAGATGGGAAATGGGTGATGTTGTTATCTGGGACAATATTAGAGTTATCCATAGAAGTATGGGTGGATTCGGTAATTCTAGAAGACTTCTCTATAGAACACAAGCACAAATTATATGAAACACTTTAACCTATTTAAACATTAAAAATTTATATTAAAAAAATTATCACTCTATAGAAAAACAAACACTGTATGATATTTTTTTTTCACACTTACATCATTATATGAAAAAATTTATAATATCCTTCAAATTAAATTAAATTATTTTTGATGTATTATAAATAAATAAAGCATTCAAGCTCATAATATTAAATATTATTTTTATTACAATTACAAAAATAATGATGTATTTTTTGATATGATACAATATAGAAACATTAATTTATGATCATTTAATTAAATTAATGAACTAAAATTACAAATAAAATCCTAAAAAAAATTTTTTTTGATAAAACTAATTTCTATTTTAATTGTAAATAGATTTTTTCAAGTTAAAGAAAAACGAAAAATAGTGTTTTAAATGACATTCATTGAATACATTATTAAATTTAATCAGATTAATTGACCTATAATTTTTCTATTTTATTAAAAAAAAGTTAATTTACAATTTTAAAAGTAAATTGTTTGATTAACATTGATTGCAAGAATATTATTTTATCTAAAAATTACATTAAAATTTTTAAATATATTAATAAAATTTAAATAAATTATTTTAATTAAAATTAATTTTTACAAAATTAGATTGTTGTTTTGTAAATTAAAGATTCATTATTATGTAATTTTATAGTCATAATTATATTATACAACAAATATAATAAGTTTTCTTGATATTAATTAACATTACTTAGCTCTTATTAAAAATAAAATATGGAAGATTAATAGAAATAAATTAGTGAATATCTATAAAAATTAAGAGAACCACTTTCTTTTAAGTAGCTCCAAGAGCACTTTAGTGATGTAGATAGCTAAAAACTGAAGGAAATAATAGATTCATTGAATGAATAAAATAAGATGTAAATTATTGATACTAAATCTATTCATTCATGATTCATGATAACAGTTTAATTAATTAATATTTTGCATTTTATAGAAATATTATAAGTATTTTCTTGACAAAAAAAGTAAAATGTGACAGTGTTAGGATGGAATATATAGAAACAGAGATTCATCCAATGGACTCATAAGAAAATAATTAGTCTTAGGAAAACTAAGATTAGGAAATTCATTAATAAGTAGATTAACAAATAAAAAAGTTTGAGCCTAAAAAGCATGAGGATTTGAACGATGAATAGCTATAAGAATATAAAGCTGAGTTAATAGCTGCTAAGTCGCTTCTAGAGGAAAAAAAGAAAAGCTTAAATACAAAGAGTGATAAATTAAAAAAAATCCAAGAGAGAAATGAGATGAAGGTACAATCAATCAACAATTATTAAAACAAACAAATATCTATTTAATTAGAATTAAACTATTAGAATCTTTCTTTATTTAGAAATTTAATATCTATTTTAACAATTATATTTTTTCATTTCGCGCACTTATTATTAGAATTTATTTGAATTTTTAAATATAAATAAAGGAAGTAGCAGGCAGTATATTTTAAAGGATAGCAAATATAAGAAACCTAACAACTAAATAAGTATTTTCAGAATATGGATTGGATAATAATGAAATATGAAAATAAATTTGTTTTAATAAAACTGTTTAAGATTTATATTAAATTTTTTAATTTTTTTTATTAATCAATTTAAAATAAAATGATTTGAATTTATTTATTTATTTGTTTACTTACTGTTTTTTTTGGTATTTATTATAAACTATTTTTTATAGTTTTGTGACTAATTACGTTAGTGATTCAGTAATTAGTTTTAATTTGATGGCTATTTGGAGATATTTGTTTTATTAATTTACAATCTTAATATTTGAATGAATTTAACATTGTTACCTTGTAAAAGAGAGAAATAGGCATACTTTATAATTCTTTGATTGAATGGATTAAATTTAATCATAATTTTTCTGAGTTTGACCTTAAATATTTAGTTGATTTTTTGCTTATTGTAAATTAGATTGAAAAATATAGTTTTGTTCAATAATTAAAAATTTTCATTGATTATTAGCAGATAGTATTATAGTTATTCATTAAAAATACTGATAAAACTAATTGTGATTTTGCTTGTTAAATTATATGAATTAATTATTTTCAATATTAAAGTTAATACGAATTTGGTAAAGAAATCAAAGGAAGCATTAAAGAGTAAGAATAAATATTATTACTAACTTATTCCTTAAAATTGCTTATATAAAACAAGCATAAATTTTATTTTAAAGAGATAATCTACTTTTCATCAATTCATTCAGTAAAGAATATAAATAGCTATCACTATGAGCCAACAGCAGGTCGCTGATATGCAAATTTCACCGATAATTAAAGCTGATGAAAATAGATTTCAAGATAGACTACCACCAATTAATAGATCTACAATTAAGTACTAATTCAACTCAGAAGGTTAGGAGATATGTAATCATCACGCATTTTGTAGCCATAACTACGAATTTAATGATCAGTCTCATATTTTAAAGCCTTTAAGCTAGCCTTTAAGTAATTTTAACGGTGTTTAACTTCCTCCTCCTAAAGATTTAGATAATGATAATCCTTAATCAAGAGGTAATACTGCTCAAAGCGCAAAAAGATAAAGTAGTAAAGGAGGAAGTAGAGACTCATATAAACAAAATGAAGTTATTTAAAAAAGGGGAGGTAGTTAGTTGCCTAATAATCGTATTGGAATTACTGAAGAAGCATTAGATGATTGGATTGCTTAAAGTTAAAACAGACCTATTATTAGTTTCTTAGATCCATACAAGAAATTCAACGTACCCGATAAGTTACTCAATGACTTCAGAGTGCGTTATAGAAAGTGGCTAAAGACTAAAGAAAGAGATTTTGAAAAAAAACTTCTTTATTTTGAAGATAGATCTAAGATTAATAATATACCGCATCATCAACTTCCTACTAGGAGACCAAGGGAAGCAGAAAAAAACATAACTTTCCGTTATAAAGAATTATAGCCTAAATCTATAAATGGAACATCTATTGTTGTTAGAGAAAATAATGTTTGGAAAAATATTTCAAGCAAAATCCAGAATTCAAGTTTTGAAAATAGTTAATTTTTGGATACATATGATGATTAGGCTGCTAAAGATACTTCATAATTTTTGAAAAACATCGATAAAAAAGATTCACAATCTCCTATATAAAGAAATAAGCAAAATTAATCCAATAGTGATCATTTATAACTTAATCATACTAGATTGAGAGGAAATAATAAAAGCTTTCATTTGTCTCAGAATGCAGCAGAAAGAAATGTTTCATCAAATGATAACAATAAATCTTTCAATATACAGAACTCAAATATAAAACGCAATGGCTAACCCTTTAACAGCTCAATCGATATCTCATATAATTAAAATACACAAGGAGGAAACAATAATTTGAGTACTAATGAGCTTAATAGAAATATTAATTTAGTTCCTACCTTAAAGTAAAGAGTAAATGGTGCGTATATTAATTTTTCTAAATAAAACGATAGCACTTTTATGAATAATTCTTCAACCAATGCCAAGAAAAACGAAAATTCTGGAGAAAATTTGAGAACAGTTTATCATGGTTTAATTCCTAGAATTGAGATGCTTTTGAAAGATGAAGATAAGTTTAAGATTAAAGGATAGACTTGCCTGACATAAACTTCTCCTCGTTTAAATGAAAAATAAAATAATAGTTTAAATAATAGCTTTAATAATGGAAATCCTAATTAACAACAATAGCAGTAGTAGTAGTAATAATAATAAAATAACTTCAATTTAAATAATAATCAGACACTTATTATCGATACAAATTAAAGAAAGAGTTTTGATAAACATGTGGAGTGCATTACAGAAGTTCCTAAAATAGAAAAAAATCTAATGACTGAAGTAGAATTTTCATTTTGGAAAGCTGTTCGCAGAATTTAAAAAAATTCATACATGCAAGCTGTTTAATGCTTAAAAGAAACCTTACTTTATGATAAACTTCATGGAAAATCAATTTTTAACTTGGGGTGTTTATATGAGTATTTAGGGTAATATGAAACAAGCAAAAAATGGTTTGATGTAGCTTTGAAATTAAATGAAAGTCCTAACTAAGCCAAATACGGATTAGCTATATGCAACTATAAGCTTGGAAATTACGAGAGTTGTTTCGAAAATATAGACCAGGTCATCAGATGCTCAAGTGAGCCTTCCTAGGAACATTTGTACTTAAGAGCAGTTTGCAACAAAAAATTAGAAAAATTAGAAAGTGCAGCTAATGATTATTAGCAATTTATTGAGTATACTTGCCCTTCGAATTTCAATATGCTTATGCACCTTATGTTTGCAATGATTTTTAAAAATAAACGTGACCTAAACGTTAAAGTAGAACCTAAAGTGTTTTGCGAATTTAATTCTTTAGTCAGTGAAATTATAACTTCTTCTGAATATATTCCAGCTTTACAGCCCTTTTGGGAGGATAACCAGTGGGTTGATATTCATTTCTTAATCAAACGTCTTAAATTACTTTCTTTCTTTAACAGATTTGAAGAGAACGATTTAAAGAAAATTCTAACTACAATGAAATTTAACATTGTTCCTAAAAAGAAAATTATATTCCCAAAAGCAAACGAAGTTCTTGTTATTGTAGCTGGTCATATTTTAGTTCAAGACCATATAAAAAATCTTGAGCATCCTGATATTATCTCTTACTATAGTGAAGGTGATATAATCGGCTTCGAAGAAAAAGACAATGGTTTGTGTACAATCCCTGATATTTGGTTCGCATCACAAACAGAAGTTGAAACTTTGTCATTCCCTAAAAGCACTTTTGTAGATCTGTGGAAAAAGCATTCATTTAATTTAATTAAAATATAAATATTAAATTACATCTAGCAAATACCTATATTTAATGGAGTTTCTGAGCTTACACTCTACCGTCTTGCATTTGAAATTATCACAACCCAAACATTTAACAGAGGTATTAATGAAACTTTTCACTAAATACTAATTTAAATTATAACAAAAATAATTATTTAGGTGACATTATATTTAATGATGGAGAATGTGCTGAGCAAATAAAATACATTGAATTAAAGAAAAATGAAGGAAAAACAAAGAATGTGGCAGAGAGGATGAATAACAAAATGACTAAATTAGACTTTACAAAAAGAAAAATAAATGGATTTTATATTGTTAAAGAAGGTATTTGTGAGTTAGAAACTCCAGCAGGTTGGGTAATACATAAAATTATATTTCTTTATTTAATATTAAGCAAAACAAACAGATAAAATAACTAATTTTGATAATAAAAAATTATAACTAAAAAAAATAAAATAATTAATTAATTCTTATTCTAATTTTAATTTTAATTTAAAAAAAAAAAATTAACTTTATAAAAAAGCTTGATTATAAACTAAGTGAAGGAGATTATTTTGGAGAAAGTCTTATGTTTAATACTTTAAATGTAAATAGATTCGGAAGAATAAAAGCTAAAAGTGAGAAAGTAGAGTGTTATTTCCTCCCCCGTTTGTATTTTGAAAAGATTCCCTTATTAGATAAAAATATAATGTAAAGTAATTGCCACAAATCTCCTCGTTTCAAAGAATGTTAGAGATACTTAGTTTAAGCATTTAAAACTTCGAAGTGAGTGAATAAATTATTTTCAGTTATATTTTCCAAATAAAAGAATGTTGTAGTGATAAATAAATACTACTTTTTGGTTTAAGCTTATGATATAAATAAATAAATAAATGAAAGATAAAATAAAAGAAAAGTTTATTTTACAATCATATTAATGTTTGTATATATATATATGTATATATTCTATTTACAGTTTTCTTTCTTAAAAGTATTAATTTCTAAATATAAAACAATGCAAAGATGGCTTTTTAAGTAACTATTATTCTAAAAAACAATAAAGATATTTATTTATCTAATAGGTTGTAATTATTACTAGGATTTAGTGTAAAATAAATACTTAAAATATCTCAAAATAACTTTTCAAGAGCTTTTAGGACTTATGGCTAATTGATTATTTCTCATTCTTTGTACAAATTTTTATAAGGAAACAATATCTTTATTGGCAGTTTCATAACATTTGTCTAAGGATTTTGCATTTTTATCAGGTTAAGAGAGGCAATTTTATAATTTTTACTTTAATACTCTTTTTCCACTTAAATATAATATGTAATCTTAATCGCAATTGTAGCTGCATTAATCTTTCATAGCAGTATCCCAACACTTCTTACATTCTTATAATGTATCTTGGAGATATTATTTGGTTAATATTTTTACTTATTACTCGTATTGCTGTTAATTTGACATTATTTATCTGTATTCTATATTTTTTGATTGAATAAATATGGAATCAAAGTGGATTACCAGTTAGCTATCCTATATTTGATATTTAGAAAATTGATTAGATTTTAATAAAAAATTAAAAATATTATGTCTCTAATTAAGAAATCACAAAAGAATTTTCTTTTTAATTTAAAGAAAAATATTGACAGATAGTTTTAGAATTTAATTCTATTGGGATCAATTTAGATTGATAATCACTAAAAAAATCATTGTAATTTCGCTTAATTATTTAACACTTTTAAATAATTCTCAATAAAAAAAATACTAATGCGCAACTCACTCCGCTCAAGGGTTTTAGTTTAAATTAATAATTAATTAATTAATTAATTAATTAATTAAAAAATGAATTTGCTTTTGAAAAATTTATTAACAAATAATAAAAAATCTGAATTTAATTAAATAATCTCTACATAATAATTTATTTATTAATTTATTTGCAAAGATTGATTCAAATAATTGTACTCAATCGTACGTAGATTTAGTTTGTAAATTTTAAAATAGATTAAAGTGTGCGTTTTTAATTGTTTTAGATACTTTCTATAGATTTATTAAAAAGTAAAGAAATAGAAAGCAAAATAATGTGGGGAAGCAAGCACACCAAAGAAAAAGAAACCATAATAACTAACTAAATAAATAAATAAAAAATAAATAAAGAATTTGGAAGTATTGTTAATGATAAACTCTATCAAATCATCAAGGAATACACATTCATTGTATGCAGAACATATACATAAATAAATTTAAGTCAATAAAGGATTTATCTGCTTCTTGTTAGTAGTAAAAGTTGATTATTATATACCAATATATTTAATGATTAAGAAGATATATATACATTTTTACACTCGTTGAGTGTGCATTTTTGATGATTCATAACCCTTTTATTATTATATTTTATATTAACATCTACTCTACATTTCACTTGAGAAAATATTGTATAGAACTTGATTTCTTCCAGCCTAAGAGAATTCATTTTTTTAATTACCTCCCTTTAAAGCCTTTTGATCACTTGCTCATATCAAGTCTCTTCTCTTGTGAATGTGAGTATTTTGAGGAATTTCTTTACTACAAAAAAATCAGTTCTTCTTGGCAGGCTTGGAGCTCTTCTTGGCATCTTTCTTGGCAGGCTTGGTTTCCTTCTTAGCTTCCTTCTTAGCGGGCTTATGATCTTTCTTGGTTTCCTTCTTGGCAGTCTTATTGTCCTTCTTAACTTCCTTCTTGGTGCTCTTGGGTTAAGCAGCAGCCTTCTTACCAGGGTTGATAGCCTTCTTAGCAGCTTCCTTAGCGGGTCTCTTTTTAGAGAGCTTCTTATCACCAGCAGCAGCGTGAACGGTCTTCTTGGCATCCTAATTTTTAAATTAAAGATATTTTCAATAAAATGAATAAAACGTTTTTCCCAATAATATTTGTATTAATTCATTCATTCTACTTTTTAACTCTCTTTTAGTGAGAAAAAAAGTGTAGAACTATTAAAATATGTTTCTTAAAAATAGTAGAAACTTCAATAAATAACCAAAGGAGGAGAAAGTATTTAGTAATTAAAAATTCTATTTTGAATTTATTTAATGAAAATAGTAGAAACAAATCGTTAAATTCTTACGCTGACGGTTTCCTTCATGGTTTTGGTTTTGTGGATCTTCTTCTTGGTATCAGCCTTGACGGGGGTGACATCCTTCTTGACGGGGGTGGTGGAAGCAGAAGCAGCCTTGCCCTTGGTGGGGGTAGGCTTAGTATCCTTCTTGGCGATGGCTTTCTTGATGGGAGCCTTCTTGTGGTCCTTCTTTTCTCTGGTAGCAGACTTGGAAGTTGAACTTCTGGGAGCCATTTTATATTATTTGTTTTTTAGTTTTTTTTTCTTGTTTTTTTCTTAACGATTTAATTTTGTATATTAGATTATAATATCGCGCGTTAGATATGGGTTTATATCAAATTCAAAAATTTCTCTTAAAAATAATCTGAAATCTGATTGGATAATCTCCTCTCCAAATAAGATTTATCTCTCTCTTATCAAATATCTAAGAGGAAGTTTTTATATATCTTTAATCAATCCATCGAATTAAAATTTCTAAGATTCTTTATATCTATAAGAATTAATTTCATATAACACAACCATTAAATTTTAAAGCTAATATCATTCATTCATTATATATAATACTTTCTCTGTCATCCTAATGAAACCCCCACCTATTCCCTCCACATTTATGTACAGCTAAAAATTATAAAATATTTGTTTACTTGCCTATTTATCAAGCAAATATGTAAAATGTTAACAAAATTGCAATTTATTTTATTTATTTATTGATTGATGCTTTATTAAAATCTCATAGTTAAAGATAAAACAACAGATTGATTCATATACATTCATTCATTCATACATACATACTTCATTTTTAAGATCAAATATTTCTTTGCTTCATTATAATTTTTCTTATATATTTTAATTAATTATTATTTATTCATAAAGAAAAATTATTTTTGAGCCTATTAAATAAATTTTATGTCATCATTTAAAATATATATATTTAAATTTCTATTATGTGAATGTTGTATAAATCATCTTTATGATTTTCATTGTTTTCTAATTAATTAATAAACTTTGCTGAAGTATATTTAACAAAATTGATTTAATCTAAACATTTTTTGTTTGTTTGTTTTTAATAAGTAAAAAAACAAAAAAAAATACTTATTTTGATAAACATAATTCTTGGTTCACATTTATTCTTACTATCTTAATGTGAAGTGATTCGCTAGCTCCATATTGGTAATATTTACATTTAGAATGTTGATCATTAAGCCATTCATATTATTTATTAATCAGCTTTTTAAAATCATTTTTTAAACTGCAATTAATTTAGTTCTAAGATAATCATTTATAATTCCAAAATTATTTTGGGTATCATTTTTGTGGATTTTTTTCAGGAAAAGTCTTATTCACACATAATTCATTTATAAAATTCTCCTCTAACTAAAATCCTTTTTTAGCAAGTATTCAAACATTCTTTGGTTTTACATTCTTAAATGGATTAAACCTATTATTTATTGGAAAATTTAATCAAATAAGACCTGCAAGGTAATGAAAAATTAATAACTGAAAACTCTAGTAAAGTATAATTATTAATTAAAACTGCTAAGAGAAATGTCAAAAATAAATAAATCGCACTAAATATCTATTAAATATTAGTAACAATTAAATTTTTATGTAGAACAACATGTAATTTCATAGAAGTTATTCAATCTAAGTTGTTTATCAGTTTATTTTAGAGATAAAATTATTAGGTTTTATACATAAATTTTTTGATAATTATTTGGCTTATTTTATTCTAAAAATGCTATATCAAACTTTAAGAATAAGTCTAGTGATATGTGTTGATAAGCTTTGAAAGTTTGAGGACTAGGCAGTAAAATAGTTTATTCCATAAACTTTTTTATTGTTAAACACTGAAACAATTGAAAATTATTAACATGTTGAAGATTTATATCTTACGAGAAGTAAATTAACTACATAATTTATCTTCTCTAAAAAATATAGCTAAATAAATATGAGATCTTTCTGATTATTTACAATACCATTTGTAATTAATTCGTTCCGATCCCAACAAATAAATATTTTACTCGTTTTTTTCTATTTTTAATATAACATTTTTTATTTTGGCTTTAAGTTTCTTTAATGAATTAATTATATATGTCCTTTTTACATACTTACTTTTGCCATTTTAAGTTTAAAAAATATTGTAAATAAAATCAAAAATTAGAATTGTTTATTTTATTAAATTACAGAAATTTTAATTCTATTTGATTTTACTTTTAAGACTTATTCATATTTTTAAAATGTTGAGCAGTGTTAATTAATATTCTATGCTTTCTATCACGTACAAGATATGTTTAAACTTGCGTAATAAAAATCCTTATCCTTCTTAATTAAAAGCTACAAATTTTATAAATTTTAATTCATTAACAAAGAAATTATTTCACAAATTTAATTCATAAATAAATAAATAATTGAAGTAGAAATTAGCTTAAAGTTATTTGTATGCTTTAAACATAGCTGATTAAAAAATTCTTCAGTACTAATCAGTAACCTTTATTAAAGGGGATTAGGGTAATTGATTTATCTAGAATATTGGCAGGCCCTTTTGGTACAATGTATCTGAGTGATTTAGGAGCTGAGGTAATTAAAATTGAATCTTTTGAAGGAGATGAAACAAGAAAATGGGGTCCTCCCTTTGCAAATAAAGAGGACTCTTCATATTTTTTATGCGTCAATCGTAATAAAAAGAGTATATGTCTAAACCTAAAGTCACAAGAAGGATAAAAAATAGTCCATGAATTAGTTTAAAAAAGCGATATTGTAGCAGAAAACTATTCATAAGGAGTCACTCAAAAGTTAAATTTAGATTATGAAACTCTAAACAAAATAAACCAAAGGATTATATATGCCTCAATTTCAGGATATGGTGACACAGGTCCTATGTCTTAATCACCAGCATTTGATTTAGTTATGCAAGCCAGATCTGGGTTTATGCATATCTCTGGACAGCCAGATGGACCACCAACTAAAATGGGATTTGCAGTTAGTGATGTATTAACAGGATTAAACTTAGCAAATGGCATTTTAGCTGCTCTTTATTATAGACAGGTCACAGGTAGAGGAATGTAAACATGTTTTTACTTAATTTCTACTGCATTTTCATTTTATACAAATAAACTTTATTATCATATTTTATTTAAATTTTACTTTAGATAGCATTTGTAAATGCTATTTATTATTCTTATGATATTATTTATTCATAACATTCAAAATTTATTATTTGTTATAAATTTATTTTATTTAGGCATGTAAAAACGAGTTTATAAGAAAGCTCAATAGGCTCTTTAGTGAATATATCTTCCTAGTATTTAAATGGTGGATAAGCTGGAAGAAGAATGGGTAATAATCATCCATCAATTGTGCCATATGGAGTCTATAAAGTAAAAAACGATGAATACATAGTTTTGGGTTCAGCAACAAATGACTAATTCAAAAGATTTTGTAAAGTCATAGGAATAGAAGAAATTCTATCAGATGAAAAATTTAAAAATAACTCAGATAGAGTTAAAAATAGAGTAGAACTTGATGAAATTATAAATAAGGCGTTACAAAATTTTGAAGCAAAATAACTTACTCAATTATTAGAAGAAAATAAAATACCTGGAGGGAATATATATAACATTTAATAAATGTTTGAAGATGAATAAGTCAAGCACCTATAAATGGCAGAAGAAGTTGAATCAACAAAATATCCAAATCTTAAATTGGTAAGAAATCCTATCAACTATAGTGAAGGTATCAAAGCTAAAATGGTTGAACCACCCTCATTAAATGAGCATTGTGATTATGTACTCTCAGACATATTATAATATTCTTAAAATAAAATTAACTAACTAAGAGATTAAAAGGTTATATTGTGATTTAATTTCATCTACCTTATCCTATCTATATATATTTTCTAAGATACTAAAAATTAAAATATCAATTATTTATTAAAAAGATAATTTTTTAAATAATAATTTCAATATATATACTATGAAAATTTTAAATTTTAGTTGAAAAGTATTTATTAAAAAAATAATTAATTGTTTGATCATAATTTTTTGAAATAATTCTTTTAATTTTTCACTACTTTTAGAAAGTTTAGATGCCAAACAATTTAATATTTTTTTCAACTTAATGTAAATTTTCTGTTTTTTTAAATAATACAAAAATTATTTTTAAAAATAAGATAAAATTATTTGAGAAATTAAATATAATAGCTTTATGTAGCTATCGAATTATTTTGTATATTTTGAGATAATTTTATCATAAAACTAAAATAGATTAAAAGCAATCAAATACAAATTAAATATATAGATGAAATCTATTTACTTACTTAGTTAGTTATTTATAAAATAAATTATATTTTAATTATTTAGTATAAAATATTACTTTTAAAGATAATTATAATTAATTTTATTTCAAATTAAAAGGATTAAACATTAAAAAACACTTTAGAGGATAAGATTAATAGAATTTTTGGTTTCATTCATCTAAAATTTCACTTTTAGGAGGTTTAAAAGTCAAAAAATTATAATAAGTCTTGCAACCTTATGCATAGGTAAATTTTTGTTTTTCTTAATTAATTTTATTTTTATAGGTTTCTTCCTTTAAAGTTGATCCTATACATGCTAAAAAACAGTCAAAGAAAGCAAAATTACTCAATCCTGCAGCAGAGCCTATATATAAAATCATTCCCAGAAGTGGAATCACAGGATTATTATAAAATTTAACATCTTGATAAGAAGCAATCCAAATAAATGAGATTAGTGTAATTATCACAAAAGGAAATACCATAAATTTAGTGAAATCCTTATTTAATCTAAGGACAGCCAATAAAAGAAGACAGCCAGTTATCGCAATAAATAAGTAAAATAAGACATAATTGTGATAAAATTATACAAATACAAAGCTATTCTATTTGATGTTATCAACAAAGCAGAGTATACTAAAAGCAAGCATGTAGAGAACCCAAATATAACTGCACCATAAGAATAAATAAAAATTCTTGTGATTTCTTTATCCTATGCAATTTCCCATAAAAAAGCCTAATATAATTCAAGTAAATTTTAAATATATCCTGATAATCGAAAAGTATTTACAATGATGATCGAAATTTTTGACACATTAATTGCACTCACTGCCTATTGAAATAAAAAATATAAGCATATAATATTAATATTTATAAAATACAATGAGATGCAAGAGGTGGTCTTATTAGCTTACAGGTAGTGCAATATCTTGACTCGTATAGATTACCTCCTTCATATTATTTTACTGTGAGATTTGCAGGTAATTTCGGAGGGAATGGATTTATAAATACATTCTACATGTTTTTATTGTCAAATCCTTGTTAGTTATCAAAATTTTATAAATTTTATGTTAACTGATTGATTTATTTGTCGCAACTTTTCAAACCATTTTAAATTTCGCTTAATCCAGTCTACATTTAAACTACCCAATCATTCATATTTTTTTCTTTTATTTCTTGATTCATTTCACTTAATTCTACATTAAATTAAGGCTATTCTTTTATAGCCTTATTTGTAGGTTCTTCTAATTTTATAATGTTCTTGTTTCTAATATCAAAATAAAGTATTTAATATGGAAAATATAAGAATAAACAAATTACATTTCTTCGTTTGCTTATTGCTGCTAAACATCTGATTTTTCGCAAATTACTACTTTTTAAGTTTCAATCAATATTTCATCATTCTTTTTTTCAGCAGGTATCTAAGAATTCTTAGCAACTTAATCATTTATTTAAAGTACATTATTTTAGTTATTAGTTTAGTTTTGATCTAATTATGCATTTTTTTCAATATTTTATTATTTCTCTACATCATTTTATTATTATTCTACATGAGTTCCTTTTTTGAGTACACCAGGATCTATTAAAAAATTTATAAGATTGAGCATAAAATTTTAAGAAATTTTCTATAAAAAGTCCTATAAAATATTTTAAAATATATATTACCTGTAAAATAACATTTAATTGCATTGTATAACCCAGGGATTGAAATAAAGATACCAATAATTGTGATTGCAGGTGAGTACTCTACCCAAGTGTGAGGAGAAATAACTGCTAAAAAATATACGCTAAGAGTAATGTAAACTGTCCATAGCAATAAAACTATAACTAAATTATTTCCATTTCCTACGTAAATCTTATTATTATAACATGTGCTTGTTTGCTATTTAAACCTAAAATCTAAGTTATGTTAAATAGTTTATTAAATGCTTTTATCTTAAGGCACCATTATTAAGTTGAATAATTATCTAATCTTTATTTATAAATTAAAAAAAATAAGTGAATATTTTTGATGATTTTTTTTATAGTAAAATAATCAAATGTTTAGAACTTAAACTAGTAAATAAAATTATTAATTAATTGTAATATTAAGCGTTAAAGGCTAAATTATTAAATTAATAAAAAAAGTTTTAAATTTTTTCTAAATATCTATACTAGTTATTTTATCTTAACCTAGAACTAAATACTTCTAAATGATTTTTAAAGCAAAGAAAGATAAATAAAATATTCTTTAAATTATCAGTAATTAATTAGTAAAAATTCATATCAAAGAGTTAATTGTAATAAAAAAACTGATTTGATATAGATAATTTTTACAATTAATTAAATTACCAAAATAAATAAATCTCTGATTTATATTTTTATATTTGTTTAAATTTATTCTATCAAGTAACTTGAATAGTATATTATACTATAAACTATCCAATTTATGTGTTAGTTGGTTTTTGAAAAAAACATTTCGCTTAGCTTTAAATGTTATTTCAGGTAAAATTGAAAAAAATAATTTCAGTTTGAAGCTTATTTAGAGATTTGCTGGTATTTATTTACAATCAAAATCTTTCTGCAAATAATTTTACTTTTATGGTTAAATAGCTAAACTTGAATATAAGATACTACTTTTAAAAGGAAGTTTTACAAAATCTGTTAAATTAAATAATTTTAATCATTGAGTTTTTTTAAGAATTTACTGATATAAATATTCCCGTGATTTAATCTGAATAATTTCTTATTAATACAAAAATTACTTTTAAACTTTGATTTATTATACTAATTTCACAAAAAATATGTCTTGACTTTAAAAAAATTTCTATAAATCAGTTAATAGCAGTTGAAAATTTACAGATCCGCGAATATTTAGAAAAAAAAAATGAATTTAATAATGTACGTTAACCAAATTTGATGACAGAAGATGGTATAAATTAAATTATAATTTCTCACAATTTTTTATTTAAAGATTAACTTTACGATTGATATTACGAGTGTATATACTTTTTACAAATATTTAATTAGTTATTTAATTTTTTATGAAGACATATCAATCAGTCAGTCAACACCAATCATTTTAAAAAACCTTGCTATTCCTTTAATTTTCATATATATCCAAGCCTTTTTATAGAAAAAATTATATTTTCATCTTAAATATAAGTATAACTTAGTTTTGAATTAATTATACTCATGAACACAAACTAAAAAATCTGTTATTTTTAAAATATAAGTATAAGTTACTTTGAACAGAAGTCATTTTTATCTAGAATTCCATCATGGTCTGTATCTGCTTCTTATATGAATTCTATTATATCAGAATCACTAATAACTATATCTAAATACTATCCAAACAGACTCTTAATATCTTACAAATTTACACCATTTTTACCCCTAAATAAAAAATAATTGGTTGATTTTTATTAAATTGTCTGGTATAATAATCAATGTATACTTTCTGTCAAAAAGTTTGAAAATTTCATTCGCTTCTTATTCTCTGCCACCTCCAAAGAACCATTTTTTACTTATAATGCTTAAAACCTCTTCAAGACTAAATGAGGTTTTGTTTGAAGGATAATCTTTTCTAATTTCTTCCTCTATTTCTTTAACGTTCATACTAGTAAAAGCAAAGTTACCTAAAATAGATCTCAATTATGTTCTATTGATCTAACCTAATTTGTCAGGATCATAAAAGTAGAAAGCGTCTTTTACCTCTTTTTCCTTTTTTTTAAATTTCAAAGAAAAAAATTAGTTTAAAAATATTTTAGAATTTCTTTTTGTAAAATGTAAAATTGTTCATAATAATTATTAGAATATTTACCATCTCATCAGGTAGTTTTTGATTTTTTTGTTCTTATCTTCTAGGTTAATTTCTAGGTTAAGCTGCTTGAGTTCTTTTTTTATCCTAAAGTCTTGCTTGGTTTGAATTAGAATTTGCGTTTGTCTAATTATTGTTGGTACTCATTTTTTATTATACTATTTTCGTGGTGTTTGTTAAATGAATTTTTTGATTAATTGAATAAATATCAAAATTTTAAAAGCTATTAGCATTAATATAATCCAAATACATTTAATAATTTTGAAGAAATTAAAAAAATTTGATATCAAATAAGTCATCAGTTATTTATTACCAACAAAAGTAAAAAAATAAAATCATATTGTAAAAAGTTTGAATTGTGTAAAATAAAAAAATAAATATTCATTAAAGATTTTAATTTTTTAGTTTATTTATTCAAATAATGCAAATCATTTTATTTTGTATATTACCTAAAATATCAAAATAAACATCTAAAAAACTCATTGTTTTATAATGCAAAGTAGTTTAAATTCATATAAACTTATTAGCCTAAATAATTATTCTAACTTTAACAAAAAAGTTAGAAAAAATATTTTCAGAGTTTAAAATATTTTAGCTTTTTTTAAATTAAAATTATTTTTAATAAGAAAAATTCTATTTTGAAAAAAATAATGTGAAAATTGTAATTAAAGATAAAAATACTTATAAAATAAACCCATATTTCATTTAATTTAAAGTCAAAAAATGTTGAAGAAATTTGTTATATACATATTAATTGTATATTTTGAGATGCTGTTATTTTTAATGATTGTTGGCTGATAAGCAATTTATTCTTTTAAAATAATTTTAAATAAGAAAAATAAATTTTTTGGGTAATGTGCAGATAGATACATAAAATACATTATTCCTGGTATTCATCAAAAATAAACAAACAAATAAATAAATAATAGAGGATTGTTTTAATAAGATTTAGTTGATTGGTTGGGTAAAATATTAAAGGAAGTAGATTTGATTGCTGGCTAATTGAAGAGTGATAAGAAGGGAGAGAAAGTAAAATGATAACTATAATGAAAATGATAAAATTTATAATAGGGTATTACAAATAATAATAATAATATGGCAGTTTATGAGAATTAAGTACAGATTAAAAAAAGTTGGAAGCTAAAGAAATGAAGGGAGAGGAAGGAAGAATCTTTAAGCCAAAGAAGAAGGATTAAAAATAAGGGAAAGAAAAATAATTGAAAGACAGAAAACACAGTGAGTTTAATTTAGTATAAAAAAAAGAGGTAAACCAAAATAAGAAAAGATAAAAGAAAAGAGTAAAAAAAATTTAATAAAATAAAAGCAATTAATATTAAGATGAGCAATAACCAAAGTTTCTTCACCGTCAAGGACGTCGCCGCCGCTGACTTCATTAGAGAATATGCTTCTCACCTCAAGAAGGCTAACAAGCTCTCTATCCCCGAATTCACTCAATGGACCACCACCTCTGTTGCTAGAGAATTGGCTCCTCAAGATAGCGACTGGGTTTATATTAGAACTGCCGCCTTAGCCAGAAAGGTTTACCTCAAGCCCCACACTGGTATCTCTACCCTCAAGCACATTTTCGGTTCCAACAAGGACAGAGGTAACTTGAGAAACAAGCACCAAGCTTGCCACGGTAAGATCCTCAGATGGGCTCTTAAGTCTCTTGAAGATTTGAAGATCATCAGAAAGGACAAGAACTCTGCTACCAAGAAGTTCTCCAGAGTTATTACCAAGGAAGGTATGACTGAACTCAACAGAATTGCTACCCAAATTGCTATCAAGCAAAGACAAGCTAAGTGAAATACCTAATAATTAGCAAAATAATATATATTAATGATTAATTCTTGATTTTCTCTCTAATCTAGGATATTAGAAAAGAAATAGTTAGTTAGTAATCATTACTGCCATTTTTACCAATTAAATCAAGCAATAAACAATGGCAGAAAGCACATTTACTGATATAATGAATTAATGTAAATTAACATCTTTTTAAGTGTGTAATCTATTTTTTATTTCTATATTATCCATTAAATAAAAGTATTTAAATCTTATACTTCTTAACAACTCAAATTATTTAATTGTCTCTTCTCAGTTGTTTTCTCTATGGGCATTATATCCACTCAAATATAGCCTCTAATTAGCTTTATATTTAGCAAGACACAAAAAAAAATAGATATTCATAAATTGATTTAAATCAAAAATATATTATTAGATGATTGATTGATTAACTGTTTTTAGATAAATTGGTGAATGAATCATTTATAGATTCCAGTATTTTAAATAAAATAGGGATTTAGTTAGAATTTAAATTGGTGATAATAACTCAAAACAAACTGCATTCGGATTTCTTCAAGCAGAAACCAATATTTAGATGCAAAATTAAAAATATTTTGAATATACCTATTACTTACTTACTTTAATGTTGAATTGACATAAAGAAACACAACAAAAAAATATATCCTTGCAACTTAGAATAATCTACAAAAAATATAGAATTTATTTAAGATAAATAAATATGGTTTTACTAACTAATCCCAATTTTTAGCAATTTAAAAGAAGTTTATTTACTTACTTACTCATCAATCAATCAAATTTAATACTATGATTTTGTTTTAATTTTTGAGTTGTATTTTTTCAGCAATATTAATATTGCAATCAACTCTATTTACTTTTCAAAACTTAGTTTTGTAATAAAAAAGCTATTTTTATGTTTAAATTTTTAAATATTACAAAAAGTAACAAAATCAAAATTGAATCTTCCCAATAAAATGTCAATTAAAATAAAACAACATTTCTAACTATCATCAATCAATCAATAAACAATTCATTCATTCATTTTAACACTTATAAAGATTCTTCAACAGCGAAAATATATATATAATATTAACATATTTATTTCATTTTACCTTTTAAAACTAAAATTTAAAATGCATGAAATTTAATTTAATCTTGAAAATTTGGCTTTTAATTTTATTCTAAAAAAAGAAAGTATTTATTTGTACAATTATAGCAAAATTAACAATAAAAAACAATCTTAATTAAATCCTTTTAAATTTAAATGATATATCAAATATTTTTTTCTTTCTGAAAAGATATATAAAATAGAATAATCAATTATCTGCTATATCATTAAATAAGAAACAAAATCTTCTTAAAATTTGAATTTAATAAATAAAAATATTTAATTATCAATAACTTTAAATGCCAACTTTTTAAAAAGTATTTTTTTTAGTTTTAATTTTTGAAATAAATTTTGATTTAAACTGTATTTTGTTTAACATTGAATTTAATCGAAAAATAAATAAACATTTTTAGAAGATTTATTAAAAATATTTTAGTAATTATCAATTTAAAATTAAAGTAACTATCTAACTTTATTTTAATTCATTTAGCAAAAGATAAATCAAAATATGATTTTAAAATAAATAAATAGATGAATCAAATTAAAAAATTGCATTTATAATTTAATTATATAGCATATAAAGTATTAGAATTCATGATAAATATGTAATTGCAAATAAAAATTTTAATTCATATATCTAAATTCTTTAGGATTAAAAAATCTTTTAAGATATTAAAAAGAATAAATCAAATAAAATGGGATCGATAGAAAGACAGATAGATACATACATAAATTCATTCATTTATTGAATAGCTAATTTATTCATTTTATTTTGATTGTATTTGATTTATTAGATAAAGATTCTTAGTAAAGGAATGAAGCCTCAAAAGAATGTTATCAAATCACACAAAGATAAGAAAAAGAAAAAATTATGAGAATATCATTTGAAGGGAGACTATAAAGAAAAAAGAAGAAAAAGAAAGAGGATTAATTGTGAAATAAAAAATAAGAAGGGAAAAAAGAAAAAAAAATAAATTAACAAAACAAATTTTTTATATTTAATTTATCAATTAATTAAGATATAACTAAACAAAGAGGATGTGGTATAAATACTTTAGCAAGCAATCTTGGAACCTCAGAGTCTGGAGGTTTGTTATACAAAAATACATTTTACATTTTCGTATCAAGATATACGCAAGCAATTAGAAATAATTTTATCAACTCACAATAAACAAACAGCTTTTTAATACAAAAAATTTATGAATTTAACAGATAATTAGAATTATATGCGCCAATAGCTCCCATTATTTATCTTTAATCTGATGCAGTTTTAAAGTTTGTAAATGAAATGAAATCAAAACAATTAATAGAAAATTTTAAAATAGCAATTGGCTGATGGCTTGCTTGAATATTTGATATAATTTACTATTAATATCTCATTCAACTTGTTTCTTTATTTAAAATTAGAAAGGCCAACTTGAAATACAACCAAGATGACTTTGGTATGACTCAACCCAAGTATATTGCTAGATTCGGTGATTTCCGTTTCAGATTAGTCAGAACTGAAGGTGCTGTATGAAAATAATTTTATTTCAAATACATTATTTGTTTATTTAGGGAAAGGACTTGCAAATTTTAGAAATGTTTTGCAGATTATTTTTAATTATGAAAATGTTTGTGAAAAAGCATAAAAATTAAGTGGTTACCTAAAATAGAATGACTATGTATTTAAAAAACAAATGTGCTCGCTCCAGAAAATTATTGATAATATCATGATTATGATTAAATTAATATAATCTGATGCTAAAATTAGAATTTGAAAGCACAATTAGATAAAAATAATTACGAATTCAGATGAATAACAATCATGAACATTTCTATAATTTGAAAGAATTTTTTCTAAAAATGTAAATTAATCTAATTTATTGAATATAATTAAATAGCTTAGAGGTTGCATGTTCTTCGTTGGTTTTGGATGCTTCTCCATCATAAATTATCTTTATGGAAGATACGGTTATATTATTAATGAAAGCTCTTAAAAACGTGCTGCTTAAGATTTACTTGGTAATTAAATAGAAATTTATTGTTTAGAAATTAGATATTATTTAGAACAAGATATGAATTGATTGATTGATTGATATAAAAATGTAATGCACCAAATAAATTTATTGTAAAAGCAATAAATAATATTTATGCTAAAATCAATATAATAAACAGAAAAAATTCTTTTCACATAACGAGATGGCTAAATACTCCAAAATTTAAATTTAAAATATCGATCAATTTATATCTACATTTTTAAACAAATAAATAAATAAATATGCTACTTATTTAGTAAGTTTATTCATACTTAAATTAATTTTAAAAATATAGATAACGACATGGCTGCTGATAAAATTTTATTCAAAAACAGAGTCGGTGCTCCTACCAGACCTCTTAGAAGCTTAGATGATATGATGGCTTTCTTATCTGGTTCTGCCACTTATGACTAACTTGCTGATTATGCTTCCTATAATCACGCTATGGACGTCAACCAAGATCAATAAGCTGGTCTTGACTCTTGGATGAGTGAAAAGGACAAAAACATGGTTAAATATTACCAAAGATCTCTTGGTAAGAAGGTAGAAGGTATCTGAGCTTACTTTAATCTAATAATTTCACAATTTATTATATAGATAAATATTCAAAGTGAAATATTTATTATTTGCTTGCAAACATACATTTTCACATTTATTTTTATGTATTATGTATTTTTAGATCACATTTACATAAAAAAATAAATAATTACTCTGATATAATCATTTTTTAATTAACTTTTAATAGATTAATTTGGTAAATTAATTTTTACTCTACACTAAATTTATTTTATTAGTAAGTTTAATTGGAATTCTATCAATTTTAGTTAAATAAATTTTTAGAGTAAGCAGTACATAAAATAAATAATATCATAAATAAACTTTTTAGTAGCACAAGATATGATATTATTACAAAAAATAATTTTTAGTTAAAAGAATAAATTATTAAAAATTAATATTATGAGTTTATGAAAAAAAATTAGATTTGCTAATATTAATAAAGTAAATTTAAGCAAACCTTAATTTCTACATCAGATAAAATGTAAACAATGGTATCAAGAGTTATTTATTAAAGATAATTAAGTCAATATTATTATATGTTTCTAGATTATTTAAAGCTTAAAAAAATAAATAATGAGTAAAGGAAAATTAAATAAATAAAGTAAGAAAAATCATAATTTAAAAAAAATGAATATTAATTAAAAATACTCACTCTTTTATTCTTAAAAATATGAAAATTATATTGATTAAAGTTTTAAAAATAAAATAATTTTAAACTTGTAAGCTAAGAAAGTTACTGAAAAAAATATTGTTAAATTCAGCTAGAAATTTAAATAAATAGTTTTTATCTTAGATTTTTGTGAGCATAGTTAGCATTTCTTTGCTTCTTTCATATTTTTTGTTTATAAATAAGTATTTTATAAAAACTAATTTTTAGGTTATTAAATTTAGAAATGATAATAATTTTTTTAATAAACACAAAAATAAAATAATTAAAATCGTTTCCAATTTTAACTAAAGTGATTTAATCTATTTTTTTCTATTTATTTTATTTAATAAAGAAAAATAATTAGTAGTATTTAAAAAAAATGAACTCCTTTATTTTTCTTAGTAGAATAATAAGATAATAAATAAAATCATATTTAATAAGTTAGTTATATTTATTTAAAAATCTTTTAAATCAATATAGATACTTTAAGAAAAAAGGTAAACTAATATTTTTGTTTTTGTTAATATATTTGATAAAATTGAAATAAAAATGAAATTTGATGAATTATGCTTAATTAAAAACCTTTTAAATGAATTAAGAAAATAGCTTCATAATGGTTTTAAGATATTTAGAATGAATTTAAAGTTATTTGAATGATGAATTATTACATTTTAAAGAAAATATTTTTTTAATAAATTATAATGATTTCACATATTTAAAAATAGTATTATTAATAATTTTTAATGGATGAAAATAAATGCTATTATATAATGATGTTAAATTTTAATGCGTTTTTATTATATTAGAAATTATTTAGTTAAATTAATTTTAAAAAATATTTATTAATAAATTTAGAATAAGAATTTTAAGTATTTATTTAAAATATTAAATTTAAAAATATTTTTTTTATTCATTCTAAAATTTATAACTAATATTTTTTAAGAAATTCTAAGATTGATGAGCAAAATAAGTAAATAAATAACCAATATTCTTTATTATTCTTCAGCTATTTATATTTCTTTATAGAATTATATCTATTTTTTTGCTCCAAAATAAAATTTATTTCTCCTTTAAACTTAGAAAGAGCTGGCTTAATAATATTTAGCTCAATAGAACAGATTTTTCTCCATCTTTTAAATAAAAAGAGCTCATTTATGTAACATCAAACAAGTACAAAGATTATCAAGGATATATGCAGTTATAAAATAGTTGTTATTTTAAATATTTTATTTATTTCATAGTATTTTACTTATTTTTTCACAATGGATAATGATCTATCCTCCATTTAATTGCAATAATAGTATGATTGATAAAAGGATGAAGTGAATTAATAAATCAATATGGAAAGAAAAATTTACTTACAGTAGGTTATAAATTATATATATAGATAAGTAAATACAATTGTTAACATTCAACTAATAAAATTTTAGATATTTAGGAGGGTATAGAAATGATTTAACAAAAATTATTCAGAGATACATTTTATTCAATTGATTTAACTTTGAATAATCATTTCAGTAGTAATATCTGTAAGAATAAGGAGATCTGTAGTAGCTGGAAGTGTAGTAAGGAAGGTAGTTGCTGGTTCTCAAGCTAGAAGTTGTGAGAGAGGGTGAGTAATCATAGCTTGGGCTACGAGAGACATATGAGTAATTTTTAGGATAATAGTCAACATACTCATCAACGTGTTCTACTGGAACGTATTCAGTTCTTCTTTCAACTCTTGTCTAGGGCTCATATGAAGTGACATGCTTAATTTCAACATAGTCTCTAGTGGTTCTTTCAACGGGAACATATTCTACCTTTGTTTCAGGTACATAGTCAATGTACTTTCTTTCAACTGGCTAGTATTCAGTCCATTCGCTTGTTCTAGGAGGGGTAATTGCTGATCTGTAAAGAGAGCTTGTATAGGGGTAAGTTGAGTATGCGAGTGTGGATGCGTAAGGAGAAGAATAATATCTAGATGAATATAAGACATCTTTTACAGGGGTATTTGTGGTGCTCATTGCTAATATAATAATACTTTGAAAGCTTTATGAAGTGAGTTTTTTTTAAGATGATAATTTTTTTTTCGCTGATTAATTTATTATATATTTTATTAATTTACTTTTCTGTGGATAATTTTTAAAGTTGCAATTCACCATTAAAACATGAATAAATTAATCAATCAATCAATAAATAAATAACTAACAAAATGAATAAATATACAGATGTCTTAGATTTAGATGATATTAGATTAAAAATAAAGTTAAAAGCATTTCATTCTTTCTTTCTTTTTCTACATGATAACCTGGATACAAACTTTATTTACTAATTTATAATAAATTTTGTGATTTGTCATTTAATTTCAGCAAAAAGTGTTAATTTATATCCAATCGCTTCTCAATAAATAAAAAAAGTATAATTTTACTAACAAGTATGTAAAAACGAATTGATAGAGTTTACTGACTCAATCATTTTTATTTGTAATAAGCTTTTAATAAATCTGCTAACAAATTAAATATGTATCCCAATAAATATCTAAAATTATTTAAAATGGTTTAATTTCATATTTTTTATATTTATGTCATTTATGATTTTTCTATTTTTGTTGCCAAATAAGCAGTAGATCTAAAATTAATAAATATCACTAAAAATAAAATATAATTTTTTATTTTTTTATCTAAAAGCTTGATTTAATTCTTATAAAATGTTTTTAAATATATTCACAAAACGTATATAAAATGACTAAACTAAAAATTATAAACTATTCGCACTAAAATTCTTAAAAATAACTCCTTTTTTACAAAAATTTGGCTATTTTTTCATTTTTTGATGTATCAAATATTGAAATATTGGAGGATTGTATCAAACTATAAATTATAAGTCTAATAAAATGATAGAATATTCAATAAAATTATTAGTTAGCGCTTTTATTAGCTGAAGGAAAATTTTAATTAATAGAAATAGGTATCTTTCTTACTTAAATAAATGAAAAAAACCAAGTTAGTTTATAAACATAGAAGTAAAAAAGTAGGTTTTTATAAAATTAGAAATTATCTTCACAAAGATTGATTATAGATACAGGTTGTGAAAGTGATAAAATACTAACTTAGTCCAGTAAAATTAAAAAGGCTTGAATATATTGATCTAACAAATAATAAAAATAGGTATGTATTTCTATTATTTAACATTATTTAAGAAATTCAAGCTTCTTGTAATATATATTACAAATTCAAATACTTAATTGTAAAAATACTACCTTATAAAAAGAAGAAATATTTATTACTCTTCTATCTTATAAATATATATTAGAAATATTAAAAACTCAAAATAATTATATTTTTTTAAAAAAAACCTCTGCTTACATTAGATTGTATGGATCCCTAACCTGCTTGATTTTAATAAAATCAAAAATCTATTTTCTTAAAATAACTCAAATAAAAAAAATAAATATTTTTCAAATCATAAGTTCTTTAAACTAAAAACTATAAATGAAAATTACTCATTTTTTAAGTATTTAAACTTTATCTATTTTTGACATTAATCTTCCTTTTCAAACCAGCATTTTAAAGAGAAAAATAAGCTAATTATATCAATTATTTAAATAAAGTTAATTGATACTTAATTTATATTTACTTTAACACAAAATGCTACTAATCTTGGATCTTTTATCTTTTAATTGATTAATTCAAAAAAATTAATAGCTTTATGTAAATACTATTAAATATTTTATATTTAGCCTAATAATCTTATATCTAATCTGAATATTTGATTATATTTTGGTATTTTACAAATCTAAAAAATATAGATTCAATATTTGCATTATTTAAATAAAGGTAATAATTATATCTTATTAGATATTATATAGAGTACTATAAGTAAGGAAAAATGAATTTCATTTGAAAAAAACATTAAATTTTAATATATTAACCTTTGATTATTTTACTATTAAAAAGTGTTAAATAATGCCCTCTTTTTAAAATTTTATGTGTTTATGGAAAAAATAAGATAAATAGTAAATTTTAATCAACTTTAATTTCTTAGTTTTCGAAAAATACTTTCTTAAAAATTATAAGGGAATTAATTTTGAATAAATAATAGTTATTTTAGTTTTTAAATATTTTTAAATATTAATAGGATAAATATTATTTTTCATTAATTTCATTTATAATTTATTTAGCTAAACATTTTTAGAGTTGATTTCAAAAAATATTAATTCACATGGATATTAATTTTATTTCACAAATAGTACAACAACATAAATAGATTATATTTAGTTTTAAGAAAAATTAATTAAATTGATATTTTTATTGGGTTTTGAAAATCTATTGAAAAATTAATAATTATTTTTACTTGCTTCATCTATGATTTTAGATTTAAAATTGAGTAGATTTATTAAATTTTAATTAACTATTTAAAATAATTTTTGAGCTATTTTAATTTAAAGGGAGTAACATCAAATTTAATATATGATTTCAATTAATTAAAGAGAATAGAATCCATGGAAATAGTAAATTAATTAAAATAACTTTTGTTTATATTTTCTTTTCATTCATTAGAAATTTGATTAAAAGTTTTTATCATTTTTTGTAACAATATGAGATATTTTTTAAGTTATGAAACAATAGATTTTAAGAAAATTAGTATCATTCCATGTTATTCTTATTTATTAATGATTTTAATAATTAGGTCTTTTAAAATATACATTTTAAAATGAATAATGATAGATATACAATCAATATGAATTGGTAAAGAGGTCTCATTTTATAATCTAAATCTTTAAAGGTAAACAGTAAAAATAGTTAATTACTTTTTTTTTAAATCATAATTAATTACTTGAAAAATAATTAAAAAGATATCATATTTACTAACTAAAAATTTTTAAAAAAATTACTTTCTCTATGCAACTATTTAAATTCATGGAAGTTTTTAATGATGTTTTAATGAATTATCTTTACAATTTTTTTTGATTTTATTTCTTAACAACTAATAAAAAAATTAAAAGAACATAAAAGAAGGGCCAACAAGTAATTAAATAAATATATGATAAAGATTGTTATTTATCGCAATTAAAAATCATATAAAGCGTCAATTTAATTAAAGAATTTAATAATAATTTTTTTTCAATTGCTAAAATTAAAAAAAATAATAAATAAAAAAGTTGAAAACAATTTAAAATTTTGGGCAAATGCTTAAAAATTTAAAAAAAGAAATATATCTATACTACATCTCTGACTTTGGTAGATAGCAATATGCTTATTTAAGAGGCCAACTTTTATCTTTGCTTTTGATAGTTATTTGCAACGTTTAATCTACTTCTATTTAGCTTACAAGTAATCTTCTTGATAAAATTGCAAGCGAAAACATTAATGAAAGCAACGATTCGTAGAGCGTTTATGTGTTCGCAAGTATTGCTCATTACTTTAGGATTTATCCATTAATAGGTGCTATTTTCGGGTAATATTCAGAGAAAAAAATATTATTTGCTTTTATAATTATTGCAGCAATATTTAATAGCCTCATATTGCTCTCTTAGATATTTAGATTCTTCTTATTCAAGTATAAATTAACTAATAATAATTTTGCTAAGCTATTTGACATTATCAACAGCTTTATTTTAAAAGTTTATGTATTTGTTTTCTATTTTCCATTCAATACTGCATGCTTTTAAGCTATTTTCAGCAGCGATTCTAGTCTAACTGAGATTATATTTTCGATAATCACATTGCTGATGACTCTTTTAATTAGTTTTGTTCAAAATTGGCATGACTTTAGTTTCAGTTTTGTTTTAGATGATTATATGGCTTCAACTGATACTCACTCGAAATAACTTGAGCTTATACTAAATATAATTTTGGTGATTGCTTTTTCTGCTTCAAAATATATAAACTAAAATGTAATAGCAGCCCTTCATATAACATTTGTGTCAACAAAAATTTCTCTTTAGATTATCGAGCTTGTCTATTATGATAACTTGATTATATAGACTCATTTATAATTTAAATTTATTCATGCTTTTAACGCAATCATTTTTTGTCTCTCATTTAATTTCCCTCATATGTTTAATGGAACTTAGCTACTAGTGTCAATTCTTTTGACTCTTCCTTTTTCCTATATTATGGCAAAATATCTTCTATTCCATCGTATAAGTGACCTTGCTCTAAGAAAAAAGAGTATTTTTATATTTAAAATTGAAAATTCAAGTATTATTTTGAATTATATAAATTAGATTACACTACTTTAGAACAAATAAATTTACATATTAGAACTGCTTTCTTTATGGTTAAACACCTAGAAATGCATGATTACACTGATCTAAGAAGATCTGTTCTTTACGAAAGTATTTATTAAAATCATTATTATACCTGCTCAAGGAAAGATTGTTTTTGTGAGCAATTAATCAGAGAAGATGGTTTCTCTTGGGAGGAGCTTTAAGGATTTGCATATAGGGATTAGTTCATCTCTTAGTATTTCGCACAAATGTATTCAGATTACTTAAACAAAATCAAAGCAACTAAATAACAATAGGTAAAAATTATAAATAATTTAATGGATTTTGCAACTATTGACTAAAGAGATTATTTAAAGACAAAAATCTTTATTTTATAGAAGATGAAAAGTTAATAATTAAATTTTCGTGTTCAATTTTTCATCACAGAAAAGCTAGAATAATTACTAATTAACTTTAGAGTATCATTAAAAATTTAATTTTGTAATCAAAAAAAAATAAAATTACAACTTTGTAATTTATCTTAATAAAAAAATAAATAATACGTCAATAAAATCAAATTTTTAAACATAATTACTTTTTTATATTTAGATTAAGGAATACAATTAGACTTGCTTTAATTACTTAACATTTTTGATTGAAGTTGTTAATGTTCCAACAAGTGCTCTAGTGGAAGTGGTTTAGATATCGAACATAGAAAAAAAAACAGCTTCAATTAAAGATTAAATGGTGTATTAATAAATTTATGATCATGGTGAAAAAATATTTTACAATTTTTTCAATAATCCTACAATTTACAATCAAAAGCTCTAACTCAATAAAGTTTTAGAATTTGATTAACTTTTTTTAAATACGCAACAAAGCTTGAAATAGAGCTTAATATTATTGAGAGGAATGCTAATAAATCTTTGTAAAGAGCATGTTGATATCTCTAAGATTAACGAGCAAGTTTTAAAAATCAAAGATCTAAAAGAGTAGATTTAGTAAACTATTTAAAAAATGTACAGTTACAATCCTTACAGTTCTAGATGCTAATAACTGGCAGAAATATTTTCAAAATGTTTAGATTTGCATAATAAAAAACCTCAGCAATATTAAAAAGAAGTAATATATTTCTAAAAAAAAAATACTTTTTAATAAACATTTTATTCATGTAAAAAGGCTATTTATTGGAATAGAAAGCATCAAAACATGCAAACAAATATTGATAAAGAGGTTCCCATATTTTCTTAGGAAGCTTGTGTTGTTTATATTTCTTTGATTTAGCCCATAGGAATAATAAAAAACGCAAGCTATAGTGTTTAATCAATGTTTGGATATACTTCTTAAGAATTATTGAATAAAGTAAATTTGAAAAAATAAATAGAAAAGAATTAATTTAGATTTTTTTATTACAAAAATTAGAACTGCAATGTCTTGATCCCAGATTAGCTTAAGCTTGTTCATGACAAAATATTAAATAGATTTGTTACAAGTGGATAAATGAATGGCATAAACGCAGGACAATTATAAGTTTTTGGAATTAATTAAAATGGGTTTGCAATTCCTGTAAATTTAAGGATTAGGCTAGACTAATCTCAAGCTGATGATTTCGGAGCTAGCGCATTTTTTACCTATCAAAATAACGTATTTATTAATTTATTGTAAATTTTTAATAATAAATAAACATTTTTAAATTAAATAGCAAAGCTCTGAGTTCATAGTTTTTTCTCAATAAGGAAACATTTCTAATTTTACAAAAAAAATTTATGTTGATTTATTTTCTGGCATCATATCAGAAGCAGAACTTAATTTATGCCAAAGATTAGATTTATTTAAGATTTTACCTATACTATAGAATCATTTCTAACAAATGAGTAAAGGCTAAACTTTAACGATAGAACATAACTCAATCTTAATAAGTCCTATAAATGAGAAGGGTTTTAAAGCTTTATGCTACTAATCCAATAAACCTTTTAATAGTATTTATGATTTTTTATCCCTATGTAAAAAGCTTAATAATAAAGATTTCAAATTTCATTCAGTTACATTTAAAGCTGGAAAACTGCAAACATCCTACAAAGGCTTTGGATTAGGGTATATTTAAGTAGATAATCTGTAGCTTTTAAAGAAAAAATCAGAAATAAAAGCCCATTTAAAAGATATTAGCATCTAATTTGATAAAATCAAATAGTATTTAGAGCTAGATTAGGATATTTAAAACCTAAATAATAGTACTTCTTTGACGAATTTACAAGCTGCACCTCAAAAAACGCCAATAATAAGCAGCTAGAATTTAAAATTGGACTAAAATGTAAAAAAATTCAAACAAAAAAATATTTAAATATTTTATTTAAAATAAATATATAAATAAAGGCTGTCAAAAATATATTGTCTCCTAAAGTAGTGACAAATACAAAAAGGCAGAGCTTTTCTACCCAAACTTCAAGGAAATCTCTGTTTGGAATTTAAAAGAATCTAAGCCCATTTGACTTTGGAAGCTGTGAAGATCATGCAGAGGCTTTAAATTAAAAAGAGCCAACTCATAATTAGTTTACATTCAATCATCTTTTAAATACAAATAGAAAGCTTCTGAATGGTTAGCAAGATAAATGTTTAAATAACCATGAAATGTTAACAGATCAGTCCGTTGAGTATCAAGCTAATTTTATAAGCTCACCAATGTCTAGTAGAAATTATTATCAGCACAACACTTTAGTTGAAAGTAAACTTTTTTAGTCTAACAACGAAGCAATATTTGAAGCAGAGGAATAAGATGACTATTAGGATAATCCAGCTGATATTTTAGAAAATATGTTTAGTACAAAAAGTGAAGTTGAAGAAACTTAATAAGACAATTCATTTAATTATGAAGTTCCTTAAAATTAAACAAAGAATTTTAACAAATTAGATAAGTATTAAAAAACATAGTATAAATATTAAAATAAAGCGGATTTATAAAGCTTTTCTTAAAATTAGATAGGAAAATGTTCGAAAAATAAAAATAATACAAAGAATCAAAGCTAACAGATGAATGGATTGGTAAACAATGATTAAAATTAATCAAGCTCAGTGAATAGTACTATGAGTGAATTTCATACATTAAAATTAACTCTTCTAAGAGCTATTTCTAGAAATCATAAGAATAAAGCATTGAGATTCCTTTATTTCACTGGCTTTTTCAAAATAATTGTTCTTATTATACTTGCTACTTTCTTATATACTTACCAATATTCCACACTTAATTACATTAATATACTGAATTAGAATTTAGTGAAAGGTAGTTAATTAATTAATTAATTTCATCATTTTATAAAATGAATTAATTATTTTTTTTATTATATAATATAATTTTTCTAATATTAAACTTAAATTATATACTTATAATACTAATAGGATATGAAATTATGAATGAATTTGTATCTATTATAGCACATACAGAATATATCAAAATGTATAACAAAGGAATTATATAAAATACCTTACAGTAGAGTTAGTTACATGCTGTATTAGCTGAGCCCTTAGTAATTTAATAATAATTCAAAGACACTGTGAGTGATCTTGAGAACTATGATAGCGAAACATGGTATGGGTAGTATATTAGATCTTAATAATAATAAATCATAGTCTTCAATCAAAGAAATATATCTTCAACAATGGATCTAAAAATGATCTTCTCATTCGTTTCTATGGCTGAAAATCTTTATATGTATTCACAGTAGTAAACAGAAACTTCTTTGCGCTACATGTAAAATTTATTTATAATTAAATTAATTATTTTACAAGGATGTAAATTATAAAAATAGCCATTACAATTAAAAAGATAACATTCGGATTTTTCAAAATATGGCAGACTTGTAAAAGTAAGAAATGGATAGTGAGATAAATACAATAAAATCTTTCTAAGTAACATAGATAATTGTTCTTGAAATTTTTACTCTTCTGATGGCAATTTAGGTTATTCCAATTTATTACTATATCCAGTATAAAAAGGAGTAAATACTTAAACTTTTCTGCACTTTTTAGCCTAATTAATTAGTAGAAAGAATTGAAGCAATAGAATATTATGCTTCTAAAGAAGTTCTATCTAATAATTAAGATTAAATTTTTACTGTATAAGATACTCATAGTATGAAAAAGAGAACAATATCTTCAACAAATGAGCTATAAAAGATGAATATTAAGATGCTTTCAATAGTTTTAATAATTTTTTGTTTCTATTCAATTTATCCAATAATCAACTATACTATTTCAAATAAATTTATTGACGAATACAGTTTTACTTCTAATGAGCTGAGCCTAATTTACTCATTTAGAGGTAAAGCTCCACTAATATTGGCATTTAATTTCCTTAGATAAACTGCAACGTATGAATAGCGTCCTGATATTATTTTATAAGGGCTAGATGAGTAGATAGAAATTACTTAAAATTATATTTCAAATACAACAAATAAGATTGTTTAATCATTGAAAGACTCATCAAACTAAAATCTGATTTATGATTAAACTCTTCATAGATCAATTGTTGAAACTTCAATGAATTAAGATATATGTAGTCCGTTATAAAATTACTAAAAGAATTACTTAGATAATTAATATTAAATAGATCTATCAGATTGTTCAACAATCTAAAACGGTATTTGGAACAAAGGATATCTTCTTGGTCTCTAATCTCTTATTAATACCTTAATTGATTTTTAGCAATTGTACAAAGTTTCTTAAACAAATGATGAATTTATTTCTTCTCTTTAATCTTATTACAAAGAGTATAATGGAGAATAATATATCAAAGTTTACTAGTACATCAGAATCGTACCATTATTAATTGGAAAATTTATTATAGATGAAACCAATTAATTTTTTAATTTATACTCTTCATACTCTTTAGGAATTTTTTCATTTATTGTAATAGTAGCTTCAATAACATTCTTAATTCTCTGGAATTTGTATTATAGATATTTAGTAAACAGCTTTTATGACACAAGATAAATATATAACTTATTCCCATATGAATTCATTTATTAAAATCCTTATATGTATAATTATGTAAAAAAAGAGTATTCTATTTGAAATTAGTCATTTAAATTTGTTTATTTTTCTACTTGATATATATTTATTCCAAATTAAGAAATAATATTCATCTTATTAATTATTTAGTGAAATTTATGTATGTATAATTAGATTTAATTTTCATTAAATATTGTTAATAATTTTTTCTCACTTAAATTTCGAAAATTCAATAATTTCAATATTAATAATTAAAAACTATAAGTTGAATTGCCTGAATCATAATAGGTATAATTGCAATTTGATAAATGAATAAATAATATTACTAAAATACAAAATAATTTTTAATAATAATCATATATTATATATTAGGTATTTATATTAAATATTTTCGTTTTAAATAAATTTACTTTAAAAGCCAAAAAAAAAATATCAACATTAAAATTATTTTTTTTTTCTTTTAATTTTTATATTATTTTTTTAAATTTAATAAAACAAGATTTATTTAAAATTATATAAACATAATTAATTTTAATCATATTTGATTTTTAATCAAAATTTGCGTTAACTTAATATGTAAATAAAATATTAATCTTTAAAACAGGCAAAAAAAAGAACATATTATTTATTTACTTATATAAATTGATATTAAAATAAGTCATACAGCTAACAAATATTAAATAAATTTTTGTAAAAAATAGAATTCAAATTAATCTAATAAAAAAAAATATTTAGAAGAAATGCTTTAAAAAATAAAACAAGAGATCTACTTTTACTATATCTCAGAATTTGGACGATAGCAATCTACATATTTAAGAGGTAAGCTTTTATCGTTAATTTTGATAGTTATATGCAATATATAATCCATCTCAATTCAGCTGACTTAGAACCTTTTAGATTATATTACAAATGAAAGCTTTTGTAAGAGCTAGGACTCCTAAAGTGTGCTCTTACTTGCAAAATTTGCACATTATTTTAGGATCTATCCGTTAATTAACTCTATTTTTGACCATCCTTCAGAAAATTAGATATTAATTGGATTCTTAATATTTTCAGCTATCCTTAATAGCTGCATAGTTGTTTACTAAATCGTTCGTTTCTTCCTATGTAAATATAAATTGATGAATAGTAAATTTGCTAGGTTAACTGACACAATAAACAGTTTCATTTTAAAAGTTTACATCTTTGTTTTTTATTTTGCTTTCAGTACTGCATGCTTTGAAGTTTTTTTTAATAACGAGTCTAGTTTTAATGAAGTTGTTATTTCAACATACAATTTGATATTGACACTTTTGATCAGCTTTTGTTAGAATTTACACGATTTTAGCTTCAGTTTTGTTTTAGATGATTATATGGCATCAATAGATACTCATTCAAAATATTTAGAGCTAATATTCAATTAAATTCTTGTAGTAGCATTTAATTCTTCAAAATTTTTAAACTAAAATATAATAGCAGCCCTTCATATAACTTTTGTGTCAACAAAATTATTGCTTTAGATAATTGAGCTTATTTATTATGATAACTTAATAATTAAGACGCATCTACTTTTTAAATTTATTCACCTTTTTAATTCAATTTTATTTTGTCTATCTTATAACTTCCCACATATCTATAATGGAACTCAATTAATAATTTCTATATTAGCTATAATTCCTTTTTCATACGTAATTGCAAGTCACCTTCTCTATAACCGTATTAACCAGCTTGCTCTAAAATAAAATAGTAAAAATATTATTTTACTTTTTTAAAATTTTAAAATAAAAAATTCTAATTGAACAACAACAAAAAATGGTTTAAACTAATTTTATTTAAAATTTTAGATTATAAAAGTTTATAGGAAATTAATTTGCACATAAGAACTGCTTATTTTATTGTCAAGCACTTAGAAATGCATGACTATACAGATTTAAGGAGATCAGTTCTTTATGAAAGTATCTACTAAAACCATTACAATACATGCTCAAGAAAAGACTGTTTTTGTGAATTATTAATGAGAGAAAATGGTTTTTCTTGGGAAGAACTATAAGGTTTTGTATACAGAGATTCCTTTATTTCTAAATACTTTGCATAAATGTACTCAGATTACTTAGATTAAATAAAAAAAGATAATACACTTAAGGTATTTATTATTTTCATTTTATAAATTTTTCATATTTATTATCAATCCTTCATAAAATTTTTTGAATGTTTACTTATATAGAAGAAAATAAATCAACTGATTGTTTAAAAGCAAATCAAGTTGCTTGTTCAATTTTTTTAAATTTAAAAGAACTTTTTACTATTTCTTAAATTAATTATTATTTTAAATTAGAAAGAGGAATACAACTAAGCGTGTTTTAACTATTTAACATTTTTGATTGAAGTTGTTAATGTGCCAACTAAGGCACTCGCAGAAGTCATTTAGATATCAAACTCAGAAAAAAGTACATCTTCTATCAAAGATTAACTGGTTTTTTAACAAATCTACGATCATGGAGAAAAAATATTTTATAATTTTTTCAATAATCCTACAATTTACAATCAAAAGCTCTAGCTCAATAAAGTTTTAAAATTTGATTAACTTTTTTTAAATACGCAATTGAGCTTGAAATAAAGCTTAATATAGCTGAGAAAAATGTTAATAGATCTTAGTAAAAAATAAGTTGATATCTCTTAGATTAATTAGCAGATTTAATAAGTATATTCTCTAAAGCAACAAACTCATGCAACTATGAGAAATATGTATAGCTACTATCCTTAAAGTAAATGGTGTGAATAATTAGCTGATATATACTCAAAATGTTTAGATCAATAAAATAAAAGCCCTCAAGAATATCAAAAAGAAGTAAAAAGTTGAAAAAAATACTTTTTTTAAATAATTATTTTTAAAATAAAAAGGCAATATATCAAAGCAGATAGCATTTAAATTCATTTAAGAATATAGATAAGGAGATTAATTTATTTTCTAAAGATGCTTGTGTGATCAACATTTCTTTGATTCAACCTATTGGAATTATCAAAAATGCGTCTTTTAGTAGTTAGTCAATATTTGGGTATAGTCCTTCAGAATTAATTAGCAAAGTAATTCTCAAAATAACTCTCAACATTTAAATAATATATTATCTTTCTATAAATAAGAATTGCAATATATTGATTCCCGATCAGCTTAATTAAATTCATGGCAATATCTTAACTAAATTTGTGAGCAGTGGAGAAATGAATAGAATAGTTTAAGGATAATTACAAATTTTTGGAATCAATAAAAGTGGTTTTGCGATACCTTTGAATTTAAGAATTAAGTTAGATTCACCCCAATCTAATTACTTTGGAGCAAGTGCGTTTATTACAAAATAGAATAGTGTAATCTTAATTAATAACAAACAATACATAATTTTTATTTCTAATTTTTTTTAAATAAAAGCAAATATATGATTTTATTATTTTTGCTACCTCAGGAAACATAACTAACTTAACTGAAAAAATTTACTATGAAATATTTAAGAATTTCCCTTTTTAAGGTCATGAAAGATTATACTAAAAATTAGATTTATTTAAAATTTTACCCATTTTATAAACACATTTAAATTAGATTTAGAATAAAAATTAAAATCTAAATATAGAACATAAGTCAATTTTTATAAGTCCATAAAGTGAAAAAGCAATTTCAGTTTTAAGTTATAAATAAAATCAGCCATTTAATAGCTTTTTTGATTTTATAAATTTGTGTAAAAAATTGGAAAGTAAAGATTTTAAATTCTATGAAATAACATTTTAAGTTGGTAAGTTATAAACATCTTACAAAAATTTTGAATTGGGATTCATTTAAATAGTAGAATTCAAGCAACTAAAGAGAAAATTTGAAATTCAAGCTTTATTATAGGAAGTGAAAATTTAAATTGAAAAAATCAGATAATTTTGTTAATTAGAATTAGATCTTAATATATAAAATGGTTCTTTGTGTGCTATATAATAAGAGACAGACTAAAAAAATATATTAAGCTTAGCCTAATTTAATTAAAAATAAAGCTTATTTGTAAATAATATTAATAAAATTATTTTATTTCATATATTAATATTAAATAAAGGAAACTAAAAGTATTTTGTTCCCTCCAAGTCAAGTTACAAGACCAAGCTTATCAAGCTAAATATCGCATCTTTCTGGAATAAAAATGTTTAGTTATTAGAGTCATTCTGAATTTGGAAGTTACGTAGACCATATTGAGTTAAAACAAATAGAACCCATTTGTGATTAGTTAAGTAATAATTAGTATTTAAATACAAATAGAAAACTTTTGAATAACTAAGATAAATGCTTAATTAATAATGAGTTTAATACAGAATAGTCATGTGATTTGCACCTTAATGTATTTAGTTCACCAGCTTCAAGCAGAAACAAATAGGTCAATTTTTAAGAAAGTAAGTTATTATTAAATGATGCTATATTAGAGGATGAGAAAATTGATAATGCTTAAAATAATGAAGAAGGAGTAATTGAAAATATTCTTAGTTGTGAATGCAAAGATGATAATACTCCATACACATTTTAATAAAATTATCAGATTTTCGAGTTTCTAAATAAAAATAACAAAAATTAAAATTAAAAAGATGAAATTTTTTAGAAAAATTTATCTCAAAATAAAATAATTTAATTAAATTTTCATGATAAAATTGAAGGTTTTTCAAAAAATAAAAAAAAAAGTATTGAGTAAAGCTAATAATAAATTTTTAAATTTCTAAATAATAAGTAAAACTAATCAAACTCAATAAATAGTTCAATAAGTGAAATGCATACATTTAAATAGACTCTAAAAAAAGCTGTTGCAAGTAGGCGTCAAAGTAAATCTATGAAATTAATTTTTTTAATTGGTATTTTGAAAATAATCACTACTGTTATCCTTGCTTCTGCTTTATTTAATTACTAATAGACTTAATTTAATTATATGAATACTCTAAATTCAAATCTAGTAAAAGGTAGTTTATTTATTTATTTATTTATTTATTTATTTATTTTTAATGTTAATTAATACAAGCTATTTTTTGGAAGAAATAAATATTTTAATTTAAGTTATTCATTTTTATTATCAATAGGATATGAAATTATGAATGAATTTGTATCTATAATAGCACATACAGAATATATCAAAATGTATAATAAAAGTATTATTTAAAATACTTTATAGCAATAAGAATTAGCTATTGTATTAGCTGAACCTTTAGTAATTTAATAGCATTTCAAAAATACAGTTATAGACCTTGAAAACAATGATAGAGATACATGGTACGGTTAGTATATTAGATCTTAATATTAGAATATCATTATTTTCAATCAGAGAAATGAATCTTCTACAAAGGATCTAAAAATGATATTTTCTTTTGTTTCAATGGCTGAAAATCTTTATATGTATTCACAGAAGTAAACAGATGTTTATTTACGTTATATGTAAGGTTTTTATTCTTAAATTAATAAGTAAATAAAAAAATAAATTAAAATTAATAGTCACTACAACTAAAAGAACAGTATTGAGATTTTTCAAAATATGGCAGATCTGTAAAAGTAAGAATTGGATAACAAGATTAATTAAATGAAATCTTTTTAAGTAACTTTTATAATTGTGCTTGAAGTTTTAACTCTTCTGATTGCAATTTAGGTTATTCCGATTTTCTTTTACATCTAATACAAAAAGGAGTAAATACTCAAACTTTTCTGCACATTTTAGCCGAGTTAGTTAATAGAAAGAATTTAAATGTTAGAATATTTCATAAATTAAGATATGCTTCGAGATAGCCATGATTAAATTTTACTCACGAAAGGAATTGATAACATAAAAAAAAGAACAGTATCTTCAACAAATCAGCTTGAAAAAATAAATAATAAGATCTTAGCATTAGTCTCATTCATTTTTTGTTTCTTTTCTATTTATCCAATAACAAATATTGTCATTTCAAATACTTATATTGATGAATTTAGTTTTAATTCTAATGAGCTAAGTTTATTATACTCATTGAGAGGTAGAGCTCCACTAATTTTGGCATTTAACTTCCTTAGATAAACAGCTACTTATGAAATGCGTCCTGATGCTATATTATCTGGCCTAGATGGATAGCTTGAAGATACATAAATTTATATTAGAAACACAACAAATAGTATTGTTTAATTGTTAAAAAAATAATCAAATTAAAATCTAATTTTTGATTAAAATCTACATAAATCAATTATAGAAGTTACAATGAATGAAGATATATGTAGTCCTTTATTAAATTATTAATAGATATATTTAGATTCATCACATTAAATAGATATATCAGACTGCTCTACAATCTAAAACGGAATATGGAACAAAGGATACCTGCTAGGTCTCTAATCTCTTACTAACATTTTAGCTGATTTTCAGCAAATGTATAAAGCTTCGTAAACGACTGATTAGTTTACTGAGTCTCTTAGCTATCTATATTAAGAAAATAATGGAGCTTAGTTTATAAAAGTTTATTAATATTTAAGAGTAGTTCCAATGATGATTGGAAATTTTATGATTACTGAGATGAACAAATTTTGTGATTTATAAAATCAATACTTTTTATTAATCTTTATATTTAATATCATTTTGGGTTATATTGTATTATTAATTCTTTGGACTAAATATTATAGATACTTAATAGAAAGGCTTTTTGATACCAGATAAATATTTGGTTTATTCCCTTGTGAATTTATTTGCTAAAATCCTTATGTCTATAACTATGTCAGAAATGAATATTAAATTTGAGATTATTAAATAAGTTTTAGTAATTTTTAAGTTATTAAATTAAATTTGGAAATTGCCATTTTACATTTTTTATCATAACTATTCAGTTTAAATTATATATAAATATTTTTTAAGTCTAATTAAAATAAATATTTTAATATTTATACCTAAAACATATGTTGTATTTGATTTAAATAAAAAATATTTTTTAAATTATTAAATTACTTTTTATTTTCTTTTGTAGAAGATTAAAATAAATTTTTATTTTTTTATGGTTTATTTTAAAATTCATAGCAGCTTAAATTAAATAATGATTCATTCAAATTTATTAAAATTTAATAGTTTTAATTTTAATTTTTAGTAATTTAATGAAATTCAAAGAACGAAAAATAAATACTTGTTGAAGAATAGATGAATCATAAAAGAAATATCAAATCGTAACAAAAATATTTAATTAATTTTTTATTAAAATCTAAATGAAATTTATTTTAAAACTCATAACAAAATTTAAAAGTTGCTTATTTAATTTTTACTTTAAATTAATTTTATTGAGTTTTCATGTTTCATTTAATTTTATATATTATAATGGCAAAGTATATTAGAATCAAAATATTAATTAATTTTTGAATGAGACAAACAGACAACACTTTAATTTAGTAAAATTTGATAAAATTGATTATAGTTAAAATTAAATAAATTATGTTGACTAAAATACCTCAAAGGATAAAATTAAAGTTAGTCATGTCATAGCAATTTTTATATTGAAGTATAGATATTTACAAGGTATGTAGTATTAAATTGTTACTATTACTGAATATATTAATTCAAAGTTGAAAGTGTACTCTTTTATTTTATCTTAAAAGTTAAGCCACAAAGTACGAAGCGCCAAAACTACATACTAAAAAATTTGAAATGTTATTTAATGGAAAATAATAGCTTCATACTGTAAACTAAAGGTGAATATTTTCATGCAAGTGTAAAACGCTTCATTGTAAATTTAATTAAATAGCTAGAAATTTTAATACTTACATATGCTTTAAAATGTATCTTAAAGTTAATTTTGTCAATTTTAACTTATAAATTAATATAAGTTTTCTTTCTTTGCTTTTTACTATTGCTTGAATTTCCATCATTTTTATATATCAAGTAGATAATTTTCGAATTATTTATATGCTTGAATTTGATATACTCTAAAGTGGATTTGTGTAAAATTTCTAATTTTGAAAGATTTTTTTAAATAAAATAAAATTAAAAATAACCATTATTTACATAGTTATAAGCGATATTCGTTAGTGATCTACAACGTAAATTTTTAATGGTTATTTGCATATTTTGTTTTAATTTACACATTTTTAAAATATGAATCAACAAATCTAGCAATTTCAAAGTTAGAATAGACGAAATCAAAATCATCTAAAATATTGAATCAATTTTATTATGTTGTATAACATGACGTAATAAATTTTTCTTGTCTCTAACTAGAGACAGAAAATAACAACCTAATATTTTGATTAAATACCTACCTACCTACTTTATTTGAATGGTAAACGTGATGAAAAGATATGCATAAAAAAAAATAAATTTATCAAATATACTCATAAATTAAATAGCAACACAAATAAATTTAATTTTAAAAATGGATATTTAATTATTATGATTGATTATTAATTTTTATTCCAATTTTTTACTACTGGAGTCAAATATTTACAACATCATTAGTTTATTTTTTTATGATTTTAAGAAAAAACTAACTATTCATAATATTAAGTCATTTGGATTAATAAATTAGGTATGTTTATCATTTAAATAGTGATTTTATTATAACTGATGCAAATTGCTAAATATTTTTAAAAAAATACATTTTAATATTTTAAATTTTTAATTTAAGCCATCATAATATTTTAAAAGATTTAGAAACGAAGGGAAATATGATTATGCAGAGGATAAAATTTTACTGCAAAAATTATCTATCATCCCCTAAAAAATAAAATATTTGGTTTGTATACCAGCAGATTATTCGCATATACATACATAAATACATATATACTTTTCTACTTCTATTCAAGTTATTAATTTTTTGATAAATAAGGGTAAAATCTATTTATCTTTTGATCGATTCAATTACTTATCTTTTATATATAAAAGAGGATTTCTTTCATCAGCAAAATATATTAAACATATATGCTATCTAAAATGATAATAATTTATTTGAGATTGATTGAGTCATTAAATTAAGGGAGAAATTATAAGTATGCATTTATTTATTTATCTATATATCATATCTATAAAGGAGAGCACCAAACCAAATTTTTATGTATTAAGAATAAGAAAATAATGTAGTGAATCAAAATTTTTATGTAATCATCAAAAAAAAAAACACAAAGAAAATCAAGAGAAAGAAACAATAACAATTTTTGTTCAAAGAAAATTAATTTGCAAATACATTTGTAAGAAAAGAAAATTTAAATAAATCAAAATACACAAAAAGTAATAAATTAATAAATAAATAATTTTTGCTCAAACAGAGTCAAAGTTTACTTAACAGTAAGAATATTTTAATAAGAGGATTATATCATAACATTTTATTCTATATTCAAAAGCATTACTCTAAAACACTCAAAGTAGGCTTAAGATTTTATATACCATAGTGCTATAGTATCCTATAAGTATTATTACCTCAGTCGCTTGAAGCTAAATCAGAATTAAGATTAATTATTAATTACAATCCAAAACAAAAACAATTCATTGCCTTATTGAAAACTAAATTTCGAATTTATATTATCAATAGCGGAAGTCAAAAATAGATTACTTGAGAAAACAGCTAATTATACACTTATACTATTTCCAACTAGCTCTGTCTAATAAAATATTAAATAAATTTAGAAGCAATTGCTACTGAACTTACTAATTAATATCCTTTTCTTGAAGAAATATCAATATACTCTGACAAAATAAATAAATATATTAATTAAATCATTTAAAAGTAATGGGAAATTTATGCAATTATAAATAGTAAACTAATGTCAGTACTACATCTGAATAACCTCAATCTAATTTAAATTCTAATTAAATAAATGTATTCGTTGTAGGAGCTGAATAAGTTGGCAAGGATTCTCTTATTTCTAAACTCTAATAATTGGGAGACAGTGTAGGATTGGGAGAAGATAAGCCAGAAAAATATATGAAATACGATTAAAAACTTATTGTTTTTCGTCGTTTAAAGAAAAGTACTCCTGAGTTTTTCTAAATGAACTATAAAGCTTATTTAAAAGACATCGAAGTTGTTCTCCTTTGCGTAGATCTTGCAAAAGCTTAAACACTTCAAAGTTTTTCAGATAGCTTTTTTGAAAAAATTATTGAATACGTAAGATAACATGGTAATCGTTCATTCCGTGTTATTATAGTTGGTTTAAAATCCGATAAGTAATGCCGTAATAAAACTGAAGAAGACGCACTTGTGAAAAAATGCAAAGAACTTTAGCTCCCTTTTGTTAAAGCTTCGTCGTTAGAAGAAACAAATATCTAGCAGGTACTGAATGAAATAATGAACTATCGCGATAAGAATTTGACTACTATGACTATTGAAGAAAAGATATCAAACTTACAAAATAGTCGTTATATGGATGTGCATAGTTCTCTTCGTGATGGAGGATCAAATTTAAGTATCTAACCTACTCTCACTAATGGTATGCGCTCTTAGCCAGTTCCAGTTTAGATTCAACCCACAAATAGTTAAATCATTGCAAATGGTTATTAAGATGATGAAGAAAGCAAGATAGATACTAGATCAAGCAATAACTAATAATAAATTATGTAATAACCTCAATAATAGTATATCAGAATTATTCCTCATGAAAAAATGTACGTCAAAACTCGTATGTAGCTCGATAAGGGTAATTTCGGTGTTGTATATCGCATAGATCTTGAAGGAGAAACATGTGCTTTGAAAATTTGTAAAATAGAAATGAATGATGAAACTGCGATGAATAGATTTTAAATTATTTTTTCAGAAGCAGAAAATATGCAGCGCTTTATGCTTAATCGTAACATGCGTATCATGCCTCTCAAGGGTATTTCTTTCTAAGTAGACATGCAAAGATAAAATGTTCTTATTGGATATTGGATGCCTCTATGTAAATATAGCTTGAAGCATTTGCTAAAAAATTGCTTCAACTAAATAACCATAGATCTTAAAATAAAGTGGTCTCTTTAGATCATAGAGTGTCTTGAAGTTTTTTACAAAGAAAAAATTTAGCATATGGATCTTAAACCATAAAACATTCTTTTAGATTAAAATGACGACATTATAGTATCAGATTTATCTATGTCTAAAGTCTTTGAGGAAAAGCAAACAGAAGCGTTTAATATGCTTGGAACTACTGCTAAATATGCCCATCCAGCAGCTATCATTAACCACGAACTTTCTCCTCGTTTCGATATTTACAGTTTCGGTGTTATTCTTTTAGAGCTCTTCACAGGCAAGCAACCTTGGGGTTAAGTTAAACGTGATGAACTAAAAGATATCTATACTCAAATTCTAACTTAACCAGAAGTTATGAACCCTCTTCGTTATCACAAAGAAAACTATCCAAATGACATGAAATATATTGAAGGTAAATGCTAACCAATCTAAGATATAATATACATGTGCTGTGTTTCTATCTTTATCTAAGAAAAGAAGGATGCTATTACAATTAACAACATTAAGCTTAAATTTAAAGAGCTCTAAGAATCTATAATTCCCACTTCTGTATGAATCTCAGCAAATCTTATTATTAACGATTGAGGCATTTAGATAAAGGAATCTATCCTACCTACCTCCTAGACCTCATTTTACTAACTAAATTTAGAAAATAATAGTAATGATAATAAACAAAATACTAAAATAAAAAGACTTTTCTGGCTAATTGATTAATTCCATTTATTAAAAAAATTGACTATATTTATTTTATTTTATATATATTCTCTTAAATTATCTCCTTCAATTATAGATAATAAAAAATAGCACTTTGATAGTTAGATGTAAATTTTTGACATCATTTATAAAAATTAACAGGAATTTATTCTATTAATTTAAATTGCTTACCTTCAATTTTATGAGAGGGAAGGAATAAGAGTGCTTGATTATTTTCTTTTAATTATAATTCTTCGTCTACAAATAAAAATAACTAATTGATTTTTTGTTTGCTTGTTTCTTTATATAATCTATTTATAAAAAATTTGAAATTTGTAAGATAATTTTATTGTAACTATTTAGTTTGATTCAACATTTCTAAAGACATTAATTAAGATTTTGTTATTTTTACTGTTAAATATATAAAGGATAAGTAACATCTTTTGATAGATAATTATTGATCTATTAATAAATGTAGTTTTAAGAATATGAATGCTAAACAGTATTTTTTCTCATATAAACTGTAATTATTAAATGTTTTTTCTGTTGTAAAGTTAGCTATTTTAATAAATAAATGCTATTTTATTCAATTGATACTGTTAATTTTTTTGCTTTGATATGGATGTAATGATAATAAAATACAGTAAATTCTTTAAAAATTAATCTAACTATTTCTTTTCCAAAAGACAACAAAAAAACTTGAATAAGAAATCAGCTATAAATAGAACTTTACTTATTTACTTTACATCAATTTTGGGGCAATAAAATATTGAATCAATTAAGCTTTTTGATTTCTAAGTATTTTTATGGTAATAAATATCTTTTTTAATAATAAGTAAGAAATTTATATTTTAGTTGATTTGTTTCTGATTATTTTCAAGAGATAAATACATAAAAAACTATTAAATTAAATACTAATCTATAAAACAATTTAAAATTAACATGGATAATTAGTTTGAAGACTTTAAAGTAAGAGTAAACTAAAAAGGTGATGTTATAATTCTACCTTAGGATGATAAATATGATTACGTATTATTTTTTATCCATGGATGCTCTTAAATTCCAATAAATCTAGTCCCAATATTTCTGCAAGAGCCTCTAAAAAGTGCAATTAAAGGTTTTAAAATAATTATTCCTAGTGCAAAAATTAGATATGTAAATGTTAAAAACGCTGAAGTGAGGTCTTGGTTTAACTTAAAAACTTATGAAAATTGTTTCGGCAGACCGTTCGATGAAGCTTTTTCATAAGAGGAAGTTCAAGATAGCTATTCAACCTTAAAAATAATGATAGAACAAGAAGTTCAGCTAGTAAATAACGATTATAAAAAAATTTTCCTTTCTGGTTTTAGTTAAGGATGTGGAATGAGTATATACACAGCTTATAATCTAGAGCATGATGTTGGAGGAGTAATAGGCCTAGGTGGTTATTATTTATTGATTACAAATTACAATAAAGAAAGAAATATTCCAATTTTAAATGTGCATGGATTGAAAGATGAAAAAAGACTTTGGAGCGAAGTAAAATAATCTTATGATAAATTTTAAGGTTCTGATAAGGTCATCTTATGTTAGAATATGGAGCATGAAGTTTTTAGCTTGGAACCAAGATAGCATTTTGCAGATTATTTAATTAAGTTAACAAGAAAATGATTTTTCAAATTTGTGTTTGCTAAAAAGGTCTTTTTGCTAAATATTTAAAATACGCTTAAAAGATAGATGCAAAACTTTTATAACTTAAAAATCTTTATTTTATTTAGGTTACAGATATGCTCATAAATATAAATGTAATATAAATACAATATTATAAAAAATATATTATTAAGCTGTTTAGGCATTAATTAGTAAATAATTTTATATTAATATTTAAATATTTATTATAGTATATTAATTGTAATTAGTTTTATAATACTAAAACATATAAAAATACTTTAATGAAATAAAATTACTATCACTCTTTTTGTAAATAAAATTTATATTTATTTAATAATTTTTGAAATTAGCTTTAAATATATTAGTTAAAAGAAACCTAAAAAGAAGATTTTGAATAAATTAAATTTTTGTTGATACTAAATATTTACATAAATTGATTTTAAAGCTTAATAATTATAGAACTAATTTATAATCTTCTAATATTAAATATTTTATAAAAAAATATAAAAATGCCTGCGGAGGGGATCGAACCCTCGGCCTCGAGATTATGAGACTCGCGCTCTAACCAACTGAGCTACACGGGCTTAATATTATTACAAAAAAAAATAAATTATTTTTACTTGAATTAAAAAAGATATATTTAACATAAATAAATAATTTAAAATATTCCAGCATTTTTTAAAATTAAAACCTTCTTTTACCAAACAAAATTAATAAATAAAATATTGTAAATACTAATTAATTAATGCCTCAATCACCCCCATTTATCTTAACCCTAAAATTGTATCATAAATTTTATGATGAGCTTTTGTTAAAATAGTGTTTTTAATAAATGTAAAGCATCTTGTTAATTCAATTGTTGTTTTAGAAAAAAAATTTAATAAATGTAAAAATTCATTAATTAATTTTCAAAGAAAATATGTAAAAATTTCAAAAAACTTCCCAAATGATTAAAAATTCCTCATTACTTAGCATAAACTTAAATATTTTTTTTTGTGTTGATTGACATTTTTTTAATTTTAGTGGTAATTTATCCTAATGTAAATTTATGAGAATTTAAGATAAATCAAAATTAAAATAAATTAATCTAATTTATTTTAGATTATCTAAATTTTTAGGTAAAATGTAATTAGTTCATTCATAATTTACCTAAAATAAAGTTAAATTCTTTATTTTGATAATATTTTTCAATATTATGTTTTAAAAATTCAACCAAAAAATTCTATTTTAAAATATATCATAAAAACAAGAAATACAAATTTAAATAAAGTTATTAGTCAAATATTTAATTAATTTAAAACAAGACGAATATTCTTCCTCTAAACTTATTTGAGAAGTTATTTTTTAAATATATTTCTGTCTCCTTCTATTAAAAAAAATATTTTTAAAACTTAAAGCTGTGCTAAACAATTTATTTGTTTGATGAAATCTATTTATTCAATAGGCTATATATCTTGCAAACTAAGTTTGAGAAGTAAAAACTTTAAATTTTATATTTATGAAATTGAAGTCATTAAAAAATTTATTTTTTGAAATGTAAACTTGTTTTTATAAACTGATAACGAAAAAGAAACTAGCTACTTTAAATGTTTCAAAGCTAGAGAAAGAGACTAAATTGCATTTGTAGAGTCGTAAAACTCTGAAGAACTTAATTCAAGCTTAAGCAATTTCTATAAATAGCCTAAAGATATCAAAAGAGATGATTAACCATATATATTTATTAGATTAGATTCCCCAAATTCAAGTTTTAATTCCTCTAGTTAGTTTTACTTCTTTAACAAATCTCCAATCAACACAAAACCTTAGTTGGTTATTTAGTCGTTGTCAAATGTTAGCTCAAGTGTTTTTAATTTTTTGATATTAATAATACCAGTTAAAAATTATTTTATTTGAGTATCTTCAAGTCTTTCTGATAATTTAAAAACTAAAGATAAGTGAATCAAATTTTCTTACATTTAAAATACGTTTTATATAGATCTAATTATTTGTTCTATCTCTATAGAATTTTCAACATCAGAAAGTTATCCTTAAAGCTATAAACAAAATACTTCTAATACATTTAACTACATCAGAGCTTTCTGTATAGATAAATAGCCTAAGCAAGTTAATTTATTTGAATGATGTATATCTAATTTAAGTAAATTCAAATTTTTTAAGCACTACAATCCTTATGAAATTTCTAAAGCACCTTCAAATCCTATATCATTTTGATCATTTATCTACAACCTAAATTATTTTAATTACGTAAGGTTTTTTAATGATTCTCTAATAGATTTAGCTCCTTAGAACCCTAAAAAATTACATCTCTAGATTTCTAAAGTTAGAGAAACCAATTAAGTAAGATTTAAATAGCTTTTTATTAAAATATTTATTCCATTCAATCCTAATTTGCAATTTTTTCCAAAAATTAAAGCCAGATTGCAAGGATTTCTTTAATTTTAAATACAATCTTCTAAAGCTTTTACACATCCTTCACTTAAATCAATATGCTCATCAAATTTAAGCTCAAATGACTTAATATTTTAGATTTTCTTAAGATGCCTTAAAATTAAGCTTATATTTTTTTCAGTGAATATTCCATCTCCAGTTATGTGAAGTACAATATTTTTTTACTTTTATAAAATTCCTAATTTGAATTTATTTTTTATTAAGACTATAAAAAAAGTGAATTAATTTACTTACTCTACGTATTATTTTCATCAGATAAAAAGGATTCTAAGATAATGTCAATCAAACTCATTTGTAATTCTTTAAATAAAATACAAATCTTTAAGAAGATAATAAGTAAATTTAAAGTTAAAACATACTATAAACGCACTCAGATTTATAATTTATTTTAAATTTATAATTTTAAAAAGGTCAACTTTTAGATGATAAGTTTTTTTTTTTCTTATGTAAACAATAAATTATTTAATTAAATTTTATTTTAAATCTCTAAATTATTTTAATAAAAAACTAAAATTGTTACTAAGAAAAGTGGTATTATATATATAATAAATTGTCTGAAAATCTACTTTAATATGTTTAAATAGAAGATCAATTTAAATTAGAACTTAACAATATCTTTATAAAAATTTATATGATAAAAAGTAATATAAATATATCTAATTAAATAAATTAAGAAATATCAGTTATCAAATACTCTTAAATTAATATAATATCCTTTAATTTCTAGAAAATTATTTAATGAGTATTCAATATTAAGAAAATAATCATTTTTTTATAAATAAATGTTTATTTGAAAATGGCTTAAATAAAAATATAAAATTCAAGAAAGTAAAAAAGAATTCCCCCACCGGGACTTGAACCCGGGTCTGAAGGGTGAAAACCTTCTATCCTAACCTGCTAGACTATAGGGGATTTCAATAAACTTTAATTAAAGGGATAATAACTTTTCTGAAATTAAAATATTTAGAAAGGTTAATCAATCATAAAAATAAATAAAAATATTTTAAAAACAGTATTTTAATAAGAAACTGCAGATGTACAAAAAAAAAATGAAATTATTATAGAATAAATATTTTAACTAAAAAATTCCCCCACCGGGACTTGAACCCGGGTCTGAAGGGTGAAAACCTTCTATCCTAACCTGCTAGACTATAGGGGACTTATAAACTCTACCATCATAGTAACAAACTTTAGTTTTGTTCAAAATATAATATTAAAAGCACTTTAAAATAACTCTAAAAAGTGGTTTATATTAAATATAATTTTTATTAAATAGATAAAAAATACTTCTTTTAATACTAATATAAATAACTTTTATAATGAATAGTATCTAATAACTTTAAAAAATTAAAGAAAGTTTTGTTTATTATTATAATCACAAAAAATTAAACAAATATATTCTTCAATTTAGATATTATTATAAAATGTAATTAATACCTTTTATTTAGCTAACAATCAAATTTTATAGTGTTTTTACTAAAAATCACAATCTCATTCATTATTATTTTGTTTGATTAAAATGAATTACAGATTTTTAAAAGTCTTTCACAAAATATAAACAGAATATCTATCCATTTTTAAAATATATAGTCTTTGATTGCAAATATAAGTTTTTGAAACTAATAATTTTAATTAATTTTAATATAGAATACATTTATAAATATTAAATTGTGCTTTTAATTGGAATAACAAGCAGGATACAACTATAAAATTATTTTAAATCATATGAAAATTTGAATAAATAGTGAATTTTATCGAAATTGGAATAATTCTTGAGATGGTATTGATAGAAATTTTTATTAATAATAAAAAAAAGAATAAAGATGAATATTCTTAAAAAGAAATAGATAGTTTTTAATTTTTGATAAAAATTTTTTAATAGAATGAATATTATATGTACATAAATAGACTTAAATAATTGCTATTTTAATATATCGATGTTAGTTTGCATTATGATTAATACTTGTTTCATCAAATTTGTAAATTTAATTTTTATGGAAACATTTTTATTTAGAGGATACCATTTGATATTTCATAGAACTAAAAATAGAATATTAATAAGCTCATTTTAAATTGAGTAATGTTGAACCAATTAATTATAGTATCTATCTGATTATACTAAATACTAAAAATGGAATTAAAATATAATGTGAGCAAAGATTCTAAAATAGAAGTTAAATAGTGGATAATGGAATACATAATAGAGGATATTTGAATAATGATGAATTATGAAATTTATTTTAAAATATAATAGGTATTTAATTAGATTTAATTTAGAATAGAAACGAAAATTCTAAAATAACAATTAATTATTAATTAATTGGTGAATAATGGAGTAAATAGTTGAGGAGATTTGAATAATGATGAATTATTAAATTTATTTTAAAATACAATTTTAATTAGATTTAAAATAGAATAGAAACGAAAATTCTAAAATAGCAATTAAATGGTGAATAATAGAGTAAATAATTGAGGAGATTTGGATAATGATGAATTATGAAATTGGCTTGAAAATATAATAGATATTTAATTAATTATTAATAATTAGTAATATTAATAGATATCGTTGATAAGAAATAAGGTGCTTGCTGCGAATTATTGCGATATTAAATCAAGAAAAAAGTTAATAAGATTTTATTATTGAAAACAAATTAAAAGTAAATATTAATTAATACATTAAATAAAAGCAAGTTATTAAAATGACAAGTACAAATAGCGGAAACACATTAAAAATTGAGCATTATCTTGTAGGAAAAACATTAGGGTGCGGAGCTTCTGGAAAAGTTAAGCGTGAGTAGTTTAGATTATTTAAAGTACTTCGAATAAGCTGAATCAAAAATTTTTTAACCAAGTAGTTAACGTTTTTTAGAGGAGTATAATTTACTCTCCTCATCAATCAATCAAGTTTTAATTAAGATGCATTTTTATAGGCCTTTCATCAGAAAATGCTAAAATATTTTCTAAAAAAAGCGAATTCAAAAATATTTTTTGTTTTATAATAGTTGCCAAGCATGATATAACTGGAAAAGAAGTTGCAATAAAAATTATAAATAAGAAAAAAATGACTGTTAAAAAAATGAGCAACAAGGTAAGCTTATATTTTTTAAAGATTTTAAGCGCTTTTTTCACATTCTTAGATAAGCATATAAAAATAATAAGCTTTTTGATAACAATTTATTTAAAAAATTTAATCTTAGTATTAGCTATGCTTGTTTTAATTAAGTAGAAACTTTAGAGTACAAATATTTATGCATTTTTGTTTTTTATTTAAAGATTAAAAGAGAAATTAGGCTTTTAAGATTCTTCAACCATTAAAACATTATTCGTTTATATGAAGTTCTTGATACTAATACTGATATTTTTGTGGTTACTGAGTATATTTCAGGGGGAGATTTATATGATGTTATTGCTTCAAAGGGTAAGCTTCCTGAATAAGAAGCAAAAAGATATTTTAAGTAAATAGTAGCAGGAGTTGATTACTGCCATAGAAACTTAGTCGCCCATAGAGATCTGAAACTTGAAAATATATTAATAGATGATAATAATAACATTAAAATTGCAGATTTTGGTTTGAGTAATATTATGAATGATGGTAAATATTTGTCTACATCTTGTGGTTCTCCTAATTACGCTGCCCCAGAAGTTATATCTGGAAAGTAAGTTAATTAAATTTTGTTTAAATATGATTTTAAATAAATTCTAATACATATTGATTGTTCAAGAACTAATAATTTTTATGACTTCAATTTACATTAATTAAGTTTCTGTCAATTTTATTTTGGTATTTAAAAAAATAAATAAAAAAAGTAAACAAACAAACAAACAATCAATCAAAAAAACATTTAAAAAGATCTAGCACTAAAATTTGACTAAAAATATTACAATTTTAAATAAAACGATGCTGTTAAAACTTATTATAATTTTTGAATAAATAGACTATATTGTGGAACAGAAGTTGATACTTGGAGTTGTGGTGTTATATTATTCGCCTTGCTAGGAGGCTATCTTCCTTTTGATGAAGAAGTTATTCCAGCTTTGTATAAGAAAATCAAGGGTATAAAATATATTTTTTTTATGTAAAAATAGAAACAAACAAGCACTAATAAATTAAATAAATTGAATAAATTTATTCATTGATTTCCTGAATCAGTCTTTTTGTATATTGATTATCAAATAAATATTTAAAAGAGGGAGATTTTCAGATTCCAGCATTTTTTTCACCTGAAGCTCATGATATAATTAAAAGAATGCTCCGTCCTAACCCTATAGAGAGAATTAAATTTCATGAATTGAGACTTCATCCTTGGTTGAGAGAAAATGTTCCCTTTTATGTAGAAATATTCAATTAGAATACAAGAATGGAGAGTAAAAAATTAAATGAAGACATTTTGAGAAAATTAGCTTAAATGAAAAATGTTAACTTCCATAATTTGAACGAATAAACTATTAGAGATGCCGTTATTAAGAGAGACGATTATAGTTTTGTTATTGCTTACGATTTGCTCCTTGATGACTATAAAAAGAACAACTATTATAATAAAGGTATTTATTTATTTATTATTCTTTTTCCAACTAACAAAAAATAAATAACATTTTTGATAGAAAACAATCAAAACACTTTCATATTCAGACCTGTTTAAGAAGACTGCACAGTCGAGACCAATAATGCTTATATTGATCAAATCTTTAATCAAGGGTATTAATAGATATTTCTTTTACAAGTTATTTGCTTTTTCCTTAAAAAGGTTCAAAAATAAATATTTTGAGCAGAAAAAATTTAATCAATGTCACTAAACAAACCCTAATGTGTAATATATAATTTTTATTGATTTAGAAAACTTGAAGAAGTAACTGAGGAAGAAGAAGAAATACTTGGCCAGTGGACTTATGGAAAGATATATAGCAATAGTGCTAGGACAATTATGAAAGCAATATATGAGGTTGCAAGCTAGTTAGATATTGTTATTACAATTAAAAATAGCGAATATAGGATCAAATGCCATAGAAAAAACCCTAAAAAGATCTAAAGTGCTTACAACAACCATCTTGAAACTATAAAAAGTGAAAGTAGCTCAAATTTATCAACAAATTACACAAATAATGGTAATTTAAACAACAGCCACCACCATCACCACTCATACAATAATCATTACCATCATGTTAATCCATAGAATTAAAATTTTACTGGCTTCTAGAGTGGATCAAATGTTTCTATGACAAACAACTTTTAGCACACATAAACTAATTCCTATTTAATGCCTCCCTAAGGTAATTAATTTAATAATTAAATGAGTAATGTAAGCAATGACTTTGGATAAAATATGGAATCTCAATCTTAATCTTATGCCATAGGTAGCAATTTCAATAATATGAATTATAGTCAATCGGGATATTAATTTGATTCTGGAATGAATCTAAATAATGGTAACACTTAAAACCCAAATAACAGTTAAAATAATGCTCTTGACACTAATAACATACCTAAATTCTCCAAATAGGATCTTGTTTTTACCATATAAATATACTAAGTAACTCACTCACTCTCTTTAACATTATTGAAATAATTTTTAATTTATTTCTTTTGTAAAAAAGATGCCAAGCACTTCAATTCAAAGCGATTAGCACATAGTAGATGTCATTTTAAATAAGGGTCATCCTATCATGTTCTTAGAGTTTTTTAACTAATTTCTTACTCTTGTAAACAAAAAACTTAATCCAATTCACTGAGTTTCAGTTTGATGCTCAAGCTAATTTCTTTTAATTAAAACTTTAAACATTTAAAATTGTAAATTCATATTTTTGTATTCTTTGGTAAAGCAAAAATAAATTAAATAAATTCATTCAAAGTTTATCATAATTTAAATTATTTAATTTGTAATTCCTAGTGTTTAAATAAATATTTTATTCAATTTAAATAATGAAAAATATGAAATGATTTTTTATAAATATAATAATATGAGTGAACAAACATTTAGTTACTAAACAAAAAATTAAATGTTTTAAAATAAATAACTAATAGATATGTTGGTTGATTTGTAAGATAAAAGGAAATATTTAATAAAATAATAATAATAATAATTAACAAAATTCATATTATTTACTAGTATATTTAAAGGATATGACAAAAATAAAGCTGGATAAAGGTAGTATTTTATTTTTATTATATGATGGAATAAGAATATTAGTTAGCAAATCGTATCCTAGTTAACTTAAGCATCAAAAAAACAATAAAAATATTTATAATAATATGATTATTTAATTAAAATAAAAATTAAATTAAGTTTGTTTTATTATAAATAAATGTTTACTTTGTATTGTAAATATTCAATTAAGGAACCCTTGACATTCATTATATATCATTAAAATTAAAATATATTCTTTTAGATAGATACCTAAGTTTTGTTAGTTAAATTTAAACAACAGATTGAATTAAAGATATATATATGTATTTGTTTGAAAACCAAACTTTAATCTTTAAAAAGTTTATAGAGTACACTTAAAAAGCTTCATTAAACCTTTATTTGAAATATTTAAGAGTGTTTTTTAGTTTTTCAAAGATGATTATTTGAAAAGGCTCATTTTTTTTCTGGTCATAATTAATTATATATTAAAATTATAATTAAAATTCGATCATAAATATTTTGATGATTAGGGATCTACTAATTACTCGATTAGAAAATTATAAAATTAATTATCCAGTTATTCTCAAAGTTTTAATTAATTTAATTTACTAAATTAAATTAAAAACTTGAGAATTTGAATGAAATAAGACTTGAAGGCCAAATAAGAAAATACTTTTTAAGAGGTTAAGGAGTATATACCCTCTTAAATTGAAATGTGGAAGTTCTATAGGAAGTTTATTAAGATTGACTGGTATATTTTGATTGGATTAAACTGTTAATGGCTTATTGAGAGTATTTTACACACTAGGGCACCTTTCCTACTTTTAAATATTAAAGATTAACTCTTACATATTGAAGCACATAATTATGATTCATTTTTTTTGCTAATTATTGAGTTTGTTGCTACTCATATAATATTGCAGTTTTTTAGTTTTATTCAAGTCAAAGTAACCAATCGTACTTCTAAAATGGTTTAGTAAAATATATAGAAACAAATAGTTGATCACCTCTTCTCTCTTGATATTCACTATTTCGAGGAGAATAAAGCTACTTCTCTTCATTAAATAATTTTATAAGGATCAGAATAAATTGGTAAAGAAATTTAATATGGTAGAATATTCCAAAAAATAAATCAATTTATATATTTTGCTAGCAGAGCTTACTTTATTTATGTGTAAAGTGTTTAAATTTTTATATCTCTTGCTGTAGTAGCATTAATATGCATTTTGTTGTAGCAATATTTCACCAAAGAAAAGAAGAAGATAGAATAACTCAACAATAAAATATGTGAATTTGAATCTTTTGCTTTAGATGAGATATTAAATAATATGATGCTAATTAAAACATATTGTAAAGAAGATAAAGAAAAGAAAAATTTAGAAAAAATAATGCAAAAAAACAGAGATTCTCGTCAGCAAACATTAATATATCAATAGATTATTAGTATGATATAGAGTTGCAGTCATGAGATGATGAAAATTGCTGTTATTTGTCATGCATTTTATTACTATTTATAACACACAACATAAAATTAAGAAAATTCAAATAATCAAAACAGCTTTTAATAACAAATTCTATCAAGAAATCTTGGAGAAATTATTTCAAATACTTATTGTATTTTATTTTTAGTCCGTGACTTTATCTAGATTATTAACAGGAGTACTGATGATTTTTATGAAAACAGGAAGAAACATATTGGAAAAGTAATGAACTTATTTACAGTCAAGTCTTCAATTAGTTAAGAAGAAATATTTAATAACCAAAATAATTAACCATTAGAAGGTGAAATAACATTTGATAATGTCTCTTTTTCTTATCCAGCTAGAGATAATAAATTAACATAGGATTATAAATTAATATAGAGTCAAAGTATAATTGATTAAACATAAATATCTAATATAAGTATTAGAGAAGAAAAATAATTAAATTCTCAATCTTCCTAGAGTGTTTTAAATTAATTATCCTTTAAAATAAATCCTGGAGAATGTGTAGGATTTGTAGGTGTTAGTGGAGGCGGAAAATCAACAATAGTTAAATTAATTGAGAGATATTATGATACAACTGAAGGAGCTATTCTGATTAATGGAAAAAATATAAAAGATGTGCCATTATAAGCTCTTAGATAAAATATTGGATTAGTTCATTAAGAACCATAATTCTTTGATAACGATATTGAATACAATGTTACTTACAGCCTCGAAGGGAGTTATACGTAAGAATAACTAAATAAAGTACTTGAAGTATCAGGAGTTAATGAGTTTATACTTGATAAAAATAGATTCCCTTTAGGACTTAAAACTTTGATTGGAAATAAAGGAGTGAAACTAAGTACTGGATAAAAATAAAGAATAGCAATTGCTAGGGCTTTGATAATAGAGCCAAGGATTTTAATTTTAGATGAAGCAACAAGTGCCTTAGATGCTGAGAGTGAAAGCTCATTTTAAAAGTATATAGAACAAATAAAATCATACTAAAATATGACAATAATTATAATAACTCATAGGCTAAGCACTGTATTTAATTGTGATAAAATATTCGTTTTGTAGAATGGTACTATTGTTGAACAAGGTACTCACTATAATCTTTTATAAACTAATTCTATCTATGCTAATTTAGTAAAGTGTTAATTAAAATAAAATACTCAAAATTAGAATCCAAGTTTAGAACACAGAGATTCTGTAGAAACAAATGATTCCCTCTTTTGAATAAAATACTTTAAACTATTTATAAAATAAATATACCTTTATAAATAAATATTTGTTTAAATTTCTCTATTAAAATCAATTATTAATAGATATAAATATTTTTTTTTAAATGAGATTAATTAAGAATCTTATTAAGCCAAATTAAACTTTTCTCATTTTAAATTTAAAAATCAAAATTTTTTTATGTTTTCTTAAAATTAAATTTCGTTAAAAATAAATTTTGCTAATAATATATTTAATAGCATTTCAAATGAAAAAAAAAACCTTTTCATTTAACTATTGCTATATTAACAATATATTTTATTGAATGCTATTTAATTAAAGCTTTAATTTAAATATATTGATTTTAACTTTATAAAATTATACTTAAAGAAATATAATTAAGAAAAAAGTATGGTTATCTTATGATCAATTCTCTTAATTTTTTACTTATTAATATCAAGAAAAGCGATATAATACATATTATTTAAATTTATATTTAATATTGTTAATTATTACAATTTCTACAAGATAAAAAATTATATAATAAAATAATTCAACTTTGATTACTTATTAGGTGAGTATTTTATTTATATTTTAAATTTATTCAATATAATCTTAAATGGAATTTATTAAAAATATATTTTATCTATAGTGCTTAAACAATATTTCAGTTTATGAATAAACAAATTAAAAATTATAAATTACCAAGCCTTTATAGCTCAGCTGGGAGAGCGTAAGACTGAAGATCTTACGGTCCTCGGTTCGATCCCGAGTGAAGGCATTTTTATTTTTGTAATATTGAAATTTTTTGATATATTCACTTGTAATTAATATATTGTAAATTAAATTAGATTTGGTTTTTAAACAAAAAATTTACTTTTTTATTTAATCTATACATACCAAAAATTAAGCAAATCTACAAATATAAATAAATCTATATCAAAAAAATCGGAAATTATTTATCAAGTAAAATGCAATATTTATTTATGAAAATAGTAAGATATATTTTTTATGTTATTAAAATGAGATATGACTTATTAAAAATAATGCCATCATAGAATTAAATTAAAAAAATAATATGTAATTCATTGCAAAGTAATGAAAATAGTTTTTAGCATTACTCTTCAATAAGAATAACTTAATTTTCCTTAGATAATAATGAATTTTTTTACAATTTACATAAAAAATTCGAATAGTTTTTGGTTAATGTATTATGATAAAAAACTAAAAATAATGCTTAAAATAATATTATCTTATTAATTAATATAACTTAGTAAAAATTAAGATAAAAATAAATTAGGTTACATCTATTTGGCTTGTTATATTTATTTAATATATAAAAAAATATATATTTCTTTTATGATTTAAATAATGCCTTTAATAAATTTATACTTTTTATTATTTGATCGAGTTTTATTTTAATAAATTGAAGATGTACTAATATAGTTAAAAAAACACAGAGAGATAAGTTAAAATAAAACTGAATTATTATTTATTCTATGATAATAAATACAATTTGATGCTTAGAATTGTATTTACCATTAATCTTGAGCATATACATTTAAACATTTGTTATTAACACAAGTCAAATATATAAATGCTTTACAAGGCAAAACAATTAATCTTTATCTTTATTGTCAAAATAAATCTATTAAATTACAAAAAATTAATTCAATTTTTGTTCACTGTAAACAATTTTTGATTAAATCTAATGTGTTTTAATTAAAAATTTTTCCTTCTCAAAATATAGTTTATAATTACCTATTTATTAAGATTGTCGAGATCTATTTGCTTTTATCCAATCTATCTATCTAAAATCATAAATTTTTCATAATAGCTCCAAATAAAAAATCACAGATATTTTAAAATTTATTATCAAATACTTACTTACCACTTTACCTCAAAGTTAAGCCATATTAAGTTTAGCAAAAATCTATATCGAGTTGAATTTTATTATAAATTTTGAAGAAATAATATACAATTCTAATAATAGGTTTGTTTAAATGGAAAAAAAACAATATATTGACTTTATTTAAAAAGCAAATGATGTTAAGTAGAGCAAAGCTTATCTAATACTTAATAAATATTACTATTTTTATGTTTTTTATAGTAAAATATTTAATATCTTATGGCTATAAACTCTATATTTATGTTACAGACACTTTTTATCAATATTTTTTGACTTGGTAGTGATTTATTTGATTAATTCTGATTTTAGTAGGTTTAAAAATTTATTATTAAGATTAGAAAAGTGCAATTTTTATGAAGAAAACAGCTAAATTTTAGTAGACTATGTATTTATTTTCAAAAGCATTTCATAATTGCTAAATAATAGCTAACACAGAATTTCAAAATTAAGGATTTCCTGAATCTAAATTAATTGAATATCTCATATATGGATAAATAATTGAGTTTATTACAATTTTTTGAGTAATTAGCTAGAATTTTTTTGTTGTCGGTTGATGATTCTTTTTAAAAAAGAAAGAAACAATTATCAAAACATATAATTTATAATTAATAAAAACTAAACAAAAATCTTAATTTAAACTTACCAAGAATTATGTACAAATTACTTTTGACTTTCTTGTTTTGCTTAAGCTTAGTAGCATCTCTAGGCTTACAATGTGAAGATTTTGAAAGATAAGCTAAAGGATGCCCTGAAATTTACAGTCCTGTCTGTGCTATTCAATAACAAACTGGAAACTTTAGTCAAGTTAAAAAAGATTATTCAAACAAATGTGAAGCCTGCTCTTAGAGTGAAACTTAGTTCGTAGTTCCTGGAAATTGTGAAGAATACCCTAAAGAGGCTGTATTCTGTAACCCAGCTTTAAAGAAAAATCATGGTTGCATTGAAATTTACTAGGCAGTTTGTGGTGTTATGTTTTCTAATGAAAACTTTATGTGCGATAGCAAATATTGTGCAAAAACCTATGACAACTTTTGTTTCGCTTGTTAAGACAGTGTTGTTGGATATTATGTCAAAGGCGAATGTCAATAAAATGACTTTGAAGATAATGAAAATTATTGATTATTAATATTAAAACATATTAAAAAAACTTAAATAAGTAGTATTTTATTTTATAATATAAGTATATTTAGTAAATTAGACTCTATAATATTTTGATACTTTTTAATATAAACTCAAAACCTATTTCCATTTAAATAAATGTTATTTCTAAAAGTTATAATTTGTGATGTAATTTACTCTTTTTATTGTTTATAGTTTAGAAAACTTTTTTTTAAAGTGTAAAAATTTATTAATGCTTATTCTTCAAGGATTTATAACAGGAATTGAGTAAAAACAAATTAATTCATTAAGAATTTTTTGGTTTTAAATTTTATTGATTTTGCTATATTATTTTTTTTGATAGTGGGTTTTTAGTTAGTTTGAATTTAATAGATAAAACATTTTTTATTTGGAAAAATCGATACTTTTTTTTTTCTATGATAAACTGATTTTTTTAATCAACCCCATTTAACTTACATTTTATAAATTATTTAATTCCTTTGAGAGAGAAAAAATGTTTAAAAGTTAATTTTATTCCATTATATAGCTTGTTTTTAAAATAGTAATTACTATCTAAAAAAAAGTCTATGGTTTTCATTTTAAAACAAGAGGATTTAAAATAATAAGTTAGCATTTAGAAAAAATTTCAGAAAATTTATATTACTTGCCAAAATGTGTTATTTTATTATTAAGAATTGAAGCAAATTGAGTTTTAAAACAGCTTGAAATGGTTGTAACCATATAATTTGATTTTTTTTGTTTAAATAAAAAGAGATCAATATGTCTAATCAATAAATTGATTAGAGACTTTATTATTAATTTTCTAAAAAAAGTAATTTAACTAATTCTGATATAATCAAAATTAACTAAAACCAGGTATTGTAATACTGATTGTTTCTATTTTTTTAAGAAATTATATGATACTTATATGTATAAATGTCCCAATTTATCTTACATACTGCTAATATAATAGCGAGGTTCCAAGCTGCTTTGTTTATTTATATTTATTTATTTAATAATTTAATAAATACAATTATCAAAAAATTTTGAGAAAAGAAAAGAAAATAATGAATAAATTAATTGTTATAGTTGCTATTATTGGTTTCTGCACTGCAGCTAATATTAAATGCACAGAAAAACAAAAATAATCTAAAATATGCACAATGGAGTATATGCCAGTTTGTGGTGTTAAGATTGATCCTGAGAACTAATATTCTTAAACATTTGCTACATACGGTAACAAATGTGGTGCTTGTTCTGAAGGTGTTGAATTCTACGCAGAAGGTGAATGCGAATCCTATAACAAGAAAGCTATATTCTGTCATCCCGATGATCATTTAAACGTAGCTTGTACTAGAGAATTCTCTCCTGTTTGTGGTTTGTTTGATTCCTCCATCAATTGCTTTGCTGCTCCTTGCGGTTAGAATTACTCTAACAAATGCACTGCTTGTATTAACAAGGAAGTAACTCACTTCGTAAAAGGAAGCTGTGAAGATCTTAGAGTTTGATGCTTATTACAAAATAAATATATAATAAAATTACAAAATAATATAAATAGTATTGTGATAGATTCATTTATTTATCAATATTTTCAAATAACTTTTTAAAACTTTTGATCTATTTATTTTATAATCCATTTATAAAATCTAATAAATATATTTACAATTAAAGAGTTAATTAACTCAAAGTTCAATATAAAAAGCAATTAAATTTAAATAAATTATACTATTTAATAAGTGTATGCACTTTATCATTCACAAATCATAACAAAAGTCAATTATTTATTGTTTGTTATCATAACAAATTTAGAAAGATTGAATTATTTTTTTTTTCTTAAAAATATGCAAATAAATAAAAATTACATAATTTTAAATAATAAAATACTCTTTTACATACAATAATAAATTTTAAATTAACTATAAAATACATTTTATTTTAAAACATCATCAAAAGCACTATTTTTAAATCAAATCAATCGAATATTTTAAGTTTAAAATATAGAACAACAATAAATTGAGAATCAAAAATTAAAAAATAAATAGATATTACAAAAAGATTTAATAAAATTAGAATAATATTTTTTGAATTAAAATAAGGCTGCATAATTTAAAGCACGTGTAAGATTAAGCAAGTAGTTCCTACACTTTGTTTGATAGTCAATCTATAGCAAACTTACTACATTAAAAAATGAGAAGTAATAGATATTAAAAGAATATATTTGAAATTTATAAAAGTAATTCTGGTTAAATTAGAATCATAAATTTAGGTTATACTCATTCTTTTATCTATCTATTCCTATTACTTATTAATTTATTTTTTTGCCTTAATTAGTGTCATAAGAGGTTAGGTAATTAATAGAACTAAATTATGTGCAAATTAAAATTCATCCTTACATTAATTTAAAATACCAACAAATTTAATTAATTCAAGCAAATAATTAATTAAAAAGTATTATAAAATAAATCCAAAAAATATTACTAGATTTATCTAATGAACAAATTTTTTATCGCTCTCACTATTTTAGGACTCTGTGCTGCTGCAAATTTCAAATGTACTACTGAAATGAAGGCTAATAAATTCTGCACCAGAGAATATATGCCAGTTTGTGGTATAAAGATGGCCGAATAAGGAAGCTCTAAGTATAGCTCTATCAAAACCACTTATGGAAATAAGTGCACTGCTTGTGCTGAAGAAGGAGTTGAATTCTATGCTGAGGGAAGTTGTGAAGAATACCCTAAGAATGCTACTTTTTGCCATCCTGAAGCTCATTTGAGCAAGATATGCACTAGAGAATTGTTCCCAACTTGTGGTTTGTTTGATAGCTCTATTATATGTGCTAAAGGTCCATGCGGTTCTAATTTCAATAATAAATGCATGGCTTGTGTTAATAAATAGGTCTCTTATTTCCTTGCTGGATATTGCGACCACAAATATAAATACTGAGATTTATGATTATATCAAATTTAAAATTATTCAAAAATAATAGTATTTTAAATATAAATATATAAATAGTATAAGTAAAAATGTTTGAAAATCATAAAAAATATTAAATAAGATCAAATTTTTATTATTTTTCTTAATTACCACATGAAAATTGTAAAGTTATTCAAAATAAATGTAAGTTTATTTTTTGAAAAATAGAGTTTATATTCTGAAAGAAAAATATTTGGGTTTAGCTTTGTAATTGAAGTTATGCCTTGGTAAATTTTAAATTTTCAATATAAGAAGATTGAAATTGTATAAAATAATATGTAAATTTGAAAGGATTTTCAAACAAATTCAAAGAATTTGTTAAATTGGATAAAAACTAGAAAAAGAAAAATAAATTTTTTACATTTTCTCCTCTTTGAAAAATAAATTTTTTAAATTACATCTTAAATGGGAAATTTTTGAATTTTTATAATACAGTCAAAGTTAATTATTTCTGTCTAAATTTTATAAAAAAGAAATAATTTTGTTAAAAAGCACATAATTTATAATAATATCAGGTATTATTTGATACAAACGTTATTAACAGAATAAGCCTTAATATATTTTTAATGACGCTTTAGATTTAATAGAACAAAAATAATATCAAACCAAATTTATTTATTATTATTATAAATTTTGATAAAAATCACACAACTAACAATTTTATCGTACCTAAAGAAATCTTATTAAGATCAATTTAAATCTTACATTGGCATTTTTTAAGTAAATTAAAACATTACAAACAAATAATACATATGTTTTTTTTATCCTTATTTATATTTTTTAAAATGTAAACCATCATTTTTTCTTTACAATTTATTCAACTCATGCTTAATTATACTACAGTCTAATGCGAATTTTATTTTTTATTACTACGTATTGTGATAAAAATAGTATTTCATCAACAATAACAAAAGCTAAATTTAAATTACCAAAAGTAAAAAGATTTTTATTTTAAGTAAACAAATCTGACTTATTTTTTTCATTTTATATTATCAATTTTTGATACCATCTTCCTCTAAACTTAAAAAATATTTTATTTTTAGTATTATTTTTTATATCATAAGATTTTATACTAACAATTTTTTGAACAAATAAGCTTTAAAAAGAAAACTAATTAAATAAATAATAGACCCTTATATATTTCAAATTATTCATTAAAAATAAAATAATAAAAATTAACTTATCTAGTAAAAAATATTTATTTTACTTATTAATTAAATAGTTAATTCATTTTTTTTAGTCAACATTTATTTTAAACCATATTTTTTTTTTGTTTGATATTTTATTGATTTAATAGAATAAAGGAACATTTTTCTTTTTAATACAATTAATCAAAAGATATCTTTTCAACCTCAGTTTACATTTGATTAAGATTGCAATTTATCAGAACCAAAATCCTTAAAATTAATTTAAATAATCGAAAAATTAATTGATGTAATCAAATAATTAATTAATAAAAAAAAATCAAATATAAAAAATAAAAAAAAATTTAAAAATGAATAAAATTTTAATTGCCCTCACTATTTTAGGACTTTGTGCTGCTGCAAACTTCAAATGCACTGCTGAAATGAAGACTGCCAAAGCTTGTACTATGGAATATATGCCTGTTTGTGGTGTTAAGATGGCTGAAAAAGGAAGTTCTAAGTACAGCTCTATTAAGGCTACTTATGGAAACAAATGCTCTGCTTGTGCTACTGAAGGAGTCGAGTTCTATGCTGTAGGAAGTTGCGATGAATATCCCAAAAATGCCACTTTTTGCCACCCAGAAGCTCATTTAAATTTAGCTTGTACCAGAGAACTTTTCCCTACTTGCGGTTTATACGATAATTCTATCACTTGTGATAAAGGTCTTTGTGGCTCTAACTTTAGCAACAAATGTATGGCCTGCACTAACGAACATGTTTCTTATTTCATGGCTGGCTATTGCAAAAACTAAAAATGATATCAATAATAATAAATTTAATTAATATTAAATATAAGTATTTTATGTTATTTGATATTTATTTTTGATAATCTTTAAAATATTCAAATTTATTTTATTCCATTATTCAAAAAATATGCCTTTAACAAACAAACAATCACTAGCTATTTTAAAAACAATTTATATAAAATAAATATTTAAATATATTTCCATTTATTAAGTATGAAGTAAATTAGTTTAAAAAATAATAAAATCCTTGTTAAAAAAAAAATTGTGGACATTTTCTGTTTAAATAAAAATAAATAAATTAATTAAATATCATGCTTCCAACCTCCCTTTTATCTTTATGTGAATTAAAAAATAAACATCAAAAAGTTTGGTATTGCTTATAAATCTTATTATAATTTCTTCTATTTTTTACCATTTAATAAAATCAAAACTTTAAAATTTTAGTATTCCCTCAGTATTATTTCAATAATATAGGCAATTAATGAAAACAAACTTTAACTTAACCATAGTAAATTGTTAATATTGGTGATATTTATTTAACTTACAGACTAAAAATAATTAACCTCAATAAATATTCAATTACGCTTTATATTTAATAGAACCACTGTTAGATATTAACTAATTTTTCAGGTATAAATTGATTAATTTTTAGTAATACTTATCATTCTATTATCTTTTTACCAATTTTATTTAAATAAAATTGTACTACTAGCAATTTTATTCTACCTAATTAAATCTAACTTAAAAATTTTTTTAAAATTGCTAGAATTACATTAGTAATTTCCTATGAATAATTTTATACTTCATAATTTAGATGTTTATACTTCTCATATTATTTAAAAATTTTAAATATTTTAAATACCTATTTTAAATAAACTAAAATTCAATAAATGAGCAACCTACTCTTACATCTTGTTCTTTTAATTGAAATTAATAATTGTTCTATCAAAATTTAACAAAATTATATAATAATCTCTATTCAAATAAGTCATTAAGTGTGTTTACATTACGTATTAATTAATGCATTAAATTAAAGAAGCTAATAATTAGTCATATTACAAATAAATATGACTTTTATTTTATATTGCTAGATAATATGACTAAATAAGCTACATTAATTGTATTCATACAAAAATTCATCTTAAATACCTAAAATTTGTAAGTATTTCATTTATTTTAGTACATCTTTTTTTTATATTTTTGTTTGATTCAATTATAAGGTAAGAAAATATTCCTAAAAATATTTTTATTTAAAAAAAATTCATTCTTTAAAGTCTTTTATGTGATATTTTGAAATTTATTATCAATATTTAAATTGATATAAAGATTAACTATTTGTTAAATTTAATATGACAGAATTAGTTTGTTTGCTTGAAAGAACATGTATTTATTAATGAAGAATAAATTAAAAACAAAATACTAATCATTAAAAATCAAAAAGTAAATTGTTGCAATTTCTTGATATTTTTATATTATTTATTTATTTAGCTTACTCATTTAAAAAAATAATGGTAAAAATTGATTGACTAAATTTATTAAATGAATACATATTTTTCTTTTTCAACATACTAAACTAAATAAATCTCAACCTCAGATTATATGAAATTATGTTTACAATTTGTAGAACTAAGAATTATATAACTCAAAGAATATTCTTAATATCAAATTAAAAACTCTAAAAAATGAATTAATAAACTCAAATAATTAATTAATAAAAAACAACAACAAAAAAAAAATAAAAACAAAGAATAACTATTAAAAAATGAACAAAATCTTGATCGCCCTTACTATATTAGGACTTTGTGCTGCTGCTAACTTCAAATGCACAGCTGAAATGAAGACTGCCAAATTCTGCACTAGAGAATATATGCCTGTTTGCGGTATTAAGATGACTGAAAAGGGAAGCTCTAAGTACAGCTCTATCAAGAATACTTATGCTAACAAGTGCACTGCTTGTGTTGAAGAAGGAGTTGAATTTTATGCTGTAGGCAGCTGTGAAGAATATCCTAAAAATGCTACTTTTTGCCACCCTGAAGCTCATTTGGATTTAGCTTGTACCAGAGAATTCTTCCCTACTTGTGGTTTATTTGATGATTCAATTACCTGTACTAAAGGTCCTTGTGGTTCAAACTTTAGCAATAAATGCATGGCCTGTATCAATGAGCACGTTTCTTACTTTTTGACTGGTTATTGCAATCACTAAGAATAATACTAATAATGATATAAATAAATATATTTAAGTATTTTATCGTATTTTATCTATATATTTAATTGTTAGCAATAAAAATTCATAATTTTTAGCTTTTTAAATAATATTCAAATAAAAATTGTTTTTTTTGTCATTTATTTAAGAAAGATTTTATAATGCAAGTATTTGAGAAAGAAACAATTTAATAGACTTTATTTGTGAGTAATTAAATAATAAAAAATTAGTATATGATATTTTAATAAATATATACATTTCATTTTCTATTTAGTAGAGGATATTAATATTTTTAAGACCCAAAGCCATACACTCGTGCACTCAAAATATTACTTTAGTAAAATAATATCCAATCTTGATAAAGGAACTAATTTAAAATAAAATATCTTTAATTTTTTAATTTGATATATAATTAAATAAGACTGAATATAGTTTTATCATAAATTAATGTAATAATTAATTATACTATAACCTATAAATTTTAAGTATATATGATCATTTTAATTTACGTAAATTTTTTATTAAAGAGGTCTACTAATTAATAGAACCTAAATTGATTAGAACAATTGATTAGTTGATTTAATACAAAAATAAACTATATATTCAATATGTATGATTGCTTTTTGATAATTTTTTTATAATACTGACATAATATTAGTATCTAAATGACACTGATTAAATATATTATTCAATTCTTTTATAATTAAGATTTAAGGATAAAATATTTTAATTATACTTAAAAAATTGTAATGCAGAAAACTAAGTTTAAATTAATAAAATTAACCTCAATAATTATACAAAGACGCTTAAAATTTTGTAGAACTAAAAAAAATTAATCAAAATATTCAAGATATTTTTTAGCTGCTAATAATTTTTTTATCAAATCATTTTTTATTAAATTACTACGTAATAATAATTATTTTTATTTTGTCATCTGATATAAAATTATAATTCAAAAATTTAATTGATTTAACATTTTTTTATAATTTAAAGCTTAAAATTGTTTTGAAAGATAGATAGATACATAATAATATTTTTCACAAGTAAGTAAGTATCTTATTTTTTTAAAAATTTTAGATATTGTTTTAAATTTGAGGAGTGAAAGAAAGACTTATCTTGGCAAAAAAACTTGTTTTTCATACAATTATAGATAACAATTGTTCCATCCAAATTTAACAAATAGTTAAAAAATAAACTCTTTATTTATATTATGTCATTTAGTCTTTGCTTAGATTACGTATTATAAATAATTAATAATTAAAAGTCAATTACAGTCATTCGAGCAGATATTTCAGGCCTATGCTAATTTTATTATTTATTATCTAATAACGTGATAAAATAAACTATTTCGTCAACAACTAAGCATAGTAATTTAAAATACAATAACTATTTTATCAATCATATTTTCTTTATATATGTAAAATTTTTTTTAAAATTTGAATATCATTAACATAAAATGTGTAATATATTAAATTTTTAGGTTAAATTAAAGAGAAAATAATATTTTAAGTTAATTTGCTTTCTTTTCAAAAAAAATATTAAAATTTGCTTGCTTATTTTTACTTAAGTGGATTAGTATATTTCATTCATATGAACCAACCCAGAAACAAGTCAAACTTTTAACCTGAGATTAGATTTAATTGGCATCACAAATTACTAGAACTAATTAAACAAACAAAATACATGAATGAAATCAATTTAAATCTTCCAAAAGTTATTTAGTCTAAAATAATAATTAATTAACAAAAAAACAAATCAACAAATAAATAATTTCAAAAAATATACAAAAATGAATAAAATCTTAATTGCTCTTACTATTTTAGGACTTTGCGCTGCTGCTAACTTCAAATGCACTGCTGAAATGAAGACAGCTAAATTCTGCACTAGAGAATATATGCCTGTCTGTGGTGTTAAGATAGCTGAAAAAGGAAGCTCTAAGTACAGTTCTATTAAGACTACTTATGCAAACAAGTGCAATGCTTGTGTTGAAGAAGGAGTTGAATTTTACGCTGTTGGTAGCTGTGAAGAATATCCTAAGGAAGCTAACTTCTGTCACCCAGATGCTCACTTAGATTTGGCTTGTACTAGAGAATTTTTCCCTACTTGTGGTTTATTTGATGATTCTATAACCTGTACTGAAGGTCCTTGTGGCTCAAACTTCAGCAATAAGTGCATGGCCTGCATCAACGAACACGTCTCTTATTTCTTGACTGGTTTTTGCCATCACCAAGAATAATATCAATAATGATCTAAACAAATAAATAAATTATAACTTTAGTATTTTATCGTATTTTATCTACATATTTAACTGTTTGCAATATAATTTTAAATTTTTGGTATTTTAAATAAGAACCTATAAAAAAACTATAATTATATATATAAATATGATGAGATTAATAAGAGATCTATATAAAAAACACTTTACTACAAATTTGTAATTTTTTTAATAAGTGGTTTTATTTTAAAGTCAAAACAAATTTTATAACTATATTGAAAATAGAAATAAATAAAAATGTCAAATGAGGTTAAAAAAAATTAATTTACTTTTTATACAAATTGAATGTTAAAGTTTTGTGTCATATCTTATTTTAAAATATGTATTAATTTGTTCATGTATGAAGAAAAATTTAAATAAATTCATTAGAATCTATTTAATAAAATATTTAATACTTGTTGAGATACTTTCTATTTCATGAAATAAATCATAAATAAATAAATAAGTTGATATCAAATATTTTCTTCTTGTTTAAATTAAAGCAAGTTTTTTTAAAATAAAAATTGCAAAATAAAAACATTCTAGAGCAAAGATGCAGAAATATTTATTTTAAAAATAGAAATTGCTACATGGTGTATTAGAAAATTATATTTTGACCTCTTGTTAATAAAAATATAAAGTTAAGTTGATTGTCTTTTGAAGGGTATTAAAAACTTATAGATGGTATAAAATCGATGTAATTTCTCATATTGAGTAATAAATTTGAGTATTACTAATCCTAAGTATCTTTTAGTTGCAAACTTAATACTTATTGAGCTAATGTAAGCTAAATTTTACAAGAAGAGTATAAATTAATATAAACACTGAATTTTATCTCAGGTGGGATATCTGGTATAACTAAAATCAGATTAAGTTGAAACTATCATGAAATAGAAAGGAGTCAAAAATTTAGATAGGAGAGTCTAAATTACTTTAATATAAATAAAATTTAATAAATTCTGATTGTTGTTTTTGCTATAGATGAAATTTATTACTTTACTAATTTTACAATTATTTATTGAACTTTTAATCAGAATCTTTTAATTTCAAAAGCAGCCAATACTTGATCAATTTTATAAAGAAAATTAATTAAAAAAAAAAATAGTAAAACAAAAATTAAATCTTAAATAAAAATGAACAAAATTCTTATTGCTATCGTCATCCTTGGTGTATGCACTGCTGCCAACATTAAATGTACTGCTGAACAAAAGAAGGCTGAATTCTGTACCATGGAATACATGCCTGTATGCGGTGTCAAGATTAATTCTAACAATAGATTCTCATAAACTGTTGCTACTTATGGAAACAAGTGCAGTGCTTGTGCTGATAAGGATGTTGAATTCTATATTACTGGAGAATGTGAACAATACCCCAAGGAAGCTACTTTCTGTCATCCTGATGCTCACTTGAACAAGGCTTGCACCAGAGAATACTTCCCTGTTTGTGGTTTATTTGACTAATCCATCTAATGTTTCCGTTTCCCTTGTGGTATGAATTATTCTAACAAGTGCTCTGCCTGCATTAATGAACATGTTGCTTACCTTGTTCCTGGCAACTGTGAAGAAATGAAGTTACCTTCTGGCAACAACTCAGAATGAAATTGAAGTCCTACAAAATTTCTTAAATTTGCTTAAAATAATTATAAATAAAATGGAATTTTAGTATTTTATCTTACATCTATATATAAAGTTATGATTTTATTAAATTCATAAAAAATTTTACTATTTTAGTTCATTAGCAATATTTTTAAAGCTAAAAATAAAAAATATATTTCAGAAAATTCTTTATAAATAAGCATATAAAACAAATGTGAATTAGGAAATAAATATCAAAAACAAATTAATTTTGCTTTTCTCATGAACTTATAGGATTTTTATGGACAAAAATATTAAAGGAAGTATTTTAATTAACTGAGTTAGTGTGGATATAAAATTAAATATGATAAACAATTGTTAATAAGACAGATGTTTTTTGATATCCTTGTAAATAAAAGTATTGTTATTATCTTCATAAAAATATTTAATATGATAGTTAATTTATGAAATTAAATATTCTATTTTAGTTTATGAAGTAATTTATATAAGAAATAATACATGAATGATTTATGTGGAAATATTGAATTAATTTAATAATCAGAATGAAGTCTATTTCCATAAAAGAATTTCGATTTAATTAATTCATCAAAAAGATTTAATTATTTTCGATGGCTTAGTTTTCAAAATTTTAATAAAAAGCAATTATGCGCTTTTTTATAAATTAGTATTAATGATTTCATAACTTTAAAAGTCTATGCTATAAAATACGCGCAATTAATTCTATTTTATACTAATTTAATTTTCATTCATGAAATAGATTCCCACCAAACTCACACTGTAAAAAAATAAGAAACTTTCCACTATAATTTTATAATAATTTAATATTTATTTCATTGTTATAAAAAGAAAAAATATTTTCATCATAAATTAAAGTATTTAGTGCTTATTATTTCAATATTTTTAATAAAATTTTTGTAAAGAAAACTATTTTCTAAAAAAAACTATAATTTTGAAGGTAATTAATATAGTAAAAATTTAATAAATTTCTTAATCTTTAAATGTCCCTTACATTTGAAATAATAATCAAATTAGAATCTATGATTTTTGGGTAAATTTTTTCTTTAAATTAATTTACAAAATTGAAATTGAAAATTATAATTATTAATTGAATTAAAACATCAAAATAAAGGAATACAATAAGTAAAATAGACTAAATATAAAATATGATGAAGGTAATTTTTCTTGCCCTGATCGTTTGCTTATGCAAAGCAGCTAATTTTAAATGTGAAGATTCTCAAAAAAATTTAAGTTTTTGTACTAAAGAATATTTACCTGTTTGTGGAGTGGTTCAAAATTCAATTGGCTAAATAGAATAATTTTATAAAACTTTTTCAAATAAATGTGAAGCCTGTATTTCAGGAAAAATAGAATTTTATGCTTTAGGAGAATGTGAAGAGTATCCTAAATAAGCAATATTCTGCCATCCTGATGATAGCTAAAATGACACATGTACAAAAGAGTATAGACCTGTTTGCGGTGTTTTTGATAACAAAACTTTTACCTTAAATTAATCTTTGAGTTAAACATATTCTAACTCATGCTTAGCATGTATTGATGAAAATGTTTCTTATTACATTCCTCAATCATGCCAAGTAATATTCGATGAAAAATAAAAATTAGATCAGGATGAAAAAATAGATTTAATATTTAATTTATTAAACTGAAATTTTTGTATTACTTACTTACTGCTATATATAAATTAGTTTTTTAAATATAAATTTGTCAATTTCATTCATATATATTCTTAATTTATAGCAATTATTTTAATTAATTTTTTAATTATTTTAGTTTAAATTTGTTTTTTTTTTCAAAATTATTAATTTTAATTATTTTCATTTACTAAATTGTTAAAAATGACAAAAAACTAAATTAAAAATAAACTTTTAAAGTGTATTTTCAGTTAATTTAGAAGTTTTTATATTTATAAATTTTAGTATTATTAGTTATTCATTAATATTTAAAAGAAAGTATCTTCTCAGAATTTTATAAAAAAAATCAACTTCTTTAAAAGAATATACCAATTAAAATTAGCAAAATTGAAATTATCTTTGCAATTATTTATTAATAAAAAATTAATTATTTAAATCTTAAATTTAAGAAAAAATAAATTTAAATTTTGAATTTAAGTGCTAAAAATAATAATAATGAAGAAATAAATATGTTTTAAATAAACTTAGATTAATAAAAAGAATATAATATAAATCATATAATTTTTATAAATAGGTTGAGAAAAGAATTTAATAAAAAAATTTAAATAAAACAACAAATAAATCTAGATGAAGTTTGATTATTAATTTTCATTTAAAAAATGTTTAAATTATTTTTCTCAGCAGCAAATAATAAATATGTTAAAACTTTATTTTTTAGCTTTTCTTATGAAAGAAAGATTAAATTTCATTTAATAATTTAATTAAATTAATTGTAAAAGTTAAAATAAGCATTTTAGAAATGCTTTTATAAAATTATATTCATATTAATTTAAATTAGTTTCAACCATTAAAATATTTCAAATAGTAAAAATTTAATTTCTTGTTATTTTATTTAATAAAATTAAAATAAATTTGGATAAATACTTTTTATCATATCAAAATTTTAATTTCAAATTTAAAAATTGCGCTTCTATTTTAAAATTATCAGTTAATAAACTATTATTTATTTATTTAGCTACCTATTTTATGAGTTTATAAAATAGAAAGTAGATAGATCAAATTTAATTTAAATCAAATATAGTAAAAAAGTGAACATTAAATAAGTCTGATTCTAAAAAAATGAATTATGTATTAATATGGTGCTAAAGTAGTTTAAAATACTGAAAGAAAAATAAAAAATACTTTGCTTTAAATACTGTTAATTTTTTTTTAAATTAAATTGATATTCTAATTAGCTTTTAAGTATTATATAAAAAGGGTTACAATCATCTAAAAAGTAAGTAAACTATATGACAATATAAATAATCTTTATTTGCTAACTTTTTAAGCTTATTTTAATTTTCTTCTAATAAATTAATTTATTGTTTTTACTCTACATTAAAAAGAATAGATTAAATATAACTAAAAATATTAATATTTTCTAGCCATACCAAATAGGAGGCAAAAAAAAATTAATTATTCTACAAGTATTTAGCTTTAGAGAATATGTGAACCACAAAATTTTGGCTTTAAAATTATAAATAAAAGTTTTTAGATTTAATATTTTATTTAAATTAATCTATATTATCTAATTTCCCATACAAATTCTTCGGTAATATCGCTTCTACATCAGCGAAAATTTCGTAGATAATAATGTTTGCATATTCATTCATTCGTTCAGTTTGGTTTAATCTTTTTATTGATTTAGAGGTAAAAATAGTATTTGTGATTGAAATTAATGATAATATAAGACATTACTTAATTTATTTATTTAATTATTAGTTAAGTAAAATGGTATCTATCCTTTTAAACGACAAACGAATTGGCATTGAGAAGATGTTAGAGGCATAACAAATTGCTAAGGAAAAAAAAAGCTAACAAAAAACTTGTTTGTAAAAAAAAATAGAAGAAAATCAGAGGGAATAGGTTGCTTGTATCGATTGTAAATCTAATCAAAAATTTAATAAATTATCAAAACAATAAATTTGCGAAAATAAGAAAACGTAATAAATGTATTCACAAAACGACGTAGAGAGAAAATGTCTCAAGTAAAAGAAGAAGCTTAAAATTTTGGCAATTGGAGATTCTCATATTGGGAAGACTACTTTCTTAAAGAATTACTGTTCATAGTAGTACGATTTGAATTATAAATCCAACGATAATTTTACTTAATAAAAAGTAAATAAAACTATTGGTTGTGATATTCATGTCTGCTATCATACTCCTAACACCAAAGCTCTTATCACTGAAACAAAATAAAATGATTCAGTAAAAATTATTTCATTATTTTATACATTTTTTCTTCATAATTTATTTCAATCAAACAATAATGAACATAATTTTAAACATTGTTTTTTGATTTTAAACTTTTTAGCACTTCATGCTTTTTAAATTCCAAATTCATTTTGATAAATTTTTGAGTTTGTAAATGAATATTTTAAACGCATCTTTGGAATTTTTTTAGTAAAATTTAAACATTTTTAAGAATCCAATTCTCTTAAAACATTTTATGAGCTATTTTTTTTTAGTTAATTCAACAATTTAAAGTTTATTATAGTAAAATTAAGTGCAAATTTTAACTATAAAATTAAGTAATATATTTAATAAATTTTTTTTTGTCTTAAAATAGCTATAATACTAAGAAGAATACACTGTTTAGTTTATAGACATGGCAGGAGAAAATAAATAGAGAGAGTTTTTGAATGTCTTTATTAGGAATAAACTACAAAAATTAGATGCAATCTTATTCTTTTTTGATTTGACTAATTTAAATACATTCAAAAACTTTTACAAGTGGCTAATGGCTATATTCCATAACAGTTAAAGTAAAAAGGACTATGCCTGTGTGTGGTAGATTCCCTTTTTATTGATTGGGACAAAAACTGATTAAATACCATCTAAATATTAAGCTTAAATAAAATAAAAGTTACTTAACTAACTAAATAAAATGTTTAAGTGCACACGTGGAGAGAACCTTATCTTTTTAAACGCTAACAACATTGAAAGCTCAAATTAAAAAGTAGAAATGTCCATGTTCCATTTATTTTTAAGTGAAATCTGCATTGAAAAGACAATGAAAAATATGAAACAATCAACTAATTCTTCTTTATTTTCATTTTAAGGTTAAAGTGAATACAATCCATAAGAACTCTTAAGCGGTCTCAACAAAAACACCTAAAAATACTGCTTAAATAATGATAATTATAAGAATAAAAGAATAATTGAAGAAGATAAAAACTTTATGCAAATCGTTTTAGAAGTTAATTAATTCTCTGAATATAAAAAAGCTTGGTAAAATCAAGTTTTTAATTTAACCTCAAGGGTTATTGTTATCAAAGAGCGCATTACTGAAATTATTTATACTACTTTTAGAAAAAGCGAAGATGAGCTTGTTCTTCCTCATTCTAATTTAGAGTGAGAAAGAAATTGCTTAGTATAATTCCAAAATAAAAATTAAATTAGCTAATTTTTAATAATAATAAAAGATTAGCTGCTTTAGCTAGCTATTAATTACTTAACTCCTCATATTTAAATTTATTTGTAAATTTTTAATTAATTACTTTACTAGTGAATGAATCCTTCCTTCCTCATTCATTCATTTATTCATTGAATATTAAATAACAACTAATCATAATAATTAAAATGCATTCTTGCTTGGTATATTTATTACTCCCTCTACTTAAATCTGATTAAAATAAAAAATAATAATGACAATAAATAAATAAATCTTTGTAATACCTTAAATAAAATCAAACTTGCTAATCTTATAATATTACTATTTATTTATTTAAACATTAGCAAGCTAATAAGAACAAAACTATCAAACATCTAATGAAGCAATATTTTTAATGATAATAAATAGCTCTAAAATAAAACTAATTCATGCTATATTTATAATTATATTAAATATAAAGAAATAAATAAATACATTAAAAACAACAAACAATCAAACAAACAAATAAACAAACAAACAAACAAAAAATAAACAAACATTTTGCATTTTATCCAAATTAACTTCATTTATATATTATTTCTGTTGATGTGTATGTAATTAATCACTCGTTATCAAAAAATTTATCTCCAATTTGACACAATCAAATATTTAATTCAATTAATTTTTTTTAATAAATCACTCTACTAATTTATAGTGTTAGTATTTTATTGTTTAAAAATTAAAGATATTTTTATTTAAATTAAATAAAATTTATTAAAAATTAAGTATGAAATACTTAGAGGGAAAGATTAAAAATATCTTCAATTTCATCTATTTTATATTAAACAGAAAATTAAGAATTCTCAATTCTATTTTGTAAAAGAATTAATTGTTTTTTTTTCTTTAGATACATTATTTGAGTTTGTTTTTGGGATTAATTAATTATATTATTTCGATATAATTCTAAGAAAAAAATATTATTCTAAAATATTAATAAAAATATTAAATTGTTAAAATTAATAATTTCTGTTAATTGCTTTTTTTAAATTAGAATTAGAAAAAATATTTTGAATTTATATTTTTATTTTTTATTCTATTTTACATTAAAAATTAATCTTTAAAATTTCTATTAAATTTACACAATTTTAAGGAACTTTCCAAAAATAATCCTTGACAATTATTTACTATAATTTATAATAATATTTATTTGGTTGAAATTTATGATTTTAAAATCACTCAAAAACAAAAGCCAATAATTATATAAAGGCTTTTAGATCAAATCCCTTCAAACCTAGCTAGCGAAATCAAATTTCTCTACTGGGTTTAAAGGATTTAATTTATAGAAAAAGAAACCATTAATTGATGAAAAAGTAAACAAGTAGCATTACGATGTAGCTATAATCGGTGGAGGTTCAGGTGGTTTAGCTTTTGCCTTTGTAAACATGCAATATTTTTAATCTAAATTGATCTAAATTATTAATTAATATATCAAAAGGAAGCTTAAAAATTAGGTATGAAAGCAGTTGTATTCGACTTTGTTGAAGAATCTACTTAGTATAGTTATTAGTTGTCATAATTATGATTGCTAATTTGAATATTTTTAATTAAATAGAGGTAACTCTTGGGGATTAGGTGGTACATGCGTTAATGTAGGGTGTATTCCTAAAAAGCTTATGCATACAGCAGCTTTATACAAAGTAATATTAAAAAAATGAAAATTAAATGTAAATATTTTTCTACTTATTTAGGAAGTTATTTTAAACTCTTCTGGATATGGCTTTGATTTAGAAGGAAAAAATTTAGAGGAAAAATATAAATAAGAATACTTAGTTTGGCAACATTTGGTGAATAATGTTTAATCATATATTAAAAGCATTAATTTTGGATATAAGAAATCTTTAGGCGAGCTGAATATTGATTATGTTAATGCATTTGCATCTTTTTATGATAAAAATACCTTAGTTTTTTCTCCTAAGGTTGACGCAATAAGCGGATTTTTGAAAGATAATGAATCTTATAAAGCTAATACCGAATAGTTAGGATATGTCACTGCCGATAAGATTGTAGTAGCAGTAGGCGGCAGACCTTAGCTTTTATCAGATAGTTAATGTTAAAATTCAAATAAATATGCTATAACTAGTGATGATATATTCATGCAAAAGAAACCTCCTGGCAAAACCCTTGTCATTGGTGGTGGATATATTGCTCTTGAATGTTCTGGATTTCTTTCTACTCTTGGATACGATACTACAATGATGACTAGATCTTTGTATTTAAGAGGTAAATAAAAATATATTTATTAATTCTAATTTACATTTTAAATTTAGTTCTATTGATACTTTTTATGTTTAAATAATTAATTACAATAAATAATCATTAGTTTTTAAATTTATTACTAATTTAAAATTTATAAATAGAATTCGATTAAGACATAGCTAAAATGATTCTTGAGAATATTTAAACACATTCTAAAGTAAAAGTAGTTCCTACTTCTTTGCCAGTTAGTTTGGAGAAAGTAGATGAAGATACTTTAAAAGTTAAGATTCAGAACTAAGAAGATAAATCTAAAATTTACGAAGACAGTAAAAATTAAAAATAGTTTTAGTATCGAATTTAATTGAATTTAAATAAATGAATAGCTTTTAACACAGTTTTAATGGCAATTGGAAGAAAGCCCAATACATAGAAATTAAATTTAGAAAAGGTTGGAGTTTAACTCAATTAAAAAAATAAAAAGGTATTTTTATTAAAGAGTAGCTAATTACAGTATTTAATTTAATCCTAAAGATATAAGGTAGGTTTAATGATGAACTAGAATAAACTAGTGTGGAAGGAATCTATGCTCTTGGTGATGTCCTTGATGGAGTTCCTGAGTTAACACCTGTTGCCTAAAAGTAAGGTTAACTATTAGCAAGAAGAATTTAGCATAAAAAAGAAAATAAAGAACCAAACACAGTTTTTATCTAAAAAAATTCTATGGACTACAACGATTTCCCCACAACAGTATTTACTCCTGTTGAATATTCATGTGCTGGCTATTCTGAAAAATAGGCTGTAGAAAAGTTTGGTGAAGAAAATATCGAAGTTTATCACTCAAAGTTTACTCCTTTAGAAGAGCAGCTTTCACCGAGAGTTGATGAAAACTTTGATACAATTTACAGGAAAGCTTATGCTAAAGTAATATGCAATAAGCTTGATAATGAAAGAGTAGTTGGAATACATTATCTTGGACCTAATGCAGGTTCACAAATATTTTATTTCTTTATTGTAAAATTTTCAAATATTTTTTAATTTAAAAATTTAGGAGAAGTAATGCAAGGCTACGGAGTTGCTATGAAATTAGGGATGACTAAAGCTGATCTAGATAGAACAGTAGGAATACATCCTACCACTGCTGAAGAATTCACAAATCTTAGTATAACTAAAGCATCTGGAGAAGATTGTGAAAAGACATCTTGCTGAGCTTGAGCTGCATGAAGGCCCTCTATTTCTTGTCATGCCATTTAATAATAAATTAGCATTATTTAATTGAAAACAAAGTTAATTTATCTAATATGGAAAATGACGAATTTAGTCTAAACTGTAAAACAGGGATTAAATTCTGAAAAATATATGACAATTTAGAAGTAGAGAGCAAAAATTTATTTTCTAGTGTTAATTTATTTACAGGAAAATAAAGTATAAAAACTAATTTATAAAATAAAATCTAAAATAAAAAAAATTACTTATTTATTTATTTGTATATTTTTATTTTTATTTTATTGAAGATTTGATTAATTATTTACTTTAAATAAAAATTTCAATAAATAAAATAATAAATACTCCGTTTTGAGTGCCCAAATAAATTATTATTTAAAAAATATTATATTTTAATAATACCCTTTAATAGAAGTTTAAGATATCTCATTTTTTATTTAGATATAAATAAAATTTGATAAGCAATAAGTTTTAGAATTAATTTGCTGTAGAAATAAATTGTTTGCTTAAAGGATATTTTTTGTAATATGATAGGTACATATTGATCTAAAATTAAGTAAGTTAGGCTGAATAGACTATTGACTCCATATATTTATTTGAGATTAACTTTAAACAAAAAAATGTGTGTTGTTTTAAGGGTATTTATATAATAGATCACAAATCTAGATAAATTAATTAAGGTCTAACAAAAATTGATTTAACAAAATAAATTATTCCATTCAAATTCAGTATTATATAAGATTATTTTTATACGAGTTTATTAATATTTTTGCTTCAAATTTATTTAGATAATTAGATTACGTATATCAAATTTGGATATGGATGGATAAAAAAGAATCATAAAAATAGTTCAAAGGAGAAATTATGAAAGAGTAAAATAAACTAAGAAAAACATTAGTTTAAACATTTTAATGCCATTTTTTTCTGGATTTACCATATTTAATGATATTAAAATCATTAATGAATTTTAATTATATGATTTTATATTTTTAATTTAAAAAATGAAATTTGTATCCTTGGTCATTATGTTTGTTTTATTTATTCAATCAAGGATTCATTGATTATTAATCAAAAACCACTCATAATCTAACATCCTAAAGTTTTGATTGAACTCATTAGAGCAGAAATAAATTCAATAAAGCTTTATATAAATATTTACTTATTTAGATATTAGGTAAGTCTAATAAGTTATTGTGTGGTTTTACAAGATTAATAATATTTTTATTATAAATACATTCGTAAAAGTAGATTACATATGTTAAATTTAGCAAATTGTTTATATCAAAATATAAAACAAAGCATCTTTGATTCAGTGTATTTAAGAAATATATAGCAAGATGAATAAAATATTCAATTGAAATAACATATAACTAATTAATTTAATGAAAAATAATTGTTTTAGAATTCAAATCACAGATTCTCTCTTAATTTATTATTTTTGCTTAATCGTTCTTTCTGATTTCTTTGAGGCTAATTAATTTTTAGCTTTAATGTAAAAAGGATGATTCAAATATTTTGATGGTATATTTTTATCTTTTTATTATAATATTAGGTATTATGATCTTTCAGAATTTTAACAATCAACTTACTTTGAAAATATGCTTTTTTAGCTATTACTTAATAAAAATTAATTTTTATTTTGAAAAACGTTGAAGCTGGATAGTTTAAATGGAAGTATCTATTGGATTTAGAAAACAATTATAATTAATTATTTCAAAAAAAAGTAATATAAAATGAAAAATACTTAAAGGTATATTATGATGGCTTTAATTTTTGCCATCGCCACAAGTTCAGCTTATGGTTGGATTCACACACATTACTACCCTCCTAGTGATGATGTATTTGGCCCTGCTGGTAGAACCTTCTTGTCTATTTAGGCTTTTACAGATTTAGTAATATAAAATATTACTTTACACCAATTTGATCCAGACTTTGCTAATACACCTATAGCAACTTCTAATGATACTATGGAAGATCTCTAAGTTCACTTTAAGCTCTATATGAAAGAGGCTAAAGCTGATCCTAAATTTACTACTCTTACCTAAGTAAATGATACTACTTACATTTTAGACTCAAAGAATGCATTTTTTTCTTTAGAGTGTGATTTAAATGTGTAAGGAAGAGCTTATAAAATTCCTGCTACTACAAATAATGCTGATTTTTAAATTAAATTCTAACTACTATTTAACGAATAAGGTAAAATCTATGTCTACACTAACTTTACTATGTCTAGGATTGACATAAAAAACTATACTATTCCTGTTGGATTTTTTGATCCTTATCTGCTATCAACAAATGAAGATTATATTGAAGTACAATTACCTTAAAAATTTAGTAAATTTAAAATATTTTTATTTTTAATATAATTATTTAAATTTTATATTTTAAATAGAAAATATTCCTCTTGACTCAATACTCGCAGTAATTACTATCAGTTTTAAGAATTAATTGACTGAATTTTTGAATTCATGGTTGTGTGACCTATAAGTTTATGAAAATATTAGTCTAGATCGTAACCTTACCAAATTACCTACGATTGTTGGTAACAAAATCCTGATTGAAAGGAATATGTTCTTTTATAACAACAAAGTTGCTAAATCTAGACCAAATATAGGACATCCTACTGCTTTTCCTAAATAAGACGAATTGTTTCACAGACAAGAAGAGACTTTGATGGTTAACGAATACTTTTTCAATTCTCTGTTTTATGCAATGCATTAAGCAGGCATGGTAAAAAAATATATTTTTTGAAATAATTATCTTAAAGCAATCAATTATTTCTCATTTATTTAAAATATTTTTTAATAAAATTAGCTTAAGCATGTTTTAACTAATGAGTCTATCCCAATGGAGATCAAACAAAAACTCACAGTCTTTAACCTTGAATAATTAATACCTGGATTAAAGTAATATTTTGGAGATGATTTACCAATTAACATAGAATTTGAATGTATTACTCATCCTAAAACTACAATTCTTGGAGAGGTATTTTTCTTAAGAGAACCAAAAGTAGTTACTAAAGTTGAAATATTGATGAATATCCTTGTTAATACTCCAAACGGTTAGGTTTTAGTTGGCTCATTTGATATTTTAGCTTACTTCGAACTATCTATGATAATTGACATAAACAAAGTAAAATATTTTTCCAAAAATAATTTTATTTTAATTTCTCAAACTAAAAATAAAAATAGCTATTTTTATATTTTGATGGAGCTCAAATTAAAGGTTTCAAAACTGTGAAATAAGGAATTCAAAGCATACCTTTAGATGCAGAAATGATAAAGATAGCTGTAGAAAGATTTTTCATAGAATCAATTCCAAGATTAACTAATTTTCTAAAGTTTTAAAAAGGAATTGAGTTAATTCCTGCTGGTAATGTTGAATTCACCAATAGCAATACTGATATAGCTCCTAATCATATCTCTACATAAACAGATTTAATAATCCATAACATAAACAAAGATCCTAATTAACTTTAACCAGCAATGAAACTTAGAATTTAAAATAGAATTTTTGATAAACTTAAGTATAAAGCTGTTGAAATTATTACTTAAGGTATTAGAGGTATGGAAGTTCCTAATATAAGTTTTTATTTATTAACAATCAAATGTAGTTTGAATAATTTCAAAATAAACTCTATTGAAACAAATGCTAACAATATAGAATTAGAAGGAACTGATGATGGGCTATTTAGTTTAAGGATTTTGAAAATTTTTGTGAAAGGATTAGGGAATTTAGGATTGAATAAAACTATACAGATTTTTGGTATAGATATTACATTATTTGATACAGTAAGCTTTTTTTTTTTTTTAAGATTTGAATTATTAATTAATTTTAAATGATTAAATAAATAAAAGAATTTAGACCTCCATTATGAAATAGAAATAACAAATTTAGAAGTAAAAGTGTAAATTTACCTAGACTAAAATAATTAAATGACCGTTTAAGTAGTCGGTTTATAATATGGTCTTAATGTGGTACCACGTCCAGACTCAACATTCCTAGACTTTATTTGTTTTAATCTTGGTTTTTTTGAATGGACTTTTTTTGACATTTCTTTAAAAAAAATTGTTATTTATAAAATGTATAATATTGTCTATGAAATGATGGAGAAATAATTACCTCTACATTTATAAAAAATTTTAGTTATTAATAAAACTAATCTATCTCTAGACCTTTAATAAACAATAGCACCATTAGTTAATCCTTAATTTACTGAGTTTTAGACAACATTCTTTTTCTTCCCAACAGGTATTTCTGACAGTAGTAGATTACCTCCTTTTTATGCTCCTTCTCTTCCTGATTTCAGTACAAATTACTATGATCTTGAAATCATGATCCACGAATATACTCTAAAATCTGCCATCTATTTTGCTTATTAAGATTATGTAAAAGGAAGATATAACTTTGATATCACATATGAAATGCTTCATTAAGGTAAATATTTATCATTCTAACTTGAAAAAATATTTTTTTATAAATCAAAATTTTCTATTTTTAAAAATAGTAAAGAATTTTTCATTCACTCCTGAGGCTTTTAAATGGACTTTACCTGATCTATACTATAAATATGGTAAAGATGCTAAGCTGGATTTGCACATTGAACCTCTTTTTTATCCAATAATCAAAATTAGTACAAACTCAATTTCTTCTAGTATCGAAACCTTAATTGAACTTCTTGTTAGAATTCCTAATCCTCACGACAACTAAACTGAAGAAATCATATCAGCCTTAACTATAAACTGTGAATTTGGTTTTTCTATCAAAGCTTATGAAGAGAATCAACATCTTAAATTTGGCATAGAAGACATCCACATTTCAAAGTTTGAAGTAATTAAAATATTTTATAATCAAATATTTTAATTCAATTACTCACATTAAATTATTAGGCAACTAAAATTGAAGTTGATCCTGGAATTTTATTCAGATTTTTCGGTCATTCAGTATTAAATAAAATAATAACCTTCTTTATTCCCGAAATAAATAAAAAACTTGACGAATTATCAATAAATCTTAACGATTTGGTGGTTAAAAGTCTTGAAATCTCAGAAATTTAAGTTAGTCTAAGAGAAGGATACATTTTTGTAGCTTCAAATGCTCAAGTAGTTTGAGAAATATTTAATATAATTTGTTTATCAAAAATAAAAATACCTATATAAATTTATATGAATGAATATATATTAATGTTAATTTTAAGAACTTTTAATAAGGTTTAAACCTTTGGCATGTTTTTTTCTTCTTTCAACTTTTTTATAAAGTCTATATTCATTAATTTTAAAAGTGAAATATTTTAACCAATGTTTTAATACCTTAATAACTCAAAATATATAATAAGAAAATTTAGAGTGAGAGGCTCAATTTAGCTAAAGTTTTTATTTTCAGTGGTCTAAAAATTTCTTATAGAAGAAATGTGTGAAAGAAAGAAAGAATAGGGTGCATAAATAAAAAAATAAAATATTACATTTTGTAAAAAAATACCAATTTAAATTCACTCATAAATTATATTTTAAATGGAAAGATATTTTTATGAAGGATCTTATTGAATTAGTAAAAGAAATATTTCGATTGAAAAAATTCATTTTTGGAGATAACTTAAAAAATTAGGAGCTTAATTTCTTCTATATAAATTACTTAGGTAGGTACACACTCTTATATTTTTTTAAAAGGCATTTTTAATCTATTTTTAAAATTTTTGTAGATTCTAGAATGAATGAAAACTTTATTTCGAAAATTAATTGACCTTTTATTACTAACACATTCTAAAAGAGAAACATTTAAGATATATTTCTTTTTATTGGTTTTTTATATTAAACTAAAATAACATAAATATTAAATTAAGACTCAAATATAAAAAGCTTTATTAAACAAAATTAATATCTTTTAGAAAATTATTTGAAACATTTTATGTAATTAATGATTTAAATTACTTTTTATAAATAAAAAATAGAGTTCTTCATAAAATAATTTGTTTTTTTTTATTAAAAAGAAATTATGTTTTAAAGAAATATAAAAAATTAAAATACTGATATAGATTTATACAGCAATTACTATTTATAAAATGATAAATATTGAGTTTGAATGAGGAAAGAAAGTATTTTCAATCTAATTAATTTTAATTTTTGAAAAATTAATCGAATTTAAAACAATATTTTATATGTTTTTATATCATTGTAGTAGGCCTCATTAAAGCAATTTCAATTTAAAAGTTTCTTGATAGATAAATAGAAAGAAGTATGTATTTTGTTTGTTTGTTTATTTATTTATTTGTTTATTTGTTATTATAATAAAACAAAAATCAAATGAATGAAAAATTTATATTTGAATATTAAAATCAAGCTTATATTTTTATATATTTATATAAGTTAGTTTGCTTGCTAAACTATATTTAAAATTACTCAATATTAGGTATAATAAGAGAATCAAATCAACTTTTGTAAGGATCTTTATCTCTAGGAGGAGTAGGTTATCTTTTACGAAGAATAATTTCCTCTTAATCTACCATGATATTGTTTTTATTGATTTATTTTCTAATTTCCATCATAGCTTCTAGATCTATCCATTAGCTTTTATTGTTGACGTTGATTATTGGTTGGATTACTTTAGGCTGCATCTAGAGTTATTTCATTATAGAAAGAATTGCAGCTTAGTTCTGATATCTATTACAGTAATTGGTGTTCGAGAATAGGGTAATTACATTGTTATTTTAGATTTAAATACCTTAGTAGACAGGTTCGTGAGAACGAATTATCAAGCTTATATTATTTTCTTACATAAATTTACTAATACGTTAGCTACCGAAACGAGTAATATTCTTCAATTAGAAAATATCATGTTCGATATTATCAGCGTTCTCTAATTGGTTTTCATTTAAAACTGGATCACTCCAAAGTAATTCTAAAGCTACTTTATGTTGGTATGTTTTAGGGTCTTAAATAATTTCTAAAGGACGAGGAATATTATCAATTTCTTCAATAGCACGCAAAGTAGTTCCAATACCACCATGTAAAGCTAAGAAACTATCCTGTATAACAGCAGCTATAGGCATGTATTCGAATACTTTATTAATACGTTAAAAGATAGAATTTGGTTCATTTATATCTTCGTTGAATTTTTGATAGCACTCATCAGCAAAGCCCATAGCTTTGTTGATTCTTTTATCTTCCATATTACCACGAATCATATGGAATTAATCTTAATATTTTAATTTTAAAGAGAAAAGTAGCAGAATGACTTCTAATTAAGCAGAACCTCTACCAACGTAGTTACCCAAGAATAAATAATCATTACTATCGATATCTCTGTCCATCAAATCACTATCACATGGAGCACCAAAGTGATTGAAGAAACGCATTAAATCATCATATTGTCCATTTATACTTCCAAATATTTTTAAAGGAGCACGCACTTTTAAAACCATAGTTTCTCTTTCGAAAACCTTTTGAACTTCATCACATAATTTGATAATATTTTCTCTACGGATTTAGCTTAACAAATCTCTCTGCATAGAATTTTCGTTCTCAGGTTAGAGCAAGCTGTCAATAAAAGGTTGAATAATCGTTTAAATATATTGCTTTTTCATCGTACCATCGTTTTAAAATCTTTGGTGTTAATCTTTTATTAAAATGAATAAATTTCATTACCTCCTCAAATAAAAAAGCAAACAGAAAATAAAAAATAAATAAGTTTTTTATTTTTAAAAGAAAAATAGCTTGTTTATTTTCTATTTTAAGAAAGAAAGAAAGAAAGAAAGAAAGAAAGAAAGAAAGAAAGAAAGAAAGAAAGAAAGAAAGAAAGAAAGGAAAAATATTTGATAAAAAATTATTTACTTATTTTAATATTTTCCTTGACAAGACTGTTGAGAGGATACTTTTTAAGAGGTTATGTTTCTTAATGAGGATCAGATTTAACAGCTACTACTACATCAGAAGCTAAGTAAGGATTTTAAGGCTTTGGATTATTAGGTGGTTTAATTATTGGTTGATTTACATTAGTATTATTACCAATTTCAATAGCCATAGCAGTATTGCTTTCTGGTCTTCTGCTCTATGTTGCTTTAATAGCTTCTTATTTTTGCATCTACCTCATCAAATTTGGGTAGGGTGATAACAATCTAACTAAGTCTAATCTCAAAATAGAATCTGTGGGAATATTTGGGGATTCTGTATCGAAACCTCCATGTACATATAAGAAATTTTCCATGATCCAAACAGAATGTCTAAAACGATTGATTCCGGCAAATTTGTGCCAATCACTTGTTTCAGTGTCATAAATTTCTAAATGTATCTAATCGTTCATTTAATTGCTTCTTCCTCCAATCACAAACATTAATGGTCCTTAGAAAACTGTGCTATGCTATTTTTTATGATAATATTAAAATAAACAAATTATATTTATTAAAAATGAAAAAGAATTTTTATTCTGTTTCTATCATCATAATTACCTAATATCTAGAAATAGGCATTTCTGTATTATTTTTATAAGGAGCTTTCACCCAATCCCATCTACCATCTCTGTGTCTACGTAAACCCCAGGTATCGCTTTAAGCAAAGGAGTCAGAGGTACGACCACCAAATATAACCATCATACCATTTGCAGCTCCAGAAGTACATAAAGCAGCAGAGTGATAAACTCTGACCTAAGGAATATCACCTGAGCACTCTAATTTCTACCAGCAATAAGGAGATTTTTCTAAATTTAGAGACCATGAGTCATTAACAGGTTCATTACCAGTATTTCCTCCAAATACTACCAAGAATGGTTTTATAAAGACCATGGAATGTCCGTATCTTCTACCAGGTGTACTACCTACTATTGGTATAGTCAACCAATAAGTTTAATCTTCGCCATTGCTAAAATCTAAAACGTACAAATTATCATCTGCTAATCCACCACCTATTAGATTTAGAAAATATTAATTAAAACAAATTGATAAGTATGGGATAGAAATATCTAAATATAAAGTTAGTAGTTTATCTATTTTTTTGTAATTTTTATTATATATAAAATGCTTTATTTTATTTTCTGATCAGTCTAAATTATAAAATAGACTAGACAGACTAGACTAGCCAGCCTATTTTCATTGATTCGAGTGGTTATTAAATTAACTCCTAATTTAATAAATTGATTTAAATTTAGATTTCACTAATTTAGCAAAAGTTGAATTTAAATTTCTAAAATATATAACATAACACTCAATAAAGTACATTTTGTCTGAAAATAAGCCTTTTTCATTCATCTATTCATTTACTAAAGGCAATTTAATTTCTATATAAAATTTATTAGTTCTATTTGCTTTTACTTAAAACTGGAATATTGATTGATATAAAATAGATATTTTTTATGATTAAATAAATTTATAATAAGACTGTGTCTGTCCAATAAAATTTCAAATTTTGATAAACAAATTATCTATTTTTGCAAACAACACCCTTGAATAGGTTGCTTAATCTAAAGGAGGTTATCTTATGTTTTTGGAAAAATTCAAATATTTATACTTAAAGAGAAAACATATTTATTTTAAATTAATTTACCTCCAACAGCTCCACCGAAGATTATAAGTTTATTATTGTTATCAATAGAGACAGCACAATGAGCTGCTCTATTTGTAGGACCGTTACCCTTTGGATTTAATCTCTTCCAGCGACGTAGATTTAAATCACAAGAAAAAACATCTCCTGTTATGCTGTATCTGCCAGTATCGCCTGTGGCACCACCAAATAGAATAACTATGTTTTTGCTAATCTATGTTATTGTGTGTCCAAATCTTGATTGAGGAATTTCTCCGCTAATTGCAAGTTTTTCTGTCATTAAGGCTTATTTAAAGGTTTTAATATGTCTATTTGTTTTAGAGTACTTATCTTAATAAAATTAATGAAACTTTTTGAGTTCTTAATTTTTAAATCAGTCAGTCAGCCAGTTTGTTTGAAATCTATGTTTTAATAATTCAATTTTTATTTCGCTTAAAAAGGATTTCCCTTTAAAAATATTAATGTGTATTGATATTAACTAATATACTAGAGTATTTATTAGCTCTTTAGCTTATATATAATTATTTCTTATTGAATTATTTGCAAAACGATAGCCTCTTTTGCTCTCTCTCTCTATTATTCCCTTTTTTACTGGAGATTAAAAATACTTATTTATTTTTAATATATTTTGCTTTTATTTACTGCTTTTTGATTTATTAATTTATTTATTTATTCCTTTCCTTCTATTATTTGATTTTATTTACTATTAATATATTGTTTGTATGCTTTTATTTGCCTTTTTCTTCTCTTCAAATCAATCAATGCAAAAATAAATATATTTTTGATACTTTTCAATTCACTTCTTTATCTTTTTATTATATTTTATTTATTGTTTAAATCATAAAACTTATCGCTCGTATTTTTTTATCTTGATGACATACATAATTCATTGATCCATTAGTTCACTCTTGCATAAATCAGTCAATTATATTCATTCAATAAATTTTTTAAAGATAAATTTCATCAAATTTAATTTCTAAAATCTCAAATTATTACTTTTTATTATAAATTTATAATATTAAAATTATAGTCTTGAAAGTTGTTAGTATTTTTTGATATTATATTTCTAAAATTATTTAAAATTTCAATTCTAAAATAAATTTTAAATCTTTTCTTTCAAATTTTTTCATCACATTTTAACTATTAAAAGATCATAAATCCAAAATAATATCTTATAGAACTTTCTAAAATATTTTTTTTATTAGACTTAAACTTTAGTATCTTTAAATTTTTATTTTTATTTTATTTACTCAAAAAGTTTTCATACAAATGAACTTTAAATCAACACCAACCCATAAAATTGTCAATAATTTATTGTGTAAATTTTCAAATTTTAAATTATTTAATAAATAACGATGCTATTAAAATACCTTAACTTCATTCAGTTGTACTCAATAATTTTTAAACAAAATTTAATAAAAATTTATTTATCATTCAGATAAATTAATTTTGGAATAATAATATATTTATTATTAAGATAATATTTAACACAATAAATATAAATTTAAAATAATTATTTATCTCCTATAATTTTAATAGTAAAAAATGCTAATTTTTATACTTCTAGTTATTTAAATATTTATTTTAGCTTATAATATTATTTATTTTATGTAGTAAATATTTAAAACATTTTTAATGACATTTTATTATAAAAAATTTATTTATTAAAAATTTAATTTATAACTTAAACTAGATTTAATTCTTTGATAGTAATTTGTAAAATAGATTTATATATAAAAACAAGTCAACATTCGCAATTTTAAAGCTAATTACTGTATAAACAGAATATTTTTAGCAAAAAGGCTAATTATTTTTCTTTAATTTTTAAAATAAGATTTAGGTTTTAAAATTATTTATTTTATGAAAGAAAAATTTTAAAATTGTTTCAATAATGACGTTTTAGGATGTTTAATTTATTCATTAAAAAAAGTTATTTTGTAAAAGTTAATTATACTTTACTTTCAATAGTATAAAATAAATTAATAAATGCTAAAATAAAATTTTATAAATTGAATTAAAATTATTTTATTATTAAAAAAATTTAATTAAAATATTATTTGTAAAAAAAATAATATTAAAAAATAAAAAAAATTGTATTTGAATTATATTTAAACATTAATACTATATTATTAAAAAACTACTTACTTGCTTTTTCGCTACACGCACTTTTTTAAGTATGCAGATTAATTGATATTTTTATTTTTATATTAAATAAATAAATTATAAGAATTTATTAATTTTTTAGTATTTAAATTGATTTAGTTTGTTCAATCTAAATTAGGAATCTTTTGATATAAAACATAATTGAAAAGCAATAATGGCAGAGAGTGCTTTCAAAGTTAACGATAGGATTAAATTAACAAATAACGCTAATAAAGACTAGGAAGGAACCATTTTATACATTGGTCAAGTATGATTTATTTACAAATTTAAGTTAATTCTATCAATTTTTTGAAATAAATTAAGCTTGACGGAAAAGAAGGCATTTGGATAGGAGTTGAGTTAGATGTAATAAATTTTTTGCATTTAATCATATTTATTAATTTTTATTATTACTTTTAATAGTTACCTAAAGGATCTCATAATGGTTAATTCAATGGAAAGCAATACTTTTAAGGGAGGGATTAGCATTGCATGTTTGTAAAAGAAAAGCATATTCAATTGATTCAGCAAATTAAACAACCTACCCCACCTAAAGAAAAGCAATAAACAGAATAACCTCCTTAAGCAGAAAAGCCTGTTGAGAAAAAAATTCTTACTAAACCTTTAGGGATGGGAGTTGGAACTAAATCAACAGCTTCAACATAAGGAGGAGGGACTGGAACTACAGTATTAGGACCGACAGCTTAAAAATTAATTAAAAATATTTAAGAAAAATCTGCAACAAATTAATCTAAAATTCCTTCGTCTTCATAGGTTCAACAGTAATCTGCTTCTTAATCTAGCTAAGGAATTAAATAGTTGGAAGAATAACTTTCTTTAAAGGACTCTGAAATAAATATGTTGAAAGAAGAGATTGAAAACAAAGTAAATAATTATTCAAACAAATATATTTATTTTATTCTATCAATAATTTATTTTGAGTAGAAGATAAAATCTAATTACTTTTTAATTTACTTCAAAAGGAAGAATAGTTGCAATAGTTTACAATTAGAACATCAGATTTGCAAAATTAAAATGATGGTTTTTTAAAGCGCATATCTGAACTTTAAGACTAAAATAAAGCATTGCAAGAATAAAATAAAACTATTTAAGATGAGCTTAAAAATGAACAATAGAAACATTAAGAGACTAATACATAGTTGCTTTAGTCCAAAGAAAACTACTCTAAGTTGGAGGAAGAGTTAGACCTACTTCATGAAGCTCTTAAAGCAGCTGAAGAATCAGAACAATTAGTTGAGGGTTTGACAATTTAAAAAGAAACACTTGAGCATAAATTGGATGAACTTAAGGAACAGATACAACAAAAAGACCTAGAAATCAAATAGCTTAAAGAAGAAAAATAACTTGCTGATATCTAACTAGAAGATGCTATGAAAGGTATTGTTATTGAAGGATAAGATGTTTCAGGTGATTCAGTTAACTCTGAACTTATTAAGGCTAATGCTAGATTAAAACAAGCTGTCTAACTTTTAAATGATTAATTTGAACTTGAAAAGATAGATTTGTTAGAAAAAATTATTGAGCTTGAAAGCAAGATAGAAAATTAACCATAATTAGAATCTAAGATTATTGATCTAGAAGCAAAAATATAAGATTTAGAAGATTAGATTAAAAAAAAGGTAATCCTTTTTATTTTTCATTTATTATTTAAATCTATTTTATGAAATAAGAACGAAGACATCGAGGAATTAAAAGAAAGATTAGATGAGTAATCAGAAGCAGTAGAAATGGTAGAAAATTTAACAGAGTAAAATTAAGTTCTTGAAGATAAAATAACAGATCTTAAAAAAGAAATTAAGAATTTCAAAGAAATCAAAAGTGTTAATGATGAACTATTTGAAAACTATGATTTAACAATAAAAGATTTAGGAGACCAGATAAACAATCTTGAGTATCAAATTTATGAACAAAAAAGACTTGTTTAAGAAAAGGAGGAGTAGATTATTGATTAAGAGAAAAATATTGAAAAGCTTAAGCAAAGAGCAAAAATCTACAAGGAATAATCAGAAAACATGAAACTTGAGGCTAGTGAAAATGCTGTCATTTAAAACAATTCGGAAGGAAAGTAAAGCACAAATATCCAAAAATTGCTTGAGTCTTAGTAGGAATTGTACTAAGAAAAAAGAGAAATCTATAAGGTAATTTTAATTAATAAATTTATAAAATAAAATAATAAATGTTAATTATTTAGCAATATCTTCAAAGTTCTATTGAAAGCATAAATACCCAAATTGAATCTAAATTTAAGAGTCAAGCTTATTTATCATGCATTCCTGAATCAATTACTGAGAAAATTAATTCAGAAGGAATCAAACTTTTGACAAATATCCAAAAGCTCATCTAGAAGGCTGAATTATTACATTAAGAACTTTATTTGTATCTATAGAGACACACAGATCAAATTGTGAAAGAAGAAAATTTAAATATCTTCTTATGGATTATTTAATTATTAGAACAGACAAACTTATACATTTATTATCTTAGAAGATTCGATGTCTCTTTAAGTAAAAAAATATTTTAATATTAAATAGAAAAACCTTTAAAACACAATAAAGGAGAGATAAAAACAAAATGGGGTCTCTTCTCATTATTTATATTTCAGCCATTTAAAAAAAATAAAAAAATTTTTATATTGTCCATCCATCCTCATCTCCCTTAAAATTACTTTCTATTTTTCATTATATAAATTTATTTTAATTCAAATTATATTTAAAAAATTAAGCAAATACTTAAGACAACGAGGAGTTAAATTTATTAGTTAAAAATCCTTGCAATTCTTCATTTGTTGCTGGAGGTATTTTCATAGAACTTGTTTTAAAACATCTCATGGAAGATAATATTTCACCTAAAGTATCTTTGGACCCAATATTAACTGCTAACAATAAATTAAAAGAGTAAGAAATAGCTATCAAGGATGGATTACAGTAACTGATTCAATCAGTTGACATTAAAAAGAATATTTAATTGATTCGTGTTTAGCTTATCTCTAAAATATTCTTAAACAAATATGTAAACGGTCTGAACAGTGATATACTTTTTAATACTCTTGAAAAGAGAATTTATGAATTTTCTAAGAACTTAGAAACAGGAGTTATATTGAATAATCTAAAATTAGGAAAATTAGTAGAGTGCAATGCAGCTTTATAAACTGTCTTTGATTCAATTTAAGATGAAAAAATTGGAACTTTCTTTACACCTGTTAAAACTGAATTAAAAGATTAAATTGATGAAAAAGAAGAGACTGTAAAAAATTGTTTTTTTCTTTTTTGAATAAAAATATTTTTTAAATAAAATTTATTAAACTATTTCAAAATAAATAATTAAATTAGGATGAATAAAAAGAAGAGAGAGAGAAAGTGCAATAATTTAGAAAAGTAATTAGTGATGTGGCTAATTTATTGAGCAGCTTGAATGCAGATGCTGACTAAAAAATTTAGTAGGGATAGATTACCAAATAGAATGATATTTTAGAGAACAACTCATACTGGTCATAAATCGTTTAACAAATTAAGTAATAAATAGATGAAATTGAAGAAACTATTGAAAGTGAAAAAAAACTTAATGAAGAGTTAAAAGGAAGCAAGCAAAAAATAATTCAGCTAGAGCAAGAAATAGATAATTTAACTAAAATAAAATAAACTCTTGAGTAGAGAGTTGGTATTAAATGAATTTAGATTAATTATGCTTTGTATAATAATAATTTTATTTTTTATTAGTAAAATTATAGATAACGAGTGAAAAAGTCACAGTTTTAGAAGCAGAGAAAAAGAGATTCTAAGACAAAGAAAAGAGTTTTAAAGAAGCTACTGATATAATCTAGAAAGAATTAGACAACATGAAGAAGAAATATAAGGAGAGCTAGGAAGAAGTTAAAAATCTTAAAAATAATCCTTAAATAATCAGATCTTCATTACAAAAAAATTCATAAGGCCCTCTTCAACTTAAATCTTCTCTATCAAAGAATTTCGGTGATACTCCTAAATCAAGTAATAAAAATTAAATATCTAAATAAATAAATAAATAAATAACTTTCAACAGAGAAAAATTAAAAAAATATTTTGTAATTAATAGGCTCAAGATAAAGCTTGATGTATGGCTAATTTGATGAAGATTAATTTGATTTAGTTAAATATTATGAGACAGAAAATAACATTTTAAGAGCAAAAGACTTAAAAGATAGAATAAAAACTCTATCTAATGAATCTGACAACTTAAAGATTTTCAAAAAATTAAAAGAAAAGAACAATAATGAAAATCAAATTTCCTTCTTATAGTAATAGCTTAATAAAGCTACAAATGTGCACCATGATGGTCTTAAAATACTAGCTAGTAAGTAAGTTATAGATTTAAGCTCTCTTAAAGACAAAAACGTTAGCTAAAAGGACTAAAACATCAAAGAATACTTAAATCAAGAACACAAATAAATAGAAGCTCTTAAATATGAAGCTTACAAGTATTTTTAATTTTAATAGATCTGGTGATTTAAAATTTTTTATATTTAAAGAATATGCAGCGAAGTCACTAAGAAGTTATAGAAGAACTCCAATTCATTTAAGCAAAAAATTGAAATTGCTAAAGGGGAATTGTCATCTAAAAGTCTTAAAAAGTTGGGCGCTGTTTTGTTTAATTAAGAAGTAATAAAAAAAATAATAAATAAATTTATTAATTTTTTTTTTTAATTAGTCAGCAGAGCCTTCATCAACTATAAATTTAACAGTATCTTTAAACGACTGGCAAAAAATTAAAGAAGTTTTCTGAAAATAACAAATAATAGTTTCTTCATTAAAAATACACTAAAATTAATAAATAAACTATTTTTTATTTATTTTTAATTAGTGAATGTCTTAAAATTAATTAATTTTTTAAAATGTAAAATTTATCTAATTTTTATAATAAAATTTTAAATATTTATTTATTTTTTATTGACTTTTAATTTAGTTAAGGCTTCAATTATTTTTATATTTAATCACTCTTATATAAAAATTTATTTTTAATTATTTTAAATAAATTTTATTTATGTGTAGAATATAAATCTAATCGTTACTTATTAGAATATTTTAATTGAATTATTTTTAAGAATTATAATTTAGTCTATTTTCTGTCTGCCATTCATTATAAACTCAACAATATATTCAAACGATTACAAAAATTGGAAAAATAATAAATAAATAAATAATTAAAAAATTGTTTCTTCATTAAAAGTTTGTTAAAATCAAAAATTTAGTTATTTCTATTTAGTTTTTATTTAAAAAATGTTTTGAAATTAATTTTAAAAAATAAAAAAGAAAGCATTTGATTTTTTGTTGACTTTAAAATCTTTTATGAATTATTAAATATTTTAAATATGATTTCATTTATTTTTAAAATAATAATCCAATAATTATTTATTTGAATACTTTATTTAGGTTTATTTATAAGAATATAATTTAGTCTAGTACCTGTCTGCTGTTGATAATTTGGAAACTAATTTTAACAAGTTGGTTTATATCTTATGAATTTGGAATATATATTTTGTAGATTATTAATTTTGGTTTTTGATAAAAAAATTAGCAAAAATTATTATAAATAATTAATCAATAAAAATGATGCAAATAATTTATGAAGTTAATCTTTTAGTCTGTACTACCATTGTTTCTGCTCTACCAGTATATCCTCTTTCTTTTTAAAAAAGCGGTGAAGTGCTATCAACTTTATCATTATTTATCTAAGGTATTATTAGCTTTTAGGCTGAAAAGGTAATTTTTAGATATTGTTTCTTTGAAATATTCATCTTAACAAAAATTGATTTTAAAAGTGATAAAGTATTTTTAGTTTGAATGATTATTTTAGAAAATAATTCTTTTTATTTTACTAAAATAACTTCTATCATTAATTTTATTTATCTTAAAAAAGGTTTATTTAAAAAATATGAGATATAAAAATGAAAGCATGGATATTGTTGTCAGTAGATAAATTGGAAGAAAGTGGGGTTAATGCTATTTGATTGTGTCAATTATTTATTTGCTTCAATTAACATTGCTCTATAGCTTTTAAGCTCTAAACATGTTTTCCTAAATAGTGTTTTACTTTATCGATATCATTTTTAAAGAGAAGATTTAACAGGAATATAACATGCCTATTTCTGCATTATTAATTAGCCCTTTACTATTTTTTATAATAATTAAAAGAAAAAAAAAGTCTATTTGTAATATAAAATCAAAAGCTTTTCTCTTAAGTTCGCTATCAATATTAATATACATAATTTACATAATGGTGATTTTTTTTAGTCACTATGAAATTGATCGTCTTGACTCTTAACTTTAATATATATCCATACTATAAATTCCTAATCTTTTGTCAAGCAATAATCTTGCATATGTGAATTAATTATACTTACACTGGATATTGACATTTTAAAATTAGAGGGTAGCTAAGTAATCTAAATTGTCTGTCAAATATTCTACTTTAATCATTTTTATAATCTATATCCTCGTCGGAAATTTAGGATCTTACAGTATATAAAATAGATAGCCATTGGACTAAAACAATAATAATTTCATTTTTGACTATTTCAGTGATAATGCTTTGACAGTTGTTGTTAAAATTTTTATGATTAGCCATTTTTTCTAAAATTTAAGTTACAAATATTTGTTATTAAGGGAAAGTTTATTGAGGCTTATTTTGATTTCAAAATAAATTTAAGATAGTAAGCAGATAAAAAAAAGAATGAAATTAATATTTAATATTATATTTCCTTTATTTTTAACATTTATTAACATTGAATAAAGTAACTTGTAATACAAATTTACTGTTATGACTGGATCTTTAGCAGGGTTTTTTATCATTTACTTAATTCCTTACAAACTTTAATTTGGAAAATTTAAGTAAACTCAAAGAATATTATTTAAAAACTTAAGTATTCAAGATTCTACTCCTTTTTCTTCAATATAGGAAGCTTAGGAAGAAGATAGCAAATTAATAGAAAGTCAATCAAAGTTATTACCTTAATTAATTTAGCTAAAAAAATTAAAAAAAGATTTCTTCAAAACAAGTCTTAAAAAAGCAAATTTTTTTGATAAAGCTATTTTATTATTCGGATTTTTTATAAGTATGTATGGGATACTTTATTTTATTTATTCTGTAATAAATTGAATCTTAAAAGTCATTTACAAGTAAATAAGATTATTGTTATTTTGTATCTATTCTATTTTTAAGAGGAGCTCTGAAACTATCCAAAGTATATAAGTCTGAATTACAAAAATATTATGCTACCTATATATTAAAAATCAATATTTATTTATTTTTTTTTTTTGATTTCAAATTATTTTCCTTTAACACCTCTTTAAATTTTAATGTATAAATAGTATTTGATAAATTAAAGATTTATTAAATATTTATAATATTTATTAAAAAATTAATTATTTAATTAATTAAAATTTTAAATTAAATAAAAAATGACCATTAGCAATCAAAATACAGATAATTCAAACATCTAAAATAGTGATAGGTAAAATAATATAGATAATAGTAGATTACCATAAGTTGAACTTGATAACTATGAAATGAGGGATGATAAAGATAAAAAGAATAATGACATTTCTGATATATTAAAAGATATAGATGAAATTTAAAAAGATGTTGATGAAATGAAAAAATATTGTGCTGAAATGAAAAATGATATGGATCTAATTAAAAAAGACTTTGATGAAATTAAATAATATCTTGATGAAATGAAAAATGATATTACTGAAATGAAATATAATATTCCTGAAACGAGAAATGATATTCCTGAAATAAAATTACCTGTTATTCCAGAAATTAAAGATGATGTTGCTAAAAATAAATGTGATATTCCTAAAATGAAAAGAGATATTACCTAATGGAAAAATTACTTAGCCTAAATAAAAAAAGAAATAGCCGAATAGAAAAATTATTTAATCTAATAGAAAAATAAAGTTTCCTTATTGAAAAATGACATAGCCTTTTTAAAAAATTTTACTATCGTATTATAAAATGAAATATCCATGATGAAAGCTGTTTTTTATGAAAATCAAGCATAATAGAAAAAAAATATAAAAGGATGATAGAAAAAAATTGAACATATTTTACATAATAAGGGTGTTAAATTAATTATTATATAAAATTTTTGAAATAAAAAAATATAAAAGTGAATTTATGTAAAGAAGAGTAAATTTTATACTTATAAGTACTCTTGATATGTTTTTATCTTTTAAAAATTAAGTTTTTTTAGTTAATTAATTAATAATTTTATTGAATTATTTTTTAAATTTTAGATTTATATTATAACTTTTATGAATAAAACATTTTAATTAAGCAAAATATTTAACTTAAAATACTACAAAATAATAAAAAATGCTTCTTTATTGTTTATTTGTAGAAGCATGAAAAATAAAATATAATTTTAAATTTTGATTTGAATTAAAAAAAATTTTCTTTCTACTTATTATCAAATGATTATTAATGTTTATAATAATTTATTTTGTTTTAAAATAATTATTGTTAAATAAAATAATATATAAATTATCTTTCCATTTAATTAAAGCTTTATGGTAATTATCACAGTTTAGTAACTATAATGAAAGTTTTTTAGTCAGCTTATTCTATTAGTTTCCTAGTATAAAAAGGCACTTTAGTTTTATGATATTTTCATTTACAAAATATTTATTTATCAAAATAAACAAAGTAGATTCTATAGAATTTATGGTAAAAGTCAAAATAATTCATAGAAAGCTTGAGAAAATTTAGATAAGTTAGATTTTACTTTTCATATTACAAGGTAAGAAAAGTATTTTGGAAAGTAATTTGTAATAGTAATTCTAATTTCTATTTTCGGGAAATGTTAATTTACTAAATTTAGATTTATTCTGAATCTTTTATTAAAAATATTTAATATAAAAATTACAAATGAATAGAATAATATTTGAAATCAATGTGCTAGTTTGTACCACTATTGTTTCTGCTCTACCAATTTATCCTCTTTCTTTTAAGAAAAATGGAGAATTTCTATCAGTATTGATACTTCTTATTCAAGGTTTCATAAGCTATTCAACAGAAAAAGTAATAAACTAAGAAAATTCAACGCTATTAACTTTACAATTAACAAACATATATTAGTTAATTTTATTGGGTTTAAAAGAGATAGATTTGATTCTATTTATTATTTCTCTCATGAATTTTATATAATACTATATGCTTCATTATTTGAAGAATATTTAGATTATATATTAATATAGGCATGAAAGAAATTATTTTTCTTTATAAATATTAGGTTTATTTGAAAAACATGAAAACTTCGAATGAAAGTATGGACGTGGTAGTTAGCAGACAAATTGGAAGAAAATGGGGATAGTGTTACTTAATAATGTCAGTTATTTACTTATTATAACTAACGCTACTTTATAGTTTTTATGCGCTAGGGATGTTTTCATAAATAATATTCTACTTCATCAATAAAAAATTACCATATCAAATGGCTATTTCTACATTAATAATTAGTCCTCTTTTATTATTAATAATACTAAAAAGAAAAAAATAATAAATTTATAATATAAAATCAATAGCATATCTCTTGAGTTCATTATGTATCCTGATATACATTGCCTATATTTTATAAATATTCTCAAGTTAACTTAAAAAAAATGACTTAAATATTTAATTTGACTAAATTTCTGTTCTATAAATAGCAAATCTTTTATCGAGCAATAATCTTGCATATGAAAATTAATTGTATTTACATCAAATGCTTACTTTTTAAAATAAATAAGTATCAAAATAATCTAAATTATCTGTTAAAGCAAGCACAATTATTGTTTTTTTAATTTATAGTATTGTTGGAATAGTGGGATCTTATACTATTTCAGGGTTGTAACCTATAAACGAAGACTAAGATAACTTTATCTTTGATTATTTTAATGATAACTCTTTTACTATAATTGTTAAGATTTTTATGGTTTATCATTTCCTTTAGAATCTAAGTTACAGGTATATCTTGCTAAGAAATAGTTTACTAAATCTTATTGTAGTATCTAAAAAGGAATAAAATATATTATAAGTAAAAAAGAGAATGAAAATTATTTTAAATATAGTTTTTGCTTCATTTTTTGTATTTATAAATCTTGCAGAAAGCAACTTATAATATAAATTCACCATTATGACAGGTTCTTTAGCTGGATTTTTCATCATATATTTAGTTCCTTATAAATTATAATTTGGAAAAGCTAAGCAAGCTTAAAAAATTTTAGTAAAAAGCTATGGCATCTAAGAAATTAATTTGTTTAGCTCTCTCTATGAAGCCTAAGAAGAAGATAGTAAAATAATTGAAAGTTCGATAAATTTATCACCTTAAAAGTTGGTTAAAAAAATAAAAAAATATAATAAAATTAAAACTAAAAAGGCAAATTTCTTTGATAAAACAATATTATTTATTGGATTTTTAATCAGTATGTATGGTATATTTTATTTTATTTATTTTATTATCAATTGAATTTTAAAATTCATTTTTAAAATAAAATATTTCTTTTAAATTTATTAGATTGAAATTGATAATTTTCTAATTGAAATTTACATGAATTATTTTTAAAATAATATATTCTAATAAATTCGACAAGCTAATTCTATTTGAAAAAAGAAATGAGAATTGTAAAAATATTTTAATTGAAATTGATAATTTTCTAATTGAAATTTACATGAATTATTTTATAAAAAATATTCTAATAAATTCGACAAGCTAATTCTATTTGAAAAAAGGAATGAGAATTGTAAAAATATTTTAATTGAAATTGATAATTTTCTAATTGAAATTTACATGAATTATTTTTAAAATAATATATTCTAATAAATTCAACAAGCTAATTCTATTTGAAAAAATAAATGAGAATTGTAAAAAATAATTTAATTTTAAATAATAAAAAAATAAATATTGTTGCAAAGTTTTTTTTGTAGATTTAAATATTTTTATTTATAAAAATAGTTTAAATGAATGAGAAATGTTATAATGAAATTGTATAAAAATATTTTTATTGTGAGAAAGTGGAAATTAAATATTTTTAAAACATTTTATTTGGTTAAATTCATTTGACATTAAAAATATCAAAAATTATAAATTGGATAAGAATAGATTGAATATATAATTTTAGTTGTATGAATTGGAATAAAATTTATTGATTGAAGGAGTAAACTTTATAGAAATTGAATGGAAGATATTTAATCTGTATTAATTTAATATTAATAAATTAGCTTTTTTTATATTAAAATTGAATGGATATTAACTACTTTTTTATGTATTGTGATCATTGATTATTTTCTTTAGTGAATATTAATTATTTTTATAAATTGATTTGTGATTTTGCAAAAACAAGCCAAATTTTACTACTTTTTTAATTCTAAGCCAATAAATTATTAGTGGCAAAATAAACAATAAATAAGCTTTTGTTATTTTGGTTTATATAAAATGTATAAATCAGATTAGATAAATTAATCACTCAAAAAGAACTATCGCTATGACTTCAAAAATGGGATTTTCGAAGGTAATGTGGTTTAATACAAAAGATAGGGCTTTGGCATTGCAATCCTCGATGATGGATACATTTACATTGGATATTGGCATAATGATAAAGTTCATGGAAAAGCATTAATATTCTTGCCAAATATAGGAGTTATTTTAGCAAATTTTTCAAAGGGAATGCAGGTTGGTATTTAAGTAGTAAAGCTTTATAAGTTTTCTAATGAATACTTCTGTGTCAATATTAAAGATCATTTAAAGGTTCCAAAAGAAGTTGTTATTTTCTCTAAGCTTACAAATAAATCAGTTTAAGCATTAATCAAAAATGAAAGACAAATAGAATTCAAAGAAATCATATTGTCTAAAGAATACGAAGAATTAATTTAATAATTAGATTAATTTTCGATGCAATTTTCAAGTGATTTTAAAATTACCAAATGTTTTAGTATTGATGGTGATAAGTAAATTAAGCTAGGTTTTGTTGGTGGAAATCACAATAGATTAAATGGCTTGGGTTTAATAATAGAGTAAGATAGTTACAAAATAATTAAGCAAGGACTGTTTGATGAAGATAAACTAGAAGGAGTTGGAAAATTAGTTATGCCAAATGACGATGTGTATGAAGGGATATTTAAAAATAACTAAATAGATGGCCAAGGATTTTATTTCACAGCAAAGACTAACTCTTACATTTAGGGTGTTTTTAAAAAAGATGTATGTAAGGAATTCATTCAAGATGGTTTGGAATATCCTTTGAATCAAATAAAAAAGTTTAAACAGTAAATACATGAGTGCAGTATTCATTTTTATTCTTCCTCGTTCTCTGCAAGAGACTTTATAAGCATTAATTGGAATTATTTATAAGATTACATGGACAAGTCAAAGTACATGCCTATATTTGTAGATGGAAATTCCTCATCAGGCTTAACCAGCTTACTTGATAAAAATTAAAGTACAAATAATAATTTTTATAGAAGTGATGAATACTAATAGACATTTTAAGCAAATAATTAATAAATCAATAGCAGCAAATTAAATACATGCTAAATGATAAGCTCTTCTTTTAATAAATATTAACCACATATTACATAAAGAAGAAGTAGTAGTATTAACGAATACAGAAATTAACTCCCTACATACCATCATAGCAGATTGAACTCTCTTAATGTAAGTTAGAATTTTGGAAAAAATGGATTTTTAAATAGCTCTAATAGAACATCTTAAACACAAACTAGCCAAAAATATTCAACTAAGTACACAATAAGCTATAGAGATCATTAAATTGAAAATCCAGAATAGCAGCTTTCTAACTCAAAGATTAACTTTGGGAAATTAAATTGGGGGTAAAAACCAGAGGCTTCTGATTTATCTTTTTCATACACTAATTTTAATGTTAATAAAGAAGGTTAAAATTTGTATGATCTTCTAAATAACGACGAGACTTATCAAAAAGAGTCAAAAATTAATTACTTTAAGAACTCAGGTAAAATTCCTTCCTATTAGGACACAATGTAGGAAGGTGAAATAATTAAAAAAAGGCTTAATGAAATGGCTGATTTTGACAATTGCAATGTGTCTAACAACGACAGCGAAAAAAAAATATTAGAATCAGTTTAATAGATAAAAATAAATTCTATATCTCAACCTGTTACTTATAGATCAGTTAATACAACAACCCCTCTTTAAGCAAGATAAATTGAAAGATAGTAGAATTCTATAGATTCTTAAAAAATGAATAGAAGATTTAGCAATTAAAATTATACATATAATATTGAAGATAATTTCTAAATAAAAGAAAACACACAAGACCCAACAAAAATTTAAAGTATTTCTGACTATCTGAAAAATGTAGCAGAAAATAACCAAGAAAGCTATTTAAATCAAAAAATAGATTCATGTGATTTTAGATATAACAAAAATGGTAGAAATCTCATTCCATATAATCCCAACCAATATGGTAAAGATTTTATTAGGTAGGGTTGTGAAACATCGCAATCTGATTATTCAATACAATAGTATGAAGCCAAAAAGAGGTCAAGCTCTCTAACTACTCCTAATACAATAGTTTCCGTTTCCAAATCAAGTGCTAATTGCTATGATAAAAGATTAGAAATTTCACCAGAAAGAGTAACTCTTTCAATAGATAAAGGATTAAACTCAAGTAACATTTAATGTGCATTAAATCAGTAGATAAATAAAAATAATGAAAACATAATAAAACTTTAAAACCTTTATGAAGACAGATTGAAGAGAAGCGATACAAATATTTTAGAATAAGAAGATTCATCAAAGAGCGAGGATATTTAGAAAAAATAACCATAATAGCCTAAAAAATAACAGTTAAATGACTAAAAATAATAAAATAATTCTAATTAATGTTAATAATTACTATCTTAGTCCTCCTTAACATAAAATAATACTCAACCTATGAAATTTATAAAGGTACTTGGAGTGCCTCATTCCAATAAAAGTGATCAAGTTGGAATTTTTTTGAAGATGAAAGAAGAAGCTATAAAATAGAAAGAATTGCAAACAAATTCAATATTAGAATAATAAAATTCCATTTAAAAAATTTAAGAGATCACTCCATAGATTGCTCGTAATGCTAACAAAATAGCTTCTTAAAATTCTCTTGGGGTATCTATTTTGGAATAGTACATGAATCCAGAGAGTTGTGCTATCAAAAAAAGTGATAAAAATAGTTAGAAATAAAACAAATCTTATCAGTTTTAAGCTAATTAAAATGGCAATAATAACTTAGAAAATATAAATAAATAAAATCAAATAAATAATGGTTATTATTTACCTTAAGAAAAAAACGATTAAAAACCAATATCACCAGGTAATTAAAATTAATCTAGCATGCTAAGTAATAATCCATATAATCAAATACAAAATGAATTTGAGCAGAACTTATAATAAATACCTAAACAATAGCTTGATATATTGTAAGAATAAAAAATAAAATTAAACAGCATACTTTATTCTAGAAAGTAATCATATAATAATAATTAAAATTTATAAGATTTACCATCAGCTAGACTTTCTGGATATTCAGTTGGAATTACAAGTTAATATGACAACAAAAATATATTTAACTAAAATAGTAATTTAAATACCTTACCTATTAATGTTAGAACCCAATCAACTGATAATTCACCTTATAACATATCAAAAACCAATCCTAATGAAATAGATGACTTAGAATTTAAAACAAAATCTATGGTGAGATTTAATTTAAACTCAGACACTCCTCAAAGACATTCTTCATTCAATTATAGAAGGTAATAAACACCAGAAAAATCATCTCTCAAAGGAAGTAACAAATCACATCTAAATAGCAACTTAAGTTGCACTTCAAACGAAAGTGATTAGAAGGTAAGTAAAAGACTATCAACTTCTATAGATTTATCTAATAGTAAATATCACTATAATGAAAACCCAGTAAATTTATTTTATATGAACACACTTTAAAAAACCTAAAACCAGTGGTTGGATTTATATTCTGTGAACCCATAGATATTAGCCAATGCATCTCCTTAAAAATATTAAAAAAGCAGATAGATTTAAAACAACCAATAAATTCAACAATAGTGTCTTCCTCAAATAGCATGATTGTTTGTATTTATCTTATTCAAATCAAAAATTTAGAAGGATATTTTATGTTTTTTTAATTGTTTTATTAATATAAAAAATTTTCGAAATTTAAAGAGTCAATTTAAAAATAATTTTAAAGTCAAGTTTGTACAAAATAAATTATTGTCTAATGAATTATTCTCAGTTTAATCTTTTTACCAAAATAAATAATCAAATAAAAAATATTTGACTATTGTTTTTAGGATGATTAAAGGAGTTAGAATATATTTAAACAATTTTATTATCTATATATTTTTACTTTCATCAGAATCTATCATTAATTTAAAGAATACAACTTTACTTTCAATATAAAAAACATTTCAAAGACAATTTAGTTATGTCTTGACAAGGTTTGATTGATAATTTTTAAAAAAATAATCTTTTTATTATTTTTAATCTAATAGCTTTTTAGCTTTGAAAAAAAAGGCAAACTCTTTTAATTTATCTTTAATTTCTTTAAAATTTTAGCTATTTTAAATTTAAAAATTTTTCAATTTTTTATAACTAACTTTCCTATCATTTGATGTTTGTTTTGATGTTAGTAAAAAATTTAGCTATAAAATATTTTAAAACTTTTTTTTTGTGTTTTTTTATTATTATTCAAAAATTATTTTCATTTTCATATAATGTTAATAGATTTCTTTTTATTAATAATAAATCAACCTTATCTCAAAAAAATATAGCTTTAATTTAGTAATTATGTTTAACTAACCATTCAAAATTAACTATCTGCAATCATCATATTTTTAATTTATTGCTTATAGAAAAAAAAAGATTGAAATTAGTATTTATAAAATACAGCTAAATTAATTAATGCTTTTTATTAAGATTTTAAATAATCAATAGGGGGTTGGGGTTGGGGTTGGGGTT